AGCGGAACGGTCGTACTATATTTGATCGGTCCCTAATTACCTAGGGGAGTAAGTCTCGGACATCTTAGGTATAGGATTTCCTAGAGGAGGGAATACTTTAAGAAGATACGATACCCAAAGTCGTATATAGGTACTATAACGCTGTACTAAAACATCCTATACTAAATACCGGTACAACGTCTGTCGAGAAGTATCTAGACTCCTCGAACTACTAGGAGAAATAAGATAAGCGAGGGTTTACAAAGGAGATGTTTGTAACCGCAAAGTATCGATAAGTAAGTACTAACTACCGACGACTAGACCTACTGACTATACCTACCGACTATGTCTGCCGACTATGTCTAAGTAACTATACTAAAACTTTATTTCTAGACTATAAGCAATCCGCGATAGACGAGGGACCTAGGCTATATACCGGACGATTTCCCGCGCTTATCCTTCGAGATAATTATCGATAATAGTCTGCTATTCTAGTTCTTTGAACGACCGTTAGTAAAACAGACTTATATAGCCCTACTCCTAGGATAGGTTAAGACAATTTAGTTCAAATCCGCCTCGATATACCGTAGGATACTCGGTACTAAGGTTCAAGAGTCTGCTGAATCCCTTAAGACCTATCTTACTAGTAGATTTAAGATAGCTATCGCGTATAATAGCTAGTAATCCAGAGGTATAAAAACCTTATTCCTTACTATCCGGGTCTACTAGATTAACGACTACTAGGTCTAGTACGAAGGGATGCTTAGCTTTCTATATATTACTAGCCGTTATACTAGTAATTACCTTACGGAGATACTATTCGAAATCTTACAAGAGTTCGAGATTAAGTACCGATTAACTGCAATTACGTACGACAATACCTCGAACAATAAGACTCTATACAATACGATATAAGACTACTTGCTTTACTCTTCCTACTTCCTTCTAATATTCTATAGTATTTCAGCGATTAATACTTGTTAAGAGAGGTACGGTATAACGGCTAGGAGGCTAGTAACGAGCTTAGAGGAAGGTACGGAGAGCAGTCCCGACTCGGAGATAGGAGAGGATAAGGAGGAGGTAATCGCGGAGTATAATCGAGCTAGCCGTCCCGAGCGATTTCCCTACTTTGTATATACTACCTAGCTTCCCTTAAAGGCCTTTTTCGACCGCCTAGGGCTCTGTCTAACTAACGACCTTTCCGAATACTAGGATTACGAGAAAGATCGATAGATATTATAGAGAAGGAGAAAATAGAGTAAGCAGATTAGCCGCCCTTAAGCTAATAGTATACCTTACCTCCTTCTAAAGGTAAGATTAGTCTCTGCGGCCTATCGCCTATTAACCTTCCTATTTTCAAAGTATAGTCGGCTCTCGTAGTCGGCAATTATAGTCGGTACTCGAGATTCCCTTCGCTAATTTCGATCTCTAGATCCGGAAACTTTGCGTCTTTATTAACTCGAGCTCTTAAAGGTTCGAGCAGTTTATCGACCTATAGAAAGAGATACTTTAAAAGAAGGAGCTATTTATAAAGTACCGTCGGTAGAATAGCGTTCAAGATCGGATCCTAAGGGTCGTTTAAGACGTAAAGACAAGGTAGTCCTTAATAACGTTAATACTCGATCGCTTTAGCAGACTGCAAAGAGTTATCGAATCTTATATCGATCGACTCGACCTAAGTAAAGATATAGGTATCGATTCTAAAGAGTAGCAAAGGGTTAAGTACCTTATCGACCTTACGAAACTATTCGTAGCGGCGATAGCAACAATCGGAACAACGAAAGGTCCGACTATCTACCTTATCCTCGTATACTATAACTAGCTTTTCGACATTCTAGAGGAGGTAATAAAGCGACTTAAGAATAAGAGGATACCTTAGAAGAAGGATATATATCAGGTATACGAGGCTGCTTAGGCTAAGCTTAAGAAATATTATCGAGATACCTAGGATCGATTTAGCGATTACTACGGCATTAGTGTTCTCCTTACCCCCTGCCTTAAGCGGAAGTTCTAGGTACGCGATAACTTTAGGGATAAAAGCTACTACGAGTATTACGAGGGTAAGCTAAGAACAGAGTAGGAGAAGAGCTATCGTCTATTATCGAGTACTTCTACCTACGAGTTACGTAGTAGAAGTAGTCGGTATAAGGGCTAGATCGACTTTACTCTTAGTAGGAGTATAGAGTCTTCTCAAACTTAACGACGTAGTACTCGTAAGGGTAACGAGCTTGCCGACTATCTAGACGCTAATATAGATGAAGGGGATCTATTCGAGGTACTAAAGATATAGTCTTCGCTTAAGCCTAAGTACCCTACTCTTGTACTAATAGCGCGGGATATTCTCTATATTCCTACAGCCGGAGTTAGGTATAAGCGCGATTTTAGTATCGCTCGATACTAAAGTCGTTTCAATCGCTAATACTCCGTATTAATATTCTCTGAACTAATAGTATCCCGTTTCCGCTACTGCGACGATAAGTACGATACTAGAGTTCTTATCGCCTACGAGGCTATAGAGGCTGCTTAAGCGCTTCTTAGTACTCTAACTTTATAGGAGATCCTAAGTAAAGACCGAGAGTAGACAAAAGATCTTATAGAACGGATTAGTAACTTAGATACAATTAGCGATAATAAGGGAGATAGGGTAGAGGAGCCAAAGCGATCGGTACGCCTAAGCTTCAAGCTTACGTAAGAGTGCCTCCGGGATACTACGAGACGATTATAGCGAGCTTGGTTTGAGCTTATATAAAGTTTACCTACCGACTATATTTACCGACTATAGTGCTTAAGTTTCAAAATATTACAAGCTGTAATCTAGCGTATATATTCTTCTATATTTATTTATTCGATCTGACTACTCTCTTTCTCCTCTTATCTATATCGGGCTTATATACAGTTTCTTTTCTAATACCTAGTTTAAATAACTTGCTCTTAGGGTACTCGGTTTCTAGGCTTTTTCTTTCTGTTTACGAAAAATCAATACCTAATAGGTACGCAATACCTACTAGGTATCGTAATACCTACTAGGTTTGTACCTAACCCGATAGGTTAGGTTTACCTAGCTAAATACCTATACCTATTAGGTATTGCTAATACCTAACCTACCCTACATACCTACTAGGGTAGGTTGTACCTATAATGAGGCCTAGTTATAGTAACGCTTACGATTGAGTCGGAGTTCGTATAACGAGAGCTGTCGGTGTATAGTGCTATATAATTCGTTCGTAAGTCGATACTACGCGGCCTACGCTACGGCTTTACCGAACCTAGGCATACGTATCTCGTAAACTGCGTAAACGGACGGATTTGGCGCTAATTCGTACGAGTAGTCGAGTGAATTCATAGTTAGCTACTACTCTTTAATTGTCGTGCCTTGCCTTACTTATACGTAACTTAGCCGGCAGTTCTAACCGTACCCCCTCTATCGTATATTCCTCGCGTTACGAACGCGTAGATTAAGTAACTCTTTATCGTCGCTATTGTCGCCTATATAATCGTCGAAGCCGTCAAAGTTTCTAGTAGTAGTTCTATAGTAAATACACTTATATATAGCTCGGATTATGTTACTAGACGTATAGACAACCGTAAACCCTTTACTAAACGCGTAATCCTATAGCCTAGCCTTATAATAGTCCGGATTTCGGAATATCTCGCCGGTACGTAGATACTCGTAATAGCGTAGATCTATAGTGTCGATAAACTCGCGGACGGCCGGTATACGGCTCTCGGCAAGCAGTAAATACGGAATCTACGTCGGACGTAGCCGTAGTACCGGCAATTCTACGTAGAAGACAGATAGTAACTGAATTTTGACCTTCTTACTAGAGCGTCCTTTGCCGACGGTTACTGCCGCGGCAGCCGGCTACTACTACTGTAAGGCAGGGTGTTCAGGCAATAAGGACTCGTTACCGGCGTTGTCGTCGACTACGTCGTCGACCGTAGAATAGACTATAGAATCGTCGATTGTAATAGTATTAGAGGTATGCTTACCTTAGTACGGCTATATCCGTAGACTAATCGGATCGTCCGGCGCAGGTAACTCGTTAAGTATACTAGTATTATTCTACGCTAGATCGTAACTGTCTACCTCCTCTTAATTAGTTAATAGCTCTCGATTAGGGAATAGCTCTTCTAATATCTTAATATAGTAGAAGCCGCTCGGCAGTATAGTAAACAGTAAAGATAGGTCTAGTAGGCTTGATTTCTCGGTAATATCGGTTATATTAGTATCGTCGACGCCGTTCGGATCGTTCGTTGCCGTCGTTTCGTAGTTCGTTATAGTACTTAATTAAACTAAGAGCCGTATCTCGCGCGTTTGTTATCCGAATTTAGTAATATCGCGGTGTAGTATTAGTGTAAGTATATAGAAGCAATTGGAGAGGTATATATATACGTATCGTTACGTCGAAGTAAAGATATCCGGTATCGTAGGTATCGTAGGTATCGTAGGAAAAGTCTGTATAGGAAGTAAGGTCAACCGGAACTATGTTAATCCGCGCCGAGCTATGACTCACACGCCGGACTATGACTTATACGTGCTTAGTCATTCCGAGTGTCCTTTGAAAGTGTCCTGCTCCTTGACTCTTGCAGATAGGCCAACGATAATGCTTTTCCTTTCGGACATTCTTTGAGCCTATTCCACGAGCAGGGATATCCTCGAGCTTGAGCCCCCAGCGATAACAAGATGTGCGAGCGAGTAACCGGTGCGTGATCATCATCAGTAGTATACAACACATACATTAGTGAAGCTGTGGCGATACTGCATAGTCATTGGGACTCCTCATCAGAATCAAAAATGACCCCTGACGAGACGACAAGACCAAGCAAGAACACGGAGACGCTATACATACAGCTGTCAATGGCTCAGACTCGACAGAGAGAAGTGTCATCTTCTCCTGGGTCATTCGCTACCGCGAGAACGACGACGACGACAGCCCCCCCCCCCCCCCCCCCCCATCATTCCACCAAGACGCCACGCGACAAATAGCGCGCTACACTCACTCACTCACTCCCTCCCTCCTTCAATACACCAACGTCGCAAGACGAGCAGTCAACCCCCCAACCACAATCGAGCTACTGAAAAACAGCTGGAAGCGAACCTAGATAGCAAATCATGTCAGTGAAACGGAGGCCGGCATAGTCCCAGAAAAAAAAAAGAAAACAAAAGACAAGCAAGTATAATTACTAGGAGGTATTACTCACCATGACCTTATTCACCAACGACTGGAATACCGAATGCACAATTCTCAGCCCTACATACGTCCACGCCGCTTGGAGAGTATAAGGATGATTATCGCCGAGAATGGCGAGAGCGAGAGTTACGGCGTAGAAGACGGTGGGTTGTTCGTGGAGATGGTTGTAACTAATGAAATAGATATCAGAAAAAGAAAAACTCGGGAATAAATCCTCAATTCTGAAGAAAGAAAAGATTTTCGGCTTCGTTTTGACTTGATTTGATTTGGTTGATGGCCTTTTTTTTTCTTTTGGAAGTGTGCAACATACTTATCTGCCACCTGTCGAATATGAATAGGAATCTTGGTCTGCAACTCCTCGCTGATTTTCGCCGGGTCCGTGGAGAGTTTGTAGTTGGAAATGGCGGGGATTCGAGTCGCGTACATCCAGAGTTCCATGACGAAGGTCCAGCCTGCGAGGGTGACGAGTGGTTTGAGTAAAGGGGAGGGGGTGAGGAGGGCTTGGGAGGCCATTTTTTCTTTTATTTTCTTTTTGGCAAATCTTGTCAATTTGAGGGATGGACTTGTAGTATAGATCGTGGGTAAGGATTGCTGCTGCTGCTGCGATGGTATGGTATGGTATGGATTTGGAGTCTGTAAAGAGTCGTTGAGAGTGAAGAGAAAGTAAAGGTAAAAGGTAAGTGAGGTCTGTTGGTTTGCCTCGGTATTTACACTCACTTTCATTCTGCGCCCAATAGAATCATGTCTACGGGCGCGTGTAGAGCGGGCGACTGCGGATAGCTCCACAGCAATATAACTCGCAATAGGCCGAAGGGGCTTGGCGTGCTCGTAGACGAAGCCTTAGTAAGGTACCTGGTAGTCAAGGTAAGGTATGTAGCCACCGAACGATCTGAGGTAAGCTTAGTCTGGGCCTACTATATATGTTCAACGTCTATCATAGGAAATAATCCGAACTGAAAGGAGTTCCAACACGATTCCACATTCACTCTCTCTTATTATTGACAAAACCTCCGTTACGTACTCCAAGGAGATCTTTCCCGGAAGTACAAAAGCACTGCAATGAAGCAGGTAGGTACATAGGATAGACCTGCCTTATGTTCATTTGTCTCCATAGCACTGTCAGTAAGTAAGGTAACCACAATACGCACTCTTATTTACTGTCAAGGACCGCGTGCATCTTTTCCCTTGCGCCAACGCTCGAATCATAGCCAGCGCAATTTCCCATTACAACACTACCAGTATTCTACATCAAGCGATATGGCTCGGCGGGCGAAGAAACGAAGAGTTGACGCCCGGGAGGCTGCTAGTGTCGAGAGGAACGAGCTGGATGATAATGACGGCGATGATCATGGAGCCCCGATTGCTTCTTCCCCAGCCGTCGATACGACGGATCGTTCTTTGGAAGATGTGTCCAGTGGAACCGCAGGAGTTTCCGACCACCCCTTCAGCTCCTCCAGCCACTTGCCAGGCCAGGACATAAAGGAAGTTCCGAACATAACCTCCACAATTCCAAGCAGCCAATCGTCAGTATCGAGAACGCTCCATGCGCCTGCGCCTGGCCCTTCCGTACCGTTGGCGAGATCCCAGCAGACAACTGACGGTGGGCTGTTACGGAGACGAGGGTACCAACCACGACTGTCAACTCGCACAAAGCACCGACACGCTGCCGAGTTTAGCGAGAGGATGGGGTTGCATGAGGTGCAGGCACAACCGCGGTACAACCTCCGACCCCTATGGGCCAAAAAGATGAATGTCCTGGAGAAACTGCCATCAGATATCCGCATCATGATCTGGGAAGTGGCCATTGTCGCCAACGGCCCACTGATCGTGGCCAATGACGAACTAGGGGCACCTAGACTCCAGACCAGTGATGAAGAGACTCACCGGACCGCACTACTGAGGGTCAGTAGACAGGTAAGGCTTGAGAGCGAGAAATTCTTTTACGCCAAGAATGCGTTTATATTTCGCTTCTCTGGCAAGCTAGAACAAAAGCACAATGACGTGTACCTCGTTTACCAGTTCATCTGGAAGCTCCTGACTCCCGGACTGACAGTCTGGAGGCAGAACAAGAACGTCTTCATTCTCATCATCGTCGACGTGACCTTGTACAATCTATCTGTCGTCGCGAATCGGGAACCATTTGAAAGGATTTCTAGACGTTTGGCCCTCCGACTCGCGTGGTTGAAAAGTATCCTGCCTGATCGGAGATGCCTGATCGAATTCCAGGGGAATGCGCTTCTTACCGGGCCTTTATGGCAGCGTACTCGCGGCGTGAAAGTGGATCTCTACAACCCAATAGCATCTCTGAGACGGGCATGCATGGAGATGGAGCATTTGGCTGTAGGCGTATGGCCCACGGGGAATGCAGCCGACTGGAGTCCTAGTTTCAAGGCCTTTGCTGATACATTCTACTTGTTGAGGAATGTCGCCAACTGCATTGAGGATGGCCGTTCTTCCAGTGGCCTGTCTTTCTAGCCAGCAAGGTCTTGGAGACTATCTGTTCAGGCGTAGTGTCGGATAGTGCTGGGGGCATCGACTTAGTGCTTGTAAATTACTACTTCGTGTTTGAGAGCCAGAAAGAATTCGATATACGGTTTTTGATGCGATCGAGGAGATTCATGTTGTGGAAGGGACGAGTTGAAGCACAATGGAGGCCCAAATTAGCGCCTTGGCGCAAACTCCGACCTCATCTCAAGATGGATCGATTAGATTTTCAATGATATTATTTACGCCTCACTAGCGACTACACTGACACGATACGGGGATATAGTGAAGACTCGATGGCAGAGACAAGTGTTGGTGAAATGGCCACAGAGGAGAACAACAACGCCGATGCCCTCGTCACCTCCATCGACCCTCTTCACCCCGCCAATCACATCTGTACGCTTTGCTACCAATTCTACGGCCACGGCTGGGTCACAGGCACCGGCGGCGGCATCTCCATCAAGCATGGAAATCACGTCTACCTCGCCCCTTCAGGTGTGCAGAAAGAGCTCATGAAACCCCAAGATATCTTTGTCATGGACTATGTGACAAAACAATACCTGAGGAGACCACCGGTAGGTTACGGCTGTTTTTGCGCTTGGCGAGGGGAGGTGTGCGCTGAGCTGAGATATAAACGGTAGGTGTACAAACCCTCTGCGTGCACACCTCTCTTCATGTCGGCATATACCACCCGTGGAGCAGGAGCTTGTATCCATACCCATTCGCAATGGGCTGTTCTCGTAACTCTCATCTGTGAAGCGGGACTACAAGGTGACGACCGCGGTGTATTTGCGATGAAAGAGATTGAGCAAATCAAAGGCATCTCGCGGGGAGGAACAGGCTCGCAAGAAATTGCTGAGGGTGGCCGCAAACTCGGCAATTTGGGATACTTTGATACGATGAAGATTCCGATTATTGAGAATACGGCGCATGAGGAGGATCTGGAAGAGAGTATGTCGCAGGCCATGCAGGAGTGGCCGGAAACTTGTGCGGTGCTCGTCAAGAGGCATGGTGTCTATGTGTGGGGCAAGGATGTTGCTCAGGCTAAGACGCAATGTGAAAGTTTGGATTATCTGTTCCAGCTGGCGGTGGAGATGCATAAGTTGGGGTTGAAGTGGGTGTGAATATGATGATACTATAAAAGAAAAATTGGCCGATGATGATTTGGCAGGCCCATGAGAATATATTCGTATAGGGAATTCGAGTTGCAATATCTTGTACAAGTCCATAAAAACTTCTGGCTGTGAAGCGCCTCCTTCTATTCCTATACTCCATTACCCGAACCTAGACATGCTGTACAAAGAGTAATAATCACCGCAAAGTGCTCTGGTCACTATAGCAATGGTTCCCAACTCGACCATCCAACGCCAGCTGTTCCAGGTGTATCTCAAAGCGCAACGCATACAAAGTAGTCTGCTCGTCTTCATCTTTCGCTGTCAAGATCTGACGGATATCAGATGCAGTTTGCTCAAAGCGACGCAGACGAAAGCAGATCTAGGAGACGCTGGTGCTAGCTCTCCCCGTAGTCCGTATCTCTGATCTGAGCACTGCATGTAAGGTCTATTACGAACAAGCGCAATATGGCTTCGCATCGCAGAGTAGACTGACTCATTGATTAGCATGAGACACAACAACATGGAATTCTTGGGGATCAGAACGCACCACATCTCCCTCTCGTCCTGACATCCATACTGCAATCGGCACACCGCACATGCCGTTGCGTTGCAGGTTTTAGACTTCCGTCGAGGTATCTCGAGAGGAGGGCCTTTCATTACCACGCCAAATTCTGGCAGAGCGGTGTAATAAGGGCCCAGTGTCGCGGTCTTGGTCGTGGTGCTGGTTGTAGTCGCTGTTACAAACTCAAACTCGTATCGTGTCTTGGTCACGGTGTGGTGGATCACCGTTTCCTCGGTCGGTCTCTTGGCGGTTTCGGGTTCGTGAAGGGGTGCATTATTGCCCATCGGAATCTGTTCGATGTTGTTGTGGCGGGGGATACGAGTCGACTTTCCGAGAGTCTGGGTGGAGAGTGCGAAGAGTGCAAGAGGTCCTGCAGTGAGTGATGAGCAATGCATCTTGGCTTGTGGTTGCGGTAAAGAGCGACGGAAGGTGAGAGTTGGTCGTTGTGACACTGCAGGACGGTTTGCAGGTGAATGAGTGGACGAAAGGGGAATCTGGAGGCAAAAAGTATGCCATTTGAGCGGGCTATATCATCAGTGCTACATGTAGGTATGAGACATGCGAAAGGCTTGCCGCTGCTGTGCCACTGAATAGCATAAGGATGCATGGACAAAGGCGGAGTACGTCTCGGTAGATCTGTTTGGGGCTGATTTGGGAATTCAGCCGTAGACGCTGCATATACACGCTATGCCTCCTGGGGAGCATGTCGACCCTTCGGAGCTCTTCTCCAAGCGCCTTCAGCGGCACAGCAGCGTGATAAATAGAACTCTTGCTGAAACCGTCTCATCCTTCGCGATGAGGAAGGCATTCTTGCAATGTGCAATATGGCTTTAGGGGCGCGTGAAATGTGCTTGATCCCAGCAGTCACACATTGCATCCGTCATGAGTTTTGATAATGTGATGGCGATGTTGGCGCAGTGAAGTGTGAGGAAAAGCAACTTGAAGAGTGGGGGCAACGGAGATCTTCATCGGAGTGGGTTTCTCCGGTCCGACAAAGCGGTCTTGGCGCGACCACGAACAGATTTCGTCTTCTCACAAGCCTCAAACCTCCGACTGCACGCCCAACGACATCCCCATCTCCTCGACCACCACCACCCTCGCAAATACCGCCAAAATGGGTCGCGTCCGCACCAAGACTGTGAAGAAGTCCGCCAAGGTCATCATCGAGCGCTACTACCCCAAGTTGACTCTCGACTTCGAGACCAACAAGCGCATTTGTGATGAAATTGCCGTGATCGCTTCCAAGCGTCTGCGCAACAAGGTACGGCCAATGGAAACCACTTTCGACGAGGCTGGAATGGCTCGCTGACTGTAGCAGATTGCCGGCTACACTACCCACTTGATGAAGCGTATCCAACGTGGACCAGTCCGCGGTATCTCCTTCAAGCTGCAAGAAGAGGAGCGTGAGCGCAAGGATCAATACGTTCCAGAGGTGTCTGCTTTGGACTTCACACAGAACAGCGAGAGCGGTCAGCTGGATGTGGACCAGGAGACCAAGGACTTGTTGAAGTCATTGGGCGTACGTACAATCACACAGCCCTCCTTACCGTTGGTGGGAGGGTCCAGAATTTTGCAACGCGATGCTGATGATAAATTCCACAGTTCGACAGCATCCCAGTCAACGTCGTCGCTGTCCAGCAACAGCAGGTCGCCGAGAGGCCTCGCCGCTTCAACGACCGTCCAGCTCGCGCTTAAGCCATCAACATTATGGCTTTTACTCGCTACTAGGACTGCGACTTACGATCAAAAGAGCTTGGAGGGTTTCAAAAAAAGGCGTTGGCGTTCTATTGCAGTTCCGCTGCTACGATACCCATGCCTTGTTAGCTACTACTAGCTACTGCTCTCTTCGGAGACGCAAAATGGAGCACTTTCCTCCACCCCAGGTGTCGCTGAGTCTGCTGTAATGGCGACGAGGCTTGATTGCCAAATCTCCCGTTCCCACTCCCCTTTTCTCCAGACGTCGTAATGTCAACACCGCTCCTTGCTGTCGCTGCCGGGCGATCACAGTTCAACGGAATGAGTCTTCCTTGGCCTGCTCAAGATGCTCATCCCGATCTTCAGGGCTGGGATTGTAGCATCTTGTCCTTGTCATTGTACACGTGCATCTCCCTCACTGTCGGTTGTTCGTGACCTGTAAACATTTCGTTGCAACGGAACCATTTGTCGTCTGATGAGTCTTCCGAGTTCATAGCAGAGTCAGACGCGTTGTCGGCGCCGCTGCAGAGAGCTTGTTTGCATTCGCTCATTGCATCGGTGCTTACATACCTACTGCCATACTGGTCTGGCTGAATAGATCGGTTGCCGAGCAGGTCGACTCTGATTCCGACGTAGAACTGTACACAGTCCCGGGTCTCACATTGTCGCATTCTATAGCCTTTTCATATAATATACACTTCCTAGCATCTTTCTGAGATTCCTCGCACTTCACGTTTAAGAGACGACCGCCAGTTTCACATCCTTAGTCATCACTCCCGAGGCTTCGAAGCCCTGCATCACGTCCGCATAGTGCAGCCTCGACAAGCGATGCAGAGCCTCGAGTCCTGACTCCAGCGGACACTGCTGTACGGACGAGAAGACACTGATGGCATGTGCATGGTAACTGAGGTTGCCGAAGACGTAAAAGAGGGAGGGAGAGGCACATGTAGGAGGTAAGCGAAATCGGAAGTGCCATGGAAGACCGCCATGATTCCGTAGACTTCGATTTGTGGCAAGCACGGAGAGCACGGACCTTCTTCTTCTCGGTGGTGATGCATCCAGTTTTTCTAAAGCTCCCTACACCATCTTCCTCTCTCCATCTTCATCACTTTGCGCCATCTGCAACAACCTCCCTTTCTTCCTCACCCTCTCATCCATCATCACCATCGTTCCTTCCTCGTTGCGCGTACCCCAGTGTGTTAATACAGCCAACATGCTCTCTTCTCGACTGACGCGGAACGTAAGTGGAAGCTCCCTCGAAACCATTCGCCATCACGCGAGCATGGACACGACACTGACATTGAACACAGGCTATTCCGCGCGCGACATCTTCTTTCCGATCATCAGCACGCCGCGCGCCCCTCACATCGCAGTTTCGACGAGGATATGCGGAAGACACAAATGCCGACAGCGGGAAGGTGAAGGGCCCGATCATTGGTATCGATCTGGGTACCACCAACTCGGCTGTGGCCGTCATGGAAGGCAAGGCGCCTCGCATAATAGAGAACTCGGAAGGTACGAACAGGACCATAGAGAGAGAAAGACGGAGCGATGATGACTGACAGTGAGGGATAGGTGCACGAACGACACCTTCTGTGGTCGGTTTCACTAAGGAAGGCGAGCGACTTGTCGGTATCGCCGCAAAGCGTCAGGCCGTCGTCAACCCAGAGAACACTTTGTTCGCCACAAAGCGTTTGATTGGACGCAAGTTCAAGGATTCTGAGGTACAAAAGGATATCCAGCAGGTCCCATACAAGATTGTTCAGCACACAAACGGCGATGCGTGGCTCGAGGCACAAGGGCAGAAATACTCTCCTTCGCAGATTGGTGGTTTCGTCCTCGGCAAGATGAAGGAGACGGCTGAGGCGTTCTTGGGCAAGAACGTCAAGAACGCTGTGGTCACTGTCCCAGCATACTTCAACGACCAGCAGCGTCAAGCCACAAAGGATGCCGGTCAGATCTCCGGTCTTACCGTGCACCGTGTGATCAACGAGCCAACTGCCGCTGCTCTTGCCTACGGTCTCGAGAAGGACGACAAAGTCGTGGCTGTATACGATCTTGGTGGTGGTACCTTCGATATCTCCATCCTCGAGATCTCCAACGGCGTGTTCGAAGTCAAGGCCACCAACGGTGACACCCACTTGGGTGGTGAGGACTTCGACATCACCCTCGTCCGCCATCTTGTGCAGCAATTCAAGAAGGAGCAAGGAATCGATCTCTCTGGCGACCGCATGGCTATTCAGCGTATCCGTGAGGCTGCTGAGAAGGCCAAGATTGAGCTGTCTTCTGCTCAGCAAACCGACATCAACCTGCCTTTCATTACCGCCGATTCTTCTGGACCAAAGCACATCAACACCAAGCTCTCCCGCTCTCAGCTCGAGTCCCTGGTGGAACCATTGATCAGCCGCACTGTGGAGCCAGTCCGCAAGGCTCTCAAGGACGCCAACCTCCAGGCCAAAGACATCCAGGATGTTATCCTGGTCGGTGGTATGACCCGTATGCCCAAGGTCACCGAGTCTGTTAAGGCCATCTTCGGCCGCGAGCCAGCCAAGTCTGTCAACCCTGACGAGGCTGTCGCCATTGGTGCCGCCATTCAGGGTGGTGTTCTCGCTGGTGAGGTCACTGATCTCCTTCTCCTCGATGTCACTCCTCTGTCGCTCGGTATCGAGACTCTCGGCGGTGTCTTCACTCGTCTGATCAACCGCAACACCACTATTCCAACCAAGAAGTCGCAGACTTTCTCCACTGCTGCCGACTTCCAGTCCGCTGTCGAGATCAAGGTCTACCAGGGTGAGCGTGAGCTTGTCCGTGACAACAAGATGCTCGGAAACTTCCAACTGGTCGGCATCCCACCAGCTCACCGTGGTGTCCCACAAATCGAGGTTACCTTCGACATCGACGCCGATTCGATTGTCCACGTGCACGCCAAGGACAAGTCTACCAACAAGGACCAGTCTATCACCATCGCTTCAGGATCTGGTCTCTCCGACTCCGAGATCGAGAACATGGTCAACGACGCCGAGAAATACGCTGCCGCCGACAAGGACCGCAAGGCCGCCATTGAGGCTGCCAACCGTGCCGACAGCGTTGTGAACGATACCGAGAAGGCACTCAAGGAGTTTGAGGACCGCATTGACAAGGCCGAGGCAGACAAGATCCGTGAGACCATCAACGGTCTTCGTGAATTCATTGCCACCAACCAGACTGGAGAAGGTACTGCTACCGCCGAGGAGATCAAGGCCAAGACAGATGAGCTCCAGACCGCGTCTTTGACTCTGTTCGACAAGATGCACCGTGCCCGCCAGGAGGCTGAGTCGTCGCCAAAGGAGGGCGAGCAGTCGAGCGAACAACCTAAGCAAGACGGCTCTGACGAGAAGAAGCCATAAATGGCTTGATTGTTTCCAAGCCTCGAGCTTGTTTTGTTTGATGTCTTTATACCCCAAGCGACCTGAGCTAGCGCGAATGGTCCATAAAAGCGTCGATTCCGGCAGAATTCATGTAAGGATATTACGACGTCGGGAGAAGCCTCACTCTTCAGCCACGCTGCGCAGGGCCGGCTGAGGCGCTACTCATGTTTAACTATACAGAAAGATGTACAGGGCGCTCGGCGCTTGGCGAAGCTGCGGAAAGCAGTCTGCTTGAAATAACAGGTGCATGACGAGTGGCGAGTTTGTGAAAGTAGTGGTGGCATGGGACGATAAGAAGGAATGGGATGGATGGATGTGTAGTTTTAGCCACCGTTCTCGGATGTATAATGTCATGAAGTCTCTACTCTGAAGGTCATTCTCTTCCGGTCTCCGCCTTTGAATATTTCGCATAGGCAACATGACTGGACGAATTGTCGGTGTCTCCTGGATTGCTGCACATCCTCTTCCTCTCTCTCTGAAGCAAGATAAAAGAACCGGAAACCACCCATCGCCGCAAAGAGCCTCCTCCATGGCCAATCAGAGCTATAAACACCCATCCATTCTAGACTCCTGCGAACGCTGCTGTCTCACTCTGCTCTGACTGACGATCAAACCCCATGAATGGCCATACGCACGCGTAATAGACACCATCTTCCTGAGCAGCAGCATTAGGAGAGAGAGAGAGAGAGAGGATCGAGAGCTCTTTCAGATTCTCCATGAATACACTCGCCGTATTGTGGAAGAACAGTAACGTGGAGCAGGAGCAGGAGCAGGATATTTGGACCTAGCTTCTCCTGTGTGTGTGAAGCCTCTCGATCCGGACTTTTTAAAAAAAAGATTACAGTCAGTCGTGCGCTCCAAAGGTCATGCATAGCCGGCCTGTGTACCACACCAGATTTGCAAACAATTGCCTCCAAAGCCCTTTCTGTAGGCCCTCAAGGTCCCTATGATCCCCAGCTCCCCTTGAACACCCATTCAAAGCCCAACAATCCCCTTCACAGCCAGCACGATCGGCGGCACACTCGTAGCAGCAACAGCCACAGTTCCAACAAATCCCATACTCAAACTACTAAACGCCGCAGCTCGCGGATCCGTACCCAGTAACATAGCAGTAGCAAGACTGCTCGAATTCGCACCAAACGTGATTCCTCTCGTAATATAATCGTCCTCGGGAATCCGCAAGAATTTCAAAATCTGATTTCCTATGAGGACTCCAAAGATTCCGCTGAAGATGGCCAAGGGAGTTCCCACATTCATGTTTCCGCCGACATTTGCCACGACGATTTGTCCGAGTGCGAGAGTGAGTGTTCTTGCTCCGAAGGCGAGAGAGGACGTTGGAGTGATTCCGATGGCGTAGCAGAAGGCTGGGTAGCCGAAGAGTGAGGCTAAGGGCCAGATGGTATTGGGGATGATGATGGCGAGGAAGTTTTTCTGGAGCTCATGGCGGTATTGGAACATTGGTAAGGCTAATGCAATGATTGACACGTCGATGATGGAGGAGAGAATGTCGCCGGCTCCGGGTAGTGTGCCTGCGATTGCTGCGCCGCTCCACAGTCTGGTGTATTTCACTCCTGTGGAGTAGGCGTGGAGACCATCGGATAGAGATTCTCCGCGTGTGAGGACGAAGACCCAGATTGCGAGAACGGTGCTTGCAGAGGATACCAGGATGGGGTGCAGGTAGGTCTTCCAACGTAAGGGCAGCATGGTTGCGACTTCGTATGTGATGATGCTGATGCAGAGTTGCAACGGCATGGCATAGCCGAGGCCATAGTAAACTGGGATGCCGATGAAGACCATCAGTGCTGCATAGGTAAGCAGATCCAATTGTGAGATAATGAATGCTGCCCACTTCTCCGCTCTGGTTTGTAGCGGCGCATCGTGTCGCAAAATGGACAATGGTGATATAGTCTCTGAGCTGAGTCTTGTGCTCTCCGGTATTGGCGGTCCGCCTGTCCCAGTGACATAGTCTGGATTCTGTGCCCTTGGCGGCTGAACCAGGAATGGAGTTGAAGGATTGGGACTTTCGTCCGGCGTGCTCTCACCATAGTCACTTGGTGTCCGCCTAGAGTCTGGCGGTGTCGACACTCGACTCAACGGAATGTCATCTTGGTGCACCCCAAGCTCTTCAGCCCTTGCAACTTCTGCTTTCTTGCTATTGCCAATGAGCAGTACTATCCCACGTACAGAGTAGGCACTCAAGGCAAATACCACCGCCCAACCGACTAGAGCTACGCCGATGATCTTGGCCACTTCCGCTCCGCTTATCGGTGGACTGAGAGGCAATGTGACAAAGCCAGGACACAAGAATATGTTGAGAAAGCGCAAGGACCAGCCGCAGGGAACATCTAGGTATCCAACCATGGTCTTTGTGGCCCGGTCTCCCAGTATGAATGAGCAGAGGATGAGGGCTAAGAAGAGTAAGATCAGACAGGCCACTGAAGCTGGAAAGGGAACATTCCCAAGGTTAATAAGGCGGTCGACACCAAAGCACACTGCCATGATGGCTGCAACAGCAATTGGCATAACGAGCCAGGCGCGTACCACACGGTGCCATGTCCGAGCGCTGACCAATTTGGTGGCTATTAGGACATCTTGGACCAACACTGCTCCCCGACTCTTTTCGTATTCCGATGCCCTGCCGGCCATTGATTGATTGTACGACGGACCAGAGAGGAGTACACCAAGTGGTGTCCTGATGGGTGTTCTGTCGATTCTTGTGTGTTGTTCATATAACCATCCATTTCGAAACAGCCACCTGACCAAGTAGTAAACGAGTTGCACTTCATGATCGAGGTAGAGTCATCCGATGGTGATGCATGGCAGAATCGAAAGGAGCGGCTATTGCGGCCCGGCGTTGGGTATAATCCAGCCAGCCCCAAGTCCGCTGCTCCCATCGCGCTCCTCAACATCATGGTATCGAGGGTCGTATGCCGTATAGAAAGCGGCCTGAACAAGAAAAATCAAAAGCTCGAATAGATGTGCTCGCCAACTAACATTGTCTATATTGATCCTGTCGTTTTGATGACATGACCAGATCTCCGTCATGCATACCCACCCACCTCTCGCTCTCTCTCCCTCTCTCCGTGTTGTCTCTCCCCGACCATACACGCGTGCATGCATAACATCCTACGAGTTCAAATAACTCCTGATCGCTCCCTGCAATCTGTTGCCCGCCTCGCCCAACAAGGCACTGACGTTCTCCAAATCATCTCCCGCCTGAATACCAAACTTCCTGACAAAGTCCTTGGCAGCACCCTCCAAATCTCCATACTCTTCTTCGCCTGTCTCTTCCGGCCGTCCAAAGTAAGCATTCGAGGAAATGGAAGTCTGCCCTTCGAAGCTTTGCAGTCGGGTTTTCGCTTCCGATTGCGCGTTACTGTCGAAAGCGCCACGGCCGAAGAACTCGTCGGAACCGATGCCTTTTTGTTGGCCAAACTTGTCGCGTGCGTAGCGTTCCGAGTCGTCTGTGAAGAGAAGAAATGAGATTAGTGGCGTTCGAGTGAAAGTGAGAATGGATCGTCTGTAGCATACCTTCAACAGGAGCTGCTCGGCTCGTAGACCCGAACCCACCAATCTTCGCAGCGCCGCCAGCAGTAGCCGGCTTCTTCTGCTGACCGACCATTCCAAAGCCGAGTTTTCTGACACCCATCCCTAGTCTTTCCATTTCGCTGTCGCTCCTTTCTCTAGGCTTTGGGTTGCCGAATGTGCCAGCCCTCGAGCCTGGGCTCATAGGCGTGGGCTGGTGGATAGTGCTCGCTTCTGCTCCGGGTTGTTTCGCAGCGATGGAAGCTTCTGAAGGAGTGACATCGTCCGGATCATAGCCCAGTTTCGCCTTCCTCTCTTCTTCCTCTCTTGCCTTCTTCTCCGCCTCATCGAAGTCCAGAGCCGACGCATCGACTTTCTTGGCTCCCAGTTTGGTCTTTTTAGCGCCGAGAATGTTAGCCTTGGGTTTTGAAGCCACAGCAGTCTTTCTCGCGGCGCTGGGGACAGCTCTGCTCGCAGCAGGCTTGACTTCCTCGCTGCCGGTAGGGTTTAGCGGACTCTTGGGCCTTGCGGCCATGCCGTTTCCATTCGCAGCTCCAGGGTTCAAGAAGGGACTCGCCCTCCCTGCCTGGCTCGGCGTGCCTGTCCTGCTTGGAGGGTTCGAAGCCCTCTTCACGGCGGGCTTGTCCCAACTGCTGAAGAAGTCGTCTTCACTTGCCGCGGGCGTGCTTGTCCCACTTCCCGAGCCTTCCTCGCCCGGTTCGTCCTCAATTACGATGCCATCGGGGTTTCTCTTGTGGTCCGCCTCGACTCGTCGCTGAAGCTCCTCCTTGTACTTCACCGCCGCATTGGACGTGTACTTCGTCTTGGGATCCTTGCTGTTCAAGGCCGCGCTGCCGCCATTTCGCTGAAAGAAGGTTTTGGCCGACTCGTTGCCACCGACCTTCATGCGTCGCAGCTGCTCCCACTGCCATTGATCGAGATTCGTGGAGCGCACAAACGAAATGTGAACGCCCAAATTACGGTGGTGGGCGGAACAGTCGAGACATAGGTAGATGCCAAAGGGCACCGACGACCAGGTGGGATTCTTACCGCCGCAGTCGAAGCAGATTTTGTTGGGAGCACGGCGCTTGAGCTGCTCGAAGATGCGCTGCGACTCGCTTTTGGGCGCGAGTGACTGAGACATGGTGGGAGGTGGGAGGTGGGAGCGGCGTCAATGCCCGGAGGCGACAGCGGTACTGTGCTGCTGGTCTCTCTCGCGCGAATGCCGTCCGGTCGGGAGAACGGAGATCTGGCCAGGTGTAGACGGGCAATTGGAAATGTGGTCGGAATGCGAATATATGAGTAGCGTAGTGTACTGTATGCACTCGGCGGGGATGTCCATCCCTGTTGATGGAGGATCGTCCCGGCTGAAAGTTGTTGTTTCTAGGGAGCACGTGATCCATGACATATATACATCACTTGCTGACTTCTATTACCTACATGTAACTGCAAGTTCAACTGCTCATGTCAATCACGCAGCTTTCCGCGAGCTATACCGATAGCCAGAAGCATATCAACGCGCAACATGATGGCGGCTAACCCATTGTGCAATGCTCTGAGAAATTTGACTCTCATACTTCGAGTAGATAGATCCCTCACCCCAACGCTCATTACAGAGTCACATAGGGAGGTCATAGAGATCGAACAGTGAAGACTATTCGCTTGGTCAAGATATTTCTGGTGTGGAATCTCAATTCGCCGAATACAATTGCTCGCAGTTCACATTCCCCTATTTCCCTTTCATGCCATCCGGCACGCCATGGTTGTACTTATGCAGAAGGCGTCAGCGCTATACCGCCGAAGCATTGTGAAAGGCAGGCTGGCTTTCAAGCAGCTGTCCAACGAGGCAGTGCCGAAGGGTAAGGTTGTGTATGATATTCGATGGACCTTGGCGTGCAACTTCGTCCTGTTCCATTGATCAAAGATGCTAGCCGAAGAGCTTGGAGGGGTTTGTCCTTTGGCGTTGCCGTTCGTTTTTCACTTTTGGGAACAGCTTGCTCTTCTTCTTTTGCTTCTTCTTCCACGGAGCTCATGTTCTCTCTAGCTTCGCTATTAACAGCAAGACTGTGAGATGCACTCTCGCGATCGAGCTCTGTCTTAGGCGCGATATTTCTACCGGAAATGTGTTGAAGTATTTCAAGGCATTGCTGTAGCGCTTGAAGATGGTTGACCTGGACACTGGGCATGTCACGCACAACTTGAGTCTTCAGATCAGCGAGCCAACGCTGGCTAAGGCCGAGGTTGGCTGGGGGTGGTAATGAGCAGGACTCCGGGTTGTTGAGTAAAGTGACTAGATCCATTTGCACCTGATCTGAGGCCGCGATATTGGATGGAACTGCGGTCTCTGCGGTGTCCGACATCAGACCTGCATGACTGGTCGGGTCTGACGCGTGAATGGAGTGGCCCATCACGGTGTTCGTAGAAGTGGTATCTGGGCAGGAGTCTGGTCCTTGAACAATGGAAAGCAATAGATCCATTCCTGGCCACTCGACACACGGCACAAGAGTCTTATGCAGGTGGGCGGCAGCTACTTCCGAACGCTTAGCCTTACACAGTACTATACTGAGCCTGTGATGACGAGTCAAGCAATCCCATACGTGAGCCCCGCGAAGAAGTGGCAAAGTCTTCAGTAGTTCATTTGGGACTCTGACCGATGTCCTCCAGCTTCGACATTCGGCCAGCGAAAGATGGCCCATAAGTTCACTCAAGCACTTAGTCGTCCCATTGGCTTGGGAATTGTCGTTACAACCGGTGTAGAACTGGAAGAAGCGGTGTTTGGCTGCTTCGAGATGGCAAAGAATTTGTCTCGAACTTACCATGTCACGCTGGAGATCGCCAGCAAGAGAATCATATATGTCTAAGTACATACGCATCATCGCGACAAGCAGCATCGATTCTTCGCCTGGGCGACTTTTCAACAACTCGTGAGTGAAAGTGTCGAGCTCGTGATCAAGCGGATCCCCAGCAGAGTGGCCATGAGAATCGTCCGATAAGGAGCAGAGCTGGCTTACGACAGCAACCAACGATTCGAGGAATGGATGGAGTGCACCCGACTGAGAGAGTACTGGACGGGCACCGGTGTCCGGAGAGCCCGTCCTAGTTTGGAACATTCGTCCCGTGATGTAGTGAGTGACACGATACGCTGGCATGTAGGAGCAAACCTCGGCAAGTAGTCCAGTATCAGATTTGTGCACGCCACCGCTTGTTGACATATCGAGAGCTGCAATCCACACATCGTCATTCAGATCCCAGCCCCTGAGAATAGCCTGGTAGGAGCAACAGCAAGAGTACTCGGCTTCGAATACTGTAATGAGTTCCTGGCACTTGCGGAAGGCTATATCCGTCATCTTCGATACCGCAATGAAGCTGATCTCGCCCACATTGAAACCTCGCCATATCTTCTTCACCCAGAGTCGTGTCTCGGAAAGGTCAGATAGAAGACTAAAGATGGCTGGAATGTCTTTTATGCAGACCTTTGGACGTCCTGCCGCTAACCCTGGGCCACAGGGGATTGAATTCTCAGTAGCGCTTTCGTAGTCGTCGCCACAGTCGTGCACCGAAGACTCCGAGGAACTAGTCGAGGTAACATGGCGGGATTCCGAATTCAACTGAAGGAACGCTAATACATTTTCATGTACCGTCAAAGCGTGACGGTGACTGTCGTTTTTTTGCGCTATTTCGGGGGATGGATTCACTGCATAGGCCCGGAGGTGACACTCATGGGTTTCTCGACGACCAGCAACGATCACCTGGACCGCAGAGATTATCTCGATTGGAACCACGATTGATGGATTGGAGGAATTGACGATACTTTGTGCTACCTTCTCGAGCTGAGTGAGAGTCAATTTACGGCGTACATTCGTGAGATCGACCGATCTACAATTGACTAGTTTTCCCGTTTTAATTAGCCAATTTGTGAGAACCGTACCGCATCTTTTGTAGGCACCGTCGTCGATTGTGCGGTCGTTGAGCATGGCCTGAAGATAGGGGCCCGGCAGCTCCGTTGGTTGCTTCCCTCGGTGCCCCCATGGTCGTGGTCCGGAATGCATGGGCTAGGTGTATGGTCAATCGTTAGGTCCAGTGCGTTGAGTCAATGTAATTGGGAAGATCGACGTGTGAGTAAGGCCTAGGAGTTGTGTATCAAGCTTGGCTGGCCAGCAGTGCGAGCATAGACATGTTGAATCAGGAATAGATGAGATATGATGCAAGGAAGCCGGCTCCAAATATGACCGAAAAGTAATTATGCAGAGTCCAGCTCCAGAGAGAATAACAATGTAGCGTAGTAAGTAGTATGCAGAGTCCAGCTCGCTCCGAAGTAAATGATTTGGACTTGGTCAAAAACGCAGGGCTGCAGCATTTATTAAAGATCCAGCACCCCACCTACCACGCCGTACGCATACGTTGCCTAAGATGCCAAGCTACTGCTCGACACGATGTCTAGGTCATCGTGGCCGCTTGAAAGCTCGTGCGTAACTTTGTCTGTGGACACTTATGTAGAACACGATGGCGAAAACAATGGTCGATTGTGTAGCAGATTTGTTTGTCCCATCTCGACAGCTCGTGAAAAGGTCTCTGTTCACCCAGCTTCATACAGCATTGACCGAATTGCTCATCAGATGGGCGGTGTTTCATTCGAAGTCGAACGAGTCAAATTTTGTCTCTGTATGTCTCATTCACGAACGGAAGTCATGCGCCCCGATGGTTCGGTCCAAGTCCAGCTCGCATTCAATAACCAAGGCGTTATGGAAGTCTTTAGGAGACATATCATGTCTGACATCAAAGTACTGGACAGCGTCGTGTAAACGGGTACAACGGAACAGCAGTATGTAGATTTCGGCACAGCTATGGCATTCACTGCGAAACCACTCGAGATCGATGGAGCCTGGCATTGGCGAACGAGAACTTTTCGAAAGCGCGTAGCAATCGAGACCAATTCATCGTATCTTGTATAAGCAAGGCTTCAAAGTCTTTGCCTCATCATCTGTTGCAACATCCTCATCTTCTTTGTTATCTTCGTCCAGGAACTTAGCTTTCTTGAAGCGGGGCTTTTCTGTCTTCTTCTCATCTTCAGTCTTGTTCTTGCCCTTAGTAGCAGGCGCCCCCTTCACGAACTCCATCTTCACAAACATCTTGTTCCCCAGATCGATCGAACTGTCTCCACTCTTCAGCACGAACCCTCTCCTTCTCAAGACTTCGACGAAGGATGAGACATCGGTCTCTTGTTGATTGGCAGCGGGAGCGGTTTCAGCGCCATCCACCACAACCGCGAGTGTCTCTTGCTCGTTAACTTCTTCTTGCTCCGCAGCCTCCTTGGCCTTCTTTTTCTGCAGGATAGCTTGTTTCCTCTTGCCTCCTACGCTATGCTCGACCACTTTGCTACTCTTACCGACACGTCCAAATCTCGATTTGATCTCAGCGATCCAGAGTTCACCCTTCCAGTGCAGAATCCGATAGGCCTCCTCGATGAAAGATATCCAATTCGTGCCCATCAGTGCTAAGCAGAAGATTGCAATGTCCGCGCTGCCATCATCTGCTGGTAGTGAAGATATATCGGCTTTTGTGACAAGTGGACTTGGTGAATGTAGATCGTAGCTCAAGATTCGTAAGTTCAGCTTCGTGATGTCGCCGGAGTCGGTCAGTGTCTGTGCAAAACGAGCATCTCCACATCCTAGGTCGGCTATAATGCTGACGCCTTGCGTTCGCGGGAGGGCAGCGACACGACCTTCGCTCTCTGCTTTGATGCGTTCGGCAACATCGGTGTGCTTGATCTTGCCGTCCTTTTTCTGGAAAGCTTTCTTTTGGGAGGGAAGTCTTACTGCTCCACGCGCTCGGATTGTAGCAATGAAAGTGTCGACAGGATTTGAAGGCCATGTCGTTACTTGCTGCCGGAAACCAGAATGGTAGTCCTCGAACATTTCGGGGTTCTGATCAAATAGGTCGAGAGCTTTGGAGGATGGTTCAGTGTACAAAGTCTCATTGAGGTGTCGAAAGCGGGCGGAGATAAGTTTCTGGCGCATAGCTGCTTGCATTGGTGTAAGCTTAGTGCCAGCTGGTACAGTAGGTGGTCTCGCATGCGCTGCCGATGTTGCTGCTGTCGTCCCATTCACTTGGCCTAGAGTGGCTTCACCTTTGCCACCATTCTGTTTGTCCTTCTTCCGATCCCTACTGCGCTTCTTGGCCTTTTTCTTCTCCGCACCCGCATCTGCTGAAGTCTCCTCTGTTGTCTCATCTGCGTTCTTCACAATCTTTGGTTGCGTATCCTTCTGTTCCAGGTCCAATCCCTTCTTCGCCTTCTTTGCTTTCTTGGTCTCCTTTCCTTCGATATACTTTTCCCATTTTTCTCCCAGTTCAGCATCCACCTTCTTTGCCTTCAGTTCCTCTGCTTCTTCCCTTTTGCGCTTTCTAGTCTGCTTTTCAGCATTCTCTGCTGCTGCGGCTGCCTCTTTCGCGCTGGCCTTTTTGCCTTTGATCACTTCTGTCTGAGGCTTCAGCGCCGTGACGTCCACGTTCCATCCTTTTACCGCGAACATTGTGAAGTTTGTGTATGTTCGAGATGAAGCCCACGAAATTTATCACATTTACCGTGAGAAGAGCGGAGGAGGTCCGGTCCTCGCCGTCCCGTCCCGTCCCGTCCTCTCCCATCTCCCGTCCTCACGACGACCCCTCCTCTTCTTTCCGATTTTATCACCACGACAAAGTACATGAAGCGATTGAAAGTCTGATAGTAGAAAGACATGCGCAAGAGCTTGTCGAAGTTCGTGAAAGAAGTCAAGAAGCCGAACGTCCAGCAGCATTATCCTGCGTACCATCAACCGGCTGTTCCTCCCAGACCAGCCAATATGGCAACTGTTCCCACAGACTATCCTCGCCCAGACTTTGTCCGCTCAGCTCTCCATTGGGAGAGTCTCAACGGGCCATGGGACTTCCTCTTCGATGACCTCGACGAGGGCCAAGCCAAAGCATTCCACCTGCAAGGCTTGCCTTCTCACGCAGCAGCGGAGGGCAAGCCTAATGCGAAGAGGACTATCCAGGTTCCCTTCGTGTTCCAGGCTCCCGCCTCTGGCATCCATGAAAAGGGTGTTCATCAGGTGCTTTGGTACGAACGCCGCATTGAAGACTTGCGAAGTGCCGAAGAGAAAGCCAATGGCTTCCGACTCCTGCTTCGATTTGGCGCTGTAGACTACCATGCCAAGGTGTGGCTCGATGGTCGATATACTGGCGAGCACAGTGGAGGGCACGTGCCTTTCGATGTAGACCTTACAGATGCACTTGCTACGTCTACTATGACTGCAAGTCGACTGACGATCAGAGTCTTCGACTCGGCGTATGGTATGTTCTGTAGAAGATCCTTCTCGGTTCATGCACATGAGATGGCGAGAGCGCGAAGATCGAGACTCCTGCCCCACTAAGTCTGCAGTACTGAGCTTTCACAGATCTTACACAGCCGCGAGGGAAGCAGTACTGGGGCCCAGAGCCCGAGAGCATTTTCTACACGCCGTCCAGCGGTATTTGGCAATCCGTGTGGCTCGAAAGTGTGCCTCCAGCGCGTCTTGTGGACGGCAGCTACGGCACCATTCTAAACCCCACGAGCATCGAACGGGGCGTATTAGACGCACGCGTATGCACGTCTGGAAGAAGACTGGGTCAGCCTCTGACCATTGAAGTGGAAAGCAGCATTGGGGGTGTCATGATAGGAAGAGAACGCAAAGAACTGCCACGAGATGAAGATTTCGCTCGCTTCGAGAATCTCAATATGCGCCTTTCCGCTGAACATTTTCAAGTACTTCCAGCAGAATTCACCAGAGTCGCTCCGCCGTCTGATACGCGCTGCTGGCGAAACGGCGTCGCGCTCTGGTCTCCACAATGTCCCTTGCTCTACGACATCAGCATTCGTATACTTGATCCTACTGGCAGACTGCTCGACGAGGTACGCACGACCACCGGCATGCGCTCGCTGAGCTGGGACAACGGTAACGGAACCTTTACACTCAACGGTCGACCTTTATTTCAAGCTCTTTTACTCGATCAAGGCTACTGGCCGGAGACTCTGATGACGCCTCCTTCATCTGAAGCACTGAAGAAAGACATCGAGCTCAGCAAAGCCATGGGATTCAATGGATGTCGGAAGCATGAGAAAGTAGAAGATCCCGTGTAAGCGCTTCATTTTGGCAACAAACAACAAATGCCCTGCTAACAACCCGATGTCATAGCTTCTTCTACTGGGCCGACCGCCTCGGCTTCCTCGTCTGGGGTGAAATGGCCAGTTGCTACAACTTCAGCATCGAAATGATGCGACGCTTCGATCAAGAATGGATGGCGATGATGAGGAGAGACATCAACCACCCTTCCATCATCACTTGGACCCTGGTGAACGAAAGCTGGGGATATGACTTGGGAGGAGGAGACGTGCGACAGCGAAACCACATTCGCAGTCTCTACTACCAAACGAAGAGCCTCGACCCCACGAGAGCAATCAACGACAATTGCGGCTGGGAACACGTCCAGACCGATCTGTCGACGTTTCACGATTATGCCGATGCAAACGGGATGCGAGAGCGATGCCAATCGTTGAAAGAAATCATCGGAAGAGGAAGAGCAATGTTTCTGAGTAAGTTTTCCACCACCATACCTAATAATCATATTCACACCACTTCCCCCCCTCTTCTTCCTTCTCCCCTCTATCCATCCAGCCTAAACCTTCTCCCCTCTCCCTACTCAAAAACAACAACAGATCCCATCTACGGCCCCTCCCACCGCCTCCTCGACCCAGGCTCCAGCCACATCTCCGGCGCCCCCGTCCTCTGCACCGAATTCGGCGGTATCAACATCTCCTCCCCCACCACCAACAACGCCAACGACCCATCATCCCGAAAATCCAACTGGGGCTACACCACCGCGCGCGACGCCGCAGATTTACTCCATCGCATCGACGACATGATCATGGCGACGGTCGAGCAGGGTCACGTGTGCGGGATTGTGTGGACGCAATTTACGGATATTGAGCAGGAACAGAATGGATTGTATACGTATGATCGACGGGAGAAGGTGGCTGCGGGGGAAATGCGCAAGGTGATGCAGAAGGCGGAGAGGAAGTATTTTGAACGACTGTTGGGGTGATGCGTGATTTTAGTAAGAGAGAGACGGAAGAAATGGAAAAAGGAAAAGAAAAGAGGGGCAAAAAAGAAAAAAAGAAAAAGAAAAAGAAAAAAATGGGCAGAGAAATAGGAAACGAGGAAAGAGGAGAAAACAAAAAGGCCGGAAAAGAGGATGATGGAAAATGAAAGGATGTAATGAATTGGTATAAGCAGGAACATAGAATGGTAGGTATGTAAAGGTATCGGTCGATTCACAATGGCCCGGCCAATGAATCCATCCCGACTGTTCATTTCTCCGTCCGTAATATTCACATTACAACATAAAGTCGTACCCGTTCATCATCACAAATCACCCCTCCAGTCGTGCCATGCTTCCCCATTCCAAATCGAGATGGTTCCGCAAGCCCATCACCCATCGCCTTGCAAAGAGCTTTTTGTGTTTGCAAACCCATCGACATGCACGCGAAAAGTGGGGGGAAGCCCTCGCAGCTACCTCGTTTCCAGACTAGGCAAAAACATTCTTCCCTTGGTCCTCATTCCAATCTCAAAGATGCCGGCCTCACAAGCCGCCCACAGAGTGTGCCCATCAGGACTGATAGCCAACCCAGCAGTCCTAACTCCAATCTCCCTTCCTGTAGGATTACCCCAGTTTCTCATTTGGCTCCGCCGAATCACTCCTTCATACCCATCTGGGTACGCCGCAGCGGCAGATCGTGAAGCACGAGCTTCAGCCATCGTCAACGCACGTTGTTCCGCAGCTGCACTACTGCTGCTACCATTTCCAGCAAGTCGGGAAGCACGCCATCGCTCTCGGTTTCTAGCCGCCGAAGCCGCGATTCGATGTTGGATGTGGAGGTCGTTTTGTAGGGACTCGTACCGTTCTCGGCGTGCCTCACGTTCTGCATCATGATCTCGCTCTGCGGGGAAAGGAGACGTTGCGGTAGCCCTCGCCGAAGTCTCGAATAGTGGTCCCCGGCCCATGTGCTCTTCAATGGTTGTCCAGGGATTCTCGTCGTTGCTTTCGGGTACGCGATCGGCACGCGGTCCACCTTGCTGCCTGCCTGGAGACCGGGCCGAGTCGCCTGCCGATAAACCGGCTGCTGCTCGCGTGCGATCTGCACTCGGAGGCAAGACTGTACCAGGTGGCAGAGGCGGCAGGCCGCTACTGCCGCTATTCCAAGCAGCGAGCGCATCTCGCATTGCTGCGAGAGGCGGCAGTGAGTCGTCGTCGTCATCATCCTCCGTGTGAGATGTCGTCGGTTGCGAATCCGTGGCATGGGTTCGCTCTAATGCAGGCATGGCTTCTTGCACTGAGCTCAGAATTTCGCTGATAGGTCGTGATGTCGAATCACTTGAAGGAGTGTCTCTCCCACTTCTTGCCGATGATCCCGAGTGTGCGAACATGTCAGGTGTTGTGTAATTTACCGATCTCGGTATCTGGCCATTTGACCGCGCCTCCTCTCGTTGTCGTGTTGTGCGCAGCGTTTCCAAGATTTGTTGCTCTCGTGCCGTCAATCCTTGTGGGTCGTTCTCCATCGCCTCAGCCGCCGTGAGACGTGCGCGAGTATTGGCCTGTGTGATTTGCTGTCGTGCAGCGGCCAGAGCTTGTCGATGCTCTCGTTGTCGTCTTCTCGCCTCAATATATTCCGTGGCAAAGTTGACAGCGCTCGCATTGTTAGGCGCAGCTCGGTACCTCCTTAACAAATCCGCTTCGAGATCATCCAGGTGCGTGGGAAGCGCAAGACATGGCAACGCTGCATCTTCTGGATCGAGAATCTCCATTTCATATCGCCGCATTGCTTCATCCTTGGGCTCGAGCTCAATGATTTGCCGGCTTTTCAGGCCTGTTCTCAGATCGCCCACGCATATCCTCCCCTGATCTTCGCTCCAGATCAACAGATCCCAAGGGTCAGGACTGAAGACCATACTCCTAATGGCTCCTGGATGCGGACTGGGAAAGTCCGCTCGGCTTCCAGCCACAACTGCAACCACAGCTTCGTCCCGATTGTCTTCGTCCAATTCGTCATCTTCCAGCATGTGTCGGTCGATGATGGTGATGTAGCCGCCCTCACTTCCTACAGCAACCAAACTCGCGCTCGAATTCCATGCGGTCGTAAAGTATCCCACAGTCATCTCTGGCGCGCTGACGTGCAACGTTACCTTGCATATTCGCTTCCACTCAATGCTCGCGCTCGTGAGTCGATTGTGCGGCTTCGGTATTTGCGGGGGGTCATCCGTGATCCGCCGCCTGTAGAAATGTGCCTGGTTGTAATCTCCCACGGCCACTAGTATTTGCCCGTCCGGTGAGATGGTCGCATGATTCACCGCAAACGGAATGCCCTTGCATCTTGTCTCCTGGCCCGAAGGCAGACTGTATATTCTCACCGTGCGATCGTTGTTCGTGAGCACGGCCACAATGTCGTCGAGGTGCGCATCTTCGTCCTGGATGCGGTGAATCGAAATGGAATTTACTATTTCGTCCCCAATCCGCTCCACCTTGACCGTAGGCGATCGGCGAGATACGTTGGGTCCCAGGCTCGACAGAGGCAGAGCAGAATCGACATCGAGTGCTCCGCTCAGCTTGATGGCGGCAAAGTGGCCCTCGTCCTCGCCGCCCACGCAAACATATCCGTGGCCAGAAGCAGTGCATCGTGCTTCAAAGGGCAGAGTAGCAATGTGTTTCCGCTTCTTCGTGGCGGTATTGAGGCAGAAGACGTGGTGAGCGCTCGCATAGTAGAGGTGGTCGGGCTCGGGTGCTGATATGTAGTGTCTCAGTTGCCAATGTCTGCAGTAGAAGTCTCCGTCAGCGCGCGCTTTCCCTCTCTGCTGCCTATCCCAGACAACATGATGGAAGAAGTCGACTGAACATACGACACTGGTATGGCGACCGGGTAGAAAGCCTTCTCCGTATGAGCGAGATCGTGCGTCTCCGGGAACCTGCGAGGAGAACACCTGATATCAGCCTAGCGCCCTTCCCTGCCTGCCCTCTGGCACAGTCTAGTCGAAGCTATCAAAACGCACGGGATACGATCGATGGCCATTCTGCCACTCCTCTGCGCCGGCGCGGGGATGGCGTAAGCGCCGGCCTCGTCGTCGTCGTCGTCGCGGTTTCCGTTGTCGTTATCGTTGTGGCTGTCGTTGTCGCCGTCGTCGTCCCCGTTCTCCCCGTTACTGTTGTCGTCTTCGTCGGCGCTTCCACCCCCTTCTCTTGCCCGATGCGTGTGCGTGTGCGCGTGCGCGGGAGTGTGATGCGGCGTGAAGGGCGAGATGGAGGGTGGGAGGGTAGGCAGGCGGGTTCGACACCGGCTCGTGGTCGCGCGTGGAGAGAGCTAGGTGCATGTAATGAGGTTGGAGGTGTACATATCAAGTGCATGTAGGGATTGTACAATAGTGGCAAGTGGGTAGGCAGGCAGACAGGCAGGCAGGCAGGCAGGGTAGGGTGTTGGTGGGTGGAAACTAGGGACGTACGTCACAGATGATTGGTACGGGACCGACAGGTATAAAGAAAGCTTGACCGGCAGCATGGCCATGGTCTGCTGGCCCTGCTCCAACCGGCATGCGGCATGCGCTTCTTCATGGAAATGGAAGTGAGACAAACTATCGAGTAGAGTGGCAACAAACAGTATACAACAACTTACGTGAAAACGTGGGAGTCAGAGTAGACGGTCATCTCATCATTGTCGTTGCCGCGGGCTGCTATTATCGACGCTGGCTACTACTCGCTTTTGGTATCTCAATGTCATGCTATCATATCTCATCATCATCATCTTCCTCCTCCTCCACAAGTGCCTTTGGGGTGGAAGCTGTCGATGAGTCGGAAGTGTCTGTCCGCATCAGGTCCTGAAGTAACCGGTGCGTGTTCCGGGTCTCGTACACTTGCCCTCGATTCGGCGGCTGCTGGTCGTCCACATCAGTACTCGTATGCACCAATTACCACTACCTGTGGGACAGGGGCATAAGCCATCTCACCTAACCAGTTTGAACCTTCTTGACGCATGCCTCTACCCTGGAAAAGAGAGGGTGGCTCTCCTCGAGACCAGTCAGCTTGATCGTCACCGCTTTCGCATCGTTCTCCTTCATGATCTTGGCCAGCTCGAACGACTCGTCGTCTCCCTTCACGTTCTGGAAGCGGAGTGCCTGCTCAATAGCACCAAGCAGGTTATCGACCTTTTCGTCGGCTTCAGCAAGGTGGGCAGCGGGACCGATAAAACGTTCCTTGCGCGAGAGCTTGCGGAGAGGTGCCCGACCGACACGTTCGACGTTGTCCTTGAGGACGGGGTTCGAGATGCGTTTGACCTAGTTACTCCAACGTCAGCACGAGTCTTCGAAAGGTCCGCCGTGTTCGAGCGCACGGTATTCTAGTGCGTCATGGTATTCGCGCGGAGATCAAGTGTGCTGTGACTTACGATATTTTGGACGTAGTCGTTCTGCTCCTCCTTGCTGATGTGGTTGTGCTTGGTGCAAATTAGGTGTGCAGTCTCCTCGAGAACACCCTGGACAATATCGTGAAGCTTCTTGTCCTCGAGAACCTCGTGGATGTACTGCTTGCCAGCCTGATGGCCGTAGTATGCGGCTGTGGCATGACTCGTGTTGACAGTGAAGAGCTTACGCTCAATGTATGGCTCTAGGTCTTCCACGAAGTGAACACCCTTGATCGCCGGTGGTTTTCCATTGAATGGTTTCTCCTCGACGCACCACTCGTAGAACTTCTCAATCTTGACGTTCAGGCCTGCGCCTTCGTCCTGGATTGGTACAATACGATCAATAGCCGAGTTTGCGAATGCTGCCTTGGGGGCAATGTTCTTGAGCGTTTCGGGCGAGAGCTTCTGCTCGATGAAGCCACGAAGCGTGTCTGTGGCACCAATCGCGTTCTCGCAGGCAATGACGGCGAGTGGACTGTCTGCTTTGCGAGCCTCAATACCCTTGGCAATGGGGTCTGCGATGAACTTAAGGACGTTGGGACCAACAGCACATGTGACGACGTCGGCAGTAGCAATCTCTTCGATGACCTTCTCCAGCTCATACTTGGAGTTGATTGCCCGGTAGTTGTCAATCGTGAACTTGTGCTCGCCGTCTGAGCCAATTTCTGTCACCTCATAGCTCTTCGTTTTCTGTAGTTGTTCAATGATGCTGTCCATGACGTCCACGAAGACGACCTCGTAGCCAGAGTTGTGCAGGAACTCGGCGACGAAGCCACGACCAATGTTGCCGCCACCGAAGTGAACTCCCTTGAGCCCCATGTTGACGATCGAGTGTGCGTGTGGACGATTTACGTGGCTGTGAGCGACTGTCAGATAACGGGGTCTGGATGAGACGCTGGCGGTCGTTCCAGCGAGAGGTTCGCGATGGAGTCCAAGTGCTTGGAACGTGTTCGGAGCGGAGGAGAGAGGGTATCTAGGTGGTAGGTATTGTGTGGACAGGAGGTGCAGCGAGCTTACCTAGCAGTGAGCTGAGCTCGTGCTTGTGCTTGTGCTGTGGTTGATGGCGGAATGGTGGAAAGTGGTGCGATGATGGCTGGAGGGGGAGAGTCGCTGGTTTGTGTTGGGTGAGGAGGAGGATGAGGTGGAGGAGGAGGAGGAGGAGGAGAACTTGGAAGGAGGAGAAAGAAGAGGCGTGAGACTTAAAGCCGTGATGGGAAGGTGAGGGCCTGGGCTGGTGATCTGAACTTGCTTTCCGTCTATTCACACTCTCGCAACATCTAGAAAGTCCGATGGCCCTGCAGTGTGTCTCTTCCCCACCTGGACACCCCCACTAGAACAAGGTAGCGGCTATGACCTACATGCACACTCTCAACGGGCTGCTTCTCATTTGCTATAGGGAGGGAGGATAGCCTCACATGGCCTGATCCGTTCCGAGCATCCTAGTCAGCCACGGTATGCATAATGCATTGCAGTTAGTGGTGCACCTCTCTACCTCTCTGTATAACATGTAAAATTGTCTGTCAATATTGTACCGTCCGAAAAGGGGAGTTGAGGTTCTTGAAATTACATCTAGGTACCTAGGTAGGTATGCACATGTAGGTACACGTAATTCGTCAAGTGGACATCAAATCGTCACACTACTATGAGAGATGACGGTCAGCACATGCACACCACAATCACTGTGATGTGTACAGGTACCTTGATCTTGTGGTTCACGGCATGACGTCGGGAGAAGACGACCCTGGAAATTCCCTCCGTCTTTTCCCTTCCCCGTGCTGCGGGTATCTATTAGATCGGAAGCCAATAGAGGGGTAGCCCAGCCAGGATGCCCGTTGCCGTGAATGCGTGCCCCTCGCTGCCTCGGGCGCAGCAACCTAATACTTTATGTTGCGACCACCTATTTTTCCCCCTATGACATAGGTATGTAGGAGGTAGGGAGGGATGCCTATGTGGTGTCAACGCCATTCCGTCACTGTCCAAAAGGACATTCCCACCTTTTTATGTACGGTCGGTCGAAACACATTATCCCACGGAGGCGTGGAGAAGGGAAATGGTGAAATTATGATGAAATACATGTAGGTATTATACAAGGGTGCTGTCAGCTGTGTGCTGTGCCCCGAGGAAATGGTAATCAGGCGTGTATTGCTTGCTACCACTCGTTAGCGTCGACCACGTGTTTTGATTGAGGTACACAACTTGCCTGCACGTGTGGATACACTGCAATCATGCGCTGATACAGCTCTCCATGCTGTTGAATCAACACTTGTGGATCCCACGCAGCCGCGACAAAGATGGTATCGATACCACTGTTCAGCGGGACCACGAAGCACCCGGTGACTTGGAGACCGATCAAAAATGCATAGAGCACAATGACGGCGGTGAAGGCGCCGCCCGAGTTGTACGCAGGGTCCGTGACATCCAGATATATATAGGCGACCAATGCACAGGTGACACCAACGAACAAGCAGCCCATCGACAAGACGGGACCCACCAGACATTCGTTAATCAACGCGTCGATGCCACGGTCCTTGATCATGCGCCAGGTTTCTTTGGCACTAGCAAAGTATGCCTTGCCATACAGGGAGATGTAACTGAAAGCATATCGGTTGATGAACTCCAGAGCCCATTGCACCAGCCCGAGGATACACTGCAGGAAGCAAAGGAAGATATCTGCGACCATATTTCCCGATCCTCCGGCCTGGTTGCGCGCGGCCGAGCAAGCGAAGCGCAGAAAGTCCAAAATTGCGACGAGAAGACTGCCGAGAGCGATGGAACCAAAGCTGTACGTCAAGGCTCTGCGCGCTGCTCCTCGAGTGGCGCCCTTGGATGGGTTGTTGGGCGCGAAATACCAACTGCCATACACGCCCGAGATGGTAGTGTGGATCACATTCTTGAGGAACTCTGTGATCCAGTATCCGGCGAAGGTCACGTAGACAATCAGGCCGATGACCGTGGCGCGACTGCAGGTTCCACCGGTGCTGCAAGCCGGATTGTTGTCGCTGGGCTGAAATCGAACATAGATGGCCACCAGGGTCGCAGCGAACCACGCAGCGAAGAGTGCTGCAGCGATGCCTCCCAGAAAGGACACCAAGTAGACATGCCCATGTTTGCGCGACACGTCTACGGCAGTCTGGAACAGGAGGACGGAAAAGGGGATTCGTTTGATCCAGCTGATGAAACAGAAGACGCTGAACACGGCAATCAGTAACCAGAGGGCGCCGCCCACCCACGATCTTCGGTAGAAGTAGTAGATGGCTGTGGCGAAGCTCATGACAATGTTCAGGATACCCGACACCCAGATGAACTGCTTGGTAAAGATGCGGGCCAGCGAGACGTAGCCATATCCAAGCACCAAGGCCGTCACCAGGACAAATGCAAACAGGACCAGGGTGTCGCCATTGAGAGAAAAGTCGTTGGTAGAGCCGGAGAAGCCGCCATTCGTGAAGCTGCTATGGCTGGCATATGCGCGCAGAGTATATGCAGAAATCGCAACGAATCCTCCAAAGACCAAGATGAGGAGAATTCCCGCCCAAGTCTACCACAATTTGGTCAGCATCTCTCGTCGCGTCGCGTACCTGTACCTCCGAACTACCCATTTTTACCACCACCGTACTGCACAGGCAATTCCACGTCCGACGCGCAACACTCACATCGTTCCATTTCGGTCGTTCGACTTTGAACTGCTGCTCAAAAGGCTTGCCTCCCTCATAGACATCATTATTGGGCGCGCCGTAATTATTGTTTCCTCCACCGTATGCCGCCCAATTCTGCTGCTGTTGCTGCTGCTGCATGCCATAGCTTTGATCATATTTCGGCGGCTGCTGCGTATAGCCCTGCGGCGGCGCTTGCTGCTCGTAGTAGTCGCGAGACTCGCCGTGTTGCGCCATTCGATTTTCGATGGACAGCGCCGCTGCTGCTGCTGTGGTTGTTATTGTCGCGGTTGTTGTTGTTGTCGTCGTCGTCGCAAAGCGAGAACTCAGACAAATCAAAGACAATACCTCCTACCAGTAAGGTAAGGTACATCACAGGTATTGACGTATCGTATGGCCTGGGCTCGATGGAAGACCCCAGAAAAAAGCCAGAGCCAGACATGGAAATTGCAAAAGCTTATCGGTCGATAATTATGGGGCCACAGCGCGAGAATCTTGGTCGCGGAGCTTGTTTTCTGGGACAGCGATGGAAAAATTGGAAATTACAACCGTTCACGTTTCAGTCTAGTGGAATTTTTGACAGAAACGTCGACCCACGCGCACCGCTTCAACTTTTTTTGATGGATTGCCACATTCTCCATATCATATCATAATATATCACGCCGTCATGTGTACACTACGACTACATGTATACTCATACGGATGCGCACATCAAGCAAGCAAGAGGAGCAGATAGATTCCAGCGCTCCCCTTTTTCAGTATGGATGATTCCATTCCGCTGTTCTTCACACAAAGATGGGATACGAACAAGAAGAAGTTCAACATCACAGTCGAGCCAACGACGCCCTATATATATATATATATACCGTACTCCGGCTACTTGCAAGCGCAGCAAGTAGACTGATCCAACCTTTCGCTCGCGGAAGAACTAATGATGCGTTACAACAAGAAGGAGAAGAGGAATGTCTCTTATACCAAACAGAGCGATGATGGGCCCCTGATACTGGCCAGCCAGCCAGCATGATGGCGTAATCGCCAGTCGACAAGATGGGTCAAGTCAATGTGCGTGGCTCGCCTAGAGAAAAGTCGAATCTCTGGTGGTCTATCTGGATCTGGGGTGAATGGAAAAAGTCTCAACAGTGTATTATTCGGCAAGGAGATTGTCTTTCGACGATTTATTTCCATTACAACCCTGACAAGATTGATATCTGAGTATTGCATGAGGAACCGGATATCGATTCGCTCAGCTGACCATCTATCTCACTGGCAAGTCTTCCGGAGGCGAGCCATCTTACCGCATGCTGTAACTTGGACTTCTACAGCCATCGTCAGATGCTGTAAGGGCATGAACACCATCAGTAGGTTTCTGGAACTGGATGGGCATGCACAACCAACCCAAAGCGCTTTGGTAACAACAGAAAGCCTTGCCGAAGGTGACAAACCATTTGTGCGACTGAGAGCAATGTCCTTCACGGCTAGCAGCCAACCGCAGGAAGTGGAACAACGACCAATACGTCATCAATGTCCAGTACATGTATGACAAAGATCCCGTATCCGCTCTTTTGTCAAACGGAGATATAACCACGTTGAGAACACTGATTGTGGCCGCCGGTACCCAGCTGGGACCCATCCAGTACATGGAGCGTAGTGGATATGCTTGAGTAAGGCATTATCTGGGCTGTCACACCTTCGGTAGAGTCGCCAACGCAGCCATGTTGTTGGTTGTGGGCTTGGTTGCGTGAGAGAGAGAGAGAGAGAGAGGCGTGTGGCACTATGTCAACGACAACAAAAGGATGGCCGCCCAGCACTCTCCGTTTGCGTCGTACGAATGACTGGCATATGCCAACCACGGTGTGAAGTCCAGCCTGGTCGGCCACATAGCCGATACTGTCCCGCCCAGTAGAATTTGCCGGGTTCGACGATCGGTAACGGGAGGAAACTCGGAACGGCCTTCATCCCGCAGCTGTACTCCTATATTAGAACTCCCTCCGCATGGTCGCTACCATGTGTGTCAGGTCATATCTCATTCCACTTCTCGCCAAGTGCTCTTTGTATACACCACCTCTTCGACCAGCTTCCTAGGTTGCCTGGACTCCCGCAAGGTACGCAGTATGGCTTCCATATCGTCGATTGGTCCAGTGCGACGATTCCCGGCAATAACAACTGGAAACGGCGAACGTGGCTCAACCCGCGGACAAGCATGGATCATAGAGAAATCATCTAGCAAGAATGACCAATGCATCCGAGTGTCGAGACGACGAACTTCGTCTCAGCCGCTCCTGCTGTCACCAATGTTTCTCAAGCCGTTCCACAGTTGAGCTATGCGAAGATAGCTAGCTAGCTCTTCGAAGAGGCAACGCAGAAAGCCGATAAACGCACTGCAGCGCCAAGCACGACTCGCCATTGAGAGCGTTGCCTTTCAAAGTCGGTGAAGGAACGGTCTGTTCATCGACCGCAGTGCGCTCGATGTTGCATCTGCGACTATGACGGGTTCAAAACATACAATGAGAGGCTTTGGTCCCAATTCCGCGAAGATACAGAAACGCTGCTTCGCACATGTCGACCCTCCAAGTCGAATATCGACTCCAATCACTGCATGGGCCCCAAATTACCATAGTTCAGCAGATCTGGCTGATAGGTGTTCATGGACTGGTCACCCAAGAAGTCGAACTCCCCCATGAAGAAATTGTCCACGGTGGTACCGTCCCAATTCGCCGACATGTCGAACAGGCTCTGGTCGAAAGTTGGCTGTGCCATAGTCACATGAGCGTTAGCAGGGACCGAGCCGGTAGGTTCCTGCATAGATGTCTTTCCCAATAGCGTCTCTGCACCATTCGCCACGGACACCAGCAAGTGCCGCGGGTGCATTCGCTTGGTGATCTTCTTTAGTACGGCAATTAAGTCTGTGACCAGTCCTCGAATTTCTGTGGTGTCAACACGGAGAGACCCGGCATATTTCGCGGAGACTTTCAGCACGAAAACGACAGCAAAAGCAATCATGACATCGAAATATGTGGGAAGGCCGTTGAGATGTCCTTGAATCTCCTCGTCATCTCGTACAGCGCTCAGAATGGCCGTCGCAGAAAGCAAAGCTTGATTCGCAAGCTCATCAATCTCGAGAGCGACATTTGGGGCCCGGAATTCCGGCTTGCCAATGCCCCGAAACGCCATCGAAAACAAATACAACCTTGCGAAATGGTAGTGCATCGTCACACCTTTGGCCGGGTAGTTGCCGACATAGCGATTTGCGTGTAGACGCTGTGCCCAGTCAATTCTGATCCTATCCAGGCTGATCGAGAACCTTCTGATGGGATCAATAGAGCTCAGCTCGAGGGGTCTTTCCACATCAACGCCGAACATCTGATATATATCGCTACCCACCGACCAAAACTGTACTTGTGATGCCAGTCGCAGATCATCTTCCACGGCATGTTCCGTTTCCAGAAACTGCAGTATAGCTCGAATCGAGTCGTCCTGCCGTGTCATGGGTGGCCTGCCGTACGCGACGGAAAAATGGTGATCGCAGATGAAGACAAGGTAATACAATCTAGTGCGAAGGTAATGGCTTCTCTCGCCCTGCAAAGCCCTGAAAATGCTTCTGTGAAGCTGGATTTCTGTCGATATTCGGACTGCTGCTCCAATGCAGGTCCACGAAATGCCGCTCAGCCAAAATGCGCCAATACACAGTCCCCTGATATCGTCTACTGTATTTCGCCTCGAGAACGTCTGTGCTGCTGCAATTGCGACGAACTCTTGGTAGCACTTTTCGAAATCGGGAGTGGCCAGATGCAGTGCTCCAACTGTGCAAATGGCAGCCAGCAAAAGAGGCGAATCTGCTCTCACCTCACTCAAGGTCTTGCGATCCCCGATGATGCGGTAAACGAAATGGTCCAGACGGTTCTGATAAATATCGAGGTACGCTTGTGCTTGCTTCTCGCCAATAATTTTGCGATTGATGATGTCCTGCTCCGAACGGTTCTGTTCCAGACCAGGAATGGTGACAATGGGCGAAATGATGGAACCCGGAATAGCAGCAGGTCCTGCGTCAGGATCCATCACCACGTCGTAGTCGTGGGGAGTGTGTTTTTCGGTATTTGGTGAAGCGTGAGCCTGCAGTGCTCTCGTGGGAGTCGGGCCGCTAGATGATGGAGCTTCTGCCACTGCCAGATCTTCGTCCTCGTCTAACGCGTTCTCGAGAAGGTTAGGCAAATTTATATGACTTCCCACGGTGCTGAGCGCAGATTCCAGGACTCGGATCTTGCGTTCCATCACCTCCTTCCACGTGGCATCACTCTCCAAGATCATCTGCAGACTGCGATTCACTGTGCACGACAAGCCTCGCTTTTTGCAACGTACACAAGGTGGCTGGCCGTCTCCTCTCATGTTACACTTGATCTTCTGCTTCCTGCAGGCCACGCACGCGGTGATCTTTCGAGTAATATCAGGGGGCTTGCGGTCACCAAACTGCTCTCGTAGCGCCATGAGTGCTGGCGCGGGAGAGCCCTCCATTGCGGTTCCCAGTAGGTGTGCGTGGGTCCTTTCTTATCACACTTGATCTGACACTTGACGACGCTATGTGCGGGCAACACGGCACCCTCCAGTCAGCTAATCACGGTATTCGACATGAGGACAATGATGCTGTCGGCAGTGCCGGAGCAGAATGCGCAGGTTGAGTGAGTACAGGTATGTATGTAGTCAGTGAATCAGGTATGGAGAAAGTTCAGACCTCAGCGGCTGGAAGAAGACGGGATGCGGTAGGTGGGGACGTCCACTGACCGCCGTTCCGTGGCTTCGGCCCGGGACGAGACGCTGCCGGCGAGACGAGAGCAATATCCCTGCTCTCTAGAGTCCAATGGTGTTGGGTGTCGGTCTGGCCAACGCCGACCATGACCCTCTCACAATAACGATCTCGATAACAGAACGACATCTCAACGCCAACGAGGTACTTGTTTGGCTGAGTTTGGTGCTCAGCTCGTCAGTCGACGGGGCAGCTTCCGCTTCAGTCATGCCTGTAGGCGGCCCATGGCGGTCAGTACCTACAGTACAGTATCCATATGACCAGCACTTGACCTCGCCATGTATCAGCATCAAAATGCATCACTTGATCGACCAGCTGGTGCAGCAGAAAATGCAACAATTGAGCCTTCTGCTCTGATGACTCTCGACTCGTTGTCATACGCCCATCGCCACTCGCAACCGTGAAGAAACCCCCACGAACTCTCTAGACTTCGACTCGTCCAGTACAGCCCCCGTCATAAACGTGGCTGGCTTGGCGCTGAGAACTTATCCAAACATGAGGTTGTGCAGTGGCACGCTGGCTGCGCCTTCTCGCTTGCTCGTGACATGGCTCTCGGGGCTCTCTTGTAGGAAGGGAGGGAGGGGGAGAGTGCTACATCTCGGCAAGTCCTTCCTTCGTCCACTCGGGGTACTCAAGACTCGTCCGCGGTATGCTCATCAAGTTCCTGATCCTGTCAGCCTCGCAGATTTCAATGACCACGACACACCCCCAAGACTCACCTATCCTCGATGTAACTGTCGATGGGCAGCGTTTCGAACTGCGACCTGTCACCAATAGATATGCCTCTGCTCTGAATCAGTCGACCATATGTCATCACTTGAGCCACAAACTGCTTCCGGTCAATCTTCCCATCCAGCCAGTCCACCATACTCATGACCTGCGAATTCTGAGTGTCAGTACATTGTACAGTCTCGGACATGTCGTGTTGTGTGGCGAGAGTTCTTACATCAAAAGCTGCTTGTGAAGTGGACGCCACTGTATGAGGCCGAAAGCCGAAGAGCGCATCGCCGACGAAGCATACCTTGTCAGACATGTACAGAGGCTTGGGTGATGCCACATCTGTGATGCATTGCACAAAAGGCGTCGTCGCTTTCTCGACCATCTCTGCCATCTGAGGCGGAAGTCGATCGCGGCCTCGTGATTTGATCATTTCCCATGCTTGAGGATCAATCATTCCGGGCGGAATGGTAATGCGACGCCGCCGACCATCCTTGTCCGTCATGACCTGCTCTAGCTCCGGCTCGCCTTCGGGAAAGTTGGAATACCACACGAAGTTCAACAGTCGCTCCCCTACTTCTGTACTGCCATTTTCGCCTGCAATAGTATATGTCAGGTTCTGGATGCCTTCGGTGTGATAGAAGCAGAACCTTTCTCGAAAGACGTCCAACGCGGATTGCGATGCTTGGGTCTCCGGGACTGTACCACGAATCACCACGTAACCAGCATATTTCCGCTCAATCTCAGGGTAGAACATGCGTCGAACCGTCGAGCTGGGCCCATCAGCAGCCACGAGAAATGCTGTCGTGAGCTCCTCTTCCACTTGAGAGCCATCTTCGTTCTTCTTGATAAACTTCACACGCACATGTGGACCTTCGTCTACGACCTCGGTCACAGTGCAGCCATATCTGTACTCAATCGTCCCATCCGAGGCGCGCTCTTCGGGTAGCTGATAACCTTTGAGGTAAGCGGAGTCGACCCGATCGTAATTTGCTCGTAGGAGGTAGTACGCAAGATCCCACGAAGTCATATTCTGTCTCTGCTCATTCTCATAGATGGTTTCCCCTTGCCGGTTCAGGTAAATTCGCTTATAACTCGGCACTGCAACAGGTTTTCCCGTGCGATCGTAGCGTTTGAAGAACTCGATCGTATCGCCGCCAGCAACAATTCCTGCCCCTTGGTTGTCCAGGAGATATTGCGGAGTCCTCTCCAGAATTGTCGCTATGTGTTGTCATTAGTTTCCTTTTGTGAAAGACTACCTATGCTTTTGACCTCGAAGCCGGCAAGTCCAACGCACTATTATAGCCATGAGACTTGAGAGCAACGCCTGCAAACAATCCTCCAAGACTTCCTCCAATCTAGGCTTGTTTGTCAATGTCTGGCCATCTACCTATAGTGGCTCGTCTTGCTTATGTACCTACTTACTATAACAACATGGGGCTTGGCGTGATGCATGATGTCTTTTGCACTACAACAGGCAGTTGTCTAGTAGATTCTTGACTTTCTGTTCCGGAGAAGACGTGAATTGGTACTACCTCAGTTATGGGATCTACTGTACATGTATCAGTCGCTTGCCCACAATAAAAGTCGTCATGAGCTGCGACGAACCGAACCCCACTCTCTTCTTCGAGAGCTTATTAACCGGACGAAGGGTTGAAGTACATGATGAGCCAACCAACTACAGGTAGGTATGCTTGGCACGATATCTTGTATGAAAAGAGGTACTCAGTCGTCAGTAGAAAACCTGTGATTCGTATGAATGTACTTCTATACCATCAAAGGTAGGTGGAAGAGTACCTACATGTACCTACCTTAGGCATTAATTCCCTGACCCGACCTACCTGATGCAAAAGGTGCGCCTGAGATGAAGCCCTATCCTCGTAAAAACGACGAGGACGCAAAATCCGGGCGTAAATAACTAAGATGCCCGTTGTGAGGTAAACGTAATATGCTGGTACACTCGTGCTTCATTTCTGATAATATCGCTGACGTTGTCGCTACATGTACCTGGTATGGATATTTCTGCATCGGTGGAAGCAGTCCAGCGAGATTACTAAGCAAGGACGAATCATTCTCCTCCTCTTATTCCTCCTCCGGGAACAGCTCAGTCGCATCTCTTTACAGGCCTCATCGAGCGTCGCACTGAAAGGCTCCTCCAACATGTTCTGCCCTTTGGAGGTACCTAGGAGAGGAGGGAGAGAGAGAATGTCCAAAAGGTCGATTGCAAAAAACATGGATTCGAGGCGATTATTCTAGGCCCGCGCATCGACCACCATCCATCCATCCATCCATACCAAACTTCTACTACAGAACGGCAAAGAGCCCGGTCTTTCTCAAACATCAATCTGGCGCCTGTTCCGAGATAAAATGGCCTTGACATCCTGGCATACACCTAGAACACTCAAAAAAATATGGATTGAATCTCGCAGATTTCTCGGTGGCCTCAAAAGGCGAGCGAGCACATTTGCCGCATTTACCGTCTATTTTTTTCCAAACTTCCCAGTATACGGATTGTCACGGAGGAGGTATGGCGGTACGTTGTTCTGTTCCAATTGACAAGAAGAAAAAGGACGATGGCAAGTACGAAATTATGATGGCGGTGACCATGACCCAACAAGAAGGTCCAACGGCTTAGCCATGCCAACCATCTATTCGTCCTCGATCCGGTCGGGGGTGCGCCACTAGGTCACTAGTCCTAGCCTCCAACCGCGAGGTTTGACTTTTGAGCCAACTCAATCATAACGGCGAGCCCGAATCGAGACCCTCATCACTCTTGTATGACGGTTGTTGGTAGTTGTTATTTTTTTCATGGAATTTCCGCGTGAGAGGAGCCACGCGACCTTCGCCACTGCGGAGAAAGAAGACGTTTTACTCCCCGCGCATGCTGCATGAAGTGTTTTTGTTATTCTATCACCACGAGTCTCCACTCGTCGAAACAGCCATCATCATGGGAACAACTAACATGTGATAAAGCTTTTGCTAGACGGTTTTGCGAAGAGGTACCTCGAGGTAAGGTACCTCCTATAATAATGACATGGAGAAAGTGTGGAGAAGATGAATGGAGAGTTTTCTGGGCGTGTTTTTGGCATGAAAGACAACGATTCTGACTAGAGAAGACCAGACCGCTGCCTGCAACCCTGACCGCCGCCTGCGACCCTGGCGACGTGAGACGACCTGCTGGTAGTGGTCGACCCTCTCTCTCTCTCAGCTAATAAGGTACAACTATGAAGTTATAATGGATTAGCCGCAACCCCATGTTTGCGCACGGCCTTCTGTAGGAGGGAGCTAGAACGATTGTACCGTGTGAGGAGTAGAACTAACTAGGCGGTAGGTCAGTAGGTACATGTATATAGGCTTTGGAAGGCCGTAGTGCAATACTACCTGGTAAGGTACCTAAGGTAGGTACGGTGCTTTTGCCGGGTCAGTACAACTGGGTCTTACCTCTAGTGTTTCTTTTATATGACCATCGTCCCCAGCTCTACCGACACTCAGCTCTGGATGCTGCAAGACTACAAGCAACCTAACTCAAACAACTATCGAATATAGTGCAAAAGACGTTCCCCGGACCCAAAGAAGTCCATACACAATTTTGCATCAAGCGCTCCAAAAAAACAAGGGCCCAAATCGACAACAATGAACAGCTTCAACAATCTATCAAACATAGACTGGTTGACACGATACTACTCCGAGTTCGACTATGCAGAAGAAGACAGAGAAAGTAGCGCAGACATCCACCCTCTCACACTCTCACCACAACTATTACATCTCGACACCAACGCCAAATCCGGTCAATCATCGCAGACACAAGCCCTGAAGAAGCCTTCTTCTTCTTCTTCTTCTTCTCCTCCTCCTCCTTCTTACTATTACAACGACCAATTCCGAAGAGCCAGTATAGCATCCAACATCTCCACCTCACCATCCACTTCACCTTCCACTTCAATAACATCGTCCTCAACAACAACATCTCGAGCCTCCACATCTCCACCACCACCACCACCAAGAACAACAACAACAACAACAAACACCATCTCCATCCCCTCCCCCTCTTCACGACAAGAACACTTCGAAAAAATCCACAACATGAGCTCCGCACCCTTTTGCAGTTCCTTTTCCGGAATTTTCGGTTTGACGACGGAATGTCTGGCGTGTGGGTTTCGATATGATGGCGTACATGATTTGGCCGAGCATCAGAGGATGGTGCATGGAGTGGCGGATGTAATTTTCTGAGGAAGAAAAAAGACATAAGAAGAAGAAGAAGAAGAAACGTGGTAATGAAGAGAAAAGGAAAGAAGACATGGGGGCGGGGAGAGAGAGAGAGAGAGAAAGAAAGAGAAAGAAACAAGAAAGGGTGGAAGGAGGGAAAGATGGATGAGAAGATGGGGAAGGAAGAGAGAAGAAGGAAGGAACGAGAAAGGGAGGGAGGGAGGGCAAAAAGAAAACAATAAGAGAAGGTGCCCAGGCAGGCAGGCGGGCAGGCGGGCGTTCTTTCTGGTTTTGTCTCTCTTTCTGGTTCTGGTGCTGATTATGATTCTGATACTGCTGCTGCTGATTCTGGCGATTGTAATATTGCAATATGGGGGGGGTGGACCTACCTTACCTTTCGCAAGAGATACCCGATGATTTTACTTTTGGGACAAGGTACATGTATACACTACGATGTACTACGACACATGAATGGCGACGAATTCAGTGAGCTTTGTGCGTGCAGAGCAACAGGAAGGAGAAAAACAGGAAAGGAATTTACTCAAATATCCCGGAAAAAGATAATACATAGTACAATTTTAGACACTATTCAGACTATTGGTACGACGATTTGGTGCTCCGTTCTGTGGTCCTGAGCTTTCGAGTTCGGTCCCCAACGCCTTTGCACATATGTACCGCCCTATTACCAAAAATCAAGTTTCCAGGAGCTGTCAGGAGAGTAAGGTACTACGATATGCCCATCATCACTCATAGAAATCATGCTACGTGCTGTCGATGCACTCGGTGCTTCCAAGGTGTTTGTTTACAGCTCGCGCTCGTTGCGGAACTTATCGACCATGGTATAGTCGAGCGTCGGGTGATCCTTGCGAGGCTTGTAGTGGTCCTGGACCAGTTCGCCCAGACGCTTCTCCATGGCATCACGACCGTCCTTGGTGTGCCACACGTAGTGAGGTGCCTTGTTGACGACGTCCCACGCGAGAAGTTTGCCAGTGATGTTGGTGAGATCACGCTGCTTGTCCGCCCATTTCTCATCAGTGCGGACATGGATGCCCGACGAGATGACCACCAGCGGTGTATCCTCTGCCTGAATCGTCCGAGCAGACGAGATCTCTTGTCGCGAAAAGGAATTGGCCACGAGGTTCTCCTGCAGCTTGGCCTTGATGAACTTGCCACCACTAAAGGCCTGCTTGCCATACACACGGTCATCTCGAGTCTGTCCACTGAAAATGGCACCGATGATGCGTCGAATGCCGAGCGGGCTGATGACGCCCCAGCCCCAAATCTGGAAGCCGCGAGTGGGAGATGCGAGCTGTGCCAGGTAATCCTCGTGCAGAGGATCAACCATCATGATGCCGACCACTTCGCGGAAGTTCCTCGCGCTGAAGATGCGAGAGACGATGCTGCCGTAGCCCGAGGAGACCAAAATCCACGGGCCTTCTTCACCTTGAATAGCCAGCGCCTCTGCGAGGTTGTCTGCAGACATACCAGCGCTGTGCGGCGAGGGCGCATTATCAGACCAAGCGTATCCGGGGCGATCCCAGTAGCAGTAGCGATCGATGGTCCCGTTCTGGTAGGCATTGTATGCCCAATGCTCGAAATCATACTCGACAGGATCCTCGCCCGACTCGAGCAGGATTGTGGGGGAGCTGTTACCCTTCTTATCTGTGGTCTTGTTACCAACACAAGCAAAGTGGACCTCGTATCTGCCGTCGTCGACACGAACACGATCGCCATCGTAGGCCAGACCGGCGTCCAGGCTACGGATAATCAGAGTGGCCAACATTAGGATGGCGATGAGGACAAAGACGACGAGGATGGTGGTTGATACGAAGACGGAGAGCCACTCCTGCAATGTTCGTCTGGTCTCCGCACGACCCGTGAGACGCTCTTCCTCCTCGCGTTTGGCCCATGCGACGACACGGTCCGTCGAGATACACCACACTGCCATGAGCGTCACCCATGCGACACTAGCAATTCCGGGAGCGCCCTCTTCGCCGCGCAATCGGGGGACGGAGACAATAATGATGAGGTTCACCAGCAACACCAATCCGAGCACGGCCTGAGTGACTCGCATTGCCAGACTGGGGGCGGAGAAGAACAGGAGGGAGTTGAGAAGGATGCCGGCAGCCAGAGTGGTGTAGGAGAAGTCGAAAAAGCCGGAACCTCTCGTGTGCAGACCGGGAGGCGACACGAAGGTGCTGACGAGCAGCAGCACCCACCATATGAATGTGAGCACCAGGAAGAGGACGGTGAGATATCTCATGAATCGGACAGTCCATAGGTTGTAGGGGGAGACCTGGATCAGTTAGCAGAGCCATCATATAGCCAACCCAGCCCAGCCCAGCCCAGCGGACATAGCATTCAGCATTGCAAGACTCACAGCTGGATCGTCAGGATCCAGGTAGCCATCGGAGTGTGGAGGACGTCTGTGGTCCGATGGCAGCAGCCTGTCTCTTTCCGTGGCTTCTTCCCTCATCCTGCCGTCGTCTTCGTCGAAGTCGCGCCCACTGGCCGGGTGACTGCGCTCTGCAGGAAGGTTGTCGTCGTCGTCTTTTTTCTTTGTTCCCCACAACGACATTGGCGTGGGAGAGGGAGCGTGTATGTGTATGTGTGCGTGAGAGAGAGGGGGGAATGGGGGAAGAGAGTGAGTGAGTGAGAGGGTGGTCAGAAAGCAGCTGCCTATGTACTCCGTAGCCGCAGATGTAGGTCAAGATGTAGTGTAGGTATACCTGGAATGGATCATAGGTAGAAGGTCACAATCAAGGACTTAGCTCCTAGAAGAACCTGGAGAAGAGAGGATGAAGACGTCATCTTGCCTGTCTGTGGCTTTGTCTTGTGGCACGAGCTCCAACTCTCTCATCTCACTTGAAAGTCTTGAGTCTAGAAGGATGGAGACGAGACTAACTGGAAGAAGGTCTATCTTGATCGCGCGAGTCATGAGTGGACATGTACTGTAACCTGAAGTCCTGAACCAAATTATCAAGGACATGGGCGCCAAGCCATACCACAACAGAAACACACACATCATGTAGGAAGCGTACTTCATCTGCCTTCAACATGTCCGAAGACAGTGCATCAGACTCATCCGCTTCGTCTACCGCCAGTGCTGCAACTGTCCGACCTTCTTCACGAGAACAAGCTGCTCCAATCATACACTGGACCAAGTATTTCCAGCAAGAACTGTACCTCGACCACCAGACAGAGACGACGCGCGCGAGATATCATGCCTACCTCACTCCCCCGACCGATACCAAGAAAGGGCCGTTGTTCATCTGTCATCATGGTGCCGGCGCATCAGCAATGTCCTTTGCCATGTTCGCCGAGAGTCTACGCCAGAGACTCCCCGCAGCCGGCATCCTCTCGCTCTCTGCTCGCGGTCACGGCTCGCTCGTCACCGATATCAGAACAGAAACAGAAGTCCTCGACTACTCCCTCGCTGCTCTGGTGGAAGATGCCGTGGCCCTGATCAGTCTCACATCTCAACAACAAAATTGGCCTAGCATCCCACCCGCCGTCCTCGTCGGGCACAGCCTGGGTGGCGCCGTAGTCACCACAATTGCCAACACGCATTTCAAATTATTCATGTCCAATCTCGTCGGCTACTGCGTCCTCGACGTCGTCGAAGGCTCCGCCATCGAAGCCCTCTCACACATGACCACCTACATCGCCTCGCGCCCGGCCACCTTTCGCAACATGGAAGAAGCCATCACCTGGCATACTCGCTCCCGCACCATTCGCGATCCCCGCAGCGCAAAAGCCTCTGTCCCCTCTCTCCTCATGCCATCGCCATCATCATCATCCTCATCCTCGAAAAAAGAAGAAAAAGAAGCAAACCTCCTCACCTGGAAAACCAACCTCTCATCCACACAACCCTGGTGGCAAGAATGGTTTCAGTCCCTCTCTTCCAAATTTCTCACCGGCCGCGGAGCCAAACTTCTCATTCTCGCGGGCACCGATCGCCTCGATAAACCGCTCATGATAGGACAAATGCAAGGCAAATTTCAATTGGTCGTGATTCCTGAAGCGGGTCATTTTGTGCATGAAGATGTTCCTGCGAAAACGGTGGACGTACTCGTTGAGTTTTGGAAGAGGAATGATCGGAGTAAGATGGTGTTGCCGCCGAAAGTGGACGATTTGTTGAAGATGGGGAAGAAGGTGTGAATTTCTTTTCTTTTTTTTTCGGATTGGTATAGGTAGGGTAGGTGTTGTGGGGAATGAGGTGCGAAAAGGAAAAAGGGAAAAAGAAAAAGAAATTCATGGCAAACAGAAGGGTACCTTGGATAGATGTGTACCTTGGCCTACCTACTTTATCTTATCTTACCTTACTTGTAGTAAGAATAAGACAGATTCTTCTTCTTCTTTCAATTCCCAATAGCTAAACCAATAATCATGACAGAGAAAGTAGGAGGTAGTCATTATCGGACTATCATAAGTGAATCTTATCACTTAATGTATGTTGTTACATCGAGCATACATACCTACCTGATGTATACTCTGCCAACCCCAAAAGCTGACTCTCTCTCTCTCTCTCTCTCTCTCTCTCCTCTCTCTGAGAGCAAGAAGAAGAAAAAAGCCTCTGAACCACCATCACCACGACAGTGGTAGCCACCACGAAGAAGGAGCCTTCAGGACTCCTCGCCAAAGAAAGACTGGCATTGCTCAACGCTCCCACAAGATCAAATCCACGACGACCACGAATGCTTTTCGTCATTATTATTATTAATAATAATAACAAGAAGAATGCAGCACCCTCGTCTAATACTGTTCATCCGGACATTCATATGCCAAATGTCCGTCCTTCTCACACAGCGCACACCACTTCTCCTCCTCTTCGTCCTTCTTCGCTCCGACAGCAACCTCGCTGCCCTGGCCCTTTGAATCGACCGGAGACACATTCTCTGCCAGTGGATCCAACTTGTCTTTATTGGATCCCTTGAGCAATCCTCCGAGGACCAAAGGTGCAGGCGCAGCGGACAAGTTGCGCGCATGCTTGAAATCGTCACGAGAGTCTGCACCAGATGCATCGACTGACTCGTGATTGCTCTGGAATTGATTGCAGTCCAACGTATCGTGGTCGGCAGATTCGCACATTTCGCAAAACAGAGGCGAGCGAAGAGAAGAGTCGGAAGGCTTACTACCGCTATCGTCGCCCGTCGTCCCGTTTGCAACGCCGCCGGTTCGGCGTGCATGCTCTGCAAACGTTTGCTTGATGGTGTCCGATCGTGCTCGTGTGGGCGCGGACTGAACAGGTGTTGCGGTCAGCTCGCTCTCGTTCCGGGCGTGGTGCCCGTTGCTCAGGGCATAGTCTCTACGGAGCTGCTCGAGCTCGTGCTCCAGGCCTTCCTTCTCCTTTTGACTCTCTTCAAGTGCCGATTTGAGCTTATCCATGTCGTCCAGGGCGGCGCCGTTCGGACTGTCCCCACTAGCCGGACTCGTGGAGAAGGAGTGTATGATTGCTTTCAACCCTCGAATCTCATCCTCCTTCTGCTCGAGCTCTTTCGGCGAGGTGCCTCCACCATTCGAAGCCATGACCGACGCCGCCTTTTCCCTTTCCCGTTTCAGCTCTGACCGACCTCTTTCCACCTCGCCGCGCAGAAACTCGACTTCGCCTCTTGCTTCAGCCTCGCCTCGCCTCGCATCTTCCAGTCCTTCTTCGAGTTCCTGGACAAAGTCCTCCAGCTGCTTAAGCTGCGTAGCCACGTCGTCGAACTCCTTCTTATTCTGGTTCAACTCCTCCAGCTCGCCCAGACGTTCCGATAGCTCTTGAACTTGCGCAATGAGATCCTGTTTTTGCTCTTCATACACGCGCTCCGTCTCCGAGCTGGCCATCTCCAACGAGTCTAGTGTGCTTCGGAAGTCCGCCCTATGCGCATCAAACTCTGCAGTCAGTATCTGGATCTTTTCATTCTTCTCCCTCAGCATTTGCCTCAATTGCGACGTATTGGCATCGTCATCGTCACGCATGAAAGGTGGTCCCCGGGATAGTTGTCCTTCGTTGGGCAGCAGAGCAGAAAGCTCCTTAACGCTGGCCTCCATATCCGAGAGGTTTGCCGCCTGTTCTGCGAGCCTCTTGTCGCGCTCAGCAAGCTCGGCGCGCAACTTGAGCACTTCCTCGTCTGACATGCCACTACCACTGCCCATACGTGATTGAGACCGCAAAGGCTGCGAGAAAGACTTGACCGAGCCTTGACTGCCATTTCTTCTGTCTGCCGATTTGGCAAGTCCTACTGGCGTTCTTTCCTCTTGTATATCATCTGGTCTGTAGCCCAGCCGCGAGCCGGCGCGCGAGTACGGTCGAGGCGTCGGCGCAGCGTTCGAGGCCCGTCCAGAGGTGGAAGCCTTCAAATTGGGCCTACTCGGTGTCGTTGCAGATCGGGTCCCCCGACCACTATTGGCCAAGGGGTTGCGAGCAGGGGTGGGCTGGAGATTGGGCGTCTGCCTCCTCAGCGGTGATTCAGGACGTGGAAGTGATGGTCTTCGGGGCTTGAGCTGTGGACTCTGTGATCTGGCGCCATGTCCCCCTACTGATTGTGAGAACTTCAGAGCGCCGCCGGGCCTAGTCCCATTGAGCCCAGTGCTGTATGACGGTGTCCCGGGTGTCGCGGGGAAGGAGTCTAGGGATATCGCAGGTGAATCTCGCTTCTCAGCGCGGTGTATAGGCAGAAAGATGCCTGCGCCGGGTATAGTGGTGTTAAAGTAGGAAAACCTGTATCACACATCAGCGGACGGGCTCCCCACCCACTGCCAGCATGGACGATAGCGTACCCATCCACGTCGCCATCATTCTTCCCTCTAGCAGCAAACTCCCTGTCCAGCTCGACGCCTACAAAGTGTCCGTTCTTGCCTCTGACACCGCCAACGTACTTGACGACGCCATACATGTCGCCAGGCACGTTGACCGTGTCACCCACTTCCAAGCTCTCTGCATCCATCCTGACCGGAGTGGTATTGTTGTTGTTATTGTTGGTGCTCTTCTGACCCGTTAGCGCCTGGTAGCTGGCCTTGCGCGAGGCGGCAGTGGCGGACGCGCGCAACGAGGGTGAAGACGCGGTCCCTATCGAAGGTCGCTGCAGACCACTGCGCGGTGTTTGTAGCGCCATTTTTCTCGTTTGCGGCCGGGCCTGGCCTGGCCTGCTGTCTGTATGCTTTGCTTCACAGCTGTCTCAAGAATCAGTAGCTGCGTGTGTTATTGGAAGAGTGAGTGGGCGGGATGCAGTGTAACAGTACCTACCTGTAGTGCACAAACACTGACGACCTCAAGGTTTACGGTCCGTACAACGGTAAATTGCTTCCCCTTCCCTTTTCTCCTGCATCAAGCGGGCCACTCTCGGTAATGATTGAGCACATCTCATATAATATAATCATATTTGCTAGAGAAGACACGCCGGTATCTCTTGCTGATCAACTCGCTCAATCCATCAACACAGCACAGTCGCATACCGGTATGTACTCCCGTATTTTATCTGCGGGCGACGACGCGAACCGCGATCGGTTTCGTTGTTCCCGGTGTATATCAGGTACATACCCTGCGGGCCTGCTATGGGTGCGGCATCGGATATCACGCGAGATAACGATCTGAAAACTAGCGCACGGACATTATACCATGCTTTGAGGCTTGAGCTCTGATACAATCTTGACCGGTAGACAGACGCCGTTGAACAGTTGAAGGCACTGAGGTACCGGTGAAACTCTTATGGCCATTGTCCACCCCAATGTGCCAAGGAAGCTCTCGAACCGCAAGACGGTGTACTTGATGACAACTTGGAAAGCTATGTTCTTCGAATTGGCTTTACATTCGGGTAGCAGGGTGTGGACTTGAAGTGTAAGATTTGCTCAGCTAGGTATATCAGGTACATTGTCTAGCTCGTTGAAGCACGTCCTGCAAAAAGAGACTCCTCCAGTTCCAAGCCACAAGCACCTGATACGCATCCACTCCGAATACATGTACCTTCGCATCTCTGTCCAGACGCTTCATGTATCAATCAAGATTTGATTGCCTCTACATCTTCGAATCCTCACTCCAGTGGCTCGAGTGGCTCTGGCAAGTCTTCGTAATCGTATCAGTATGGCTGTCAACGAGTTCAACATGCTAGATGTGCTCAGCGCGGACAAGGCGCTACGGTCCGAATGGGAGAGAAGCATATGTCACTGGAGCAAATACTCGAAAGTCGGATGTCGCCATTGCGCAAGTTGCTAGAACAGAACTTGCCAGCTGTGCTGTTTTCGAGAGGCATCCAAAATGAATACGATGAACGTAGCATTGGCAGTGGTCTTGTTGTCTGGTTTCGTGGGTGTCACTGCTCAGAGCTGATCTATAGCTATGACCAGCCTTCTTGAACTCCGTGCCGTAGCATTCGAGGTCAGAGAGCGTAGTCCATCCGCGAGCAAGAGTCTGGCTTCGATGCCGATGCTGTTTCTTTATCTCCTATGAATAGCAGTTGGCGGGGATTTCTTTTGAGGTCAACCCAGCTTCTCCATGCACGCTCGCAGACCTACTGTAGTGCAACCATCCATCTTCACGCCGTGTCTCGAATGCCGTCGAACCATCATGTCAGTCTGTTGTGTCCTTCACGAGGTATCTTACTGCGCAGCCATGACAGCATCGATAGCTTTGCAGACTGCCTTGCTCGTCGATCATGCTTGTTCAAGTGGGCGATTCGTCGTTGGCATTGCGCAACCGATGGTTATCACATGCTAGGAGGTAGGTATTGGACAAGCTGCAGCCTGCTACGCGCCACTATCTCGAGCCCGCACGTCTTGCATCCGCTTGATGCGATGCTGACGATGGCACTTCACCTCGCTGGTGGTCAGAGGTAAGTGGAAGCGGTGACAGGGCCGTCCAGTCACGATACGATGGCCAGCAAGGTATGAGCCTCTAGCGGAACAGGTCTCATCCAGTGCATGTGTCAACGGGGCTCATCTCACCACCAACCACCTCCTCTCACCGGCGCGGTCTCCTCTGACGTGTGCGAGTGAGACCAAAAGGGCCAAGGTGTCCCTCCTCGTCCTCGTGCGCAGGCAGGGCAGGGCAGGGCAGACATCATTCCTTCATGCGAACGCAATGCTGATCCTGCATGCAGACACTGGTTCTTGCAGTGTTAGTTGTACTGGAAAACTACCTTACCTTGCGGTACCTTCTGCAGTGCCACCGTGGTGCATCACGCCGTGTAACCAGGTGCCACTCGAGCATCCGAACATCACCTCCTCGACTCTGTACTCCCACATTTTCTTTCGAGCTTCATTGTTCTTCGCCCATGCTGGGTGGGAGCAGGAGAAGGAAGTCCTGTATGAGCTGTCATCTTCACGATTGCCGTGTCGCCGACCCTACATCCACCCGTAGTCCGTAGCCGGCGGTTTGGCGAAGTCTTGGTTGCGAGAGAAAGCTTGAGGAGCTGCGTGCTCTGGCCAATAAATGCCACCACCACCAACCTCGAGCTGTCGGTGAGCGCTCAACAGCGCACCGGGGCTAGTCACCGCTCCGCGCGTTTTGCATGTGCTGCTCGTCAGCATCGCTATCCGATGCAAGGACAGAAGGAAAATCATGCCGTAGGAGGGAGGTGTCCGGGCAGGGCGGGAAAACGACCTCGGTTTGGCCGTGCCATGGCGATTGGCAATGCTGGCCTGACTGACGGGTGGTCTCACCGGCATGGCCATGCCATGGCCTGGACAGCGACCGCGTCGGCCTCGCTTCCTCTACCTCCTACCTCCACCTCCAATAATACGGTACCTCCACCGTTCCACATAGTAGGTCAGGTAGTTCTGGAACTCGGCGTAGTTTCTGCTGCCCAGAAAGTCAATGGCAACTGCTGCCTATCGCCATCTGGTCATTCCAGGGATATGCATGGATCAGAGCTGGGCGATTGGATCCCGTCGCGTTTCTGGTACAGTACTGCGTTGTGCCGCTATCGACCGCAAATTTCGTTTCTATTAGTTGATGAGCCCCGCGCCTATCGTCCGACACACTCGCTGCTCGTATGATCATGATGGTATCGCCCGCTGTTCACCGCTCACGAGTCACCACCATCTCTTCGCACCTCGCTCGTCCCGGCCAGCAGCGAAACGAAACGAAAAAAAAGCTGGTCCGTCCCGGTCCTGGGATCGTGCCAATTTAATTCTGCCGTGGTATTATTATTATTTACTTCTCCGACGCACGAGGAACTTCCCTTCTTCACATCCCACACCTGTACATTCTCTCCCTCCCATTTAGCCGGTACTCGTGGGGGCTGAAGCGTGGCATCCCGACTCTTCGCGGCAGATCTACCCATTCAGACGGCTCCCGCCCACCGCTTTCCATTTCTGTTCGTAACATATTCTCGACTGGGCCTCGCATCCCACGCCATATACTGTTTCTGTCCACGACAGAAGACGACACCCGTCGACGGAGCGTTGCGATGGCGCCACCCGCTGCGATCGAGTCGCTCAGCGTGGAGGTCTATCCAGAAACAGACACAAGCGCCTTCACCATACCCGACCGCTTGACTGTAGAGAAAGTAGCAAAGCGGCGCGCCGCATCCGGCATTCTTGTAGCCGGAGTCGCTGCTCCCGCAGACTTGGACTCGTTCAAGGTATGCATGCTTCGGACTACAGACGTCAGTGTCTCGAGGTCACTGTGATCATGAACTGATTCCTGGATCAAGGGCAGGACAAGCCATTTGCATAAAGGTGTCGCCAGGAAGTGGGATCGTATGTAAAGTCGCAACACCGCGAGACCTGTCGACCAGTCGATGCTGACTGTTGACAGATCGCCTGACTCGCGAGACGACGACTCGAGGCGGCAGTTCATTGAAAGAGGCAGCCCACTACCTCAAGACCCCAGGCCTGATATCGCTTGGTGGAGGCCTTCCTTCTCCTGAGTATTTTCCCTTCCACGAAATCGATGTCAAAGTCCCCAGACCCGGCTACCTCGGCCAAGAACAAAATGGCCACGAAGAGGGCGAAATCATCTCAATGGGGATGCACGACATGCGCGAAGGAAAATCTGCTTTCGACTTGGCAACAGCATTGAACTATGGCCAAGGACACGGCGCTCCCCAGCTTCTACGATGGCTCGTGGAGCACACGGAGATTGTACATAACCCTCCCTACAAGGACTGGAGTTGCACCATGACTGTTGGCTCTACAGCAGCCTGGGACATGACACTGCGAATGTTCTGCAGACCGGGAGACTTTATCATTACTGAGCAATACTCCTTCCCAGCTGCCATTGAAACCGCGATACCAATGGGTGTTCGATGTGCAGCTGTCTCCATGGATGCTGGTGGTATGCTACCATCATCACTAGACGATCTCTTATCGAATTGGGACTCGGTACGGCGTGGAGGACCCAAGCCGTTCCTCGTATATACCGTGCCCACGGGGCAGAATCCCACGGGCTCGACACAATCCATTGAACGAAGACGACAGATATATGCCGTCTGCCAGAAGCATGACCTTTACATCTTCGAAGATGAGCCTTATTATTTCCTGCAGATGCAGCCTTATACCGGAGAGGACTCGTCCCCCGTACCTCCACCTCAGTCACACGCCGAATTCGTGGAATCTCTCGTTCCATCATTCCTGTCCATTGACGTCGATGGACGCGTAATGCGTGCCGACTCTTTCAGCAAAGTCATCTCACCCGGCTCACGAGTCGGTTGGATCACCGCTTCGGAACAAATTTGCGACCGGTTTCGAACACACGCCGATGTCTGCACACAAGGACCTTCTGGCTTCAGCCAGCTTATCTTGTTCAAGCTTCTGGACGAAACGTGGGGCCATCCCGGCTATCTGGACTGGCTCATGCACATCCGTCTCGAATATACAAAGCGTCGTAACGTGATGATGGCTGCGTGTGCGAAATATTTGCCGAAAGACATTGTGTCATGGACACCTCCTTCAGCGGGCATGTTCCACTGGCTGCAAGTGGATTATACCAAGCATCCTGCTTATTTGAATGGCACCAAAACACTGCACAAAATCGAAGAAGATATCTTCTTGGCATGCGTCCGGCATGGCACATTGTTGATGAAGGGCAGCTGGTTCTGTGCAGACAAGATTGAGAAGCGACACACGCTTTTCTTCCGTGCGACATACGCTGCTGCTCAGTTTGATCAGATCGATGAAGCGATCAAGAGATTTGGAAACGCAGTGCGTGATGAATTTGGAAGGCTTCCATATATAAATGGCGTCAATGGGCATGCCATTAATGGGCATTCCATGAACGGACATGCAACCAACGGATATGTTACAAAGGGACATGATACGAATGGACACCTTCACGGGCACTCCAATGGCGAACTCAATGGCCACGTTAATGGCATGACGAATGGGGACTCGAACGGGACGAATGACTACGCCAACGGGAGGCATTGATGGAAGCGTACCTGAGTCCAGCACAGCAGTTCGACAGAGAGCTCTCGTATTTCCTACGCCACTCCACAGGATTAGCAGGAAAAATTTGGACATTTGGATGACTGTTTGACGCCTGGACGCTTGAAATTCTGGATACCACCTTCTCAGGCTATGATTTTGAGCCTCTGGCACGTTGTACTGTCCTGTATTTTAGCGCTGCAATATAGACTGTGCTTGGAATTTATCGGAGCGGCTTCTTCCATTATGCGAACCATTGCTCCATACCGTCCATTCCATCGAAAGCGACACAATACCGTGTCCACGCATGTATTGACATTGTACCTGTAGGAGGTAAGATATGTTCCGTTGTTCAGGTAGGTTGTGCCCAAATCCAGGTTCAGGTAGAACTATAGTCCGCTCCGAACACAGTGGGGCTGAGTCGGCTGACCAAACACCACCCTTCCAGAAGGTACAACCGTACTGGTAGGTAGGAGAAGGTAGGGTAAGGTAGAACACAACAGGGCCGGCTCCCACACTCCACCGACACATGGGCTGGTTTTGGAGTGGTTGGCAGCAGCAGCCATCGGAGACGGGAACTCGAACTCACACCACGCCCAGCCCGGCACATGGAGGCTCTCACCAGCAGCTGAATACCGTGGCATGGTGCCTGGTCACCGCCGTCGTGGTCACTGGTGGTCCGCTCATCTACAAACGACATCTTCGGCGGGTGCGCAATGTCGACTATCTCACTCCCCGACAGTTCAGAACGAAGACTCTATTCGGCCATGTCACGCGCGTGGGCGACGGCGACAACTTCCGCTTCTACCACACTCCTGGCGGCAGACTGGCTGGCTGGGGTTGGCTGAGAAGTATACCCACCAAAGCGGGTGATCTGAAGGACGAGACGCTTCACGTGCGAATCGCAGGCATAGATGCACCAGAACTGCCGCACTTTGGCAGGCCGGGACAGCCACACGGACAAGATGCCATCGAATGGCTGAACAATCAGCTCTTGGATCGTCGTGTGCGTATCCGGCCACTCAGCAAAGACCAATATGGCCGTGTCGTTGGTACGGTGCGCATGCCCTACAGGTTGTGGAATAGAGATCCGGGAATGCAGATGATCAAGGCTGGCTGGGCCACGGTATACGATGCAAAATCGGGCGCCGAGTACGGCGGTCAAGAGCAGGAGTACAGAGATGCTGAGGCCAGGGCTAAGAAGAGGAGGGTGGGTATGTGGGGAGGGCAGAACATGATTGGAAAGCTGTTGGGCAAGAAGCAAGAACCTCTCGAGAGTCCCAGAGAGTTCAAGGCGAGGACAAAGAAAGAGGAGATTTCGCCAAAATGATCCCTTAGTTTGTCCATACTCCGGCTTGTGTATGACTGGAGCTGGAGCTGGAGTTGGAGCTGACTGGAGAACGCAAGAGAAATCAATGAGGGGATACCACCTTGCGGAGAATCAAACGAGACAAGGGTTACGCTTTGATGTCCTGGTTTCACGGAAGTTCTCGAGCATTGGTCACCACAAGACGATGCTGTACGTGTGGTATTCTGCGAAGTTCCTCTCGAGATCCTTCTGATCAGTACCAAGCGCGGCCCACAAAAATGCTTGCAGGTCTAGACAGAAATGGCTATTTGCAGAGTGTCTGAAGGCCGATGCATCAAATGCTTCTCGACAGCCCGCGAATATCATGCTGCTTCCCAGGTACCGGGACGACCCTCACGTGGGCCCGCTCCTGCCACACCCAGCATATCAAAGATCTCGAAACATATCCTTCCAGTGAAGGACGCCAAAGAAGCTTCCACCAGGCATGTTATGCATGCCACTATCTCAAATAATGCCCCACCGCGCCACAAGATAGCATATTCGCCGCGCTATGTGCCCGCCGTTGGGAAGCATATGGCTGGAACTATACGCTGATCTGAAATTACCTCCCAACTCACTGCGGCGGTGATCACGATGCGGACGTTGGCAAGACGTAAGTCTTTTCAGATCATGTTGCTGTTAGCGGCGGATAGATACTTACTCTGCTCACGTAGGTAGGATTATCGCACTGTCGTCGTCGAAACTTGCCCAAGGTGCAAGCCAGATCTGTATCCGGATCTCTCGTCTGGCCTTTTCCACGCTTTAACAGGAAGTAACTTGGACACGCCGAGACAGATCAACATCCAATGGCACTTGGACTAGATTGGTGAAATCGGGCGTCTAGAGAGTTATGTAGTCATGATGATAATCTATCGGCGGTAAATCGACTTCCTGGCTCACATCTTGTTGATGATCTTGTCCTTCAATTGACGACTATTATTGCGTTGAGATGCTGATTCCCCCACGACAAGTGCCAAGCTGGAACCATGATAGTCCTACTGGGGTGCCCCTTGAGCCAAGGTCTCTCATTCCTCCTCTCTTTTGACTCCCTCACTGCTCTGCTCCCCGATTTTCAAAGTAACAACTAACGGCAACCTCGAGTGAATATAGACGACAGCTTCTGCCATCTCTACGCACGGTGCGGCAAGGTGTGCATGTCGATCTGACCACGAGGCTACTCCATTCCACTCCACTCCAATGCTCCGGGGCCTAAGCACATCGTTCTCGGCGTATTGTGTTGCCGGAGAGCGCCCAATACGCCGGCGTTCCCTATATACGCGGCTGTCTCGCGCCCTTCTGCTAGCTCTTGAATGAATACAACGAACCATCATGACTTCGTAATAACAGATCTATCTTGTGGTCTACAACTACATCCCTATACCGTCGAAGTTTGAGGGCATCCTCGGATCCAGACCGCCACAACATCTCTCAGACGCACCCTCTCGTGGACTGACTGGTACACATCCCCATCCGAGCATGATCGTTACTGGCAGTCTGTGGCGGCAACTGATGGCATACAGATGATCGTCGTGACGATCGCCTCCGTGCGAACACCACCCTCTCCACTCCAAGATCGGCTTGGCCGTCCCCGACTTCACTCATGGCTCGGACGGATGTAAGAAGGTCGGGCAATCTGGGACTAGTCACCGCTATCGCAGCAGCAGACTGTATCGTTGATTCGTCCCGCACCCATACGGAACAGGATGCGAGGCCGACCCCACCTCTGGTGGTGGTGCCATGACCATCCTTCGTGTAATCATGTCGTCTCTGGGCAAGCGATATCGATGAACACTCTCGACACTATCAATGTGCATAGGGCTCGCATTTCGCCAGAAATCTTGCGGTTATGTGATCAGATGCGACCTGGCACCAGCATCAACGTGGGCCATTTCAAAACCACCTATTGCGACCTGGATCTCGCCACGAGGTTATTGAAGAACTGCAACAGGTAGGCTGGCTTCAAAGAGCATTGGAACTGCCACGTGCGAAGGCCCGGCTGAGCCACTCCCGCTTTATCTACGTTAGTCTGAAGAAGAATGCACCATGTGCTTCCAGAACACGTTCAGACATGTCTCAGTCTATAATAGCTCTCTTGGGAAGCAGGCTTGACGATAGCGAACGAACACACTACAGCATCATAGCCCTACGGAGTGAGAGCGAGCGCCTTGCCATGCTCTCCCTAGATTCCGCAGCAGCGTATAAATAACATGACAAACTGTCCCATACTCACCGCTAAACTTCCCATTTTGAAAAAACGACAAGAGCTTCTCACATCATCTCCAGAAGAACAAAAACAACACAAACTCCTCCTCAAATCTCCACCGATCTCAAAGGGAAAATCATGCAATTCCCCATCATCCTCACTGCTGCGGCCATCTTCGCCGCCACCGGCCTTTGTGATCGCATAGTACACTGCACCGTAACCAACATGGGCGCAGGAAACGTCAAATACAACAACTGTTCACCCGCCGACCGACAAGCATGTTTCCAGCGTTGCCAGTCCGATTGCGGTTTCGACTATCGTCTATGGGACGCTTCCGCGGAGTAAGTAAAAATATATCCATCCCCAAATATGCCGAAAAAGAAATATAAAAAGAGAAAGAATATATCATGTTTGTTGATAAATACTCACAAAATACAAATTTAGTCCTGCATCTGGAAATTGCGATTGTTGGTGTCCTTGCTCTCAGAATTGCGGTTCGGATGGTTTTGGGGATAATCAATTGAAGAGATCAGCAGAAGCAGAAGCAGAAGCAGAGTCGCTTCCTGTTGCTGTTGCTGTTGCTGCTGCTGGTGTTCCAGAGGGTCACTCGAGAGGAATTGAACTTGAATCGGGTTCTGCGAATTAAGTAAGGTTGTTGGGATGATTGATAGATTTTGGAAAGAATTTGAGAGAGGTCCTTTTATACATACGCACAAGACGATTGGGAAGGGAAGAAAGAAAGAAGAAGAAGAAGAAGAAGAAGAAGAAGAAGAAAGGGCGAAAGAAGACCGAATTGAATGAATGAAATGAATTCCCGAAGGAAAGCTCATGAAACGATTACATGCATGCGGTGGCGTGGGGGGATGGATGGATTAGACATTAGAGCTCATTTTTTTTTCTGATCCATACGATAGGTATATAGGTATACATACATACAGCCATCACGACAGATAGCATGTACTGTACGTTCTTTATGGACGTACATACATGCATACCTTAGGTAGATACCATGCAGGGAGGGAACGATGGAGGAAGAGATTACGGGTTTGTTTGTTTAGTTTACGAGGATAGTAGGGAAATTTCATAGCATAGATATAGGTGTGGATGTAGCGTACTGTTGTTATTCATGGATGTAGAGCATGGGCATAGCGTACCGGTATCATGAATGTGTGGTGAATAAGTCAATAAGTGAATAAGTACTTGACTGAGTATAATTATATAACATAAATAATAGGGGAGAGATATATATCTTTTTCTTCTCTGAGACTTCTTCTTTTTTTACTGCCTAGTAACTTGAGATGAAGTAAGTCATTAGAACATTTGGTTTCCTTTCTTCCTGCTGTGCTTTTTGATTGTTCTCTCTAAGGCGTGACCACTCTGATATATAGATACATGTATATATATATACACACAAGGACACTCGAATGGGCCAGTCTTGTTACCTGCAGGTAGGTAGTTGAAGGAAAGGGAAGAAATGCATCTGACCTCTAACTCGAGCTTTGTCATTTCATGAATCATAACACAGGTGCCATACTACTACTACCACCTAGATACCTCTGGTTTACAGTGAAGCTTTCCCGTTCTTAATTCGCCATTCTGTCGTGGCATCAGATCTGATATCTCTACATTCTGGGTATCTTTACTTTTCTACACACTTCCCTTCGAGAGTCGTCTCCAGTCATCTCTTCACAACTTCGCCTTCTGACTATCCGCTCTCAGCTCCGCGCCAGCACCAGAGATGGCCAACTTCCCAGTCTCCTTGACCTTGACTTGGAAGATGATCCATCGACCCTCTTTCCACATCTCGGTCACCAAGGTCTGACCTGGCAAGACAACCCCGGCGAAACGGACTTTGATGTTTTGGAACTCTCCAAAAGTCTGCAGAATGGCCTTGCCAGCAATACCGAACGAGCAAAGACCATGCAGGATGGGAACATCAAATCCTCCCACTTTGGCAAAGTCGGGGTCGATGTGGAGGGGATTCCTGTCCCCAGAGAGGCGGTAGATGGCAGCCAAGTCTTCCGAAGTTTTCTCTTCCACCACGGCATCAGGTTGTCGCTTTGGAGGGGTGTGGACTTTCGTCGCCGGACCTCGGTCAGAACCTTGCTTTTTCCCACCAAAGCCACCAGCTTTGCGGATGAAAACCGTAGCCTCGTTGTAGAAAATTTCTTTTCCAGTGTTCTTGTCTTTTGTAATGCTGCCTGATACGATCACGGCCGACTTGCCCTTGTCTTGCACTTCAACCAGGTGTGGCGATGCAACGAGGGTGGCCTCAGTAGGGATTGGGAATTGGCGGATCTCGAGGTACTGTTCTCCGTGGAGGAGTTGTCGGAAGTCGAAGTTGGGGACGAGCGAGGTCATGTCGTATGGGGCTTGAGCGTTAAAGGGCGGAATGACTCCAAATGTGGGAATGACTTGGAAGTTATCATGGCCTTCGAAGACGAATGGAAGTTCAGTGCGTTTGGCTCCAATACCAAGGTCTGTAGCAGTAATGTTAGCTCATGGCAGCCTGAAAGAGACATCAACCGGGCTTACTGTAGAGAATCACGTCGCGTTCATCATAGACGAACTCCGTTCCTTCGGCCTGCAGCTTCTTAGCTTCTTCAATTGCGGCGAGGTATTCGTTGCCGTCAGATGACTCAGACTTGTTCCCACCTTTGTTCGACCTGTTCTCGGAGTTGCCCATGATCTTCTCGTTTGCGAAGGAGACGTCGTGTGGGTGATCAGCACGGCCATCATCAAAGTTGGCAATCTTGTCCCATGATGCCTTGACAGCCTCCGGGGTTAGTGGAACATCGACGGGGAACTGAGCGCCGCCAGTGCGTTGCCACCTGGTCTCGCCCGCCCAACCACATCCACTCTCGAACACACGTCCCGTGGGCTCACTGGGCATCTTGTCGGAGCACATGATGGCAACGATGGGGACCACGTAGTCTGGCTTCTGAGCCTGAACCATCTCCTCGGGCATAATCGTGCGGGTCATGTTGGTTCCAGCATTAGGTGCGATGGTGTTGACAAAGATGTTGTACTTCTTACCCTCGCGAGCAAGAGCGCGCGAGAAGCCGAGAATACCGCACTTTGCAGCTGCGTAATTGGCCTGTCCAAAGTTGCCATAGATACCAGAAGTCGAGGTGGTGTTCACGATGCGACCGTACTTCTGCTTCAGCATATAAGGCCAGGCGGCCTTGGAAGTCTTGTATGTGCCGCGAAGGTGAACATCCAAGACTTGCTGGAACATCTTGTCCTCCATGTTGTGGAATGCCTTGTCGCGGAGAATGCCAGCATTATTGATGAGGATATCGATTCTGCCAAACGTGTCAATGGCAGCCTTCACGACCTTGTCACCATCTTCAGCACTGCACTTCACGCCGACAGCCTTGCCACCGAGCTTCTGGATCTCTTGCACCACTGGTTCGGGGTCGGCCAGATCGTTGACGACGACAGCTGCGCCATACTTGGCAAATGTCAAGCAGTACGCACGACCAAGACCAGCACCACCACCCGTCACCACAGCGACTTTGCCCTTGAAGTCGAGTTCTTGTGTTTTGGGGCTGGGCTTCATCTTCAGACCCTCCTCCAGAAGAGTCATGAAGTCATTGACGCCAGTTGGGTACTGCGGGTTGGTCCAGTCCTCAATGTCCTTCCACTTGGCAAGAAGTGCACCTGGAGTGAAGCTCTCGTCGGCACGGAGAAGGGCACCATTGGAGCGCTCCCATCTGTATTTTGCAACGTGGCCACCTCCGATTTCAAAGATGCCGCCGTTCTCTTCCGCTGGAGTATCCTTGTGTGTCAAGGCTGCCACGACGGGTACGATCCAATCAGGTTTGAGAAGGTCCAGAACCTCCTTAGGCATCACGGTTGCAGTCATGCGGGAGGCAGCGATGGGTGCAATGCAGTTCGCAATGATGCCATACCTGGCACCCTCCTTGGCCAATGTCTCGGTGAAGCCGACTTGTGAGAGCTTGGCGGCGCTGTAGTTGCACTGGCCAAAGCTGCCAAACAGGCCAGCGGCAGATGCTGTGTTGATGACTCTGCCGTACTTCTGCTTCCTGAAATGGGGCCATGCAGCTCGTGCACACTTGTAGGCACCCAGTACGTGTACCTTCATAATCAGATCCCAGTCCTCATCCTTCATGTTCTTGAAGCTGACATCGCGGAGAATGCCAGCATTGTTGACCAACACATCGATGCGCCCGTAGGTATCAATTGCTGTCTGGATGATCTTCTCGCCATTCTCGACAGAGTCGTAGTTCGCCACGGCGTTTCCTCCAGCCTGCTTGATCTCGTCCACCACCTTTTGTGCCGCCTGTTTGAAAGAGCATCAGTCAGCTTCCCATTCCCGACATGTCGGCCACATGATCCTTGGGTGCTTACTGTCTGGCTGGCACCTTCGCCCTTGAAGCTACCACCGAGATCGTTGACCACAACGTTTGCTCCTCTGCTACCGAAGAAGACGGCATATGCCCGTCCCAGACCTCCACCAGCTCCGGTGATGACGACAGTCTGGCCGTCCCATCTTAGTTGTTCGCCCATCTTGGCGGGTGGTGCAATGTGCCAGGAAAAAGATAGAGAGGGTGATGAAGCGACAAGGTGTCGTATGAAAAGAGAAGAAGAAAGGTCAGGTATGTAGGTGTCAGGGAGGGAGGAAGGGAGGTGTAGATGGAGGTGGAGGAGGTGGTGGTCGGTCGGTCGGTGGTGGGTTGTCAATTGTCTACCCTCACCTCAGCAACCCTGTGCCTGTTACGCTGATGGAAACATGAGCCTCGGCTCGAAGCTCTCGATAACCGATTGGAGACCAATCCACAGCCGTGGGTCATGTGGGATTGTGTGTCCCGTGGCCGGGATGCCGTCGCTCGCTGCCATCCACGCCCATGGCTCATGTGTGTTCCTCGTGGCCGTCATTGCCGCTTTGTTGTTGCACCTCGATCTCTGGCAAAGTCTGGTCTGGTCCACTCTAGTCTATACCTACGGACATGGCAGCAACAGGCTGGAGAGACTTCCCTCACCGAGGCAGCATCCCATCCCGTCCTCAGACTCCTCACGGCCCCGGCTGTCCCTCTCTGCCGCAGCACCGCACAGATATATTCCTGTAGTCTTGGCGTTTCTTGCTCTGTCTTTCATGTGAAGAGCAACGACAGGCTCAGCACAGTCATGAGGGCACCCTGGAAAGAATGACGCCAACCCAACGCGGAGCTGACTCGGCTATTCCATCGCCCGCAAGATTGTGCCTTTCACATGCCAAACCCGTGAACTCTAGCTCCTTACAATGGGCTGGCACACGTGAGACTGTGCAAGATGCCGCACATTATCGACGACAAGTCGGAGCACTGTGTCCCTTTCATTGCTGAACGACTCCGGTTACACAGGGCAGAATATGAGGAGAAGCTGGAACGCCCGCCGCCATTCTTCTTGGGACTGAATGGAGTCCAGGGCGCGGGCAAGACAACTTTGGTAGGTCGTGCTCATCGACCGAGTCGCGATTGCGGCACGCACCACTGCACTTTCAGTGTCGACTGTAGTATCGTAGAAGATGGGGGACATGAATTGTGCCCCTCGAGGTCGTCGGATACTGCTTCCACCACCACCAGCAGTATAGTAGCGCCAGCAGTGCACTAGTACCAGGTAGCTAACCAAACCAGGTCGAGACCCTTCACAAGACTCTCTCAGCACCACCTTACAACCTACCTACCCTAGTCCTCTCCATAGACGACCTCTACCTCCCTCACAACCAGCAACAAGCTCTCGCTCAATCGCACCCATCGAACCCTCTCGTTCAGCACCGTGGGGTGCCTGCCACACATGATATAAGAACTGGCATAGAACTTTTCGACGCCTTGGCAGAGCGTAGACCAGACGTCAAGATCCCGAGCTATGACAAGTCCCAATTCAATGGAGCTGGTGATCGCAGACCTGAGGAGCAATGGCCAGTGGTGAACAAATCCAACGAGCAAGCAGTAGAAGTCATCATCTTTGAAGGTTGGTGTGTGGGCTTTCGATCGCTTAGTGATGAAGAGGTGCAACACAAATGGGAAATGGCTGTGCAGGAAGCCGAGAGTGGGAATTCCTATACTGGGAGGCTGGGAAGGTTGGAGCTGAAGCATGTGTTGTTCATCAACAGCAAGTTAAAGGAGTATGACGTTTTGACGAACAGGTTTGGAGCATTCATCCACATGTGAGTTTCTGGGCTTGTGCTCTGCATGCTTGGGCTCCTTAACTAACGATGCGCGTGTAGCGATGCCGAAGACACATTGTACGTATACGATTGGCGAGAGCAGCAAGAGGCTGCTATGAGGGCTTCCAAGGGCACTGGTATGTCCAAGGAGCAGGTAGTTGAGTTTGTGAATGGCTACTATCCGTGCTATGAGCTGTACACGGATGTATTGCGGAGGGGCATCTTTGGCGGAGAGGGCGGCAAGCAGTTGAGGCTGGTGGTCGGGAAGGATCGAAAGGTCATACAGGTCCATACGATATGATTCGGGTGAATATGGTAGGGTCAATAGCTACAGCCTACAGGTCATGTGAAAAAGTATCCGTAAGGTATCCAGCGTGTATGCCCTGTAGGAGGTATACTATGTGGTACCCGTACCTGACATGGTGAGGTAGTTCTAGAATAACCTCCGCAATCGGAGCACGTCAGATTGACTTTCTCGAGAGTCATTTCTTCCTCTCAATGCCACACACGACCTCCCACAACCACATCCAGCAAACCCCAAACTGGAACAAGTCATCACCCTGACATTCTCCTCCTCTCGCGCTTCATTGCCCATCATTCCACCCACCTAAGACACCGAGTATAGAGGTCTCTAGTCCTCTTTAAAAACTACCTACCATCCACACCCACCATGAGCGGTGACACCCCCACGAATGGCACCGGTAAGGCCTTGAACGTCCAGAAATTGGACCTCGACGGCCACGACCTGCCTCCTTCGCCCGCGCCGTCGAGCCCGCGCAATGGCCGCCGCTACAACTTCGCCACCGAGCTCGTGTACACCGAGACCAACGACCAGTACAGTGCGAGCAGCATGCCAATCTACCAGTCAGCCACCTTCAAAGGTGGTCCCGGCCAGGAGTACGACTACACGCGCAGCGGCAATCCAACCCGCACCCACCTCGAGCGACATATGGCCAAGATTATGGGCGCCAACAGGGCACTGGTGGCGGGCTCGGGCATGGGCGCGCTGGACGTCATCACCAGGATTTTGAAGCCCGGCGACGAGGTCGTGACTGGTGACGATCTGTACGGCGGCACAAACCGACTACTGACGTTCTTGAAAGAGCACGGCGGAGTCACGGTCAAGCATGTGGACACCACAACGCTGGACTCGGTCAAGTCGGCGCTCAGTGAGAAGACGACTATGGTCCTGCTGGAGTCACCCACCAACCCACTGATCAAGATTTGCGACATCAACGGCATCGCCAGTGCTGCACATGCGATTAGCCCCAAGATTGTGGTCGTCGTCGACAACACTATGCTGTCGCCGTATCTGCAGAATCCACTGGACCTCGGCGCAGACGTCGTGTACGAGTCTGGCACCAAGTATCTCTCCGGTCACCACGACGTAATGGCAGGCGTCATTGGAGTCAACGATGTCGCTTTGGGCGACAAGTTCTACTTTATGATCAATAGTACGGGCTGTGGTCTCGCGCCTTTCGACAGCTGGCTGCTGCTTCGAGGCGTGAAGACTCTTGCGATTCGCATGGACAAGCAGCAGGCCAATACCCAGGCCATTGCCGAGTTCCTCGAGAACCACGGATTCAAGGTCCGATATCCCGGCCTGAAGTCTCACCCACAGTACAAGCTGCATTGGAGCCAAGCACGAGGTGCCGGAGCGGTGCTGTCGTTCGAGACAGGCTCCATTGCGCTTTCCGAACGTATCGTGGAGTCCACTAAGCTGTTTGGCATTAGCGTGTCCTTTGGCTGTGTCAACTCACTCATCTCGATGCCTTGCCGTATGAGTCACGCGAGCATTGATCCCGCCACACGAAAAGAGCGCGCTCTTCCGGAAGACATTATCCGGTTATGTATCGGCATCGAAGATCTCGAGGACCTGCTCGACGACTTGAGTCAGGCTCTCGTCCGCGCTGGCGCAGTGAAGTTGACAGGCGCTGAAGGATTTAGGGCGCTCACTGCTGAGGAGACGGCTGGTGCAAGTGGAATGACCACGCAGGTTGTCGATGAGCCATGATTTGGGACGTACTGCGGAGGCATTGTTTTCTGCACCATCCCATTGGCCTTGTGAGACGGCCCTCTTGAGAGGGTCTTCTGAGAGGATCATTGTAACCATCTTCCAAAAGCGATCGACTACACTTCTTTTCCCTCCCTCCCTCCCATCCTGAAGTCGAACATGTTGCCCAACCACGTGACTTGTATTATCTATTGGCCTTCTCCAGTAGACTGATGCTACGTATACTGACTTGATTTCGGAGATGCACACGGGACTTTCGAGGTTTCGGAGAGCTTTCGGGTACGTATTACTACTGTTGCGGTATGCCCCTTGATGTTGCTTACCTTGGTGTCCGGCCGACGTAGATCCACAAACTTTCCTATAACGCCTAGCATTCCTCGTCCACTCGTCGTATGATCTTGATCACCACACCACACAACAACCGTCGTGTGATCCCGATCACCGCACCAGACTACCAGACAACCACCATCCAACGATCGAAGAAGAGTCGAACGCGCATTGACAATCGAACAAGAATCAACACTGGCTGCCAAACACGGGCACTGCACTGATGCTGCTTTCACTCCTATGGAAGCCGAAGTCTGCTACAGTGTAACTGTAGCAGCCGTAATCATGTAAACCACAGCCTTTGAACGCTGGGAGGCATTGCTCTCACATTGTGGCAGTTCCTCACCCGGCTTACCTATCGTGTTAACAAGCTACCACGGACTGTGAATAAGCGGCGGGTGTAGTTTGATGAATGGGAGTAGTGAAGTACATGTACCTATACGTTCTTTTCTTGGTGCCTTGGTTGGAAGTCTTGCGCTCGCTGTACCAGTGTCTACTGCAGCAATGTTTGGCGGGCCAGGCCGTCCGTCTTGTGCATGACCTACGGCCTCTTCACCCTGCACCCTCGACGAACTCTACCTTCGGGGTTCATTTCACGATACCGACTACGCAACCAGCTCTCCGAGCCCGAAAACTGGTCATACTGCATCATTGAAGTGCGCAAGTGGTGGCAGTACAAGATAAGTGAGACATCCTCATTGTCTGAACATGAAGAAGAAGCAAAACAAAAGAGACTGGCAAAAGTTGAAAAGCGCAATTTACATATTGTACAATGTCTTCCATCATGGCAACGACGATGTTGGCAGACGGAGCGGCCAAGACTTCCAGTCGACGATCGAAGGCAGCACCAAAGCTCAAGGAAAGCTGTGACTGCTGTGCCCGAGCCAAAGTACGATGCAGCAGGGAAAGACCTTCCTGTCTACGATGTCAATCGAAAGGAATCTACTGCGAATACAGCTTTTCCCGGAGAGCAGGACGCAAAAACATGAATAGTGCTGCAAGAAGCAACGCCGTGTCGTCGGAATCAGATTATCCCAAATCCCCACAAACCTCACCAACAAAGTCCCACTCCGCACAAATGCAGCAGATCACACCGAGTGCTTCCTCCTCGACATGCAATACCCCTTCATATATGCGCGACATGCACCACGTCGTCCCTCTCGTCGACCGTGCCCGAACGCCCCATTTCCCCCTTGCCGAGCCCTTCCACCACGACGACAGCCTGAGCATGTGGTCCCAACCACCTTTTATCGCCCCTTTAAACGACTTCAATGTCGGTTGGATGCCTCTCACCCCGACCTTCCCCGGAAATCCTTCCTCACACTTCCTTCCTCACCACCCCGTCGTCGATCATCTACCTCCTCCTAGTGCGACCACCAGCCTCCCTTCCTCCTCCAGCGACCCTTCTCAGAGCACCCCTTCCGACAAAGACGATTGTCTCCTCGACCACCACGTCTCCGCCGGCCTCGACTCCTCCTCTGCTCTGCGCATGCTCGATGATCTTTCCTCTCACTGCGCTGCTCCTCCTCCACCTCCACACCCACACGGTCCACACCCCGGAGTAGGAGTTGGAGGAGTCGGAGAAGGAACAAATCTCTCAGGAATTCTCCCACCACTACCAGGAGGAGGTCACCACAACCACCAACAACATCAGCACCCACAACTCCACAACAACAACAACCACCATCACCAACCCCACAGAGAAGACACTTTCCACTTCTCCGAAACCGAAGCCATTCGCGAAGAACTCTGCCTCGTGGCAAATTTCGTCGGAACACTCGAAGAGCGCGTCAATCGTAATGTTCGAAGTGCAGGGTTGCAACGAAAAGCCGCTGCTGCTGCAGCGAAAAATTTACATGGAGGAGGAGGTTCTTCTTCTTCTTGTTCCGTGGGAGATTTATCTTCTCTTTCTGCTTCTGCTTCTGCTGGGGACTTGTCTTCATCATCTGTTGCTGCTGCTGCTGCTGCTGGGGAAGATATGGCTGCTGCTGGTTGTGGCGATGATGATGATGATGACCATCATCAGCATCATGGTGATGGTGATGATGAGGATGATGAGGATGATGTTGATGAGGATGATGTTGACGATGAAGAGTTGGATGCGAGACATGATGCGGCTGAGTTGAAGAGGAGGTTGAGTGGGATTAGGCAGGAAATTGAATGTATTGTTGGATATGGGTGATTTTGTTTTCCATCTTTTGCTTTTTTGGGGGGGGGGGTGAAGGGGGGAAGAAGAGGGGGGGGTTCCTTACGCACACTGCCAGTCAGCCATCACTGTGGGCGGGGCTATCTCTGCCATATGCTACGCTATTGCAGCGTTTCTTTCACTTTCTTTCTGCAAAATATTTGTTGTTTTCCATACCTAGGCGCTTCGTTTGCCTCTTGTGGGGTTTGGTTGTTGGCAAGGAGCAGGACAGGGCATAGGGCATGGCAGGGCATAGGGCAGGGCATGGCAGGGCAAAGAGGCGTTTCTTTCTTTCTTTTTTTTTTTTTTTTCTTTTTTTTGGCCTTCTTCTTCCCTGTTTTTGTTTTCAGGGGGATTTCTTCTTTCCAAAGGGAGGAGAGGTTTTTCTTTTTTGTTTGGGTAGGTAGCTTTCCTTTTTTTTTTTTTTTTTTTTTTTTTTCCTGTTTCCCTCTATAGAAAAAAAAAGTCGTGAGGGGAATCGGTATATAGGTATATACCTGATATTATAAATATAGAAGTAGATAGGAAAAAAACAAAAGGACAAAAAGATCAAAGACAAAATGGAATATACTACGGGTTTATACTTTCTTTTCTTTAGTCAGTGCCCTGCTCGATGAACTAAGATGAGGTAAGGTAGGAGTTTTTCTATATATCTTTTTCTTTGAGTTCTCAGAGAAGGAAAAAGTACCGTAGGTGCCTGTAGGATTGACACAAGGTACTGTATATTGCACTTTGGAATGATTCGATAAGCTCAATTTGAATTCTTCTGTATTCTGTGTAATCTCAGTACGGTAAATGGGTACCTATGTAGGGTAGGTATTTATCTATCTATAATCTAAGCCCTACACTACGACGGAGATTGGAAAAAAGTCCTGTAGAGGCAAGGAGGTACCGTTTCTACCTTTGTGTGCCTAGCTTAGGTATCTCTCCATCTCCAACATTCTGACACTCAACTCAACCTGCTGCTGCTGCCGCAATTTCTTAAGCAGCAGTCGTCCCATTTGGAGGGGACCATCCCGGTGGGAAAGTGCCGTTTCCAGGAGGAGGACCACCCATTCCGGACTTGGGATTAGCCACACCACCCTCCTTGTAATACGTTCCGGCCGAACCGATCGAATCGTCAACCGAAGGGTCGATTCCCAAAGAAATCCAAGCGAGAATTCCATCTTCAATCGAGTCGCCAATCATGACGTATTCGACAAAAGGATCCATATCCGCGGCTTCCTGGGCGAGAATAAAGTCTTCGGAGTTGAGGGTCAGTTCTTGCGTGTTGCTCACATAAGGTTCGGTGGCTTCGACTTGGGAAATGAGGTCTTGGTCGAAGAAGATTTGGCCGACGTGCGAGGAGGAGGTGGTGAAGTTTCCGGCATTTTCGAGCAAGGTGCCGTTGGTGCGGATGATGGTGGAGTCGGCGTTGTGGGTGAGGACGTGAATGTGAGTGGCACGGCCAGTGTAGTGACCCGGGAAGGTGGTTTCGAATTGGACGACACCGTTGACGTCGGTTTGTTGCAGAGCGCGGTTGAAGGTGTTGTCGAGGTTAGAAGTGTCGTCGGAGTCTCCGTTTCCGCGGGCGGAAACGCCAGAGTAGACGCCAGTGCTGTTGCAGTGCCAGGCATCGACGTAGATGGCGGGTGCAGGGGCGCAGGTGGAGGTGTCGATGAGTTGGATATCGACGAAGAGAGGGACACCGGCTTGGTCCTCGGACATGTCAGAGCGAATCAGCTCGCCATCGATGTAGTAGGGACCCTGGGTGACTTCTGGCTGCAGGACACAGCTGGAGTTGTCGGAGAAGAGGGTGAGCTCGTCGTCGCCGTACTTGACTCCGGAGGTTGAGAGGTGGGAGAAGTCGTAGTCGCTGAAGTCGCGGCGAGCCAGGGGCTTGTCGGCGGGGATCGAGCGTTTGGCGCGGGCCTGTTTGGCAAAAGCTTGACGACGAGCAAGAGCAGTCTCGAGGTGGCCTCGACGCTTCAGCTCAGAGGCACAGGAGCGGACGCTACGAGGCTTGAGGCTTGCAAATGCTGCTCGCTCTGCTGCTTCTTCCGCGACACTGTGGCCGGGGTGAGCAAGGGAGCCGACGGAGAGGAGGCCAAGGGCCAGAAGTTGAGTGACGGGTGCCATTGCCTTGTTTGTAGGAATGTGTTGTTCGAGTGTCGTTGGATGTCGAGTGGTACAGAAGAAGCTGATATCGAGGAGGGTTCTTATACTTCACTCGACCTCCTGCCAGCTGCGGTCGTGTATACACATACTTGACGAGCCGCGTAATAGCCAGATCAACACCCCATTGCTCGAAAGCGCCGAGCAGAAGGATACGTCGTCGCTGGTGGAGTCGTGGCTCCAGAAGAGAAGCGGCGCGTGTAACGACAACACGTCCGTAGTCCTTTCTGCCCACACCTGAATAGGCAGGCCACCGTGCTTCATCTTGCGTACGCTCTGGCGGAGCATGACATTGCGGAGCAGCTGATTGGACGTGGCAGAGCACTGAGAGCACTGAGAGCAGCGAATGGTCTGGCTCTAGTCGTCAGCAGCGTGAAACGGCCTTCCATTGTGAGAGGGCCGACTATCTTAGCGGACGGAGGGTGGCCAGTCATATCTGAGCACAGTAGTGGTGGGAGTGGAGCAGGGAGACGGAGGACCGGCTGCAGTGGAGGAAGGGCACTCTATGGCAAGGCCGTAGGAGGACGAGAGAGGGATAGAATGGCAAGCAGTGGTGCGGTACCTAGTCAGTAGGAGGAGGTAGTTGGACCGCGATCTGCCCTCCCCGTCTCCATCACCCATCGGCACCATCCGTGTTCCGATCGGCTAGGTATGCTAAGCGTGACAAGCAATTTGAAGAGATTTGGGTGCATGCGGATATCTCAGGGGCCTAGGGGGGATGGGGCTCGCGCAGGTGTCTAGACAGTCTAGTGACATTATGGTTGCATCTGTCGTTATCATCTATGGTGATGTGGAACAGACAATCATCATCATCATCATCATTCTTCTTCTCATTCTTCTCATTCTTCTCCGTGGCGCTGGTTGTACTCGGAGACTGAGAGTACCGCCGCCCACTTGTGCCGTAGGATATGTCTTGCCGAGGTAAATTTTCCGAAACAGCAACGCGTGGCGACGACACGCCCCGACACTTCAAGTTTTGCCGCGAGGCTGCGTACGTAAGTAGGTAAGTTCATGTACCTCCTAGTGAGGAGTGAGGACCTGTGCCTCCTAGTACCTTACAGTAAGGAACAAAGGGACTTCTCCCCGACGGAAGCCATCCACGAGGTCCGTAAGAAAATCGCAGTATACCTCACTCGATACTATTTCCACCAAGAATCAGTCGAATGGAGCCCTGCCTGACCGACGAGTCTCAGGCACCCACTCCTATCTATCAGCGGCCCACACAGACATGCGCATACCGGATCCGGTGAGCGGTAGTAGACTCTTGTTCCGAGGGGAGTAAAGGTATCAGGCAAGTATTCACGCGTGGGTCACCGCGAGGCAGCGGAGCGGAGATGTAGCTACGAAAGGGGAATGCAGCGAAGAGAGTGAAGTTTCCGATGCTTTTGCTGGAAAACTGGAACTGGAACAACTGCCCGTTTGTGAGGTGATTATACTAGAGGTACCTCTTACCGGTAGTACCGGCCGGCTCAAGTGGTCGGAGGCAATATATCGAGAGTGGGCACACACATGCACACACACACACACACACACACACACACGCACGCACCACTGCAGACACTTCGTTCTCTTCAGTTTCTGCCAATCGCGTCATGATTCAGTATTATCGACGGAGATTTCGCCTCTCTTCGGCGGCCAAATCACAGAAGAGGCAAATCAGCAAATTACAGTACTATTACTGTTATGATGTGCCCGGGTGCCGGCAATATCGACATATCATATTCGCCGTCTGTACCCGACCAATCGCCTTTCCGTACGTGAGGTGCCCATATATTTTATTATTATTCTTGCTCAGGCCAACTTGGGCTGTTTCACATGCGCTCGATGCTTCTTCATCGACTCTCCCACAGGGACTCCATTTCTGATATCTTCCGCCACCTTCTCATCCGCCTCGACTTGCGATGCAATCAAGTCGACAGCTTGCTCGGCGAGCTGCTGGGGTACGCAAACGACGCCGTTGAGGTCCGCAATCAGTATGTCTCCAGGGTAAATATACGAATCCTGATCTTCGCTGTTGAATCGTACAGGTCCACTATTCACCTCACTCACACGAGCAACTTCTGCAGGAGCCGTCGTTCCAACATCTTTTGCGAAAACAGGGAAATTCAGGTCACGATGTTCTTGGAGATCCCGTAGTCTGCCATCGACAATGGTGCCTGCAGCGCCCAGGTGGTGTGCTCGTGTGCTCATCAAGCCGCCATAGCAGGCATTGATCATCTTTGGCGGCGCCGAGATGAAGATGACGGCTCCCTCGGGGACCGTGTCAATGTAGTGACCAGAAGGCTTGGCATCGTTCTCGTAGTTCTTCCTCACGTACTTGACGGTGTATGCGGGCCCGATGATCTTGGTGGATCCGGCTTGACGCTGGGGCGACCACATGGTCAGACCCGGCAGAAAACCGCCATGAGGCACCTTGAGCTTGGTGAGGGCATCTGCCACATCGCAGCTACACGGAGTTGTCACTTCTTGGTGGTATGGGTATGGTGCTGGGACGGGGGGCATGGTGGTGGTCTACCTGGTGAACGGCTCCAAGGCCTTGACAATGTTCTTGGCGGCGCTCATATTTCTGTCGACACAAGTGAAGGAAGCACACTTTCTACACACTCTCTCGCCTTGCTGATGTGTATCAACCTTGTCTACCCTCTAAGGTATGGCTGCGAAGCCAGCTCCGATATCGCTGGGTGCGGGCGGAGCGGATGGCTGGGGCCGAGGGGCGGGGCGGGGGGCGGGGCGGGGTGCGCCAGCTGCCGATGCGTCCACCCAAGACCAACACCTACGCACCACCTGCATCTCTTGTTCATACACCACACCGACCACACCGACCACACCGACTACAGCGATTACACCCATACTACATGTACCTCCTAGAGTCCCGACGATACTGACGCGCATCCTGAGGCTTCACACGCGACGACACCGAGCTCCATCATCTCCCAGCGTCCGCCCGCGCACCGATCTGGCCTTCCCACAAAGACATGTCCGCTATCCGAACATCTCGGGCAGCGGAACACTCTTTTACCACTGCTACTACTACCAACCAACCCAAGTCTTGGTTGATGAGAAAAAGTAGCGGTCATTCAGAGTAGTGGCGAGAGATTTTCGTTGTCCGAATGCGAATATATGTAAGGAGGAGGTAGTGTTCCGCTTTCCGTGCTATCTCCCCACGACCATTCCCGACTCTCGAACTTTTTCTCCCAGCCAGAAGTCCGACCGGAAGGTGAGTGTAGAGTGAGTTTTAGTAGGGAAATGCGTGATGCGTTATCCACTTTGGCCCTTCTGTGTGTATGTTTATCAGCTGTGATAGTAGGTGAAAAGTCAGGTAAGAAAGTTATGCCCTGCACAAGGGTTCAGGTTCAGTGGGGCAAAAGAAGATAAAAATGTCCGAAAGGATCACAATCACAGCTTGGCTGGAATGCTTGCCTCTTACCTCAGCCTATATATATTAACACTGAGAATACTAGCTAAAAACCTCACCCTGGTAGTCTGTAGGGAAGGCTTTTGTCTTGCTCTATTGTCGAATATTGGGTATCCCACCTCGTTGTGAAGAGGTATACCAACGGTTCAAGGAAGCCATTCGGGACAGGTCCTTCGTTCTTTGCCTACCTACCTAGGTAGCTAGTACGAGAATGTCCAATATTTTGCGTAACGGTATTGCAGTACTTAAATATTTTTTTCAGAAGGCTCGAGGGTGAAACATGTTCGAGAGAGTACATGTAGTATACATACCTAGGTAGGTATATATACTTTTCTAGTCATTCCAATTCTAGAAAGTCATTACATCCGGATTAGAACAGCAAGGTAATACATATCATGCACCACTCTCGCTTCGCATTTATTCAAGAAGCGTGCGAATTGGAACCCCTCGAATCGTTCATGTCCGCTCCATCTTTCTTTCCTTCCATACCTACAAAGTGTTTTTGAGAGTTCCTGATATCACCTTGGAGAGGCTGTCATGGCGTCGATATTGCTATTTCGCAGTGTCGGACCGCCACGCGGTATTCTCAGAAGTCGTCGTCGTCGATTGCTCGGCATTCTGCTACCTCTGCTACTTCTGGCTCGCTTTGGAAAGGAGAGATTGCTCGTCGTAGCTCGGAGAGAAAAGCGGTCTTTCTAAGGCTGTAGCTGTTGTTGTCGCTGTCGTTGTCTTTGTTGTTGCCGTATTACCACAGAACGTTGCGGCAGTCGCAATACATATATCTGAAAAAGATGGAGGAGTCTGAAGAAATACCTGTTCCTCAGCAGTCCGGCGAAGTCCGCCCCGTCCCTCGCCTCTTGTGCTTCCTTTCGGAGACCGCTCCGACAAATGCCAAGAAAGCCAAGCTGACCAAAATGAACTATAGACCATAGGTGGTACATAGACCCTAGGTTCCCGAAAAACATCCTTTACATTCCCCATTTAGTACCTACATATCACAGAGGACGAATCATCATGAACGACATATGGCCCCGTGAAGGCCAGACGAGGAGTATCGAGCTGTTTACTGGAGCGGGACACTCCCGGGTCTGATACCTACTGAGGCACCTACCTACTCATGTCTATCGAGACCAAAAACAACCCATTTGTGCTTGCGGAAGCCACCGCGGAACCCCCATCTTCGAAAGACAGTCGGTGGCTTGAACATCTGGACTAGCGCTGGGCTCACTAACGCCCTGGCCTGACCTGCCCTGCCGTGCCATGCCATGCTATACCATACTATCCAGAGAGGCCCGCCACGCCAGCAAGCTTGTCAACTTCGTGTTATCGCATGCTTCGCTCGCATGTACCGTGTGAGATGGCCTCGCTGTACACGAGAGAAAACGCGTGAGGAGGAGTTTTCGATCAAGCATATGATCTCGCCCGCCCTACAGCCTGCTCCACATACAGCAAGCATAACTTTCGTGCGATTTATGCTCCGCCGCCTGGAAGTCATGTGCTTAGCCTCGCACTGTCGAGTATTGTACCTCGTCGTTCTGCTGCTGCTCGCTCACTGCGCCTTTGCACCTCTCCTCCGAGTAGTCTCTCCGCTGGCAGAACCCCCCAAGTAAGACATGTCTAATATATGGTTCGCAGGTCCGGACAGAACTTCTCATGCGCCAAGCTTCCTAGTGTGCTGCTTTTGTGTGAGCGTCCTGCCTCAAGATGCTCGGGACGTGCCCTTTCTGAGCATACCATCCGGGGAAAGCCAGCATTCGACTGAGCACGATTCCACAGTCTTCATTGGGGTGCAGCCAGGTTAGGCGTGAGGGGTCGATAGGCCATGGCTACTAATGTCATGTTCATTGAGCGTGGGATGAAGTTCATAAAGTGCTGCTCGGACTAAAAAGTTTGCATCACAAGCGCGTGTGCTATTTTCACGTGCAATCAACATTCGCTTGGCCCGGCAAATTCCCCCTTCCCAATATGTCGTCTCGACCGCGAAAGCAGCAGGACTCGTGGAAGCATAGATGGCTATAGCATATGTTGACCTGCCTTGTCGAGGTAGCGTCTGCAGACATGTAACAATCTGAAGAAGCAATACGTTGAAATCGTGGCCTGCAATCCTGGATCTCTTTATTAACTGAGACGCAGGCTTATCTTCATCTGTCTTGGCATTCCGCTAGGCGTACAAGTGTGGCTGTTTTGGCTGGGCTCTGAATGTAACCTTATATGAGCCACACTCCAAAAAAGAAGTCCATGTGGACACAAACTACTACTCCATACTAACACTGCTAAGCGATGGCCCAGGCGCCTACGGAATCACATGCGCCAATCAAGCGGATGATTGAGAGGTTTCCGAACAAAGACCTTCCTAGAGCGTCAGGAACAATATGGCTACTCAGACGGGCACCTAGGTAAGTTCTAAACCTCCTGAACCCCGAACATTGGCAGCTCTGAAAAAGCGGATCATGCTGTGCAATGGAGCAGCACGACTTTGCACGTTTCTCCTCGCCAACGTGGGTATCTCGATGCTCATCACGATACTACGAGTGGAGTGGTGGCGACTGAGACAATGTTCTCTCTTTTCCAAGCAGAAAATCGGCTTTGGTGGTCATGCAAAAGCATGTCTCGCTACCTCCGCACCTATGAGTGTGTTTAGAAGCGCCGTCTCGACCGGGAGCCTCCATAGTCCAGACCAGATACAGTATACTGTACCTACATGTACCTTGCCTGATACTTGGCAGTTGTCGCCCCACCCAAAGAAAGGAGCAACAAACGGTCTTGTGGCTTCGGCACATATGACGCTCGAATTGCGAACCATCCCTGCTGCATCGCATTACCAGGCTCTTGGCATTGCGAGCCACTGTTGACTGCCAGTCCCAGTCTCTTCGTCTTCCTCGGAGGCCCCTCCTGCGCCAAGTGTGCGCGAGCACTCGATATTGTTCCCTTTCTAGAAGGCCCTGAATAGCTGTCACGCCCTGCCAACACTGCTGCGGCTGCGGGTGTGGGAGAGCCTTGTCGGCGTCCTTCGGTGGCATAACCGAGCGCTTCCATACAGCAGCCCTACTGCAACCGCGCTCAGGGCCGCATTGCTTCAACTCGTCGATTAACTGGAACTGGGAGGTGAGTGGCGGGAGTGGGCAGATATTGGCCAGTCAAAGGCTTGGCTCCTGCTCGAAGCAGCTGTGATCAGCCGAAGCCAAGAATACCGTACAACTGGTCGGGCGCAGTGATCGACGTGGTGGAAAGTGCTTTGTAACGAACCGTAGAACCAAGCTTCTCTGCACCCTCTCCCTCCCTCCTACGGCCGCGGCGCTCGAGCTTCCCGAACGAGCAATGTTGAGGACCACATGCACGCATTCTTGTGCCATACCCATACATGTATGCTTCCTCGATAGCATGATGAGCACTACTGCAGGTTCGCATGCCATATCCGTTTAGGCCCCGATGGACCCTTCGTCCCTTCGACGTCCTGCTGCTCTATGAGTGGCTGTACGGCGAGAAGCACGTCCTATCAGTGTCTGTAAGCGAAGAACACACCAGTGTTTGTGATCCATCTGCTCGCTACGCTCCTGATACGAGACGGCAGCTCATATCTCCAGCGGGACTGTTCACGTCGTCGAGAATGCTGGGATGAATGGATATATAAGGAGCCAACATTTCCTCTCCAAGTAACTCTCATCATCAGCAGCAGCAGCATCCAGCCAGCACATCTTCCAGACATTCACTCCTCGAGACCCAATAGCTTCGACATCCATCAAGATGAACTCCATTCGCAACCTTCTCCTGGCAGTGCCAGCGGTTCTCGCTGCGGCCACCGTCGACAAACGCCAGACCGCCGACACCATTCCAGGCTCGTGGATTGTCCGTTTGGAAGAGGGTGCTGAGCTCGTCAACGTGCTCGGCAACCTTCGCTCCAACGCCAGCATTGAGCCAAAGCACGAGTACAACATTGGCAGCTTCAAGGTTCGCAGTCCTCATTGGGAAATGCAAACGTAACACGACAGACTAACAGTCCCTAGGGCTTTGCTTTCAACGGTGATGACAGCGAGGTCGACACCATTGCCAACATGCCTAACGTGAAGAGCATCGAGCCCGACACCAAGGTCTACGCTTCGATCCCAGTCGGCCTCAACGAGCGTGCTTTGACCACCCAGTCCCCAGCCGAGTATGGCTTGGCCCGTATCTCGCACAGGGCCCGAACTGGAACTGGCTACGTCTACGACACCACTGCTGGCTCTGGCACCTACGTCTATGTCATTGACACTGGTGTTTCCACCTCCCACAGCGAGTTCGGCGGCCGTGCCACTGCTGTAAGTTTCTCTCCTTGTGTGCCACATTCCACCATCATCAACAACAGACATCAATGATGGAATCCGACAACAACAAAGATGGTTCCCCCTCCTTGGCTCGTTTTTCGCTGACATGAATGTTTTCCACAGGGCGCCAACTTCGTCTCTGGCGAGTCTGCCACCGATGCCAACGGACACGGTACTCACTGCGCTGGTACCGTCGCTGGTCGACTTTACGGGTAAGTTTCACACGAAGCACAAGATTCTTCTATTGTGACGGATACCTGCACACCTGACCGAACTGCACTAACACACATGATCACAGTGTGGCTAAGCAAGCCAACATCATTGGTGTCAAGGTTCTCGGCGCTGATGGATCTGGTACCAACTCTGGCGTTCTCGCTGGTATCGACTGGTGAGTTACCTCCTCTTCCTCCTCCTCCTCCTCCTCCTCCATCATTTCTAACATTCGTGTGCAGGGCCGTGAGCAACGCCCAGAGCAACAACCGTGTCGCCCGCTCCGTCATCTCCATGTCTCTCGGTGGAGTCCGCAGCACCGCAACCAACGACGCCGTCGCCGAGGCCGTCTCCGCCGGAATCTTCACCGTCGTCGCAGCCGGTAACGACAACGCCAACGCCAACAACTTCTCCCCCGCCTCCGAACCCACCGCTTTCACCGTCGGCGCCACCAGCAGCACTGATGCCCGCGCCAGCTTCTCCAACTTCGGTACCTCCCTCGACATCTTCGCTCCTGGTGTCCTGATCAAGTCTGCCTGGATCGGCGGTAACAGCGCTACCAACACCATCTCCGGAACTTCCATGGCTTGCCCTCACGTCGCTGGTCTTGCTGCTTACCTCATCTCGCTCGAGGGTACCCGTACCCCTGCTGCTCTCGGTGAGCGTATCAAGTCTCTCTCCACCAAGAACGTTGTCACTAGCCCTGGCTCCGGCAGTGTTAACCAGCTTGCCTACAACGGCAACGGTGCATAAATTTCTTCTTCTTCTGATGACGCACACCGCGAATTGGTAGTGGTACCTTTTACTACTACTCAGCAAAAGAAGAACGATGATGACGATGATGACGATGATGAATACATTCAGCATAGCATAGCATAGCATAGCATATGAGAGCATTTCTTGCGAGGGGGATTGGGTTGCATGAAGAAAAGAATTTTAGAAGAAAAAAAAGAGGAGGAAAAAAAGCAGAGTGAAAATGTTTTGTGGATTTGCAAGGGCCCTTTTTTTACATATTCAAGTAGAGTAGAGAAAAACATTCATTTTCATGATGCAATTTTGTTTATCTTGACGATTTTCTTTTATTCTTTTATTCTTTTATTCTTTTCTTTTATTCTTTTATTCTTTTATTCTTTTATTCTTTTATTCTTTTATTCTTTTTTTCTTTTTCTGTTCTTTTCGTTTTTTCGTTTTTTCGTTTCTTTGCTCTATCCTTGGAACTTGATTGATACCTTACCTTTGATACCTAGGTTCACTTCTACCGGCTTGGTTTGTTCGCTACATACCTACTGTAAAATATTCATCACGATAACTTTATTATCGACAGTTGCGTTGCCGGATACATGCATACCAGGTAGATTTAGACAAAAGAAAAGAAAAAAAAAGAAAAAGAGAAAATAAAAAAAGAAAAAAAAAGAAAAAGAAACAAATCTAGTGCTCGTGGAGTATATTTGGTGAGGTACATAGGTTAGGTTAGGTTAGGTAGGTAAGGTTCTGGGAGTTCTTTGGTGAGGGTGAAATTCAGACAGGGTGTGGAAGACAATGACATTATGGTAGGTAGCTGAGCTAATTAGTATTCGGATAGAACCCGAATGAATACTGTGTTTTCAAGAGGATTTCTTCATCATGAAAAAAGGGGGAAAAGATGAAAAAGAAAACAGAAGGCCTGGCAAGCTTGATATCATAATTCCTAGCTACCTTACATACATTACTACTCATCAAGAAATACGAAAACGTCTCTCCCCCCTCCCCCTCTCCTTCCCCCTCACACCCACACAGTCTCTCACCTAGGAGGAGTATCCATAACTTTCTTCACCCAGCGTAGCTTGCACAAACGGCAGAAAATAATTTTCCACCGCGGCCGGAGATCTCCACGCGGACCAATCGTGATTCAACAGCCCCCACGTTTCGTCGTTGTCTTGGACGCCTTCTCGGATGTACTATGGTGGTCATGTCATCAATATCAATATCCGTATCAAGCAAGGCAGTGGTTGATGAATGGTTAGAATACGAAAAATAGAAGGAAAGAAAGAAGGAAAGAAAAGGATAACTCACATAACTGCCCCCCACAGCCCAATGAATCCAACCTCCCGGCCCACCAGGTAGCGCAGTAGTTAAATACTCTTTAATACATTGCGCATACGGCAGCGTATAATTCGTCGGAGTCTGCGGAAACCCGAATTCCGTCAACACGACGGGTGCGAAATTCTTCGCTGTCGAAGTGCTACTGATATCCATAGCATTATAACCCGATTTGGTGAGATTGAAATTGGCGCAGTTGGCATCTGCGAGGGCGTTGTTGTAATTGTGCAGCTCAAAGACGATTTTGTCGGCATAGCAAAAGTCGGAGATGTCGAAGACACTGCCGTCGGGGGTCAGGGGGATGCCGGCGGTGACGTTGGCCAGGTCGGTGTCGAAGTGGAGGCCGGAGTAGAAGATTAGAGGGTCCGGGTTGGCGGCGTTGACGGCGTCGGCGGTGGGGATCACGTTCTGGTACCAGGATTCCCAGCCGTAGTTGAGAGCGGTGTTGTTGGGATCGCGGAGTTCGTTGCGGAGTCCTTGGGAAACGTATGCGGGCCAAGATTTGGCGTGATTAGCCATAAAGGCATTGCCTCGACGCCAGTTCTCGACGTTGAAGAACTCGGAGCCAAACCATGCGTTGCCATCACCTGTCGAGCAGCACCACTCTCCCTTGGATACATGGTTGTCTAGGTGGACGAGGAGTTGTTGCTTGTAACACTCTGCGGTGACTGCATCGTAGACTTCTAATCTCGTTGTCGAAGCTGTGAATGAAGGATTGTGGCTCAAGATCTGTTGCAGGACGATGGAGCCATTCACAGAGCCGAGAGCATTATCAAGAGCTGCACTGAGCGTGGAGTTCTTGTTCGAAAATATGTCGTCAACCATTTCAATTGCGTAGGTGAGGCGAACGACATTCATTCCCAGACTCTTGATCATGGATACGATGCTTTCGATTGATTGATACTGCAGACCTTCCGGGATCTGAACAGATATCTGTTAGTGGCGGCTAGCCTCGAGAGCTGGTCAGTGATCATCCACATACCATGACATCGTTGTGTCCTGGCCAGTTCGTACCAGCATACAGGACCTTGTCGCCATTGGTGTCCACAATGTCCCTTCCGCTGGTCTTGAAGGGTGCAAACGGCCATGCACTTCGCCTTTGAGTTGGTATCGCAGCGACGACAGCCGTCAAGGCAGCGCCCACGGTCACGAGTCTCATCAACATCTTTTAATGGAGGACAGCGGTCTGCGATGTCCCAGCGGGCAGACATGGTGGTGGCGTTGGCTGCAAGATATATAGGAGTTCCAGGAGCTCCCTGCCAACTCTGCCATGGCTCCGTTGTGCGCATGGCATGAGGGCAGTCGGGACAGCAGTGGAGGCACCCGGGCGCTTTGCGTATTCGCAGTCGTCTTTAGTCTCAGACATCTTCAGGGCAATACTGGCGGTCCGACGCGGACGGGGATTCTACTGGCCGAGCGGCAGCTTTCCAGGGGGCGGATAGAGTACCCGCGTCGTGTCCAGGCCGTGTTGATATCGCCGGACTCGAGCTCTAGCAATCCTGCTGATAGCCTGATGCGTTGTATCACCACAAATGATCTGCGTTTCCCCGCAGACATAAAGTCTGGAAAATTACCAACGTGCCAAGGCGTGGGGACGGACAAAAATGTTCCACGAACACACGAACTTCACCTGCCGATTGACTTCTTGGCCTGTATGTGACGGTTAAATAAGAACGTGCGGGCAGAGTGGTTGGTGAATTGGCTCGGGACACAGGGCCGGGGCCACGCATGATTGCAGGTACCAACCCTATAGTCTATGGGATCGTCTACCAGGCAGTGCAGGCACGTGAATCGGAACAGTTGTGATCAAGGCGTCTGGAGCCTGGAAGACTCGACCTGACATTACCTGTACTTTGTGGTGGGTACGCCCCAGAGAGAGCGCTCCAAGGTAAGTAGAAGGATCAAAGGTGGTCCGCCGACGAGCCTCTCGTCGCGAGAGGCACGTGCAGCCGCTCAGATACCCGGACAGCTAATCAATCGATGAAATTAATACCCGGCGACTAGGTCTCCACTGGTTGCTGCTCGGTAACATCGAGAGGCCGATTGAGTCGTCGGCATCTCTCCTCCAACTCGCAGAGATGATCAGCCACCTCGCGAGCCGAGAGAGAGAGAGAGAGAGAGAGAGAGAGAGAGAGAGGTCCCTCCGCGCAAACAAAACTGCTGCTGGCGCCGTAGGATAATGGTTCACTCGAGAGCTCAGGAGCCCGAGTTCGTAAGTACCACCATTCATGTTGGAAGCCTGGGGCATTGTCGAGGTCTCATTCTCCTAAACTATATGCAGTCTTGGTGATGGTGGCCTGTTGTGAAGGAGGTTGAACCACAGGCGTGGACCTTGAGTGATGACTGCTGGGTATTTCTGGTCTGGTAGGCATGTGCAAGAGATGTTCCAGATCAAGAGTGTCGCTGCTGCTGATGGAAGAAAAGAGACGGGAGCCTCAAGCGGGCGGGACGGCGTTAGTCAGCCGTAGTTCTACCCGTATCGCGCGCGCTAGCAAAGTAACGGATGGACCGACTTCGCATATCAATCCTCCAGCAACACCACGTCCAAGTTCACGTCCACAACACACCACGGCTCCCCACTCGCACGAAACGCTCAACATCCTGCGGCAAGGCAGAGAACCACTCTCTCTGGCAGACTGACCCTCTCGCCATCACATTGACGCCCACCATAGCAGCCTCAGCTTGCTGAGCTCGCTACCCGCCGCCATGTCGGACGGTAAGGCCCTTCCTCCTTCACCCCTCTCATCAATTCACGTCTCCATCGCGTACACCTCTGCTGACACTGCTGCAATAGCCGCCTTCGACAAGGTGCGACAGGCGCAGGCCGAGCGCAACGCAGGAAAGAAAGGCTTCAAAGACAGCTCGAGCCAACGCGCTGATACCAACAAGGGCGTCTCCCTCACCGAGAACTTTGACAAGGACCTGTATGGAAACGATTCGGGCGACAAATTTGCGGGCTATAACACGACCATCGATGTCAACGACGATGTGGACATGGAAGACGAAGGCGGCGACAGCGGCAGGCTGGTCGGCCAGTATACGGCGACCGATGCGCAGAGGAGCGAGTGGGCACAGGGCGAGACAGCCGAGGATGACATTCTGGAGAGCCGCGAGAAACAGGCGCAAATCGCAAGTCGCGAGACGGACTACCAGAAGAGACGTTTCCAGCGCGGATTAGAGGGCGATGGCGAGAAGACGTACAAGGAGATCATGGCTGAGCGGGAGATCCAACGCGAGGAGGACCGCGTGCGCAAGCTCATTGCGGAGCAGAACAAGGAGAAGATTGCGAATGGCGACGATGACGAGATGGAAGGAGTGGAGCACCGGGCGACGCTCAAGGACAAGACGCCTGAGCCTGCAGAGAAGACCAACGGTGACGCAGAGAAGCGGAAGCGGGCGAGAAAGAGGCGCTGGGATAATGGAGGCGAGGAGACGACCGAAGCGAAGGGAAGTGTGCCCACCAGTGATACGAATGGACAAGCCACGGATAGTGAAGTCGCCCCTAAGAAGTCGAGGTGGGACTCGCTGCCTGCGCCCGAGGCGGAAGCTGCACCATTGAAGAAGCGCTCCAAGTGGGATATGGTGTCTGCTGCAGGAGGAAGCGGCGGGCAGCCCAATGGAGCGCCAGAGGCGACCCCATCGGGACCCGTCATGGCCTTCGGTGGCGATCTCTCTGGACGCAACGCACCACTCTCCGATGAAGAGCTCGACGAGATGTTGCCCGGCGAGGGCTACAAGATTTTGATACCACCCCCTGGCTACGAACCGTTGCGTGCGCCCGTGCGACGGGCTGCGCCCTCTGCTACGCCTGCCCCAGGTGGTTTCATGAATCAGCGATCGGTCGACCCGCGATCGATGGGCAAGGCGCTGCCATCCGACATTCCTGGTGTAGGAGATTTGCAATTCTTCAAGGCCGAAGACATGGCATATTTCGGAAAGCTCGTGGACGGTGCTGACGAGAACGACTTGAGCGTGGAGGAGCTCAAGCAACGCAAGATTATGCGATTACTGCTCAAAGTCAAGAACGGCACGCCTCCCATGCGCAAGACTGCGCTGCGTCAACTCACCGACAACGCACGAAGCTTTGGCGCTGGACCGCTCTTTGACCAGATTCTGCCACTGCTGATGGAGAAGAGTCTTGAAGACCAGGAACGACATTTGCTCGTCAAGGTCATCGATCGTATCCTCTACAAGCTGGACGACCTCGTCAGACCGTATGTACACAAGATCTTGGTTGTGATCGAACCACTTTTGATCGATCAAGACTACTACGCGCGCGTCGAGGGACGTGAAATCATCTCCAACCTCGCCAAAGCAGCTGGACTGGCAACCATGATCAGCACAATGCGACCCGATATTGATCACGTTGATGAGTACGTGCGCAATACCACTGCTCGTGCATTCGCCGTCGTCGCTTCGGCACTCGGTATTCCTACGCTCTTGCCATTCCTGAAAGCTGTGTGCAAGAGTAAAAAGTCATGGCAGGCAAGGCACACCGGTGTCAAGATCATCCAGCAGATCCCTATCCTTATGGGTTGTGCTGTGCTCCCTCATCTCAAAGGACTGGTAGATTGCATTGGGGAGAATCTGAACGACGAGCAGGCCAAAGTGAGGACTGTCACCTCTCTCGCATTGGCAGCTCTGGCAGAAGCATCGAACCCATTCGGTATTGAGAGCTTCGACGATATTCTCAATCCCCTCTGGACGGGAGCACGCAAGCAGCGTGGCAAAGGACTGGCGGGTTTTCTAAAGGCTGTCGGTTACATCATCCCCCTCATGGACGAAGAGTATGGCAACTACTATACCTCGCAGATCATGGAGATTCTGCTGCGAGAATTCCAGTCGCCAGATGAGGAAATGAAGAAGGTTGTGCTCAAAGTCATCAGTCAATGCGCCGGTGGTGCTGGCGTCACAGCCGCATACCTCAAGGAGACCGTCCTCAACGACTTCTTCAAGAGCTTCTGGGTGCGCAGGATGGCACTGGACAAGCGCAACTACAAGCAAGTCGTGGAGACCACTGTCGATCTGGGTCACAAAGTCGGTGTGGGCGAGATTGTCGAACGCATCGTCAACAACCTCAAGGACGAAAGCGAGGCCTATCGCAAGATGACAGTCGAGACCATTGAAAAAGTTGTATCCGCTATGGGCGCTGCCGACATCAATGAACGACTGGAAGAGCGTCTGGTTGACGGCATTCTGCACTCATTCCAGGAACAGAGTGTGGAAGACGTCGTCCTGCTCAATGGTTTTGGTACCGTCGTGAACTCCCTTGGGACTCGATGCAAGCCATATCTGCCCCAAATTGTCAGTACCATCCTATTCCGGCTCCACAACAAGTCTGCGACGGTACGACAACAGGCTGCAGATCTCATCAGCCGCATTGCCATTGTGCTCAAGCAATGCGACGAGGACGTCCTTCTCGGAAAACTCGGTTCTGTACTGTACGAATACCTTGGCGAAGAGTACCCCGAAGTGCTAGGTAGTATCCTGGGCGCGATGAGGAGCATTGTTACCGTGGTCGGTATCAGCAGCATGCAGCCCCCTATTAAGGATCTGCTGCCACGACTGACACCGATCCTGCGCAACAGGCACGAGAAGGTGCAAGAGAACACGATTGATCTCGTGGGGCGTATCGCTGACCGCGGACCCGAGTCGGTCAATGCTCGAGAATGGATGCGTATCTGTTTCGAACTTCTGGACATGCTCAAAGCCCATAAGAAAGGCATTCGACGAGCAGCAAACAACACATTTGGATTCATTGCCAAAGCCATTGGACCCCAAGATGTGCTTGCTACTCTGCTGAACAATCTGCGTGTACAAGAACGTCAGTCTCGTGTGTGTACCGCCGTCGCCATCGGCATCGTGGCTGAAACCTGTGCGCCCTTCACGGTCTTGCCCGCACTCATGAACGAGTATCGCGTTCCGGAGCTCAACGTGCAGAATGGTGTCCTCAAGTCGCTCTCCTTCCTCTTTGAGTACATTGGCGAAATGGCAAAAGACTATGTCTATGCCGTCACACCACTTCTCGAAGATGCCCTCATCGATCGTGATCAGGTCCATCGTCAGACTGCTGCCAGTGTCGTCAAGCATATCGCGCTCGGTGTGGTTGGTCTGGGGTGTGAGGATGCGATGTTGCACCTGCTGAACCTCCTTTACCCTAATCTGTTCGAGACCAGTCCACACGTGATCGACCGGGTCATCGAAGCGATCGACGCCATCCGGTTGGCAGTGGGCACGGGCGCAGTCATGAACTACGTCTGGGCCGGTCTGTTCCACCCGGCGAGAAAAGTCCGAGTGCCCTACTGGAGGCTGTACAACGACGCCTACGTGCAGAGCGCAGACGCCATGGTTCCTTATTATCCCGCGATGGACGACGAGAAGATGATCAGGCACGAGTTGATGGTCGTCTTGTAGACCCCTTTTCACAGGGTGGGGGAGAGAGCAAGTGTGGCCTGAGCAGTGTCATGCTCGACTAGTCTGCACAGCGCAATGTCGCAGATTCCGCTCGCACAGCCTGCGCATACCACGAGGCATGATGTTTGTGGTGTGTATAACAGAAGCAACCCGGCATGGGACAGATGTCCCGGTATGCCCTACCTTCAGTGTAGCTAGCTATTAGAACGACATACGGTAGTTCAAGTCTTAGAACTACCACCGAAAACATTTTGTCGCCTCAAGATTTTCACTTTTCTCCATTTGATTCCATTCCTGCTTTCCTCTGTGACGCCGCCCTATTGACCATTGATAGCTTCTTCGAACGGTACGTGCAGTACGTACATGTATTCTCGTTCGACATCCGAAGTCAGGTATTTGTGGCACCACCGTGGTGGGGGCCCGAGTGATCGGCCCATCGGCGTCAAAATTTTCCCCACCACAAAGAATTCAATAATTTGGGCAGTCATATACAGTTTTCCCCATTCCCCTATCATCAAATACAACCCCTTGCCGGGGTAGCTCAATCGGTAGAGCGTGTGGCTCTTATGATAACCGTAATGGTTGTTTACAGAACACCTCAAGGTCGTGGGTTCGAGCCCCACCTTCGGCTATTCCTATACAATTTATTTTTTGGTTTCTTTTTGGTTTGGTTTGGTTTTTTGTTCCTACTTTTTGAAAGCTAGACGTCTTCCTTCTTTTCCAGGTATTATCTATTGGGAGATACTAGCCCTCTGCGTAGACTACATGTACCTTAGTCTTTGACTCGGACAGGTTGGCCGTCATCATGCAGTACTGGGTCATCCACGTCCGCTCATACTGTGCCGCAGGCAAGGCAGCAGCGAGGCACACGATTGGAACTGGGATAGGCATAACTGTCGACTGGTGCTCTTCACATGCTTCAGCACATCTGCTCCGGGCGCCTCGCCGGCTGGCGACAGAGGATTGGACAAGCTCGGGCGTGAAGGAAGCAGGCCAGGCGCCAGCGACGTTTGGATTGGCTTCAACATGCAGGGCAGGCCCAATGCATCCTCAACATCATCAACATCACCATCATCATCCTCATCATCCTCATCCTCATCGTCATGATGATCTCGTACTGTGCACTTACAACCACTTCCTCGCATATGAATGCCACTTGCAATGACTCAAGCGACTGACTCTGAGACCACAGTCCGCAGCCTCGTCGAGAGAACACCCGACTCATTGTTGCCTACAGAATCGGCAGAATCAGCACCTCTAAAGTGTTCAAGCAGACCACAGCCCGACGAGAACCTCGCTGCCATGGCAATTGCCACCTCACCTGGGACGTTGCAAAGAAACCAGGGAGAGAGTAGTGCGTCGGACGAAGCAGAGAGGCCTCAGCTTCGCTCTTGCTACGATGTGATGATGTTTGAAGCATTCGACATCGAAACCGGCGCATTCACTCGATGCTTCTGGACCCACTTTGATACCGAACAGCGTGCTTGGATGGGCCAAACCACCCAGATGAGAAAGTATGATCTCTCATTGGAAGACATCGTCCTCAATCTTCGAAGAATCCCCGACGAAAAAGCGTTCCCTACATCTCCTCAACAGCTCACCTTAGCGCCGCCCGTCTTCGAGCCAGTCAAACATTACCTCAAACGTCCTCAAATCGACTGGTTGTCTGGAGATGAGGAATCTACATTGGTCCCGCAGATGCATATCGAAGAAATGCAAACTCTGGAATATCTGCGGCGGCATCCGCATCCGAATATTGTCACCTATCACGGCTGTGTGGTTGCGCGAGGACGGATTGTGGGGATTGTGCTTGAGCGGGTGTGGAAGACTTTGTATGAATATTTTCTTGATCTCGACTATTTCCCCGATAATGATGATGATGATGATGATGATAATGACGACGACGACGACCATGACGACGATGACGACGATGCTGCTGCTGCTGATGCGCCTCTCAACTCCACATCAAACTCCAACAACAATAACAACCCTCAACCTCCCCTCAACATACCCCTCCTCGAAGAACAACTCAAATCCGCAATCGCACACATCCATTCCCTCGGTCTAGCGCATAATGATTTAAAACCTTCAAATCTAGGTCTATTTCTAGATGAAGATGAAAAAAAACCATCATCCTCAGCTAGTAGTGATTGATTGGGGCTCGTGTAAGAAATTTGGCGAGGAGTTGATTTCGGCGGGTACTCCCGGGTGGACTCATGAAGAAGGAGAGGAAGAGGATGATGTGATTCTTTCGAAGCCGGAACATGATTTGTTTGCGATTGGGAAGGTGGGGGATTGGATGAGGATGAAGATGGAGGGGAAGGGGAAGGGGGTGAGGAATATGATGGGAGATGAGTAGGTAGGAGACTGGATGGGGTAACACTGCGCAAGTGGAAGCCGGTGGGTTTGTTTAGCGAGTCGATGGTGCTTTGGGAAGAGTACCTACATGGGAAAAATCTGAGAGCACGGGTGGTCGTTTGTACCTATCTGCCTCCTTCACTTCCCAAACAGCCTCATCTCAACCCCAATCACTCATCATCAGTCTATTCTTCTTTCCCGAAAGCAGGTCTTTCGCTTGATTCAAACTAGACGTCGACTCCCTATATCCTGTGACATAATCGATAGGGTGTGCGCGGGGCGTACTACTCGTCAATATGTCTGTCTGGAGCTCCCTAGATAGAATGAAGTACCTCCACGGGCACGCATCGTCTGGCCTTTAAGGTTTCGGTAGACCAATCAAGCGCGGGCTCCATGTCTGATTCATGTCAAGACAGCGGCAGAGCGGGCAGCTCCGCTAATGATTAATCCAGTTCTACGGCCCGCCTGAAATTTGGAGCTCTACTCGATGCTCCGAACTCCATCCTCCTCGGCCTCGTTCCATCACATTGCTCGAGTTGCTCCATTTCCTCGAGCCCAGTTCGATGACAGGCAGCCTAGCTCTGATCAACACTCAACACACCACGCTGATCGCAGCGCCCACAACCCTCCACCCATCTAACATTAGCCTCTCCCAAATCACGCTCGCCCGCACACGAACACGTCGGATTGGCTAGTAAGGGCTTCGACAACACAACATACGTGGTCAGCACAGCATGTCTGACCGGAGACTGCAGTCAGGGCGCGACGACCGGCGCCGCCATGAGGACCGCCGCGACAATCGACGCTCGCGCTCGCCGCACCACCGCCGACGCGATGGTGGACTAGAGATGGACAGCTACTCCTCCAGCCGTGGCTATCGCGAGAGAGAGCGCGAAGAGCGCTACCAAGGAGGTGGTGGTGGAGGACGTGACCGCGACGACAGAGGTTGGGGCAGAGACCGTGTCTCAGACCGCAGAGACGCGAGACGCGACGATGGAGGACGGCGCCGCGATGACCGCCGTGGTGGAGATCGACCGGACCTGTTTGCAGACAGACGTGGTGGCCGCCGCGACGACCGTGATGACCGCAATGGACGCGGAGGTGGACGCGACGGTCCAGATCATCGCGATCGCGGCCAGGATCGTGACGATATGAGGCAGCTTGAGCGCCAGATCAAGCGCGAAGCCAGCGGCTCACCACCACCGAAGAAACCAAGAGAGCCAACGCCGGACTTGACGGACGTTGTGAGCGTTCTGGAGAGAAAGCGTCGATTGACACAGTGGGACATCAAGCCTCCTGGCTACGACAATGTGACTGCTGAGCAGGCCAAGCTGTCGGGCATGTTTCCTCTTCCTGGCGCTCCACGGCAGCAGCCAATGGACCCAGCTAAACTGCAGGCTTTCATGAACCAGCCAGGAAACCAGGCAAGCAGCTCGGCATTGAAGCCTTCTAGTGCACGTCAGTCCAAGCGTGTCATGGTGCATAACCTTCCACCATCTGCCACAGACGAGAGCATGGTCGACTTCTTCAACCTGCAACTCAACGGCCTGAACATCACCCGCGGTGTCGATCCATGCATTTCCGCTCAATGCAGCAAGGACAAGACATACGCGCTTGTCGAATTCAAGACTCCAGAAGATGCGACCAACGCCATGGCTCTCGATGGCATTACTATGGACCACGACGCCATGGACACGAGCGGAGCATCGAATGGCGCACCGAAAGGCCTCCAGATCAAGCGTCCTCGAGATTACATTGTGCCCAACGTCATCGACGAGACTGAGAACGAATCTGGACTACTGTCTAACACTGTCCCGGACACGCAAAACAAGATCTCTATCACTAACCTGCCTTCTTTCTTGGCCGAGGAGCAGATTCAGGAGTTGCTCATGTCCTTTGGCGAACTCAAGAGCTTCGTTCTGGTTAGGAATCAGTCGAGTGGAGAGAGTCGCGGCATCGCGTTCTGCGAGTACAAGGATCCCAGCGTGACCAAGGTTGCCGTGGATAGTCTCAATGGCATGGAGTTGGCAGACACTGCGATGCGCGTCAAACTGGCCAGTATCGGTATTCAGCAAGTCAGCAGCGAGATGAGCGTCAACGCCATGAGCTTGATGGCTGGTGCAAAGTCGACCGATGCGGACAATGGCCGTGTGCTCGCCTTGATGAACATGATTACACCGGAGGAACTGATGGACCCAGATGATGCTGACGGTAAGACACTACTGACCTTGGCCCACAGTCCTACGTATACTAACCTATTCCTTGCAGAGATTCTCGAGGATGTCAAGGAGGAATGTGCCAAATACGGTCCGCTGCTCGAAGTCAAGATGCCTCGACCTACAGGTGGCTCTCGCCAGAGCACTGGTGTTGGCAAGATTTATCTCAAGTACGAAACGTCCGAGCACGCTGCGAAGGCTTTGGCTGCATTGGCAGGCCGAAAGTTCGCGGATCGCACCGTCGTGGTCACTTACTTCGGCGAAGAGTACTTTGATGTCAACGCCTGGTAGAAAGGCATGTACCTGTACTCGCTGTGATCTCCATCGAATTGTTCACGTGGCAGCAATGATGGCAGGTAGCACGGCACGACAGATGGATATAGAATAGGAGAGCGGATGGCTGCACTTCGCTCACCGAGAGCTTCGTATTGGTCGTGAATGGCGACCTGCAAGTCAGCCAAAGATGTCCGACTAGCTGTAGATGGCCTACTGAAGGGGACTAGCTAGTGACGGGACGCTACGGACGACTTGCGAGGCTGCTGCTGTACTATACATGTACTGTTTTGAAGCGGCGCACATGATCAAAAGTAGTTTCATGCGCAGCACGTTCAAGACATTGAAAACTTGTCAATCGCGTAGCTCATTCTCACCTCCGCCGTATATAGAATGGCAAAAGGAGGTAAGGTTCTCAGAATCCTGGCACCTTAGGCTGGTGCCTGACGTCTTGACGAGTGACGAGGAGCACTCAGCCACTCATTGTTGTGGTTTTGGCTCCACGAGCTGAGACAGAACATCGCTCCTGATCGACACTTCAAAACTCCCCACTGCCCGCCGACCTCTACACTTCACTTTCACATTCTACCCCTGCAACAACTTCCAATCTACCTACCTACACAACCAGTTCCCAACCATGCCTTTCGGTCTAAGCAAAAAGGACAAGGAGAAGGACGGAGATCTCGAGGCCAAGAAGTCGTCACTCTTTGGTGGGAGGTCCAAGGGCAAGTCAGGCTCGCCTGCGCCTGCATCCAGCAACCCATACGCCGTGCCACCATCGGGGACCGATCCATACGCGAAGAGCAGTGGAAACCCGTACGCCAATCAAAGCAATAATGACCCATATGCAAGAAGTGCCAGCAACTTGTCACAACCGCCCACGAGTTCGTTTGGAAGCTTGAGTTTAGCGGGAGATAAAGCTGCGCCCCCGGCGTACGCCAACAGCGGTGGCGGCCCTGCGCCCAACAGATATGACAAGAGCCCTGTGCCGGTTGGAGGGTATGGTGGGGGGCCTTCGCAGCGGCCTGGTTATGGTGGACAAGGCAGTTCTTATGGGCAGGTGGGCGGCTATGGCAGCGATCCATATGGCAACGGCCAGCCTTCGCACTCGAGATATGGAGCCGGCAGCTATGGAGGATTGGGCAGGACGAACAGCAACGAGACTATGAACACACAAGCCGGGAGAGACGCCCTCTTCGGTGATGCTGCGACACGAGCGCAGAGTCGACCAGCACAGCAAGAAGGACAGCTTCCTCATGAAGGTGGCGATGCCAGCTATAGCAACACAGGTGGCTACGACTCAACGGAAATGCCCGGCGGATATGGTTCTGGTCCTCCGCGAGAACTCACGGCGGAAGAGCAAGAGGAGGAAGACGTGAACGCTGCGAAGCAGGAGATCCGATTCATCAAACAACAAGATGTTGCATCTACTCGGAACGCGCGCAGAATCGCAGAGCAGGCTGAACAGACTGGACGGGAGACTTTGGCCAGACTGGGGGCACAGGGAGAGCGCATTCATAACACGGAACGAAACCTGGATATGGCGTCCAACCAGAACCGTCTAGCGGAGGAAAAGGCGAGAGAACTGAAGACACTGAACAGAAGCATGTTTGCAGTTCACGTGGCCAACCCCTTCACTGCCAACAAGAGAGAGCAAGCGGCCAATGCCATCGCACTGGAGAAGCACCAAGCTGAGCGGAGACAGGCTGATGCCACGCGCGCGGAAGCGTACAGCACAACGGCGAGACATCAGGCACAGCAGCGGGATCTCAACGGCAACGTAGTGCGACAGCAGAACCAGAAGAGTTTGGCTGATCGGGCCAAATACCAGTTCGAGGCTGATAGCGAGGATGACGAAATGGAGAATGAAATCGATGATAACTTGTGAGTTGCATTCGACAGTGTCTTTTTGTCCTGTCATCTTACTAATTTCACTCCAGGGACGCCATTCATCGCGGTGCTCGAACGCTCAATCAGCTGGGCAAGGCCATGGGCGAGGAGATTGATACCCAGAACAAGCACATTGACCGCATCATCAACAAGACGGACAAGGTGGATGACCAGATTGCCGTCAACAGAGCTCGTTTGGACCGCATCAGCAAGAAGGGTTAGAGGGGGTTATTGGTCTGGCGTAAACTACTTCATGGTGGGAGCGTTCTCGATGCATGGGTACCTCATAGATTAGGCTCCACACAGTACAACATATGGATTCCTGTTCACAGTCTACTACATATATATACCACTATGAGCGGACTCTGTTCCCGTTACATGTATGTGGCTTAGGTACTCTATCCATATATCGAATAGGGTTGTATACAGCCCGACCCCCACCTTCTCAGCGGACTGCTCTCCGCTTACTGTAGGAGGTACCTATCTTGGTATCCTCGTGCTCGTGCTACGTCACAGTATTTCAGCTTCAGCCCACCTGAAACTCGTCAGGTTTCGTGCTTTCGTCGGAGACAACCTTGGAACTTCACCTTCACCAGCCTATCACTCGCACCATCTGTGTGTGTGTGTTTCGATCCTCATACCTCACATTCACCCTCAAAGATAGGTATCGCTGAAATCTACAGACTTCGAACAGCGCACCAACCAACGCGACTCGCGTGATGCCTACCTAAGCGCAACTTAATAGGTACAGGTAGTCAAGGAACACTCACTCACCTTCGCCGTGATCAAGTTGCGCGTCGACTATTTCAGCTACTCGCGATGCCTCCTCGCTACTTCAAGAACGATGCGACGCCCGCACGACGAGGTGAGACACTCTTCTTTTCGAAATCGCCTTGGGTAACCGACAGCACTAATGCGTATACAGACCCGCGTCGCCAGCTTGAAGCCTCCCTCACACGCCTCATAACAGAATACCCTCCCTCCTCCATCAAACCCGGCGGTGGTCTCTTCAAAGGGCCAGTCAGTGTCGCCTACGCCTTCCTCGTTCTACAAGGCTTGTACCCGGATTTCGAGATCGAAGGCCATCCCCTCGGCGTCTGGTCAGCTGCCTACCTCAAACATGCGCAAGACAATATTGCCTCGTATCCTGGACCTCAGGTGGGAAAGTGTGGGATTACAGACGACATACTCGCACTCCTTGCCATAGGAGCTGCCAGTTCAAAAGACGCGGATATGGCATCAGATCTGTGCGATTACAGCGCTGAAGTACTGGAAGAGGATACCGAGAATGAACTCCTCTTTGGTCGGGCTGGATATCTCTATCTGCTGAGACTTGTCAAAGCTTCTTTCATGGATGAGCCAAAGACTTTGCAGTTGATCACGGACACGCAAGATGATGTCGTAGATGCAATTCTGGATACCCCGCGGCCTTGGAAGTGGCATGGAAAAGCTTACATTGGTGCTATCCATGGTGCCATGGGAATCATTACACAAGTCGTGCTGACGAACCCGAAGAAGTATGCAGAGAAGTTGGAGGCGGAGTTGGCGGTGCTGTTGACGTACCAGTACGACTCCGGTAACTTCCCAAGCAGTGTACCTCCTGAGAGGGATCGATTGGTCCAGGTATGCCACGGCGCACCCGGTGTGGTCACGAGTTTGGAGAGTATCAAGGAATACTTCCCAAATCTGAAGGACCGGATCGACAAGGCGATTATGAGGGGGAGGGAGTGTATTCTGGAGCGAGGTCTTCTGACGAAAGAGCCATGTTTGTGTCATGGAATTTCGGGGAATGCGCTGGCGCTAGAAACAAAGGACTTTGAGCATTTCCTCACGTATACCACTGGACATGAGATGAAGTCCATGGAAAAGGATGGTATGCTGGAGCAGTCGAGCGCACCCGAGTCTCTCTTCCAGGGGGAAGCTGGACGAGCGTGGACTTGGGCTGTGAGTGAGAAAGGCTTGCCGAAGAGGATCCTGGGATACAATGATTTGTAGTGGTCTGTTCACGACTGCGAGGCACTCGATGAGCGAGAGGATGGCCGAATGACATGACCTCCCGGCCGGGCAATAGCACATGGAGACGACGTTATGACCCACAGCAGGAGAAACTCCGTACCTACCTAATACGAGGCCGCAATTCACAGGCGAGACAACCGGCGAACGTGACTTGCTCCTTTTTTTCAACCAGAGTAGCGCATTTTCCCAGTTCCTGTGCTCCTGTTTGTGTAGTAGTTGGTCGGTGTCCATGTCAACTTGGCATCGTTACCGCACTCAGCGCACTGACGGCGTTCTAGTGAGCACATTCCTTGCTGTTAATGCTTGGCTGCGAGCTCCCACCACTCCCATTTCCGGACAAAGCCCTGTCCTTGAGTGTGTTGACGAAAGCGTCTTGGAATCGGCGCGGCATGGCATGGCATGTTTGTGTTTTCCTTGTCCCACACACCATGGATGAATACCTACCTACCTCCCTGAGTTCTACAGTACGTCGTCAAGTTCATGTTCATGTCCAAGTCTGAATTCTGGAGTGTGATGGCTGCCCGGAACCCGAAGTCGCACCCTACCAATCAACTCGTCAATGGAGTCTGGTTCGCAACGGCAGAAAGATTCTATTCAAATGCTAAGTTTTGGCCCAAGCACAATTAAGCAATAGCGGTCCACGGCTCCACCAGACTAAGGTAATCTAACAAACTTAACCTCGAACCCTTCGGTCCCTTTTGAATTTCGAAATATTCCATCGTTATTCCTGATTGATTATTATTGAGTGTGCTTCCGACTGCTTCGTCGTGAGTCTGTGACTTCCCGTCCTTCCAAGTGCTGGGCAGTTGTCACATGCCAGGGAAGCTGCTGTTGCTGCTGCTGCTTCATTTCTGGCAAGGTCCGTGAATAAGGCTCGTTACACATGAGGTCAACTGGTACCGACCGCCTTACCTCAGCTACCTTACTTAGCTTGACTTGTACATTGACACACTTGTGCATCACTTCAAACATCGCCGCGGCTTCTGCGAACAACACCTCCGGAGTACAGTGAGACGGCAGGGAGTAACAACATTGTGCACCGCTGGCACGTCACACAGTCTCAACACGTGGAGCGAGAAACATCGGAGGGAGGACAAGATCGCATCGAACGCTATAAGTACCTTACGCCCTATCTGGTAATATCGACGCCATCATGCTCTCACCTCACAGCTCGCCCTCGTCAAGTCCGTCCGCTTCCAGCATGAGTTCGCCGGAGATTCGAGTCACAGATGATCATGGTAACGGCGCTGTCGTTCAGCTTCCCGCGGCTTTGGCTGAACAAATCATGGTTGAGCAACGAACTCGCGCTTTGACTTTCGAGGTACCAGTCGCTGAGAAACAGCTGGAAATGCACGCTCGGCCTGCGTCACTCCGATCTGCCTCTTCAGAAACTGCCATGGAACCACTCGTCACCTTGAAACCGGCACCTACCTCAAATCCACTCGATTCACCAGTCAGTCTGAGAGGTAAGGGGAAAGAGGTGAAGCGTGTTGCCTCTGCTCACGGATCCCTTCGAATGTCTCTCAAGTCAATGACCTCCGCTGGCCTCCTGTCATCGAAGAAGAAGCACGCCACTGACGATGGAAAATCATCGACCGGAACTAGCGGTGCAGCGAGCCCAACTCAGGTAGACACACCAGAGGTCAAAGTCATCCTCGCGAAGAAGACCTGCCCTGATCTGGATGCTGTATCTCGTGCTCTCGAGTCTCTGGGATGTCAGGACCGTCCAACGAGTGACCCACTTGTGCTCAATCTCAAGTCTCTGGAGCAGAAGATCAAAGGCGCCCGCGAGGACTGCTCGAAGATGTTGACGAGAGCCATGCAAGCTCGCGATCGTCAGCAATACGAAGTGTGTCGCGCTCTCTGTATTCAAATCGTACAGAATCAGCACTCGAAGGTGGAGACCCGAGTGTATGCGTACAATATCCTCTCGACTCAAGCGTCTCCCGGCCAGGCCATGAACTTTCTCAAGGAAGCCGCCAAATTGGCGAAGCAATGCGAGGGGCCGGAGAAGGACAAGTTGACATCGATTGTTGCCATGTTACAAGAACATGCTCTCAGCAAGGAGAGCAATCGTGACGCTACGAAGAACAACGAGGCCATTGTGGACTTGGGCACATTCCAGAGACGTCCGACGATGCCCAAGATGAAGATGCCTTCGGACGCAAATGTTTTGCAACTGCCCAAGGATCACATGCCTCGAGGCGCGATGACTCCCAAGTCGGAGAAGATTTTCAACTGGGCGTTGCCGAGCAAGGCCAAAACGGCTGTGGCATAGGATGCTTCGTCGTCCAGGAATAGCTCCATTGGTTCCCAGCAGGAATAAGGCAGACTGACAGAGCTTTAGCGTGGTGTCCGGCGTTTTGGTGGGACAAAAAAACAAGAAGCCGACGGGACCGGAGTATGTGGCGTTTGATGATTGGGTTTCATGCTGTACCTGCTCAGTGCTTACTGGCACTGATGGATACGTACATGTACCTTAGTAGGGCTGTCCCTAAAGGCAGCTACATACAGATTCTGTACCATGCATGGCACTGAAAGCCTTGCAAAACTTACCAATGCTCCATTGGAGTCAGTCTTCTTCTTCTTCTTCTTCGTTCTTTCAAGTTCCCTTCACTTTCCTGCATTTCCAGCACAGCCGCTATGTCCACAAGTACCTCAGTAGGTATCTGATCCTTCACCAAGCGCAAGCCAGCCTCTTCAATCCACTTTTTTGATCCGAGCAAAATCAATATCCAACATCAGCAAAGCGTAAACTCCAGCCAGCACTTGCGGATCCAGCTGTGCTCGCATCACATTTTGATCCTCCAAACCAGCTCGAAGACGCTCAATCGCAGCGCGGAACGTACGTCGCCAGGCTGGCCAGTGTTCGCGAGCCATGGTGTCGCGAGAATTTGCAACGCGGGAGCCTTTTAGTTGTAGTTTCAGAGCTCGCTGTCGAAGGTACTTTTTGGGAGGAACTGGTCCTGGTACTGGAGATGATGGGATGGAGGAATCCTTCAATGCCGAGATGAGGATGATGCAGTCGTGAATGAGCTTTTGTCCTTGTCCGCGGGTTATTGGTGCGGGGTGGGGAGGAAGGAGGGAGGAGGAGGTGGTGGTGGTGGATGGGAAAAGGGGTGCGAGAGAGTGTGAGAGGGAAGAGTGTGAGAATGCAGAGAGTCGGATGGGAGGAGAGTGAGGTGGCGCGTGGAAAGTCACTTCCACGCCGGGCAGAAGTCGGACAGGGTACAGGAGGCTTTGCAGGCTCTCGAAGGTGCTTGTTGCATCGGGTTTCATCTCGATGCGGAGGCGGCGGAGGCGGTTGCCGTTTCGAAGCATGAGGCATAGTGAGTAGAGTGTGTTGCCCATGGATTCTCCACGCTTATCACGCAATGTGTGGGTTTGTGAGCGCCATGGAGAAGATGGAAATTTCAGGCGCATGTATCGAACGCGGCGGAGAAAGTCGGGCCAGTCGAGTTGGGTGAAGTCCTGCTCCTTGGTCATGCCTGAAGGCCCGTAAGTTCCACAGCCGAGCCCATGTGAGTACACTCCATCAGGCCCAATCTCGACGTTGATGTAGTTCAGGGTGTAGGGCAGGCCACTGGCTTCTGCATTGACCGCTTTCGACGTCCGCAAAATCTGCGGGAAACACGTGGATTTCCTTCCTCTCAGTGTGAGCAGATCCTTGTAGATGATATTTCGCAGTTCTAGTAGTTCTACAGTCAGCATTTAGGAAAGAAAATGATAGCTAGCTCCTCCCCCATGAGGTAGGTCGAAACTTGCCGGCTGGAAGGTCGAGGAATCGGAAAATGTTTTGATCTGCATCCTTGAGTGCTACAATGTAGTCGAAGCGATGGGGAGTCTTTGATCCGCCCGACGGGACTGGCAGCCGACGCTTCGTGGCGAGAGCCACCAGCTCGGCCTTCTTGTACTTTCGATATTGCCTCGGGGTATCACTGCGTGGTGGAGACATTTTTGCCGAGTAAGTCAAGTGTTTTGGTGGGTCAGTCGCGGTGTGGGTGTGCCAGATGAAGAAGAACGGAGAGTCGACGACAGAGATTAAAATATGGTAGCAAGAAACTGCAGTACCTACATAGTGAAGCGCTCCTCAGAGGTTTTCTGTTAGTGACAAGTGCACTGGTGACAAGTGAACTGGTGACGGTTGTTCCTTTGTTCTCAAGCTCATCTTATGCATATTTTCCATATCCTCCCGGAGTAACCCATTCCCAGGCCATGATCTGAAGCGCCTGATACGAGACCTGTGGAGTGAAGGATAGGGAACGTTGACATTGTTGACCGGGTGTCGTCTACGAGGACTGGGGCAGATGATGGAGGCGTGCACGTCGCGAAACCACTAACTACCTCTTCCATGGGATGGGGTTCCCGAGTAAGTGAAGTCGGACTTGAATACCTAGCGTGGCGGTGTGAGGTGTCAGTGTGAGGAGGTAGCTCATCATCCCTTGGCATGTGAAGACGCCGCGAATTAAAGTGAAGTGGCTCCGCTCCGAGTCAGGTGCCGAACGATGGCTGAAGCACCTTCCCTCTTCCCTGGCCGCGTCTGACGCCTCAGGCATCAGTCAAGTGCCTCCGAGACACATCCATGAGCGCGGGAGCCGACGATGGTCGCGATGGCGATGTTGCCTTTTATGTAGCCTGCTTCAAGTTGATATGAGGGAAGAACGAGTCGAGCATCATCACGAGCAGACTCAAGGAGGGAAGGAGGTCAGAGGGAAAGAGGGAAAGAGGGAAAGAGGGAAAGAACGAAAAGAGGCGGCATCAAATACTCATTTAGAGTTGCCATGTCTCGGCAGGACCACTTCCCTGTGACGCGTGATCCTCCGCTCTGGTGCCTTCCGCCTGTTGGCACTCCTTCCTCCCGCCATATCTCGACTTCGTTGTCTACCTACTTTCTTCATCTTCACCAGGAGCAACATCGACGGGACATACTAAGTTGAGAACCGACTTCATTCCTTCCACAGCCCTCCTGAGTGTGCTGACCTCAAACAACACCCGGAATGCAGCTCCCACCCTCATAATCAGCCCTCCACTATCTGCATCAGCCCTCGAATGCCTTCGAATCCGCCCTGTCTTTCACTCCAGAATCTGCATCGAGGCCACCGACGACGCCGCCGCTGCCTTTTCTTCGACATGGAAGTCCTCTCTATAGCCGATTTTGAACAGGAGCAGATGGCGGAACTCGATCACAATATGGCATCAGCAATTGACCAGCTGGTCAGCCTGACACAGCCGGAAGTCTATGGGCCGACCCTCCAAGATCTGCTCTACCGCTTTGGCAATCTGAGTCTCGACGAGGATGCCTCCAATCCGCATTTCGACTTCTCTCTTCCCTCTACCTGCCAGCAGTGGCCTGGACCACGATTTGGCGCTTTCTCTCTCCACAAAGCAATCACTAAGCCTTCCAGCAAATCCAAAGCTAAGCGACCTGGAGCGGATGGCCATAACAGGATCGTCAAGCTGCCGAAGCCGCATCCGAGACCGCTCAAGATGAAGCCGATAAGTGTCACCGCTCCCAAGGTTTGTACATCAGTCGCCTCTCGAGATCCGCCCCTTCGCCTGCTTGATCTTCCCGCAGAGATACGAAATCTCGTGTGGAGTCTACTGGCTGTTCACGAGGAGCAGCTTGAAGCCCAGCTGCGACAGATCAGACCTTGCAAGAAGCTCACCACTCACCGTAAAAGCTTCGTCCGACGCTTTCCCCAAGAGCCGGTCGTTGCAATGGTCAACAAACAGGTGCGGCGAGAGGTTCTCTCCATCTTCTACGGGACCAATCACTTTTGCTTCGAAAGGAACGCATGTGCCAGGTTTGCCAAGTACAGCATGCTCAATCCGCCCAACATGCTAAAGTGGAAGCCCACGGGGGACTTGGCAGGCTTCCTCACGTCTATCGACCTCCGATTCAATGCACTCCCGAGGACGCTCGGCATGGTACAGATCGTCTATGACCTGAAGCGCAAACCAGATGGGTGCATCACGGTGGATGTCACTGTCGAGAAGACCACTGGCAAGAAGATCAAGAAATTTGATGGCGAACAGTTCTGTTTGTGCGATGAATTGAGCGTTGCAGCAGCGATCGTGGCATCGAATGAAATGGATCGCGAGCGGGACCTTGCGGACTGCGCGATGAACGTGGTTCGAACGCGACATGATAGGCTATTCGCAGGACCAGCCATGCAAACGACGAAGCTCGGTAATTTCTTCCCTCCCAGCCAAACATGCATGATATGTGAGAAGGCGACTTTCGAGATAGTTTACAGCGGCCTATGAGGAGGAGTGCCAAGGAGGGGATTCGTGCGAGGTGATTGGTGGTACTTGCTGCGAAATGAATCACGAGCGTCTACGGTAGCGAAGAATGTGCTCTACGAAATATACCCTTTTGTTTGCTTCATACAGGGCAAAATGTCTAATCGGACTCGGCCCGAGTGGTAATATCCCGTCCCAGCTACCTCCTAGTACTATAGCTGCTTTATCTTGACCGCCCCTCGAGTAGTGATATTGTGGACAAAGTTCCAGCTAGAGAGTTGCGAGCACTAGTCACTTTGGATTTGCACACTGTACTTACCTGATCCTCGGGAAATCTCCCTTTATTCGATCGCGAGCAATATAGCGTGCAAAAGAACGGCTAAGACGAGCCGGCTGCATACCTATATAGCAGGAAATGCCAAATCGAAAGGCATGAAGTGCTGCCGCTGCTATCAAAACGGAATGTCAAAAAAACTAACATGTCTAGCCAAGGGGCCTCTCCGGGATTCGAACCCGGGGCCTGTCACAGACGAGCAAGAGTGAACCTCTGCTGGGAGAACCCGAAGCGACAATCATACCACTAGACCAAGAGGCCGATATTGGTCCGAACAATCTGCAAAACAAATATGTAGATTAGAGGATAGTTTAGCCTGAATGTTCATCCGCTTGGGGTTGGGTGGTTACTAGGGAGGTAGCTCTTGGTTCGGGATTTGCGATATTTGCTTGGTTACTTACTTACTTTTAGGTACTTTTAGGTACTTCTAGGTAGGAGGTAGGAGTGGTGTGAATTCATGACCTTACCTTACGGGCTGTTCTACTGTTGGAGATGGAATGGATGAAATGAGTTTTGTGTAAGGAGGATTTCTGGGATTTTGTGAATGTGATAGTCAACGAGAAGATTAGGCAGGTTTGCATGGGAAGCCTCTCTCCTCTTCTGGAACTTCTACCTTTTTGGCAACGAAAAATGGAAGCTCGCTTATGGTGTTTTAACTTGTGCCAATTCTACTACAGATGTACGTTAAGCCTCCAAGAATGATGTTTGTTCGTTCGTCCGTTCTGACCGGATTGGATTGGATTGGGATGATTCCAGCATCTCCAGAAAAACCAAGCGGACGGTAGGAGCATGATACATCGAACCCTTACCAAAACTGCCCTCATTCATTTATACCTGATATCTCCAGAAAAAGCCCGCCCTCCCCATCCCCATCACCAAACCCCCAAACCCCCCTCCCTCCCTCATCTCCATTTCCCTCCAACTACTTTCCCCCCTTCTTCCCCTCATCCCTCCCCCTCTGATCATACAACTCCCGATTCTCCAACCCTCCCTTCCCAATCCCCGCCGAACCGATTTTCGCTTCAATTCGCTCATGAGCCTCATGAATCAATCCAATGTGTCCTCGCAAGGTGCCTTCGATTTCGTCTGCGCGCGCTTCGTTTTCTTCGAGGCTGTAGGAAATTTGGTTTTGGAGATAGTAGGTTGCTCCGCCGGTGGCGCAGAGGTTGAGGATGCTGAGGAGGAAGGTGGGTTTGGTGTAGAGGGGTGGTGGCATGGTAATTCTTTTATGTTTTTGTGTTGTGTTGTGTTGCGTTGCGTTGCGTTGCGTTTTTGTTTCGTTTGCTTTGCTTGTTTTGTGGTGGGATGATGGTATCTGTCGTCCTTTCTTTCCTTGGTGCTGGGTTGGCTTTCTAGATGTGTTTGTTGCTTGAGGTTGATGATACATGTACGTCTCGAGAGGGTCGATCATATACGTCATGACGGCATTGACTTTTGTTCGTACATACAAGTCAATTCATGTTGTTCTTATGTTTTCCAATGCGAACAGATAAACCTGTACGTAGCGTTCTCAGATGCAATGAATCAACAGGCGCATGACTGTTGTGCAGGTTGGGAGAGGTATGCTTGCAACTCGTGACACTCAACACATTCACTTCTCATGTGGGGGCGACAGAATATCAGGACTGCTTCATTGAGTCCACCATCTACCAACTTCGACACTTCTTGTTATTGATATTGCTTTGCAGGCACGCATCGAATAGAGAGCTATTCTAGCGCAGGCTGCTCATGGTTCCCGTAATCCAGTTTACTCGTGAGACCTGTGCACCTAGTGCCACACCGGGCTGGTGCCAGGCACTGTTTGTCCTTGCCCCTTGGTAGACTAACCAATGATCATCTTTCCCCTGTAAGTACAACGGCCCTTCTGGAAGCGAGTCATCGCGGGTTGACATCCAAGTCCAGGACTCCGGAAGCATTGCGATGTCTTCTCTATCGAACATGCCGTGTCTCGACTTCTGCCTTGTAACCACACTCTGACACTGCTGTCTGCTTTCATGGTTACACTGGATTTGAGCTTTGAACGTTTGGTGATTGAAGATGTAGCTCTGAGGCTGCAACCTATGCCAACAGTCTTGGTGGCAAGCAAGCGAGGGCAATGCTCTTCACTTCTGGCAAGCAAGATGAGTCCAGAGAAACGAGCTCCGTCATCTGTTAGCACGAGGAGCACCATTATCTGACTCATACTTCAGCCTCAATTCCGTCACATTCCGCCATTGATGTTCCCAGTCATAGTCTGGCCATCCTTCGGGGAGCGTGGAGTATTGAGGCAGGGTGTATGCAGCGTCGCAAGAGCCAGCTGATTTGCATTGCAAGCCACAGAGGCCGAATAGCTTGCAGTAACAGTCACCTGCATTGGGACAATGCACGGGAGGCTTGCGAAATATTACTGCGTAGAGATGTTAGTCAAGTTCGATCCCACCCAGACTTTTTGGTATGTACATACTATGCCATGAGTACTCAAGAATCCGGCCACTGAGATAGTCCTTGAGGGGTGTGTGAAGCAACCAGGCTCTGAAGCGAATATAATCTGTGACTGGACGCTCGTGGATCTTGTCGGCAGTCACAGCGAACTGCGCACAACAGTGGGCTCCAATCACCTCGGGAACCGGCTCATGGGGAAAGAGCTCTTCGAATGCTTCTTTATAGAAAGACCCGGCACGAGCCTCCTTTGACTCAGGATCAGCTACTGGCCCAGTAGCATTGGCCTCGCTTAAGGGATGAATCTCTGCAGGACAGCCTAGACTCCAGCCACATCGCAGGCTCACATAGCCTTCCCTCTGAACGTGAGGAAGATTCAGCCTTGCAAGAACCGCCTGGCCATCATAGAACGGATCATCATTATGCCATTGGTATCTGGTGGAATGGGAGAAAATGGTAATCTTGGGAAGCTTGTCGTAATTATCAATGATGTAGCTGTAGGGTACTTCTATCAGAACCAGACAGTCCAAGTTGACACGTATCAATACCACTCACGTCAAGTATGCCATGCCCTCCCGTCCCTTGTTTTGTGGTACTGCGAGGTCTGCATTCGGATCGTCGGTCACATATACTGACTTGGTGTAATTTGGAAATGCGTCCAGCCATGTAATATCGTCGCCCATCTGGGTCGCTACCACCATCGCAACGCGAGCCTCAAGGCCCCGCTGCGGCGGTACGTCAACTTTTGCATTGCCCAGAGCGAGCAGGGTGCAGCATTGGCCGTTCGAGAAAAGGAATAGTAAGCAGGCGGCAGAGAGACATAACACGAGCAGCCAATAGCGTTGTAGTCGTTGTGGATGCCGTGCCAGCAGGCTGACGCAGCTTTGCATTGTCAGTGAATAAAAAAAGCGGGTGAAGAGTAAGACATGTACACGATGGAAAGGCACATGGCAGGGAATCAGCAACTACAACATGAAGAGAGCGAGGGACTACGTTCCAGTGCCTGGCAGGGATGGGCGAGTCGTCCTTGTCTCGACAAGCATTCGCATTTCGTACAAATCGATAAAAAAAGAGCAAGTTTCATTGGACCGGAGGCGATTTGAAGAATTCTGGCCACAGTACGCGGCAAGCAGCGGAAGCCCCGACAACATCACGTCTCGCTCTCCTGCCGGACCCAGCCTTACAGAAACCGTCCAAACCTACCTCCTAGTGTTACGAATGACTACTGTGCTCAAGGCACGTGCAAAAATTCCAGTACATGAAGCAGCCGGAGATACACCTTCACTTCAACCAGTATCAGAACTCACCAGCCGCTCGTCTGGCGCGGCATGTGTGGAATGTGGAGTAGAGACGATTCCGCTGTGCAAACATGCTGCAGCTGACTCTGGGCCAGAGAGTTCCCCTGTGAAGACCAGCCATGAGTTGAAGGTAGGCACAGGCGTGCAACTTGCCTTTCTAGCACTGCGTAACTGCGATATATCGCTTGGCCAGCGGCAAGGCCATTTCTCGGCCAACGAGCAGAGAGGGCTATTCTGGTCGATTTTAGATGTACGCGGAGATCACCAAGCACGATACTTTACCCATTGCCGCGATCCGTTCAGAAGATCGCGGCTCGCAGCACTGCAAACAGGCTCAAGTGTGCTTTGCAGAACAATCCACGTCTCTCGTGGTCTCGTCGAGGTTACATATGTCACTGCAGCGTTTCCAATGGGCTGAACGCCAGCGCAACGCTTCGCATGTCTTTGCGTCTTTCAGCCTGGCCAATATACCTGGTACCTTTGGATTCGTCGAGCTTTGCTCATGACCGCGAGTTTGGAGTTGCTTGCATTCGCGCTCCCTACATCCTCGTGATCCCCAAAGAAGACTATCTCGTTCTCTGGCCACTTTATTGGGCTGAGCCAAACTGCAAGGTAAAAGTTCCAGTCCTGAACATGGCTTCTTGTCCACTGTACGTACCGCAATCTTGGTCCCAATCCAGAACATCGATCACGGCGCGATGGAGTCAGTTCGCCAGTGTTTATATCAATGGATTGAAGACTGAAACACATCATTGAGCAGTATCAAGCACTCTCCAATACCTTCTTAGCGTTATCGACCACCTTCTTTAGCTCGGCGCTTCCCTTTTCAACCGTCTTCTCCATCATCGTACCAGCCTTTTTCAGATCATCCGGCCTAGCAGATTTGTTCAACTGCATTGCCCGTAACTTCTTCTGCTGTTTGCCCCTCGCATCTCTTATACTCGTGCTAGCCTTTTCACCTGCTTTCACAGCTTCGTCGATGACAGCTTTGCGTGATTGTGCCGTTGGGGGTGGGATGTTTAAGATGAGAAGGAGTTTATTCTGACCAGTGGGATCCGGTTGAGGGGTGAGCGATAGCGAAGAAGACTGGATGGCGGAAGTGACCGGCTTAACATGCTGTGAGAGAATAGTCAGTACTGTCATTGATGCAGTCCTTCGTCGTCCTCTCCACCCACATCCTCCTCGCCGACCAGGACTTGCACTGTGCGGCCTTTGGGAACGACCTGGGCGACATCGTTGAGCCTGACAGTCTGGGTGCTTTGCTTGTTCGGTTGTACGCGCAGATTTTCGACGACTTCGGGGTTGAAGCGGCCACCGGCTCGTAGCTTGGACAGATCGTTCTTCAGCCGTTCCAACGTGCTCGCAATCTCGCTTTCCAGAGCAGAGAAGTCGTATGGATCCTCAGTGGCAGCACTCGCGGCATCGGTCTTCCCTTTCGAGTCGGCCTTTTTCTCCTCGCGAGATGCCTTACCTCCTTTCTTGCTCAAAATCGCCGAAGTCGAGAACGGCTTGGCGCTGCTTTGAGCAATGCTAGGCTGTGCTGTGCGGATGGCGGCACGATATGCGACTCTGCTGCTCCTGTTTGACCATCAGCGATGAACTCGCCTGTCGCCGTGATGGCGCCTCTCACATCGACCTCTTCTGCACCGTTGCTGCTGTTCTTCGGATGAGAGGCGCAAGGCACTCGCCAACAAGGACTCCACAGAAACGACACATGATGGCGGATGATATGATGATGAGATAATGCCTTCTATGACAGGTCCTCGAAGGAATGTGGTTGTATTGAGGGTTCTCTCAAGCTTTCCGATGACATTCGGCAAGTGGAGCCGAGGATTGTCGTCGTGACTTCTGGCTGACACGCGACTCCAAAAGAGAGCATTTGCGACCACAAACATCTTATCGCATCACATCATCACATCGACCTCTGTCCTCCACTCAAACAACGAAACCAACAACGACACCAGCAATCAACTAATTTCCCCGGCGCATGTATCCCAATTGACGCCCTGTCACCACTGCGACCCCAACAACCACATCTCGCACCGACTTCTTCCCCGCAGGACGCGCCAGTCCTCTGCAAAATGGCCACCCAAATGAACGCGCAAGAGCTCATGCACCTGCAGAAGCAGATTGGTAAGGCTTTGGAATCTGGGGATCCGCCTAGCACGCTCCTCGAATTGCTCAAGCCACTGGACAGCTGGCGTGCGACCGAAGACCTGCTGAGAGTATCGAGAATTGGCATCGCTGTCACGAAATTGCGCCAAAACAAGGACCAGAAAGTCGCCGAAACTGCCTCGAAGCTGGTGAACCGCTGGAAGCAGGAAGTTAGCGCGAAGAAGAAGAAGGCCGGTGGAGACAGCCCAGCACCACCTGCTGCGGGAGTCAAGAGTGGGACTGGTGCAAGTGCGACAGGAAGTCCTGCAACACCTCCAGTCAAGACAGAGTTGAAGAAAGAACAACGCAAGAGCACTGTAGATCCCTCGAAGCGGACCACAATCACAGATAAGATCGACCACAGTGTCACTGGTGATAAGGTCCGTGATGGTTGCCTGAAGTTGATGTACGATGGCATCGCATTCATGTCGGAGGAATCGCCTGATGCGGTGTTCGATGTGGCGAGAAGAGTGGAAGTTGCGGCCTTCGAGCACTACAGGCAGGAGACGAGCAACGACTACAAGACGAAAATGCGATCTCTGTTCCAGAATCTCAAAATGAAGGACAACAAACTGCTCAGAAGAGACGTTTTCAGCCAGAAAATCGATGCAAAGCGTCTCGTGACCATGACGAGTGAAGATCTGAAGAGCGAGGATAGACGAAAGGAAGACGAGGCAATGAAGGAGGAGAACATGAGAGTGGCCATGACTCCACAGGAAGCCAAGGCCATCTCGACCACGTACGTATCATACCTTTTCCTTATCCTCTCCGGACATGGGACAGGAACGACATCCACAGACCCTGCGCTCTCGTCAGTCCTTCTACTGGCGAGCCAGCGCAGGGTCGCTTTGCGTCCCAGAAAAATCTGCTGACTAATCCCAACATCACAGCTTCACATGTGCCAAGTGCAAGGAGAGCAAAGTCTCCTACTCGCAAGCTCAGACTCGATCTGCTGATGAACCGCTCACGACCTTTTGCGAATGCACCGTCTGTGGACATCGGTGGAAATGTAAGTCTTTCGAACGGCCTCGTGCTTCTATGCTATTCACATCGCCACATGCATGAATGCTGACCATTGTCCGATAAACTGCAGTCTCCTAGTTGCCCCGAAAGCAACATACGAAGAGTGCGACTCTCCAATAGTGGTTACCCAGGGGCATCTTTTGAGTGGCGCTCCTTTACGCAGTGGTAATGGTCGAGCTGATTTTCCCATCTTCTGCTACACGAGCACAAAAGAGTTCGCGAAGTCAAGCCAGTCTTGATGGTCTGCGTGTGGTCGGTATAAAGACAAACAAGTCATCGCAGGGCAACGGCTGGCAGGTACATTGGGCAAGCAGGGTAACAGTCTAAGCTTTTCGGGACAAACGGACTCCGCTACTGAAATGACTTGAGTGCGTCCGGACATGGATAGAACATCCAACCAAAAGTTTGGAGGATAACCATTCCATTCGGAGCAACATACTGAGGTCGTTGTACTGTTGCTGCTGCTGTAAACGAAACGAATCAAACAAAAAAATGAAACAGTAAACAGAATTAATGAAAACACCCTACACGATCTCAGTCCACTTTCCATGCAAAATCGGGAGTCTTTTTTGTCTTCTTTGTTTTCTTTGACTATTTTTCGAGATTCTTGCTCTCGAGTTTTGATAAAAACAGAAAGTGTTGAGTTTGAAACGTCCTCATACCTACCTAGGTAGGTAGGTACTCACCTTACCTTACCCACCTACATGTACCCTAGTACCCAGTACCTGCCTCACCTCACCTCACCTCACCTCATAAAAAGATCCATGGAAGTTTCATCTCTAGGTATTCTGTTCCATTGCAACTATCAGTCAGGTATGTATCCCTTCAATACTGCAGCAATGGATATTGATGCATCTCTTCTAGTCTACCTCGTAGGGGCCTGCTTCCCTCTTTTTTCTTTTCTTTTTCCCCTCTTTTTGGGGTCATTATAAACGTCGGGCCAATAAATTTTAAACGTCGGGCCCAAAGTTTGCCTTAGGCATAATATGCCTTAGGCAGAAGATATCTCAAACTATTTCTCTTAGGTTTTCTATCTCTCTCTCCCCCCCCCTCTCTCTCTCCTTTCTAGGTAGGTATTTTGCGTCTCGTTCCTCTCGTTGCTCTTAGTCCTCTCGTCGCTCTCGTTGCCCTCGTTGCGTTACGTTACGTCGCGCCGCTCTCGTCGCGTCGCGTCTCGTCGGTCTCGTTGTATCTTGTCGGTCTCGTCGGTCTCGTTACGTCTCGTCGGTCTCGTTACGTCTCGTCGGTCTCGTCGTATCTCGTCGGTCTCGTTACGCTCGTCTCGTCTTCTCTCGTCGCGCTCGTCTCGTCTTGTCTCGTCGCGCTCGTCTCGTTTGTCTTGTCTCGTTACCCTCGTCTCGTCTTGTCTCGTCTTGTCTCGTCTTGTCTCGTCTTGTCTCGTCGCTCTCGTCTTGTCTCGTCGCTCTCGTCTTGTCTCGTCGCTCTCGTCTTGTCTCGTCGCTCTCGTCTTGTCTCGTTACTCTTATCTTATCGCTCTCCTCTCTTGTCGCTCTCGTCTCGTCTTATCTCGTCGCTCTTGTCTCGTCTTGTCTTGTCGCTCTCGTTATAGAAGTAGGTAATATACGAATATTCTGCCTTAGGTGCATAATGTGGCCTAAGGCAAACTTCGGGCCCGACGTTTAAAATTTATTGGCCCGACGTTTATAATGACCCTCTTTTTGGTGGTCTTGAAGTTGTTAAAGTCTTCTGGACAAGCAATACAGAGGGAGGCTGCTGAAAAGGTTGAAAGAAGTTGATTGCTTGTTTTTATTTTGTTTGTTTGTTTGTTTATTTTCTTCTCATCTGTCTGTCGAGAATACATGCGGCAATTAACAGTGGATGGTAGGTAGTCGCTGCTGCGGAACTGGGATCAGATCAGATTGGAGTTCTTTTCTCAAAATGAGTTCCGCGCACAGTCACAGTGGACTCCCTTTCGCATTGTGGAGAGGAAAAAGGACGAGGGAAGATTCGAGAGTTGCAATACATCGCATTCAGGTATCTACGCTTACGCTTTTTGGCACGGATCAGAGAGGAAAAGAAAAAAACATCAACAATTCACTTCCTGCCTTGCCTTGCCTTACAAAGGCTTGCCGCCAATGAAGTCACTCCACCTCCTGACTTCCTTGGGGATGCCCTCCGTCTTTGGCAATTTCTCGCTCATGCATTGGGCGAAGAGCACTGCGGTCCTTGGCTCCATGAACAATGGGTGACCAAAGTCGACCGCATTCCTCCTCATGACGTAGTCCTTGTCAGTCATGCTCGAAGCCCTGCGCTTGGCCAGGTTGAAGACTCCGCGGATGTCGTACTTCTCGAACACGCCGCGAAGCTCCTGCTTGTTGTCGACCGGGAACTCAATCACTTCAACAGAGACAGAGCCGTCCTTCGAGGACTTCTCGAGGTGTTCCTTGACGTTCTGGTCTGCTGCGTAAAGCTTGTAGCCCAGAGGGTTGAGGTAGTCAACGATCTTGCCGAGATCAGGAGTCTCTGTGTCACCACCAAAGAGGAGTCCCTCACCTGGCAGTGGGACACGGAAGTTCATCATACTCTGCACAGCAGTCCAGTAGGCCTCAACGAGATCGGTACCGAAGCAAGCCATTTCGCCAGTCGAGGACATTTCGACACCAAGGTAAGGATCGGCGCCAGCAAGACGAGTCCAGGCGAACTGCGGCACCTTGACAGCGAGATAGTCGCGTTTCACGTCCATGAGGTCAACAGGCTCTGGAACGTTTTGGCCAAGAAGAGCACGAGTAGCGACGTCGATGAAGTTAGTTCCGAGAACCTTGCTGACGAATGGGAAAGATCGAGAAGCACGGATGTTGCATTCGATGACCTTCAACAGTGGTTCACCGCCTTCTGGGTTGTTGGCAGAGATGATCTGCATGTTGAAGGGACCGGTGATAGACCAAGCCTTGGCGACCTTGATTGCGATATCCTTGACGCGCTCCATGGTGCGCTTTGGGAGGTGGACAGGGGGGAGGACAAGAGAAGCATCACCAGAGTGGACACCGGCGTTCTCAACGTGCTCAGAAATAGCGTGGACGAGGAGTTTACCATCGTGAGCAACGGCATCGCAATCGATTTCTAGGGCACCTTCAATGAATTTTGTGATAACGACCGGGTGGTCGCCGCTGACTTGGCTGGCAGCGAGGAGTTTCTCCTCGAGCTCTCCCTCAGTGCGGATGACGGTCATGGCAGCACCAGAAAGCACGTAAGATGGACGAACAAGAACCGGGTAGCCGACTTCATTAGCAAAAGCCTGGGCCTCCTTGTAACTGGTGAGTTCCTTCCAGGCAGGTTGGTCGACACCGATAGACTCGAGAATCTGCGAGAATTTCTGTCTGTCTTCGGCCTTGTCGATGTCCTCAGGGTTGGTTCCGAGAATCTTAGCCTTGCCGGTTTCCTGGAGCTTGAGTGCAATGTTCTGTGGCAGTTGACCACCCACGGAAACAACGACACCAGAAGCGTGCTCCATTTCGTAGATGTCCATGACACGTTCATAGCTAAGCTCTTCGAAGTAGAGACGATCCGGAACGTCGAAGTCGGTGCTGTAGGTTTCTATTCAAGCAAGTCAGTAAACGTCGTACAGCATGTTCAACGGGAATACTCACCTGGGTTGTAGTTGATCATGACAGTCTTCTTGCCCTGATCCTTGAGTGAGAGAGTAGCATTGACAGCACACCAATCGAATTCGACGGAGCTTCCGATGCGGTATACACCAGATCCCAGAACGATGATTCCCCTGTCTTCGAATGTCACATCGTGGCTGGTGGCGTTGTAGGTCGTGTACAAGTAGTTGGTATCGGCAGGAAACTCAGCAGCGAGAGTGTCGATTCTCTTGACCCAAGGCTTGAGACCAAAGTTCTTGCGGCGGGCGCGAACCTCATCTTCAGTAGAATTGACAGCACGAGCGATCTGCTTGTCGCTGAAACCTTGCTTCTTAGCCTTGTGCATGAGTTCCTTTTTGATGCCGAACAGAGAGCCGATGTCCTGGAGTTCTTTGGTGGTGTCAACAATGTTCTGAATCTTGTACAAGAACCATCGATCAATCTTGCTGAGCTCGTGGACCTTGTCAACAGAGTAGCCTTCGTGGAGCATGGCCTGGCCAACAGCAAGCCAACGGCGATCGGTCGGGTTCTTGAGCACTTCATCCAGATCCTCAAAATGATCGCCTTGGAGGCCATCGAACTTTGGGTCGACCTGACGGATAGCCTTTTGGAAAGATTCCTCGAAAGTACGGCCGATGGCCATGACTTCTCCGATAGATTTCATGGAAGAACCGATCCTGCGGTCGACGTTCTGGAACTTGGACAGATCCCAACGAGGAATTTTAGTGACAATGTAGTCGAGAGACGGTTCGAAGTTGGCAGTAGTAGTACGAGTGACAGCATTGGGCAGCTCAGGCAGAGTGTGGCCGAGAGCGATCTTGGCAGCAGTATATGCCAAAGGATAACCAGTAGCCTTGGAGGCGAGAGCAGAAGAACGAGAGAGACGAGCGTTGACCTCGATGACCCGGTAGTCCAGTCCATCGGGCTGGAGGGCATACTGGACGTTGCACTCTCCGACCACACCTAAGTGACGAATGATCTTGATAGCAGCAGTTCGAAGCATGTGGTACTCTTCATCACTGAGCGTCTGGGAAGGCGAAACGACGATCGAATCTCCCGTGTGCACACCGAGGGGGTCAAAGTTCTCCATGTTACAGACAGTAATGCAGTTGTCCGAGGCATCACGGACGACTTCATACTCGGCCTCTTTCCAGCCCTTGAGAGACTTCTCGACCAAGATCTGGGGGGACAGGGTCAAGGAACGAGCAGCCATGTTGCGAAGCTCTTCCGGGTTGTCCGCGAAACCAGATCCGAGACCACCCAGAGCAAAAGCAGCTCGCACGATGATAGGATATCCAACAGTCTCAGCTGCCTGGAGGGCATCCTCGACAGTCTCAACGGCAATACTCTCAGCGATAGGAATGTTGATCTCCTTGAGAGCTTTGGCGAATAGATCTCTGTCCTCGGAGGTCTTGAGAGTCTGCACGGGGGTACCCAGGACCTTCACTCCATATCTCTCAAAGATGCCCATTTCGTCCATCTTCACTCCCAAGTTGAGGGCAGTCTGTCCACCAAACGACAAGAAGATGCCATCTGGTCTCTCTTTCTCAATAACATAGGTGACATACTCTGGCGTGACGGGGAGATAGTAGACCTCGTCGGCGAGCACGTGAGCAGTCTGGATCGTAGCAATGTTGGGGTTGATCAGGACAGAATGGATGCCAGCCTCCTTGAGCGCTTTCAATGCTTGAGACCCCGAGTAGTCGAACTCGCCGGCCTGGCCGATGGACAGACCACCCGAGCCGATGACGAGCACCTTCTTGACATCGACAAGGTTCTGGCCGCCAGCGATGGCGCCGCTTTCGAGGTAGGCCTTTGCATTGGGAGCAACTTCGGCCTTGCTCGCAGCACGTGCGGCAGAGCGTGTGAAGGTCCTCGCCTGAGTGGTGTGTGCAGACTTCGCAGGAGCGTTGGCGAGGGGAGTGTATCGTGCAAGCGGCCGAGAAGTGAAAGTGCGTCGGGCAATGCGCGATATGGGTTGTTGGTGGAGGAAAAGGTCGTGGTGCAGCTGGCGCGCGATACGCCCGCTCACAGCCATGTCTGAAGATTTTGTTCAGCACCCGCAGGCCTTCCACAGGTGGTCACTGATGTAATCTGCTCTCCTGTCAGCTTCAGTCAGGCTCAACTCAACACGCTGCTCATATCCCAATTTCCGCCGTCGTGCGTGCTCGTCGGGAGCAGTTCGGGACGGAAGAGGTGAGTGAGGTGTTGGGGGAGCGGTGACGGTTAGGCGGCTGCCAATGGAGAATGATGTAGAGATGTAGGGTGGAAGAATCGCGTCTGGGCTCGTACCTTGCGAAGTTGTGAGCGTTGGAAATACCATGGAGATCACTCAGCTCAAGAAAGCTGTGCAGGAGACAAGCCACTGTGGTGCAATGGCCGTTGTTGTCGAGCAGAGAATTGTCTGCTGACGCGCAAGAAATAATACAGAGCAAGCTGGGGACGGGACGGGTCTTGCCGCGAAGGAAAAAAAAAAGGCGATAGGACAAGGGAGGTTTTGAGTCACTGTGATGACCCCGGGACCCCGGCGATTTGCAGCAGAAGCAGAGAGCTCAGTGCATTATCCGTTCCGACAACAACAATCGGCAAAAAGGAGAGGGCGAGGGGGAGGAAGAGGGAGAGAGGGAGAGATATACCGCATCAACATTGTGCTACATTACGACCTCCTATATGTTGAGTGAATTTTCCCCTTATCGATTGCCATGCAAGTGCTGTGGGAACAAGGTGGACACTCGGCCGTGGAGCTCAAGAAATTTCTTCCTCCGCCGCGACCAATCGTCTCCACACTAACCTACATCCTGGCAATAGTAATGAGGCACCATCGATCACGACAAAAGCCCCACACAAAAGGAAAAAAAAAATGAAATGATGCCAGTGGAGCAAGTTTCTCTCTCATTCACATTGCGTCTCCTGTCTGTCTACTTGCTCAATCTCCAGCTGTTTCCCCCCAGTCTCCTCACCCTCTCCTGATCCAACTCGACTTCTCCCAAGCATTGCACCATATACATTAGTGGCTGATCCTATTAACACTTCCATGACAGTGTAGTGTGTGTACGAACTCAGAGCGCTGCTCAAGCCATCAGCCACTCACGGAGATAGTGTATGTGTTGCAACGGCCGTGCTATGCTTCCCAACCCACTCAGATGACAAGTAAAACGCACAGTACGCATATGCAGCACACCGGGACGAGAGAGAAATCCTCTCCTAAACAGCAATAAACAAAATGAAGGCTCGCGGCCTACAGTAACAAAAGTGGTATCTTTGTTTGTGCAATCAATGCATCACCCCCACCCCTCCGTGTTGGCGACGTTAAAACAATCAAATTTTCTTGGACCCAACACATGTCGGTCCAAAAAGTGCCGGCTCTGGTGATATTCGTGATCATGACGGCGTGACGCTGCTGGCTTTCTTGAGCCCTCGAGACCTGAGATGGGCACATCTGGGCACACGCGCAGCGCTGGGGAGCTTCTAAACCCTCGGCGCTGCTTGGCCGCCTCCTTCCAGCTTCGAGAAGAGCTGTTCAGGCGGCAGCCGGTTCACATTCGCGCTCTTGTCCGCTGTTATCGGCACATAACCTTCGATGCGTCGTCTGCGTCGCTCAAGCAAGATGCCCAGCAAGATGACCAAGCCAGTGATGGCAAGGGCGATCGCCAGACCAATTGCTACAATGACGCCAAGCGCAAGACCATGATTCTTACTGGTCATAAAGTTCTGCGGATTCTGGACAAAAATTGCAGACAAACTGCCCTGACTTCCATTGTCCATGCTAGTCAGGATGTACGGTTCGTACATGGTGCCGTTGAAGAGAACTGCGCTCGCGTTGCCTTGCTCAGGAATGTTGATGTTGCCAAGAATCATGAGCACCTGGTCGTCCGCGACCAGGTCACTGCTGGCGTGGTTTGATGTCAGAGGCATAATCTGAAGTTTGCGAATAGACGTCGAGTCACCCAGACCAGAAGCGCCAGTCCATGTGCCATCATTGTACTTGCTCAAAAACACGGACTGGTTTGTGCTGGAGATGCCACTAACCCACAGCTCTTTGTACGCGTTGTCCACGGCAGATATCGCGGACACCGGACCCGGAAGACTGGAAGCTCCCTCATATGCGGTGAAGGTCTGCGCTTTGGTGTCGTATGTGGCCATTGTTGTCATGTTGTTATTGATCGTGAGATTGCCGGCGATGATCAATTTTGTATTGGAGGACCACATCATGGCATACACGACACCCGAAAGACCACTCCCAGTGCTTTGCCACTGTAATGCTTCAGTGTCGTAGTAGCAGAGGGGCCCGCACGGAAGTGAACCGGCGGTAGAGTAGTCTCCGCCAACATACACATCAGTACCATCAGGCTGCGCTGTGATTGCGTTGACGACAACATTCTCGCCCCCAAGCGCCGGTGGGTGGGGAGCAGCGTATCTGTTGGCAGACAAGTCATAGACAACGAGGCCAGTCGCAGTATTGCCGTTCACAGTACCGTTGATAGCACCTCCGGCCCACAGCATTGTCTCGTACGTATCCATGGCGACGAAGATCGAGTCCGAGTCAAGACCGCTAACACCGCTGACAGACTGAGAAGAATCGGTATCGTTGATGAAGATCAAATTTTCAATGGTGCTGCCATTGCTGGCCATGGTGCTGAAGCTTCCACCGAGGATGGTAATGTTGAGGCTGCTCTCGGAGTAGAACAGACCGTCGTACACACCGGTGTAGTTCGTGCCGGAGACGTCGTCGGACAAAGCTCGCTTACGGACTGAGGCGGTGCTGGTATTCGAGTTGTCGCGGTTGGTAGAGAGCTGAATGCCAAGCGACTGCAATTCAGGAGAGCCAGAGCCAACCAGCTCCACCACGTCGCTGAAGTCCAGCCCTTGGGACGAGATCATGCCGCCGTATACAGGTTGCATGTCAGGCACGGTAGAATATGCGGTGAGCCGACCGTTCAGGGCACTGTCAGATCCAGCAAGGTTGTGAAGCCAGTTGCTCTCACTCGGTACCCAGATAGCGAACCCGCTCGACTCGAAGGCAGCATTGTTGCCAAACGCATTCACGGAAGTGAAGTTGCCGCTGACAGCGAACGTAGGCTGCTCGTTATCGCTTGTGATGTTCATCGTTAAAGGCAGAATGTTGAACACGGCACCATTGACACCTGCACCCAGAGCAGACCACTCGTTGCTGTCAATGGAGAAGGCAGCAATATTGTTCAATCCCTCGGTGGGTTCCATCGCAGTGTTGTTGAAAGTGCCACCAAAATACAAGACGGTGTCGTTCAGGTACATATCAAGGACTTCTCCGTTCAACCCACCGCGGGGAAGGGCAGTAGCATCGTCGCCAGCGACAGACATCACATTCGCCGATCCCTTGCCAGTGAAACTTCCCGCAGCATACAAAACATCATTGTGCTCGGCAATGCTAGCGAAGCTTGCTCCAGCATCCAGCGAGATGGCGGCACGATTGATTGCCGAACTAGTGTAGTTGGTGCTTGTCTGCGCCTCATCTGGGTTGTACTCGTATAGACCATTGAGACCACCGACGCCACCAGTGGTGGAGATGAGCTCGAAGCGGACACGCGACGCAACGACCGTAAGTGGAACTCCTTGGTTGACTGCTGGTGCCAAAGTGACTGTTGGGACGAAACCATTGGTGTCAATGTAGCCATAGTAGATTTGTTCGAATTTGTCGTAGTTATTGGTCTGATAACTGCTCGTGGTAGCCGGCGAACCATTGGATGTCAAAGAGGCCGTAATATCGACCATACCCCTGGTGGCGCACGTGCCGTCCAGGATGCAGCCAGGGGTGTAGAGCGTGACAGAGTAATTGCCAGACTGCGGGAGGTTGGGCTGGAACACAACTTTTGTCGCGTCTCCTACATTTGCGGCGTCGGTGATCGTGGTAGAAAGGAAGTCGGCTGGTGTAAGGCCTTTACTGGCAACCTGTGTCCAGGCATTGGCGGGCAGAGCAGTCGAGTCCGAGGGCGCAGCAGTGTCGACGCAGGAAGGAGCATTGAAACTGTTGACTGCATAGTTGTAGATGTCATTGGAGTACAGTTCGATGCCATTGAGACCAGCGCCAGCGCCATACCAGTCAGTGATCCACACGCGGAAGACGCTTAGGCCAATGGGCCGCTCGAAGTGGAAATCCTGCGCGGTGGTGTTACCTTGTGGTAAAGGACAGAATCTCACGCAAGAAGCGTTTTGGCCAGTCACTGGATCGACGTAGGTCAAGTTGAGAACGCCTCCACCATTCATCTCCTCGAAGTAGAAACTCTTGGTGCCACGTCCTTCATAGTCGGCGTTGTAAAGTCGCAACATGGTTGGATTGATGCCGAAGCCGAGGGACGACTGCCAAAAGCCTCCAGTGTTGTCGGCGAGAAGCCATGTGTTCCCGGTTCCTTGCTGCGCACCAGTCTTGCAGATGATATTGTTAGGGTCGCTGAAGCCAGACGTGGACGAAGATCCTGATGCAGTGATAGTCCCTGAGCCAACGTTGATAGCCTGCTGATCGGGTGTCGACGGCGTGGACATGTTTCCAAGTCCAGTAAAGCTGCCGCCAAAGACAATGCGGTTATTACTGGTCTTCGTAATGGTGTTTACAGGACCGTTGAAGCCAGCGAAGGGTAGGTTCACCCATCCATTGGTCCAAGCCAGAGCATTCGTTGAGTTACCTCCCATGAATTTCCCTCCGACATATACTGTACCAGTATCGTTGTCGCAATACACGGCGTTCACAGGCCCTCCCGACAGACCATCCAGCGCCGTCACCTCATTTGTCGATGGGTTCCAGAGCGCAATGGCATCTGCTCTTACTCCTCCCAAACTTGTGAAATTACCTCCTACAACCACTCCGTTCAGCGTGCCATCCGTCGACACGAATGCGCACATGGCCGCTATGGTTGCATCCGCATCCGCGAGCGCCAACGACTGAAAAGCGCCATCGGGATAACGCGTAAGCAGCGATTGACTGCCGTTGGTGGATTGGTTCTCATTCTGCCCTTGATACGTGTAGAGTGATATGCTGTCAAAGTCTCCACCCACTGCGACCCTGCCTAGTTGCGATAGATCGAGATTCGGTGATGGTACGGCGGTCTGTGCAAAGACGGCTGCTTGTGCGCGCGGCAGGCCGAGGAAAATGGGTGTGGTGATGATGTAGGCAGTAAGCTCTGGCCCGAGGGCGAGCAACTGCTGTAGGATGTTCCGCATCGCATGCGATGGATGCTGCTGTGTGTGCGCGCCTAACGAGGTGGTGGCAGGCGGGTCGTCGTGGTGTTATTTGATGTCGATGTCGGATGTCGATGTGGATGTCGTGAGTAGCGCCAGCGACAGGAGTAATGCGAGAATGAAGATAGGATATCAAAGCATGCGAGCGTCTGTCGACCTTAGCACCTCATGACCGACCGCTCGCGTTACGATGCTGCGGAGGGTTTCAATGAATCGCCTACAGGTATCGACAGAGGCGACCTGCAGCGGACCGTGTCGGTGGCGGAGGAGGTACGTGTCCGTGGCCAGAAGGCGAGGTGCGGCAAGCAGTAGGAGGCAGTAGTAGGAACGAGTGGCGGTAGTTGGGTGAGCGGGTGGTGAGAATGAAAGAACGAAAGACTGTGGGTGAGTGAGTGAATGTGGTGGTGGTAGCGGTGGTGGAGGAGGTGTGAGACCGCTGCCTGCCCTGCCTGCCTCGTCCTCCTGTGGACGTCGTGTAGGAGGCAAGAGGTCGGGTAGGTAGCGTAGCAGGAGGTGCGCGATCAGGTGCTGAGGAATGGAGAGCGTTGCTCAGGAGCCACCGCCAGCCGTGTAATCTCGGGATGGCGGGAAGGTCGTGTTTGCAGTACTAACGGGCCTATGAGGGTTCAGCGCCGAGCACGAGTTCTCATGAAGCCCAGCCCCAGCCTTCTCTTTGCTCCACAACACCTCGTCCGTGGTGCTGCTTCACGCTTTCGTTATTGTTATGAATGAGGCTGTTCATGAGAGTGAGAGAGAGGATGTGTCGATGAGGATATGGTGGTGAGGTTGCCTCCTTGCTGCCCAGCCAACACTCGCAACCTGGCCCTCTCGGCAATGGGTGTACAGCCACGCAAACCCTCGTGCTTCGTGAAACACCCCAAACTGCACGAACTGTTCCGGAACATCGGACATCTTTCCTGGAAGGGGATTCTTATATCATGCTGCGACTCGCAAGGCAAAGGGTCCAGTGAAAGGGACGGAAAGCACAGTATAGTCCATACTCGTTGAATCACCATGTACCTAATGTACATGTCGGTACTGTGGTACCTTACCTACTGTACATAAGGTGCCACTCCATCGTGACGACTTCCATCTCACATGCAGCTTCTGTGATCCCTGTTGTGGATCGTGGATAGTACCATTACAAGTTTACAACTGCCGCCAAAGCTAATGTTTGTCCTTCAAGCAGTCCACTCAAAAGAGCAATGGTCGACAGTACAACGCAACGCCAGCCACCATGTCCTACCGCGCAAGCACAAGATCGCACCAGGACGCACAAGTGACCCGCCTGCGTAGGGTGTACCTGCAGAGATCAGCCGTCTGGTCCCGTCCGACCTCACGTTGCTGTTTGTGTCGGTGGCGATCTAGACGTGCGTGAACATCAAATGCTCGACTGACGGCCGATGCGGGAGATTGCCATGCGACGCATCTGCATCTCAATGGCCTTGTTCTTCTCCTCCTTGAACTCAATCTCCCTGCACCTGCAAGTCATATTGAAGTTCTCCCAAGTAGCCTCTCCAGCCGCTACCAATCGACGAATCTCCTTCTTGGCGTGGAGTTGACGGTCCAGAACTCCCCCGTGGTAGCGTCGAGTCTCCCCCTCAGTCCTCGAGTTGATCCTAGTGAGTTGACCAGCCGAGAGGTGCTCTCGGATTCTGCCTGGCAGGACGATCCAGTTCTCGTCGGTCGGATTGTGCTGGCCGTTCAGGTCTGGCATCCAGTCTTCGTGAACGTAGAAACAGACTGTGCGTGGGCAGTCCTCGCGAGATGCTGGAGAGAGCTCGCATCGGCGATGGGTGCAACAGACTTCTCGATATATGCATTCATTGCATACAGCCGCTTCGTTGCATCGAATGCCATGCGATCTGCCGCGACATACGTTAACTGACAGCTCACGCAAGGAATGGCTGGGGGCACCTACCGGCAGTGATCGCACACGATGAACTTGTTGCCCTTCAGTGCGTCGTACTCTGGTTGCGTGCGTGCGGCCATGGTGGCCGAGCAGAATGGGGGGGTGACCGGAGGCGGAAGCTCCTAGGTTCCCTGTCAGTATTACCCTGGGAGACAATCTCGATTCAGACTCACCTTTGCGGTGCTTCGCAGGATTCCGAGCTCAGCTGCTCGGTGTCGCAAGATGTTCTTGAAAGCGACGTCCTCCTCGTGGTTCGGCGCAGCAGTACTGCCACCCCGGCCAGCCATGTGGGCATCTCCGATTTGTGCGGAGTGCATGGGAGTCGCTGGATTGCCCTGCAAGGAGCCGCTTGGGCTGCCTTCATCGTTGCCCGGAGCGAGGTGAGGTCTGTCGGTGAAAACGTCGTCGGGTTCGTGGCGTGGACCGACAACTGGCTGCTGGTGCTGCCGAGAGAGCTGAGGCGACGAGCGTGCAAAGATGTGGTGTTGCTGCAAGAGGCTGTATCCAGTGGAAAGCAAGCGGTCGGCATGAACAACCAAGTTCGTGGCGTCGCGCTCGACGTGGGATCCAACCATATCGTCAATCCGCACGTACGACAGACTGACGCGCGCATCGTGGAGGCTGGTGGCAGTTAGCTATTTGGCATAGCGCTATGTTTGGCAACATCGCGCAAGATGTGGTATGCCATTTGGTTGTCACTCAAACGTCTTCCGAGATCAGACTTACCTGCGACAAGCCATACAGGTGCAAACCTGCACCTGTGTCTGGCCGTAGTCGAGGCGATGGGTCATGGTGGTAGGGATACGCGAATGATGGACAATGTGGTAGTGTGGATGTAATGAAGGTGATGAATGAGCGAGGTTCGGAAATGAAGTGGTGTTGGAAGTGATGGATGTTGTTGTTGGTGCGAACGTGCCCGTCGTGTAAAATAAGGTAAGTAAGCTGCGAAATCGAGTGAATGAGCAGCCAATAGCGTTAACGACCATCGTTTGTATCCACACAATGACTACTACGTACTGTATAATGAGCAGAACGAAGGATAACAATCAACTCACCAGGCCGCCATTGAACAGCTGGATGAGATCATGTCTTGACTAGGTACCTGTACATGCACATGTACTCCATCCATTCACAACTGTGTTCATCTGTGTGGTTCCTTCCCACCACCGCTGGTGAACAGTGTCTCATCCGCCTGTTGCCCGAGTGTATCCCCAAAGCACCCAAGATCATCACGTTGATGGCGTCGCGGCGCTCTTTATTCTCGTGATGCTGGACTAGGGAATGTACTGGTACGTCTGTACCTTAGTCAATAGGTATCTAAGGCGCACTGAGCTGCACGATCGTTGGCTCTACCACCTATGCCACATCCTACTCCTGCACTTTCTCGCTGCTATGTTCCATTGAAGTTGTCTTGTGCGCGTATGAATACTATATGTAAGGTATCCATGATGTCTGTGGAAAGTCTGATCCTAAACAGAAGTGCTCAACTTACAATTGCCTTTCAGTGTGAGCTGACTAGCAAGACCTTTAGCAACATTGAGTCTGTGCATACCTGCCTGTTGTTGGACATCGAGTGCGTAGAGCGAAGAGGTTCAATCTTCATACTAGGTCAGGTACATGTTCAAGCTCAAGCCGGGCGGGCATTGGACCTAGGAGAGACGCTTCCGTAATCTGCCCCTGGGAATGATCCAGCAGATCTGGCCGCGTACTGTGTGCATGCTGTCGGGATGCACGTAGCCATGATTGCCGTCTTCAGTGTGCTTTGCGATCGGGACTGGGGCGGCACTAGCGGTGTACACATGGTGCTTTGTAGAGCGACAATCATCGCAGACTACGTGTTCGTTGCAAGGAAGACCATGGGCGTGGCAGTGGTTACCACACCGTGGACCTTTCCGGTGTTCACCGTTCGTTGGGTGCTCTTGATCAACTGTCTCTTATCACTTGCTAGGTACTTGAGAGGCTTCTAACGCGGACAGTGTCGACTTACTCTCATTCTGTACATGTGTGACCTAGGGCGAAATTGACCCGCTCAGTCCGCTGTCTCCATCAAGCTCGTCTAACTCTCCAGAGTCGCTAGAACCTTCAGATGCGATGATCTCGCCATGAAAGTGCTCTTCCCTATCTCCGGAGCTGATGGTTTCCTCCTTGACATGAAACCTCGTGTCCTGGATCCTCCATAGTAACAAAGACGATCTGAGCCTCACTATCCATGTGTCGCATTCATCGTGCCGGGAAGCATGTAGAAATACTGGTGAGCTAAAGTTACCTTCAATTTTGCGACTAGCTCGACTTGCTAAGCTGAGTTCATGCCTGTCCTAGATGCACCTACCATCAAGCCATCTCAAGCCTGGACCTTGAAAGTTCTTCCTGAGGCAGTCTTCCTCTCCTTCTCCTCCGTGTCTGGTCGCGCTCTTCGTAGGACTGTGAAATGTCAGCTTTGATGTCGATGCTCTCATAGCTTTCGCTGTTGCATACCCTGCAAGAAATCTGCTGTCCGTCTGCGCATGCGGCTGTGAATGTATGCCTTGCTAGCCTTGATGTGGTAGTGAAAGTAGTCGCGGAACGTCTGAATGTGCGAAATGACCTCGTACCGCCGTTGCTGTGTGAGGTGCCGCGGGAAAAGAACTATTTTGGCAGTTAGCATGAACTCTCCTATCACATTACCATCTCACTCACCAAATGTGATATAGCCGACCTTGTCTTTCGCATTCGCTAGACCTGACACGCCCTGCAATTCCAGAGGCGGATCATTTCTGAATAACACCTGAGGCGCGTTCTGGATAGCCCGTCTTCTCGCGTCCACGAACTCCTGCAGGAAGACCTTGCCATATATCCTGTCCGTCTCATCGGAGAACACTGTGCTGAAGATGACCGTCACACGATCATGGCTCGCCTTGATGTAAATCGCCTCTTGGTCCCGGTAGTGTATCGCTCTGAGCTCTCCCCCTTCCTTCACACCCTGAGGCGCACTCTCACTGGTGTAGTGGCTAGCCTCTTCAGCCAGGCTCTTGTACTCATCAAACGCTTGCTCGAAAGGTGCAGCCATAGCATTACGCTTGAGCAAGCTCACCCGGCGGATCAGGTCGTCTTTCTCTTCCTGCTCGGCCGGGAGATTCTCGAGATCGACTTGCACACTGAAGTCGTAGCCTTGCTCGGGTTGTACGATGTAAGGGCCATATTCACGTTGGAGGACAGATTCGGCGCCGTACTTGACTAGTTCGGGGTAGCACTTCACGGCGATCGAGATGAGAATTTGCGTCTTGGTGTTGGGAGTCGAGATGTGGAAGGTGACATTGTCGAAGTCAGAGACTACTTGGTCGATCGATGCGGGTGGGTTTCTGGGAGCCTTTTAGTGGAAGTGGGCGATGTGAGTCGATGGAAGGCTACACACTCTGGGTTGAATCGATCTTTCAGCAGTGACTCGATGAGCACGTTCTGGTAGTCGAGGAGCAGCATTGCGGCGGTGCAAGTAGATTTATGTACGGTAGAAGAGACCAAACATGAGCAGTGGTAAAGCAGCTGTCGTAACTGCCAAGATCGCCCGCAATGCGGCTCGTCGGCTCCCGGAGACGCAGACCCCAGTCGGCGCTAGGAGGTAGTGTTACTGCCGATCTTCAAGAAATAAATCGAGACGCTCCAAGAGCTGTTCCTCTCCAACAAGTACATGTACCGCCATTGAACAACCACGACATCCGAACGTCCAACGTGCTCTGACAAGCCGCAACTCAACATGGTTCGCTCCTATCGTAGATATGAGCCTGGCAATGTTTTCGGCACCGTCACCACCGCATTTTCGAACACCGTCTGGACACCCAATCCCTCGAGTCGCAACGCTGGCAGTGGAAAAGCCTTTGTAGGCGCAAACGAGGAAGTGCTGTGTTGGGATGTCAAGAAAGGAGAGCTGCTATCAAGATGGAACGATAAGGATAACAGGAGTGCGGTGACGTGCATTTCCCAATGCGAAGTCCAGCCAGACCTGCTCGCAGTAGGACACCAAGATGGATCAATACGGATATGGGATTCGCTTTCTGGCCAGATTGTCGTCAGCTTCAATGCGCACAGGAGTGCTATTACCCACTTGCAATTTGATCGCGATGGTTCGAGACTGGCCAGTGGAAGCAGAGACACAGACATTATCATATGGAATCTGTTATCAGAAACAGCCGAGTTCAGGCTCAAGGGCCACAAGGACCAGATTACAGGAATGGCCTTTCTCCGCACATCCCGGGCGGCGGGCAGCGTAGATGAAGAGAACGAAGAAGAGAGGTATCTTCTATCTACATCAAAGGATGCGCTTGTCAAAATCTGGGATCTGTCAGCTCAGCACTGCATCGAAACCCACGTTGCTCAGTCGAGCGGGGAGTGTTGGGCCCTAGGAATGAGCCCTGAAGGTACTGGGTGCATCACGGCCGGCAGAGATGGCGAGCTTAAAGTATGGAGTCTGGATATCGACGCTTTGGCTGAGCTCGGCGGCACTGTTGGAGAGACCAAGAAGTCGGATGTGTTGCGCAGCCAGGGCATCATACAACGGCAGGGCAAGGACAGAACAGTTGCCGTGTCATTTCACCCAAAGCAGGACTACATCGCGATACATGGTTCCGAGGCGGCAGTGGAGCTCTTTCGGATACGCGCAGCCGATGAGCTACATCGTGTGATGCTGCGGAAGCGAAAGCGGAGAAGAGAAAAGGCTGCCGCTGCTGGCGAGACATTGGTGCCAGAAAAGGATGACGCTATGGAGCAGCCAGCTGTGACAGACGTCTTTGTGCCTTATGTGATCATCCGGACAAATGAACTAAACGCCAAGGGCGAAACAGTCCGTAAAGGTGGAAAAGTTCGATCCGCGAATTGGATTACGTCGGGCACAAGAACATCGAAAAAGCTGCAGCTGCTCGTATCGACTACAACAAATCAGCTCGAGGTTTACGATGTGGTAGCATACCGCGCACGAGAAGATAAAGCGAGCAGAGTAGCGCCCGATTATAATCGGTCACTTGCTGTAGAACTGCCTGGCCACCGAACAGATATCCGTACACTCGCATTATCGTCTGACGACCGCATGCTTGCCAGTGCATCAGCCGGTCAATTGAAAGTATGGAATCTGCGAACACAGTCATGTCTTAGGACACTGGACTGCGGGCCGGCATTGTGTTCTGCGTTCTTGCCTGGTGATCGTATGGTGCTGCTGGGCACAAAGTCTGGAGAGCTTGAATTGTACGACATCAGCACCAGTACATTGGTGGAGAAGATAAACGCGCATGAGTCTGCGATCTGGACTTTGGCGGTACATCCCGATGGCCGTTCAGTAGTCACTGGTTCAGCGGACAAGAGCGCGAAGTTTTGGAGATTTGACGTCGTGGACGAAGAGATACCTGGCACAAGAAGGACGACTCAAAGACTGAAGCTCTCCCAGACGCGGCAGTTGAAGGTGAACGACGATGTACTGTGTGTGTGTTTCTCTCCCGACCAGAAATACCTTGCGCTCAGTACTCTTGATAACACAGTCAAGACGTTCTTCGTGGACAGCCTCAAACCTTACCATATTCTCTACGGTCACAAACTGCCCGTGCTCAGCATCAGCATCTCTAGCGACTCCAAACTCGTGGCGACATCTTCAGCCGACAAGAATGTCAAGATCTGGGGCCTCGACTTTGGCGACTGCCACAAATCGTTCTTCGCTCATCAGGACAGCGTTATGCAAGTCAGCTTCATCCAACACCCTCAAGAGCAGGATGAGAAGCACACCGTCTTCAGCGCTGGCAAAGATGGGGTGCTCAAGTCATGGGATGGGGACAAGTTCGAACAGATTCAGAAGCTTGAAGGACATCATGGCGAGATCTGGGCCATGGTCATCAGCCGCACTGGCGAAACCGTTATAACTGCTTCTCACGACAAGTCGATCAGAACCTGGTCTATCGGCGACGATCTCATCTTCCTCGAAGAAGAGCGGGAGCGGGAATTGGAAGAGCAGTACGAGGCCACTCTTGCGAAAAACATGGATCGCGATTTCGAGGGTGACGAAGACGCGAACGACGAAGTTGCAGCAGCATCGAAACAAACCATCTCTACGCTGACGCACGGCGAAAAAATAATGGAAGCCCTTGAAGTTGGAATCACAGATCTAGATCTCATGACGGAACATAATAGTCAGCGTGCCAAGAATCCCAAGTTGGCCGCAATACCTCAGGACCGCAATCCAATCTTTATGGCTCTGGGGAATATCTCGGCAGAACAGCACGTCCTCAAGACACTCCAACGTGTTCCCCGTCCCGCTTTGAATGACGCTCTCCTTGTTATTCCTTTTTCAACTCTACCCACTCTGTTCACATTCCTCGCGATCATTCTGCGGAAACACATGGCACCCGAACTTGCTTGGACGATATCGCACTTCATGCTACAAGCGCACATGAATCAGATCGTGGCGAGTAAACAGCTCAAACCCCTCTTAACAGAAATTTACGAGGCGTACGATGCATGGCAAGATGAGGAAAAGCGGGTCATTGGATTCAATCTTGCAGCTTTGGAGATCATGGCGAGGGAGTCAAGGGAGAATGAGAATATCAATGGTGGATATCTGGACTATGAGAAGCTTGGCGATACTGCGACTTTGGAGAACAACGGGAGGAAGAAAAGGGGATTCGCTAGTCTGGCATAGACATCCAGCTATTCGCCTCGCAAGTTACGAGGCTCGAGGGCGAGTAGGTCTATAGTATAATTATACAGATGAAATTGGCCTCGAGCGCCCTCGACTTCTATACTAATACTAACAGTTTACCTGCGAGCTATAACCCCTTTTTCTACCTTTTCAGAGTTGCTGCCAGAAGTTTCCCGGGGAAGTGAAGGGATGGATATACCACTGGTGCTGTTTCGACCTCGTGATGTACGGGGCAGAATCATCCCCGTTACATGTAAGCGAGGTATATGTTGATATGGTGCTCGATGAGGCCGGAGTACGGCTTGTGGAACTTTGAATTAAGAAAGGTCAAGGCTGGTATACAGCACACTAGTAGGTAGCACATGTACCTAGTATTACCTGTCTCGGGAGGGCCGCCACATTAGTGAACGCGCTAATGACGCGCGGCTCTGTGGCACAGGCCGCCGCTGGGACGACCAGCTGAAGTATCCCATCGTGAAGAACACCGCTCCTGTCTTTCTGCCTTCTGCATATGAGCGAGACAAACATGTCTTCCATACCCCTTCCACCCCCGTAACATTGTTCGACTGCTACCGCCACAATCTCGACCGACATGCCTTCTCGCGACAGCTCGCCGGGTCGCAAAGACTCTGGCAGCGCGCCCACTTCGCCCACGAAGATGCTCGACAAGGTCGAGCTGAGCGATCTGGAGTCGAGTCCGCCGAAACTCCCTATTGAGTCGGATCTGATGCAGCTCGCACGTTTGGGGGAACTCCGAAGCATACAAAAGCTGTTCGACAGCGGAAAATACAGTGCCAAGTCGACAGATGAGCAGGGCATCACTGCACTCCACGTATGAGCACCGCGCACAGCATAAAGAGGCAGGAGCATGAACCAGAGGCTGACGTCTAGTCAGTGGGCTGCCATCAACGGACACCATGCGCTGTGTCACTACCTCATACAAACTGGCGCTGATATCAATGCCAAGGGTGGTGATGCACAGGCGACTCCTGTGTTATGGGCGAGCAAGCGCTTCAACCTCCAGGTCATTTCATTACTATTATCGCATGGAGCAGATCCGTTGATACGCGATGATCAAGGCTATAATCTGCTGCACTCCGCTACATTGGACGGCAATGTGTATCAATTGATCCTGCTTCTGCATCACCCGGACCTGCCTGTAGATGTTCCAGACGCTCAAGGTCACACATCGCTGATGTGGGCGGCCTACAAAGGTTTTCCAGCTTGTATCGATGTCTTACTCCAATTTGGCGCAGACGTACACGCTACTGATGAGATGGGATTCACAGCTCTGCATTGGGCTTTGGTTAAGGGCAGTTATCTCTGCATTCAGAAGCTTGTGGAGTATGGAAGCGATCGCTTTGCACGAAGTAAACCCCAAGAAGGCCAGACCGAAGGCGACACACCGGCGGAGACTGCTGCTAAGATGAAAAGCGATCGAATGTGGCGCAGAGCGCTCAAAGAATGTGGCTACGACGACGCCGGCAACCCTTTGGCATTTCCCATGCCATTCTTCAAGGACCGGCGTCTTTTTTTCAAGCGCTTCTTTTTTCTTTGGCCATTCGCTCTCGGCGGACTCCAGCTGCACATGCTGGCATATCTGAATGCCTGGGTCTCAGTCCCCGGAGTGCTCATCGTAGGGTATGGCCTACAGTTCGCAGTACAGAAACTACTTCGTTGGGCACCCTCCGAGCTGAATACGATGCACAAGACACCCTTTCTTGCAGGGATCTTTGCGGGCACACTCTTCTGGATCGGCGTGCGCTACATACTAAAGATCCTCCCAAGTAAGTTTGTTGTGAATGACATTGCAATGCCGCCTAGCTCACGATTGTTCAGATACTCTTTCGACGCATTTCTTCCTTAACGTGATGTTTGCAACCTGTTACGGGCTCTGCGCATACTTCTACTTCATGACAATGACGGCAGATCCCGGATATATACCCAAAAGCGCGACTCGTGGCCAGACAAAGAACACGATTGATGAGCTCATCGAGCACAATGCATTCAACGAAACACATTTTTGTACAACATGTATGATACGAAAACCATTGCGCAGCAAACATTGCCGACGGTGCGGTAGATGTGTGGCGAGAGAAGACCAGTAAGATCATATTCCTCCCATGAAACGTCGGACCCAACTGACCTGCTGCAGCCATTGCCCTTGGGTTGATAATTGTGTTGCGATCAATAACCACAAACACTTCATATTGTACGTGCTGTTCATGATAATCGGCATCGGCTTCCTGATACAACTCAGCATTGCATGTAAGTTGATCCTCTCAAGGTTCTGATGCGGGCGACACTAATGAGACTCAGACATCGAGATCCTCCCAGCACCAAAGGACGCTGTCTGTACTATCTTGAAAGACGAACTCTGCGCCGAGTTCTCGAAAGATCCATTGACTATCATCACCAACGCTTGGGGCTCACTGCAGCTTACCTGGACATTCATGCTTTTGTTCGTACATTTCTTTCAGGTCGCGCGCAACCTAACCACCTTTGAAAGCATGCGAAACATGGACCAGGTCAATCCACTCTTATCTGCAGTCACGGCAGGCACGATGAACATAGACTCCTCCCAGCTCGGGAGCGGGGGCGCCGGTCCTGATGCAGGCGGACACAAGCACAAGAAGAGCGAAGGGTGTATAACAAGATGGGCTCGAACCATTGGTATCGACGTCTTTTTTGCCATCGCATTCCAGGGCTATAAAGGCCACAAGAACAAGACACAAAAGCAGAAACAGCCCAAGCGCGAAAATCCCTTCAGTCGAGGACTTTTTCGAAATTGTCAAGACTTTTGGATGGATGGACCAATATTTGGTCGGAAACAGAGCAACAGAGGTCTTCTCAATGGCGAGCTTGTCGACTACGCGAGCATGTATGATGTACCCCGGAGAGGGATGAACTACCGCAATGGCGGCTACACAGAAGTTGCTACTGCGGACACAGAAGAAGTATAACTACACGTACCAGATATAGGCAGTGTGTTACAGCCATTTTTCCTCCTGAGCGATCTTCCTTTCTCCCTTACTGCCTTTCTACATTGGAGTAGACGTTAGTCCCGGCCGTCATCCATTTCAGTAGACCCCAGATTCTCGCCAGACAAGTACATGGCAAAGACATGTAGGTATGTTCACAACCAACTGATTTGGCTGAGATTAAGACGGGCAAACACACCAGATGCCCGTCATTGAGGATGAGTTCGCCAAGATACCTCCTAGCTCGAAGCAGATACCTAGTCCAGATTTATGCTCTGCATAATACACTCCGGGGTCTGATACCGGGGGCTCCGGGATTGCCGATCAAGCCAGGTCCTTGGGACTTCGAGAACGTTTGTTAAGAATAGATTTAGGTCAGGGAACTTACCTACCGTAAGGTACTTACCATTGTCCTTACTGGTACACTCCACACTGGGTAGGAGGTACTGTACAGATCTCAACATTTGGGCGGAAGAATATGGTGCGACGGAGCGGTTGGATAGAACTATCACGACCGCGACGATGACACAAGATGGGCTAGTTCTAAGCGATGGTAGGACACACTCGACGCTGCCATCCTCCTCCATCCACTGCCCCCAAAACACTGACATCCGCCTTCGCAGTCGCCGCACGATTCGCCGACTTGCCCATATCCCTTCTCCACGCCGAGCTCCAACGACGACAAGCCCAAGGTGAACGGCCGGAATGCGGCTCGAACAACACCAACAGGAAGTACAGCTTCCCTATCCACGCCGTCGCCCTCCTCGTGATCCTCATCCTCTCTACCCTCGCCTGTTCGTTTCCCTTGATCGTTCGATGCTTCCCCAAGCTGCCAGTCCCGCACCATGCCCTGTTCATCAGTAGGCACTTCGGCACGGGCGTCCTCATAGCCACCGCCTTCGTCCATCTGCTACCGACTGCGTACACGAGTCTGACGAATCCATGTCTTCCCCCTTTCTGGACACACACATACCCGGAAATGCCAGGCTTTGTTGCCATGGTCAGTATCATTGTGGTGGTTGGATTGGAAATGATATTCGCAATGAGAGGAGCAGCGCATAGTCACCACGTAGACTTTGAGCAATTGCGAGGATCAGGAGGGCCTGTGGAGAGGCCGGCAGGAAGAGGCAGAAGCACAAGCTTCAACAGTTTTCGACAGGTGCCTTTGGATGATATGAGCAGGGACGGACCTTCGGATAGAAGTGCTTATACAGACGCGCCTCCTACGCCGGGAAGCCCGGGAAGCTCATTGAATAAGCCCTTGCCCAGGCCACCTAGCCGTGGTGAGCAAGAGGACGAAGAAGATGAAGATGATGATCTCGATCTGGATGAGCTGGACCCGAATGAGGACGATATGCAGCCTTTGACTAGTAAGGCCGATACTGACAACGATCACTCAACAATGCACACACATGCGAATGGCAATGGCCGGCCTGGTTTCCACAAGCGCAAGATCTCCTGGGCAGATCAGGGGGCTGGAAGTGATCACCAAGCGCATACGCCTGCTGTACTGCCAGCAGCCCAGGAGCAGCGGCTCGTGCTCCAATGTCTGATGCTCGAAGCGGGTATCCTGTTCCACTCTGTCTTCATCGGCCTCGCTCTCTCTGTGTCCACAGGCAGCAAATTCGCGGTGCTCCTGGTGGCAATTTCCTTTCATCAGACATTTGAGGGTCTGGCACTGGGGTCTCGCATTGCCTCAATAGGATCCTTTTCTACCTCATCCTACAAACCTTGGCTCATGTGTCTGATGTATGGCATCACCACTCCCATTGGCCAGGCGATCGGTTTGGGCGTACAGGGGCTGTACGATCCCGCATCACAATTGGGCCTGCTTATGGTCGGAACTATGAACGCCATCAGTAGCGGACTTTTGATCTATGCAGGTCTCGTACAACTCCTCGCCGAAGACTTCCTCAGTGAGTCGAGCTATGCTGAGCTCAGAGGTGTACGAAGACTGCAGGCCTGCGCGTCTGTAGTTGCTGGCTGCGCTCTGATGGCCTTGGTAGGCGTCTGGGCGTAGCACCAAGTGGCCACAACGCATATATACATGTATATCCTTAACTCCCATTATTACTTTTTTCGGACTCTTCTTTTTTCTTTCAATTGCATGACCTTTCTTTTTTTTTTGGAAAGCATAGCGGAGGGCGTGCGTGGCATCAGGTATATGTCAGTTCAGGTAGGTATCTAGGTAGGTTAGGTACTCACAGAGCCTGAATCCCGTCCGGTTTCTGCATCTCTTTTTGTTAATAATCGCGAGTACATGTAAGGTAGGTAGGTATCATTCTCTTCTGCCCTCTGATTGATCCGTCACGTGGTCGATTTTGCTTTTATGTCGCTATCTTACCTGATAGGCTGATCTTACCTTACTGATCGTCGCCGTACATAGTGTAAGAATAAGGTAATCAAGATGTCGGGCAAGTACATGTACCTACTTATGGGATTAAAGTACCGTATGTAAGTAAAGTCATGTAAGAATGGATGCGGTAACTGGGTAATGTAGGTATACAGCTTAGGTAGGTACGTGGAGGTAGGTAGGTACATACATAACACACCTATGTACCTTACAGGTAGTGAACAGGTATATTACATATACCCGACATTTTGTAAGCGAAAGTCAAATCAGTCAAATTCGTGACTTTTTTTTCTGTCAAACCAACCTGGAATGCACCCTTCTCCGCACGCCACCTGTTGATCAGGCAGCGGGCGATGAAGAGGGAGGGGGTTTTATGATGGGAGATTTCTGGTAGGATAGTGCCTCTACCTGGCTTATTCCGGGAGATGCGACATGTTTATATGCCGACTGCACCGTTTTGTGAGAAGGGAGATTTCTGGTAGGATAGTGCCTCTACCTGGCTTCTTCCGGGAGAGCGACTCATCAATGAGCCGTCTGCACCGTTTTGTTGAGCGAAAGCTTTGCCATTTCCGCGGCAAGCAGCTCAGAGCGGGAGTAGACGAACTTCGGCATCGTACCCGTGAGGTATTTCGCCGGAATCGGATAATGGCGCTCGACCCACCATTCCTCGAGCGGAATCTGGGGGTAGAGTGCGCGGAGTCCACCGCAAGGGAGGTCGGAGGGATTGTCTTCGAGCATGGCAAGATCGACAATCGTGGGCGGGGTCGAAGCAGGAGTGTCGGAGCGTTGAGGAGGGCACATCTTGTGAAGGATGTCTTTGGTTTACGAAATCGTGCAGAGCGTGTGCTGTGCTGTCGTAAGATTGATTTGATGAAGAAGAAGAGAGAAAGAAGGACGAAAATTTTCATATTTGAGTCTTCTGTGCGTCCGCATCCGAGTGATCCCATAGCTGCTTACTCTTAGCCATAATGTATGGAGTACTGGTACCATGCCGTGGTTTGTGCCAGCTGACCAGAGAGGTGGAGCAGAACGAGAATTTTGCCAGTGCTGACTCTGGACATGTTGGAGTACCGCAGGTAGACCATAAGGTGTACCAGCTTGCCAGGGAGGCGCAGCAGGAATAGATTTGTAGCCATTTTAAGGAAGAGCGGGTCCATGAAGTCAAGAAGTGGTTGGCTGAAGCAAAAGAAGTTCACCCGGCCCGAGATGGATGCAGCATACCATAAACTGTACTGGAGCGGACCTGCTGAAAGCGGAAGGGTCCGTACATCCATCATCATCATAATCAGCAGCAGCAGCAATAAAGTCCGTGCAGAAATTAGCGTTACGCTGTATGCTCCGGGGTCTTTGCCATCCCACTCCCTACTCCTCGCAGCAAAACGATGGTATTGCCCGTGGTCACACGCTGCCCCAGTTTCTCCCCAAAGTCCAACAGCGTACCGCCTTCTACGTGAAACACTCGGAGTTTATCCTCCTCGCTCTCAGACCGATTGTTAACATTTTGCACCTGCAAGCTCTTGGCCGCAAGATCCAAGACTCTGCCTACGGAATATTCCGAGCTGTAGAAGAAATTTCCCTTTGGTATCTTCGCGGTTATCGTATCCGAACTGGCTTCTACGTATAGATATAGCCTCTTGTCTTGAGGGATCTTGTCGTCGCCTTTAGCAGTCCTCTTCAGAGTGTTAATGGCCGTGACGGAAGCTGCGGCACTCTTCCTTGCTGGCGTTTGTGGGACCTTGGGTGTGGGCAGACTAGCTTTCTTGGATAGTCCCCAAGCTTTTAACTTGTCCAGCGCTGCCATTCCTTTCTCCTTTTGTGTTTGTTGGCCATTCTTCCCTGTTCCCAGAGGAGTGAGGTTCTCGCAATTGTGCTCGTAGGTGAAGCGGTGTTTCAGACAGTAGGATCGTCGACATTTGTCGCAGTGCACGCCTGTCACGAGGGGTGTGTTGATGAGGGTCTTGCAGGACGGATCGGAACATTGTTGTTCGTGGGAGAGGATGCTCGGTTTTGTGGGGCCTTTGAAGCCTGTTGTTGTCGTTGGAGGGCCGCGATTCGCTTCTGCTCGTCTGCGAGCCCACTCGCCTTCCTTGGGACAGGCGTGGGCTGTTTCAGTACGGTGGTCGAGGCAGTATGAGCCTTTGCAGCTTTCGCATTTGAAAGGAAGAAAGTCGAGTTGCCGGCAGAAGGCGGCTTGACAGTGAGCGCCGATTGCTTCGACTTCCGCATGCGACATGGTGCTGAAGCTGCTGTCTTGCTTGGTTGGGTCTGGGGTAGAGGCCATGCTGGCGTTGCGCCCTCTGCTATTATATACCTTATGTACGTATCGCCAGGCCAGTCAGGGCTTGCGTATGCGATGGTCTGCCTGGCGGTGATGGCTAAGCGATGGCAAAGAAGATTCTGGCCACTTCGTGACACGGAGGCCGGTGTGTGTCAGCAGCGCCGGTCGATGCGGTGGAGAGTTACCTGTTCTCGGGAGTGGTGAAGGGAGAGAATAAGGTACTTGGCCTTGCGGTCAGCGTCTATGACTTTCACACGCCACAATGCGACAACAACAACAACCTTCACTCACTTCACTTGGCCATCGGCGGCATAGTATAGCACACCGGCTACTCTGCTATACCTACGTGTACCAGTTCTGCCCAGCTACCTTATCCGTAGCTCCGCGTCTGCCCGAGACCCGTGTAGACACTAATCAATATTTGAGCCATTTCATTGGGTCAGGGGCGCGACTGCAACCGGCAGATTGCCAAATACGGTGCACAACGGCTGCGGGGTTGGGGGCACGAGATCACGTCCCGCCCGCCCCGCCTTCCACTCTCTCGTGAACAGCAACAAGAGACGCGGCAGGGCACTGGGCAGGGCAGGCGCCAGGCGAGATGGGATCTACTATCTATCTGCCTGCTCATCAAGCTGTACATGTACCTTACCTACCTCTCTGTATCTCTGTACCTCCTCCTCCTCCTCCTCCTCCTCCTTCTCCTCATCACGACTTACTTGATATTACCGTATTCATCAACATAGCTTCGCAGCAGCCTGCTGACTTCCAACACCAGCTGTGGATATCCCCATTCTTCTATTGATTGCCCTCACGCGACGCATCAGCCCATCCATGCAGCCACCCACCATAGGAACTACCCGCTGATACCTCGACTTGCCCCGGGCAATCGCAAGGTCCATCACTTCACCGGGTTCACTGCTTCATTTGACGACCACCATGTTACCACCTCACCTTCAGCAGGGTGTCGTCCGTCAACGATCGCTCTCGATGAGTGCTCTCCGCTCGTCTACCGCCGCTCCCCTCCTTCGCCCTGGCACTGCCTATGCGCAGACACGCAGCTTGTGGTGGAAGCGGCCCTATGACTACACTTCCCAGATCGATCCCATGTATCACCGAATGAACCGATATCGAACACTGAAGACGCGGGCGAGGATGCTCGATAAGCTACGTAGAAAAGGCAAATGGGATTGGGATGCGGTACAGCGCCCCTTCTTCACCCCGAAACACATCAGATGGGCGAGTCATGTCGGCAAACCCAAGTGGACGCCCGAGCAAGAGCCACGAGACCGCACGAGCAAAGCCGAACGGGATGAGCACCACGATGGCTTTGAGCTCAGCCAACGTGAGCGGGAGTGGAAGGATCACATGGAGGCTTTGCGGAAGCGTATCAATCAAGATCCATATGAGGCCGTGTTTGGAAGACGCTTCGAGCCCTTCTGGACCCCTCTGGTTCCCCACTGGATGAAAGAGGAGATGGGCCTACAGTCAAAGGATGCTTCCGAGACCACAGCCACTTCCAACAGCAGAGAACAGAAAGTAGAAAGCGCTAAGGCACCCTATAGACCACTCGGTCCGGAGCCGATCCGGGCAAAGAGTCAAATTGATGCGAGCGATGCGGCATCGGAGCATCAGTCCACGCCTGCACGATACAGCTATGATCCCAAGAAGACATCCATTGACGTTAACAGTGATTCGCCGAATGGCCAGCAGACCAGCTATTCATATGGAGCTACGACGAAGTGGGACTCATGGACTAAGAAAGCCAGCCGCGTGGAGTGGGACTCCGTATCCGGGGAGAAGCGACGTTATGAGTATGATCCAATCAGCAATCGCATGGTTCAGGTCAACGGCCCTCCAGAGTCGGAGGTCAGAAAGGTCGAAGATGCTTTGAAAGACTATCCAGCCAGATCACAATCCCCTCTCATGTCTCATGGCTGGCAATCAGGTCTCGGCAACAAGACTTCCGATTCAGCAGTAGTCGACGTTCCCATAACGAGATTCAACAACACTCGCCAGGCCATAACAGTGCCCACCCAAGACAGCGCTGGCCAGAAGGCCTCTGTCTATTTTCCTTCTTTGACTAACACCGCCATTGTTGCAGACGCCCCAAAGCCATCGTCACTTTCCAAACATGAACGATATCCTGACACTTTGACTGCAAGTGATGTTCGTGCTTCTGTGGGTCAGAGCAAAGCTGAACGAGGCCCACCAACGGTGCGCGAGGAAGAGCGCGCTTACCGTCACGGCAAACCAGATCCTCGCAAAATGAGTCAATGGGAACAAGCAGAACACCGCATGATGCTCAATGGGGAGCTCTATGACATTACAAAGCAAAAACAGAAGCTGCTCAAGCAAGAGTCTGGCTCCTTAGAGAACATTCAGCGCGATATGGCCAAGCTGGAGACGCGCGCCTCTGATCTCCACACGGAGCTTGATGCTATGGATGGTGCTACTCCTACTGTAGTTGCTGCACAGCCAGGAACAGAGCGGGACTCGGGCACGTCCATCACTGCGAAATTTCACAACACAAGCGCGCAACCCACATCCAAGTTGCAGCCCGCGCTAGAGCGCATGCCAGCAAAGTCGACCAAAGTTGTAGAAGATCCCGACGACTCGGCTGCACACGAGTCTACTGGTGACTTTGGCGGGTACAACTTTAATGATATTCCCAAGCCTCGAACAATTGCCGCTCGGCCTGCAGAGCGCACCCAACGACAATTTACGACACAAAACGATCTTGCACGAACCGAGGATGACAGTCTGCGCAAGTCGGGCACCAGCATGGTTGAACTGCTCCGAGAAAAGCGAAGTCTCGAAGATCGTGTGCAGGGCGAGGTTCTTGGCCGCAAGTCTGCACCACGCTGGATCGATGTCATGAAGGCTCGTCAGGCTGCTAAAGACGACAGGAATTCGGAAGACAACGCTGTCACGGACATCCGGGATGCTGCAAAGAACGAAAGACTCGCGAAGGCAAATGCTCTGCTGCAAGCGGAGATTGATGAGCAAAAGTCGTACATGAACGCGCATGAGCATCGCCACCCTGCTGTTGCCGCAAGCTTGCAAGAGCTACCTGTCAAAACCGCTGTTGTGAGTGACATTAGTCAGAGCGAACGCCAACGCTATCAGGACAAGATCAGAGACCTTCGCAAGGAGCTCGATCTCGCGTACAAGCAGAGCAGCACCAACGCAGAAGGCCATGTTGATACCATTCGAAAGCTCGAGAAGAAGCTTCAGACCAGTCTTGAGAGTCGATCTGATGTATCTGATGCCGAGAGAAAGAAATATGTAAAAAAGATCAAGGCCCTGCGCGAAGAACTCGATGCCACATTCAAGCAGAGCAGCATCAATGCAGAGATGCATGTAGAGCGCATTCGCGAGCTCGAGAAAGAGTCCGAGCAATTCCGGGGTCGTAATAAGCCCATCGATATTCCGCAAGCAGAAGGTGACATGAGCATCAATGTAGCCAAGTTCGCCAAGGATAGCAGCAGATGGTATAAGCAGCCGGCGATAGTCCATGCCAGGAATCTGCAGCAGCTTGAAAGTGATTCTAGAATCTTGAACAGGGAGCGTGACGCAGCGCTGTCAGAGCACGAGCTGAGGGCAGGATCAGCATATGAACGGAAGGCTAATCAGAAGAAGCAAGATTTGCAGTCAAACATCGCAGCAGGGCCGCATCCAATCGATCAAGCTCTTGCGGAGTATGAGCGAAAAGCTGTTCAAAGGGAGCGAGACCAAGCTTTGGTGAAAGAGGTGCGTGATATTTACGAGAAGCAGTACGGCACGATCGACGTCCATCACCGCCAGACGTCTGTCGACAAAGCGCTCGAGGAACATGAGCGAATGATGAAGCCCGAGCCAAAAGCTGCTCCTGAAGCCTTCCATGCGCTTGATAATCAGCAACCTCTTCCAACCTCGCTCGATGCCGCGCTCAAGGTTCATGAGCAGAAGCGGAAGCCTCAGACCAAGCTGGAAGAGTGCGAAACTCACCCTACCTCCCTTGACAGAGCGCTCGAAGCTCATGAGCAGAAGCGAACGCCCCAGACCAAGCTAGACGACTGCGAAACTCGCCCTACACCCCTTGATAGCGCGCTTGAAGCTTATGAGCAGAAGCAAAAGCCCCAGACCAAGCTGGACGATTGCGAAACTCACTCTACCCCCCTTGATAGAGCGCTCGAAGCTCATGAGCAGAAACGAATGTCTCAAACCAAGCTGGATAATTATGATCACGCTTACTCTGTTAAGAACCAGGAGCACGATCTCCACAAAAATACTTCTCGACTTGAGAGGCAGGCTCGCGAAGCAGAGATGGCTCAGCAAGAAAAAGAAGCACATGACGCCCAATCTGCTATGGACCAGGAGGTTTGTGGCACACGCAGTCTGGACACTGATGTTCAGCATCCGATCAATACCGAAACCCAGCACACCGTCCAGTGGCAAGAGCCCCCAATCTACAAAGTGCTCGCTTACGACTCGGGTAACGATTTCCTCGTGACATCAACCACATCAACGAACTTTACTGGCCAAGAAACTCCTATTTCGATCCCTGAGGCTTTATCGCAGCTCTACCAGCCCGCTCGCTTCATCCCAGAGTTCGCCGAACTGCAGAAGCAGAACTTCCAGGTCATTTACGCCACTCGAGATCTGCTCGTGCTCGGCAAGGCCAAGACCACCCAGGTTGCAGCCGAAACGACCACTCTACAGGACCACGGTCTCATCGTACCGCCAGAAGAGCCCACGTCCGCGGAGTCAGCTCCCAAGGTCAACCCAGTCGACAAGACCGGCTTGCAGGAACCCGTCACGGGCAGCTTCGCTTCTCCCACAGGCTTTGTAGGCGATCGCTGGGAGTCCGAGGCAAGCACTGTCTCGCCTGAGACACAAGCTGTCGATGCTGCTCTTAGTGAATATGAAGCTAAACACTATCCCCGCGTGACACGACAGGAACGAGTATTCTCTGGCAGTCGACTCAGTAGTAGAGGTTCATCTTCATCTTCATCGCACACATCGAATAAGAAGAAGGAAGAGAAAGAACAGAGGAGAAAGTATCGTGGTTGGAGGCGAAGTGCTAAATGGGCTTTGATATCTGGAGTCGGAGTGGGTGTTGCGGCGTATAGTATCGGTGCTGCGGCCGAGAGAAGTCGAGAGAGGGACATGGAGAGATGGCAGAGGATTCTGCAGGAGCAGAGGGCCTTGGGAGGTTTGGGGGCAGATGGAAAGAGATTGAGGGATAGTGGGAGCGGCGTGTTTTGGAGATGATGCTAATGACGCTATGTGAATGTGTCCGGTACGATCGTTATGAGGGCGTTCTTTGGGCAAAGGCATGAGCACGGTGTTGTTGGGATCGAGATATCATAGGTTGTTCGAGTGTAACAGAACACTCGCTCTTGTATCAGCTAAGAGCTCAGGAGTTGACATAGTCCGCTCAATCTTTACAAATAAAAACTGATCATGCGCCGTAAAATGATGATAGCACCAATTAGCTCTGACAAGGTCCCTCTAGGAGACGACTGCGGGATACCTAGTTCGAACCTCGACTAGAGCAGGGACTTATAGATGTCCCGTACATGTATTTGCACAGATTAAAATCTGAGTATCAAAAGTTGAAGTATACTAATAGAAATATAGTAAGGCAGTACTCTTAAGGACACTAATATACCTACCTACGTAGCTGTAAGTGAACTATAAAGCTAGCCGGATTTCCTTAAAGTACTAAACGAGCATTTCTCGAGATCTATATTGCTTTCTCTACTTGTATAATACCTAGCTTAGTATACGGATATAGAGATATAGCAGATGTAGCAGATATATTCAAGGTGTTGTAGCTTTAAGGTAAGGTAAAGTGAATATCGTAATAGGTGTTTGAGGACAGGAGAACCCCACTTGACAGCACCTCGCGCGCATTCTTGTCCCAGTATCTCCTACCTATGTACCTGACCGTAGACAACGGGTTGCACACCACCACAACAACGAACGCTCAGAATGGCGACAACAGACCCCTTTGATGCAGCACTGTATGTACACTAGTTCAATCTATTCTCATCAGCCAACTGACTCTTCTGCCATAGAGACCTTCTTCGCCGACTCCCGCCTTCTTCCACGCAAAAGAATCTCAATGGCATCATCTCCCTCCAGCCTTCCCTAGAGGAGGACTTGCTGTCTTCTGTCGATGTCGCCCTCACGTCGAAGCGCTGTACCAAGTCAGGGCGCGACTACCTCTGCTGCGACTACAACCGTGATGGAGACTCATACCGTTCGCCTTGGAGCAATGAGTTCGAGCCGCCCATATCGGAGGATGATGCTGCCGATCTAGTGCCTTCTGGCCGCGTTCGCAGAATGGAGGAGACGCTCAACCAGGGCGTTGACGTGTACCGTGAGCTGTACTATGAAGGCGGCATCAGCAGCGCATACTTGTGGGCCTTGGATGACGGCTTTGCGGGCGTTGTGCTGTTCAAGAAGAGCGCGAGCGGAACAGGAAAGGGTGGGTGGGACAGCATCCACGTTCTGGAGGTGAATGAAGCGGCGAATAAGAGGAGCGCGCACTATAAGCTCACTTCAACTGTCATCCTGGAGCTGGGATTACAGTCGAGCACCGTGGACAATCTTGAGCTCGCAGGCAACTTGACAAGACAGACGCAGCAGGACTCGCCACTGCAAGGACTACGAGATGCGGAAATAGAGCAGAGCCACGTGGTGAACATTGGACGTATGGTCGAGGACATGGAGACGCGAATGCGGAACCTGCTACAAGAAGTGTACTTTGGCAAAGCAAAGGATGTCATCGGCGATTTGAGGAGCATACAGCCGCTGAGTGAAGCTGAGCGAGATCGTGCAGCACATCGCGAGGTTATCGACAAAATGGGGCGTTGAGCGCATGCACGTGGATGAGGGACAGCATGAATTGAATTGGCTGGCAGCATCGGCTGCCTCTAACATGTCCAGGTCTACAGATGGCTTCGGTCATGTGGCCATCATGAAGCATGAGTTGAAGAACAGGTATGAAAAGCATGAACAGATCTCTCTCATGACTCCTATCAGACGATACTGATAATGAACATTTGATCACGATTTCTTGCTATTCTTGCTTCACTTGTAGCGCACAAAGTCAAACCTCACTTTGAGACTGTGTTAATACAACGCATGTTCTCTTGATGATAGCACAGCACAGTTCTTTGAAATCTTGACATGACCCGAGCCTCAACCAACAAACAGCGCCAGCATGAACAAAAACAAGGGCAATCTTGCCACCGGAAAGAGACAAAAAGGGCAGACCACATCACATCGAAAAAGGGCTGAAGATCTGGTCGTAACTCACCTGCAGCCTCCGATGCTCAAAAATGTGGATATGCGCAAGCTCGCGTTAAATCTGCCATGTCGCCAGTTGATCAAGAAGCGATTCACCAATCTGCCAACACCCGCCGGCTTATTCAGTCAGCTGGGATCAGGTCTCCGCCTTCGCATCTTTGCACTGGCCTCCACTTACTCGGCGCCATTTCGAATCCATAGCTTTCGCGGTAATGGCAAGCTCGCCCACGGCCCGTACCATAAAAACAACTTGACGCAGGTCGCCGATGCTAGAGCTTTGAGCGCAGTCAGCAGAGCCGTACGACACGAGACGAACATGATGTTCTATCGAGTCAACACCTTCAACATCAATCACGATCCACATCGTTCTGGCAACGACGCGACATCGGTATTGAAGCGCTTCCGAGAAACGATTGGCGAAGAGGCGTTTTCTCGCATCCGAGCACTAGGCTTCATTGCCTATGTTTCCAACGAACGGGCTTCGCAGATGCTGCCACCACCTCAGGATCTGTGTATTCAAATCACGGAAGCCTTGAAAGCCATGATCATCGCTGGCGGCATATACAGCTTGGAGATACAGAGCGTCAGTGCGAAGCTCGAGGTCTGCATTGCTATCGATGGCCATCATTCTCACCGAAACGTCCCGATCGATGATAATGACCTCGTGAGGGCCTTGGAGTATAAGACACGGTTCATGACAAGTATTGAGCTCTCGCTGAGACTTGCTGCGTATACCTGGGAACGACATCTGGCCAGATGGATGAAGATGGCCGATGAGGCAGCGCAAAATGGAGATGAGGTGAAGCGAAGAGGTATCAGCGAGGTTGTGGTGAGTATGTCCACTGCGAGAGAGAGACTACGGACCATGCTGCCTTTGCAGAGCCGGATATGAGCAATTTAGTTAGTTGTTCTATGGGTGTAATGGGAATTCAGCAGCTGCAAAACTACCTGATTTCAGGAAGTTCTTGATCTCATCATGGTGGTATATGAACAATTTTTTTCGATCAAGGCACTGACTCAATTACACCTTGAAATCTTTACTACCTGAACCATCCCAGTCATGGATTATGCGAGTCATTGATACTGCACGTCAGTCTTGCGCACTTCGTGGACGAAACGTAGCATGTCTCAGTTTGCGACGAATGGCAGTTCAGGAATCTGCAAGAACAATTCTTGTGGTTTGTCGTTAGCAGCATTAAGGTACATAAGGTACCTATAGTGAAGCTTTGGCCTCGTCACGTCTGTACAATGTATCTACTAATGTACCTAAGCTAAGGTACCTAACTCAAGCGATCACATCTGACCACATCATGAATGATCTGGACATTAATATGTACTGACACAAGTTGCGTAGACGACGGGATTCTAGAGGAGAAGATTTGGGAAATAGGGTACCACCTCTGAAAGCAAGCAGCATTCGAGATCGGCACGGGTTCTTATGTTGCACAGATAAGTAAGGAGCGAGCGAGCTGTAATCACTTCGAATGAACTGTCGACGAAGACTTGATCGATGGGAAATACCTCCTCTCATAACGAGGCAAAGGCAGCTTCATACACACTTCGAGACCATGCCATCATCCTGGCCCAATAACTTCTTATCTGGACCAGCCCACTTGATCTCATAAGTCTCGATCCCATCATGAGAGCCCTGCCAATCATGCTTGTGCAAACCAAAGCCTTCCATCTCGGGCTGCGGAATTCTCGGATAAATTCCCATCTTGAGAACGACTTTGCCCGGATAGGCAGCAGTTTCGGATTTGATAGGACTGCAGTGGGAGGATACGATTAGCATATACCTATGTCCGGAATTGGGAGTATGGGAGTTGCGAACAAACATACTTTCCATCTTTCCCGCAGAACGTCCTGTATACTGTATTGCCGCTCATCGAGGCATTGTCCTCGTATGTTTTCAATGTCCCGTCTTTGTCTTCAATTGTCACCTTCTCTTGCTCGATGAGCAGATTGCTTGCGACGTATGAGCCGGCCACTTTTCGGCAGTTGGCGCAGTGGCAGAGATGACCGCGTCGCTTGGTGAAGAGCTCCTTGTCGTTGATGGTTACTGTGACGCTTCCGCAAAGACATGTTCCGACGAGCTTCTCTGCAAATTTGGTAGGATCATGTTGATTTGGGTCGCCGGTTAAGTCGTTGGGCATTTTGGAAGACTGTGAGACGGTGTATCGTGTTGAGGCAGAGGATGTGGTATGAGGCTGTTGTTCAACAGACGTAAGATTCCATGGATAGGTAGGTTCCTGTAGGTGGCAGCTACCTGAGCTATGTACCTATGAAGAGCAGGGCAGCAAAAGAAAGGCCATTACTCGTGATGTGGTGGCCTTGACGTAGGCGCGGTTCTAGATCAGCGCTCTCCGCACGCAAGAGCGCCATCATCCCTCCTCTCGTCCAAATATCGCGGATCATCTGTTGTTGTTGTCTGGAGGAAGACCTCGGAGGCAATCAGCGTCGCCCACGCGAGACCTACGATTCTCGGAGTTTCTATTCCGGATTCGAATCAGCATAACATCAACGCCCGCTGCTGTATAGAGGTCCAAAGGAGTAGGGTGGTAGATGTACATGGCGGATAGCGCAGCTGTCATCGACAACCGGAAGCTCGTGTATGTTTCGCGCGGTAGAGGGGTCGCCGGCCCGGGCCGAATTCCGCAGTCGACGCGTCACGACCGCGACACCACACCGGTACACCACTGGGCACTTTCCGTCCATCCGCCTTTTACCAGAATGGCCACAACGAGATGAGACATGCCGCACAGCGACGACTTCGGGCTCGAGGACGATGATACCGCGTTTCTTATAGCAGCCACTCAGGCAGAGGCTTCTCAGTCCGGAGGCTTTGAGCCGTCTTCGAGACCTGCCAAGAGGAGACGAGTTGTTCGTGAACAAGGCGCCTCCAATCTCGATGGCGCCAGCGATGAGGAATTGGAAGGGTCGGAGACGGACGACGAAGCTCAAAATCCTCCGGACGCTTCCACATATCCCCAGAGTACAGTTGGTGGCCCGACGCAGGCCATAGGCAGCGACGAGCCAGAAGAATATGACTATTTCCCAGGAGAGCTGCCCGGCGAGGCGCAAGAAGTGGCAAAAGTCTCCCGGTACAAAATTCACGTTCCTGATCAAGGTGGCCAGTTTCCAGATCTCATCGTTAGTCAGACTCAGCATGACCTGGACCAGAGACCTGAAGCATTCAGAGGTGCAGTATGGAAGAGACCAAAGTCGCCGGTACCTTTGGTCTTCCCCGCGAAGAGGAGTGAAATGCCCAATGGAGTTGCTGTACCCACGAAAAGTCTTTCGCGAAATGGCATCGATAGGTTTTTCCAACCAGCAGCTGGTCGAACTCCCATAGTTATCGAAGAAAACGATGATGCTGCTTTCGCTGCTCGCTTGCAAGCAGAAGAGGATGAGCTGGCACGCCGACACCACGCGAAGAAGCACGTAGGTACTGGCACCCAAGCGTTGTTTGATGCCACTCAAGAGCTCGCAGACTTGCCTGAAGACGCATTCTCTTCTTCTTCGCCGGAGAAATCGCCCAATAGGAACGCCCCGATTGAGATATCTTCTCAGCCAGCACATCAACAAGTCATCCGTCCCGCTGGCCTTCGTGGGCCACAGACTGGACTAAAGCAGTTGACGATATTTGGTCAACCTGCTACGCAAGACCTCTCTGCCTCTCAAGCGGCCCACAAGAGGCACGCTTGGCCTCTGGCAAATCGCGATGAAAAGGCGACGCATCACAAGCTCGATGAAAAGGCCATGATGACATGGGTGTATCCTACCAATCTTGGCAGTATACGCGATTACCAGTTCAACATTGTTTCTCGTAGCTTGTTCCATAACACCTTAGTAGCTTTGCCTACAGGTCTCGGAAAGACCTTCATCGCCGCTACAGTCATGTTGAACTACTACCGATGGACCACGCATGCACAGATCGTATTCATGGCACCGACCAAACCACTTATTGCACAGCAGATGGAAGCGTGTTATGGCATTGTAGGGATCCCTAAGAAGGATACCGTACTCATGACTGGAGAGACCACGCCTGCTGCACGAGCAGATCAGTGGCTTGAGAAGCGGGTATTCTTCATGACTCCACAGACGGTCATCAATGATCTGAAGACTGGCATCTGCGACCCCAAGAAGTTTGTGCTACTCGTGGTCGACGAGGCCCATAAAGCGACTGGTGGTTACGCGTACACGGAGGTCGTGCAATTCCTCCGTCGCTTCAACAGCAGCTTTCGCGTGCTGGCCCTGACTGCTACGCCCGGCTCCACGACCGAGGCCGTACAAGCTGTTATTGACAATCTTGGTATTGCCCGTGTGGAGCTACGCACCGAGAGCTCACTCGACATCAGACAGTACACGCACGAGAAGCAAACCGATACACATGTATTCGAATTCAGCCCAGAGCAGGAACTGGTTATGGGGCTTTTCGCGAAGACGCTGAGGCCACTGCTCGACAAAGTACGAGGGCAAAATGGCTACTGGTCAAATGATCCCCTAGCATTGACGCCATATGGTCTGACTCAAGCTCGTGCGAAGTGGGCGCAGTCCGATGCAGGCCGCAAGGCACCACCTGCTATTAAAGGCATGATGAATGTCGTCTTCAACGTGCTGGCAAGCCTAGCGCACAGCATCGGACTTCTCAAGCATCACGGCATTGGACCATTCTATTCTTGCGTTCTCAACTTTCAGCGCGAAGTGGAGAGCGGTCAGCAGAAAGGCAAAACAGCAGCCAACATCTTACAGGATGCAAATTTCGTAAAGATGATGAGTACCATTCGAACTTGGACCAACAAGCCAGAGTTCATTGGTCATCCGAAGCTGGAGTATCTCAGAGAGATTGTCCTGAATCATTTCCTCGACGCTGGTGAAGGAAGACAAGGTAGTGACGTACCGCCTAGCGCAACCCGTATCATGGTCTTCGCCAGTTACAGAGACAGTACAGAAGACATATGTCGCGTCTTGAAGCGTAATGAGCCCATGATCCGGCCTCATGTCTTTGTGGGACAGGCCGCGTCGAAGGGTCAAGAGGGAATGAATCAGAAGCAGCAAAACCAGATCATCCAAGACTTCAAAGGTGGAAAGTACAACACTCTCATTGCTACATCGATTGGTGAAGAGGGGCTCGACATTGGCACTGTCGATTTGATCGTCTGCTACGACGCTTCTTCATCGCCAATCCGTATGTTGCAGAGGATTGGCCGTACAGGCAGAAAGCGCACGGGCAAGGTGGAGCTGCTGCTGACCAAAGGGAAGGAAGAGAAGGATTATGAGAAGGCACAGGATAACTATGCTTACATTCAAAAGACGATCGCGGACCCGTCCAAGTATGACTATCGAGATGACCAGAGTCCTCGGATTCTACCCAAAGAGTTTAAGCCAGTGGCTGACAAGAGACCTGTCGATATCCCGGTAGAGAATAGCCAGCCGGTCGATCTCAATGAAAAGCATCGTAAAGGAAAGGGCAAGGGCAAGATCAAGCGACCCCCCAAGAAATTCCACATGCCGGACAATGTGCGGACAGGCTTTGTCAAGGCTTCGAAGCTGGACTCTGACAGTGAAGCTGCTCAGAGCGATGATGCGTCTGCTGCAAAGAAAAGCAAGAAGACGCCTGTAGGCAGACAGAAAGATATACCTGCCACGTTCCGCAGAGTGTCTATACCGATCATGCCAGAGCTGGAGCCAGAGATAGCACCACTGCCATATCTTGAGGACGTGCTGTTAACGCGCGAGAAGCAGCAGGAGCTCGAGGAAAGATACGCGCGTACAGCTGATCCCGAAGCAGATGGGTTAGTCTATGCTCCTGATATCGAGCGGTTTCCGCAGAAGCTGCGCGACCTTGGTCCAACGATATATACCAAGCATGGTCGTGCTGCGCTCCTTGTGGAGAAGACCATGCAAGCAGTCCACGACATAGACGTAGCCAGATGCCATGACCTTGATAAGATGTTGCACATGAGCGATCTGGAAGATGCGGGCCCAGCGGCATACAGGCTGATGAGGCCCAAAGTGGAATCAGCGATCAAAAGGATAACGGTGCCAGTCGAAGCCGCTCCGGCTGCTCCGATGAAACCAGCCGCCCGCACCAGGAGGGTTGCGGCTTCCGGTCCAGTGTCAATTGAGTCCGACAGTGTGATAGAAGGACAACCAGGACTGCCACCTGCCAAGAAATCACGAGCAAAGGTGCGGCGAATCAAGGTTGGTGGCGTGCCAGCGTCAGTCAATGGTGAATCCGAAGGTAAGAAGGAGTTACCTCTACCAACACGACTTCCAGCGGCTAGACCACGTGGCAGGCCGAGTAAGAGGAAGCTGGCTTCAGACCGTGCGCCCTCGTATGGTGACGCCGCCGCTGAAGGTTCAGAGTCTAGTCCAGAACGCACGCCAGCTGAGATGCGTCTGGGCACACAGGTTGCACTGGGCGAAGACCTTGGCTCTCGCGATACGAGTGGCGAGGAGGGAGAACAGGAAGAGCCCGATAGCGAAGACCAGGCCTTTCTAGCGAGGAGTGACTCTATCGACATGCAGAGCTCGTCGCAGCCTCTGATGACACCGGCACGGCCGCAGGGTGGGAGACTGAAGAGGAAAGTCCGAAGAAAGGTCAGCCAACTAAGCGACGTTGAAGAGATTGCGGGGAGTGAGAGTGAAGTGGAGATCGAACTAGACTCGCCCAGCGCAGAGGAGGATGTGATGGAAGTGGATGCTGGACCTGTGGTGAAGAGTCGAAAGAGACGAGTAGTGGCGGGAAGCGACGACGATGAATAATTGCACGTTGCTATGACATGTTCGCGCGCCACAATTTCCGTGATGGTATCGTCCAGCGGATCCGCCTAGCTAATGCTGTCTGGAGAATGGTATAACGAACCATTGTGAAAATCTCCTGTACACTAGACAGACAAGCCATATTGCCTCCTTGATCGGAAACTCCATACTTCTTTTCTTCCGAAACAAATTCGGATCTTGAACCCCCAAAGAAACCAGCACCGCACCGCACCGATGCTGACTCTCCATTCGCGAGACGTGACAATGCATCGTCACATCCCATTGTATCCGGCCCAAAGTCCCCAGCAAACCTACAAATGTACATCTTCGTGTGTGTCTATCTGTCTGTCTATCTAGGTACATATGGTTTCCCATGAACGAAGTGAGGTGAGTGAGACTGATGTAAGATATCGTGTATGTGTATGTACCTAAGATGTATATGTACCGTATGTATGACTCGAGCAACAAAAAAATGCAACCGAAGATGGAAAAAGATACGATATACCTGACTTACCTCGGTAGGTAGGTATCCATCCCTTCCCTTCCACTCCACCATGCCAGCGGGCCGTATGTATGTATGTACATGTATGAGGAATGTATGTAGGCGAAGCATGAATGCCATGTGGTGTGACAGGAAGCTGTAACCGATAACTCGGATGAATGGGATACCAGGTATGTGGGTGGGATATTGTAGGAAGGAGCGGCACTGGGATCTTTTGTTTTTTTGACTTTCAGGGTATTACCTTACCCTACTTCCTGGGGGACGGGACGTGAGGTATCAGGTAGGACTTGGGAGTTTCAATGATGATAAATCATTTTTTAATGTCGCTTGCGGGTTCGTGTGTAAGCAATACGGACGGATGAGGGTAGAAGAAGGAAGCGAGGAGGGTTGAAGGTTTAGAGTTGGAGGTTTGAAGGTGAGGTGAGGTGAGATGAGAGGAGAGGATAGAACTAGGTGCCTAGGTAGGGTGGGAAGAGAGGTGGAAGGAAGAAAAGGAAAAAAGGAAAGGAAGAAAAATGAAGGCTGTTTTGCCCGGAGTGATGGAATTCATTCATGCATTATGCCTAAGGCTGTCTTCGTTCGATAGGGAGGAGGCTACTATAGGTAGGTATACATACATACCTCATATGTTTCCTTTCGTGTAGCACCGGAGTAGTAAGTACAGTAGTAGAGAAGCCGGCGGCAAAGAGAAGAAGAGCGGCGAAGCTCGCAAGGATATACATGTCTTGTTGTCATTTACGCGCTACAAAGCCAAAAAGAAAATCCCCTACTGTGGTACCGAAGGTCAGTCAGAAAGGCATGTTGGCTAGGACCAGGGTTCAATCTAAAGGTAAGGTACTTCTTACCTACATTTTTTATCGAGACGACCGGAGACTTGGGGCAACTTCTTTCTTGTTTCAGCTTGTCAGAGTTCCCCATCTGAACGAATCCCCCATACCTACCTGCCTGAGGGAGCTAGTTGTACCGCATTTTTCTAGGAATTCTTTCCCTGTTTGTCTTGTCCCTGCATATCCGGCGGGTAGGTAGGTATAATAATGGAACCACGCGTTCTCTACCAGGTATGTCGGTAAGGTCTAGGTAGAGAAAGAAGGGTACATGTACCTTACTCGCTTGCCTTTTTCGTCTGTTGTCGAGACAGCACCAAGGCTCACTTGGACGTTGGTTTCATAACGCGCTCGGAGGTTTGGTTTCATAACAGTCTAGAAACAAACATCGCGTGTCGCGTTCTAGCCTGGAATCTTCCTAGCAAGACGTATACATGTATCTTTAGAAGTCTAGAACTTGTGCGTTGGAGTTGAAGATTTGGCAATAAAGGTATTGTACTATTTGTTTACTGTTGTTTGCTTTACGCTACCTAATGTACCTAGGCTAGATGCTGCTGATTGTTCGCCGGGCGGGTGCAGCCAAGTAGGACCGATGCAATTTGCGGAAGTAACTGCCGATATCATTACGCTCTGCCAACGACATTTGCTCTTCTCCTTCTTCATGAGACTTCAGAGTGATCGGTATCACTACCCGAAAGCGACCGGAGTCCTTGTGGGATGCAAACTTGTTCAATGTCTTGTGAAAATCGTGGAAAGCTATCGAGGACGGGAACTGCCTACTTCTGAGTACATAGTTGGAGACGTACAGTACAAACCAGGGCCTCTTCGGTTAGCTGCCTGGCACTACTGGTACCTCACATGGGGGCAATATGCAGTACCTGGTAGCAGACTCAAGCTCAAAGCCTACAACACGTAGGAGGTAGGTCCATCCATCAAGGCATTGCTTTAACTCTGTCGTTGATGGGTGGATGGATGCTAGTGGCGAACATGTCATCGGTGCTGGTGATGATGAGACTTGCATTTCCCGTCATGACATCGTTATCATCAATTCCATGCTCGGGATAAATAAGCCTGCTGTTCTATGTCAGGCAGGCAGGCAGGGTGCGGACCACATCTGCCGTGACTCTGGTCGTACAAGCCGTGTGTTGGGGATTCGGGACGAATCGATTTCTAAAACACTGGTCACGACTTCACCACACGTGCTATTGGTCCAGCAGCAAACTAGTGGCAGCCCTAGACGTGAAGTCAGCCCATCTACCTTACCTCAGCGCTCCACGGACAGTCCATTGTTGCCGGGCAGAGAAGCTCGGAGTATCTAGTCTGCCAATGTGCTCATAACGCAGGGTATTCTCCAATGCTCCGAGGCTGGTCCGTCCACGCATCGTAAGCGGCCGCCAAGCTCGCTGGGGAGACAGTAGGAGGGGAAGACTTCATCTCATCATCCCACACTACTTCTTCCTACTGCGACAGTAGCAGACGGACATTGACCGCAACGGCGCCCGACGTAATTTGCCAAGGCAATGTTAGCATACGATAAGGTAGGAGGTATGCAAGAACCGGCGACTGCAGTCCCACAATTCTAGACGTGACGGGCAGGTGAATTTGAGCGTGGGTTTTGCACGATCACGAAGGTTCTCTTCATAGCAACTTTGCTTCAGCAGCAGAACCAATGAGCATGTAGATGATTCCTCCCACGAGAGATCAGCATGTGTGCCTAGGCACGTCGCCACGTGTTCGGCGACGGCCCAATGGCGCAATGGATCACACCTAGGAGGTAGATGGAGGTACCCTAAAGTCAGGTATGCTTACACTGCTTACATCCGATGTTCATGCTGAGGAGTGATTACTGCTTACCTGAGTTTACCTGAGTTTACATGTACCTCCCAGACTGCAACCAGGTTAAAGACGGCATAAAGCTTTCATGATGTAAGGTACCAGTGCCCACTATGGACAGGAGATGAACTACCTGAAGGAACTACTCGCCGATCGGGCAAAAGTGCGCATGCAGAAACGGGAAATGGTCTATTACTGTATACAGTACCAAGGAGTCTAAGGTACGGACCTACGCTTTCCAGGAAGTTCTACTAGCAAACACCCTCAGGCTGTATGACTTACTTAGTCGGGATCCACAGTCATGTATCGGCATGCATCCCCAATCTTGCGTCACTAACTCGGCTGAACCTGACTTCCGGCCGCGGCCTCGTTCCAGGTCTGCCGCTAGAACCACTCTACCTTAGCTGGGCTGCCAATGTCGGCAGGGATGGGGGCACAAGCATGAAGCTGTAAATGAGTGAGCATTGTGGGGGGTGGCCTCACCCAAATGCATGCATGTGCTTCGACTGCTCAAATGACATATAAGCAGCCCGTCATTCGTCCTTCCATCATGCCATTCGGAGTTCTGGTCGCTGTCCTGTCCTGCCACCGACACTGACAAGATGAGACTTACTTCTTTCGCCTTGCTGGCCACGCCTCTGCTGGCTGATGCACAATCCTACAGCATCCTCCGAAAAGTGACGCAGCCTCCACAGAACCGCGTCGACTACAAGACCGATTTGTTCGAGGGCACCAACTTGAAGCAGGAGCAATCCGTTCTGAACAACTCCGACTTGACATACACCGACCGCAATGGCAAGAAGAACTGGCAGCCTCTTGGTGCTCAGCGAGCGGGCGAAAAGGGACCTCTGCTTCTCCAGGATGTCGCCCTGATCGATACACTGGCCACTTTCAACCGAGAACGCATTCCAGAGCGTATTGTGCATGCCCGAGGTGCAGGTGCTCATGGCTTCTTCGAGGCTACCACCGACTACGCCTCTCAATTCTCCGCAGCGAGTGTGTTTGAGAAGGGCACCAGGACCTCCGTCACCATGCGTTTCTCGACCGTCGGTGGTGCCAGAGGCTCAGCCGATACTGCCAGAGACCCTCGAGGCTTTTCCATCAAGTTCCGAACTAAGGAGGGAATCCTTGACTGGGTTTTCAACAACACACCAGTGTAAGTCCTACTCTCTCCTCATCATCTCGCAAACGCCGGATGTTGTTAGGCTGTCAGCATGTGAATCCTGGAGTCCCAGGACCCTTGCACACGCAGGTACTGATAACCGATAGATTCTTTATCCGCGATCCGGCAAAGTTTCCGAGATTCATTCACACCCAGAAGACGGACCCTGCCAGGAACGTTCGAGACTGGAACACATTCTGGAGCTGGCCGGCACAGTTTCCAGAATCGCTGCTGCAGTTTCTGAGACTCTTCTCCGACTTGGGCACGCCATATGGGTAAGTCGTATTGGGCAGCGATGAATTCACGTCCCCATCCTGACTGAAGAATCCTCAGCTTCCGTCACATGGACGGCTGGTCCGGCCACACCTACAAGCTTGTCAAGCCCGATGGAAGCTGGGTGTACACCCGTGTCTACCTCAGCACCGATCAAGGAGTGAGGAACATGACCGCAGATGAAGCCGCCAAGCACGCCGGTGAGAACGACGCCTGGGCTACCGACGACCTCTACAACAACATCCAGTCTGGCAACTACCCCTCCTGGACCGTCGGCATCGCCACCATGACCCCAGAACAAGCCGAAGCCTACCGCTACGACATCCTCGACCTCACCAAGGACTGGCTGGGTGTCGAATACCACGAAATCGGCCGCATCACCCTGACCCAAAACCCCGAAAACTACCACGCCGAGATCGAACAATCTCACTTCAGCCCTGCCAACATGGTCCCCGGCTGGGAACCTTCCAACGACCCCGTCCTGCAATCTCGCCTGTTCGCCTACAACGACGCTGGCCGCTACCGCGTGGGCGTCAACGCCGAAGAAATCCCCGTCAACTGCCCCTTCAGCTCCGTCGCCAACTTTGACCGTGATGGACATCTCAGCTCGCACGGAAACCAAGGCGGGAGACTCAATTTCCCCGCCGAGATTCTCGACCCGATTCACATTATTGATCGTCCCGGTACGGCGATTGATCACCCTCTGGAAGGGGCCAGCACTGTGCAATGGCTCAGCGAGATTGATGAGAATATCGATTATGAGCAACCTCGACTGTTCTACGAGGGATTCTCGCAGACGGACAAGGATCACTTGTACAGCAACATTGCGGGCACGCTGGTGAATGTGGATCATCAACCCGTCTTGGATGCATTGTTTGAGCAGTTTGGAAAAATCTCTCCCGCCCTTTTGACGGGTGTGCAAACGGCTTACCAGGCCAAGCAGGCAAGCGCATAGAAGTGAGTAGTAAAAGTAGCAAAAGGGGGGCCCAAGTGTTGTTGCTCAATCAAGCAAATACCTGAAATATATAACGTGAACTGCGGTATTATTCCACAGTCACAGAAAACAATAAACGCTATCAAGGATCGCGACTGCCAATGCCGTGTGCCACAACCTTCACTTTTCAAACCGTTTCTACCAATCATCATCTCTCCCATCAGGTTTGTTCATGGCCTGCTGCCTCGCCTTCAGTGCAGCAGCAAGTCCGCCGGCTAGCCCGGCACCTCCACTGCCATTCGGCGTTGCACCTCCAGAGCTGCCACCACCGCTGGTCGAATATCCGCTATCCCTTGGTGTTTCACCACCAGCAGGCGCCATCTTCTTGGCGGGCCTCTTACTGGGAGGCGCAGGGGGCGCAGGTTTCCCAGCAGGTCTCATCGGAGGGGGAGGGGGAGGCGCCGCTTGTTTGACTTCTTCCAGGTATGCTGCAGGAGTCCAACCACTCGTTCCGTCAGACTTCTTCGCAAGCCACCAGCCATTGTTTTCCTTTTGTGTTACAGAAATGATCTCTCCCTTGGCCAGACTGAGCTCGCCACTGGTCTGGCCTGCAAAGTCGTACAGGGCTTTGAACTGTGGGTCCTTGGGAGGTGCGGCTGCTGCTGGCGGCGGGGGCGGAGGGGGTGGAGCGCGATTGGAAGCAGATCCATTCCGCGCGTGGCCATTGGAAAGAGCTGCCACGGGCTGTGGTACAGCAGCAGGCTGAGGCCGCGATTGCGCGACCGGTACTGGCTGAGGAACCACGCGCTCGGCAGGTCGAGCAGATACACCTGGCAGTGGTTGGGTGGGAGGTCGGGCAGAAGCGCCTGGTAGTGGCTGTGTCGCAGGTACAGGTCGCCCGGTTCTTTGTGCGGCTTGTTGTGATAGCTTTCCGCCTGTGCTCTTCTTGAGCAGTCCTCCTTTGGTGATGGCCTTGGCAGCAACAGGCTTGCCTTTGGGTGTCTTCTTGGAGATGGAATTGGGAGGCTCGCCAGGTCCTGTATGTATTTGGCCACTCTTGTATAGATCATCTCTCGGCACCTGTGGGTCCTTGACGCATTTGATCAACGCAGGCTTGCCAGGCTTTTTGTTGTAGCTGATAGTCTCTGCAATCTGTAGCTGAGTAGCGCCTCTTGTGACCTGCTTGAGTTGCGTAAAGAATTCGGTCTTGAAGATGCAGTTCAGTAGCGGATCTGGTTCCTGGGGACTTCCTACGCCAAGCGAGAACCAGTCGTCCTTGAGAGTGCTCGTGCTTACGAACTTGATGGCGCCCACAGGAATCGTGCGCTCGGACAGAATCTGCACCTGCTTATTCACTAAGGCTTGCTTCACAATGTAGACAGCTCGGTTCGTGAGCAGCAAGAATCGAGGTTCTGGTTTACTCGAGCGGCCAAGCTTCGACACCAGAAGCTGGGCTCTGCAGGAGAAGAATGTCTGTTCGCCACCGCCAATACCAGCACTGCTGCGCAGCACCTCTCCACTCCCACCTTTGTTGTCAATGCCCAGATAGTCACCCAGATAGCGTCGGTATCCTAAGAGCGAGAAGCGTCGTCGCTCCTTCCTTCCGCCAAGCACTTGATGTCCTTCATCCCTCAACTTTTGGAATGGCTCGCCTCCAGACTTCTTACGCCAGAAGCGTTGAATCCTGGTTGCACATTCGATTCGGTAGCGCAGATAATTTCTCCAAGCTCTTTGAATGCGAATCGCCATGTTGTGCCAGTACTTATCTCGCATCGTCTCAAGCGCAAAGAGCGTTTCCGGGGTTTTGATGAATGCTTTAGACACGCCCATCTGCCATTCTTCTGGAGGTATTGAGGTGTCCTTCAAGATCTGCCGCACACCCGATTTGGCATCGCCTGTCCAAGTGTATTCGCCAGCATAACTGCACTTGGGAGAAAGCAGGTAGAACCGCTCGACGAACTTGTCAAATGTCTGTCGATAAGCAAATCCGGCTCTTCGAATGCGAACGTTCTCTTGCAGACCAAGATATTTGATCTGATGCATCACATTCTGGTTATTGTACTCGGTCGGGCTCTTGTTCTCGTTCGGCTTGATTGTTCGAATGTAGCTAGGTGTGCACTTCATCAGCGTCGCGACAAGGTCATTCGCCGACGCCTTGATCTTATCGCCAGCCGTGGGAGGTCTGCGCCTGTTGTCCTGGTCCACTTGATCTGGAAACAATGTATGCACAAAGTTGTTCTGGCTTTCTCCAACCAGATTCAGAAGATCCTTCAACAGCTGATCTTTGTTCTTGTCGGTCATGCCCTCTACGGCGTAGTTCACATCACCCGCGTAGTGCTTGATGACGAACTGTCCTTGTCTCGGGGCAAAGTTGGGGTTTCCAGACAATGCGTTCAGTCGTTGTACAAATGTCTGGTCAGCTGCGCCTGGATCGGCATGTGCAGTCGCACAAGCATCGTTAAGCGCAGCAAAGACACCTGGTGGTCGTTTCTCCTCAATCAGCTCGCACACGACCTTGTTGTCAAAGTACTTGATGGGTGTCCACTGAATCTGCTCCCGTTCGTACTCTTCCTGCTCAGCTTTCAGTGTTAGCTGAATGAAGATCTGCTGCAGCTTCTCGTTGACATAGTTGATGCACAGCTGCTCGAACGAGTTCTTCTCGAAGATTTCGAATCCATAGATATCCAGAATACCGATACTCTGTGCCACAGCTCCTCGCGCTATCAGCGATTGGTTCACGCGCTGCACAATCCAATCGAACATGTTCGTGTAAATGGCTTTACTCAAAGCATCGCGCACTGAAGTCGCCTGGGCGATGTTCATCGGAGAATCGTAGACAGATCCTCGTCGCATGCCCCTGCTGGTTTCAATGATTCGAATTGTCATTGCCTTGTTCACCTGAACTGCCTCCACTTCGAGAAGATATGCGACAAAGTCAACCACGCTTGCATCGACAATTTCCGCGTTGCCATCCTTGTCTTCTCGGAACGATATGTTGCCGATCCACAGGATGGCAGCCAGCATGCGGAAGACATCATCTATTTCTGCCTGGCTCATCCCGATGACTTTCATAGCATTCAAGGTATCCTTCATCTCAGCCACATCATCGATGCCTGGCACATCGTAGCACTTGCTCTTGCTGGTGTATGAATAGGTGGTCGGTGGCTGGACGCCAAAACTCGATCTATGTTCCTGGCTCGCTGCTTTTGTGAATTGATAGAAGATGTGGAAATTTCGCTCGTCTCGAATCTGGCCAACCACTCTGCTCTTCTCGAGAAGGTAATTGTTGATATTCGCACCAACTGGCTCGCCCTGCTGATTAAATTGAATTTCCAAGTACTTTCCGAATCGCGAAGAGTTATTATTCCTCAATGTTTTGGCGTTTCCAAAGGATTCGAGTAGTGGATTGGTGGCCAGCACCATGTCCTTGATCTCCTGGATAGAGGAGTTGGTCCCGCCTGACACATTCGCAATGTACTGCATGATTCGCTTCGCCGCCTCTGTCTTCCCTGCTCCCGACTCGCCGGAAATGATGACACACTGGTTCTCGTTGTAGGCCTTCATGTTGTAGTATGCGCTTTCGGCGATTGCGAACACGTGTGGAGGCATTTCCAGACGATTCTTGCCTTGGTAGCTATGTAGCACCTGCTCGGTATAGATGCCCAGGTCGCGGAACGGATTGACCGACACCAGCACATGGCCAATGTACGTATAGATTTCGGCGTTCTCGAATCGCTTCTTGAGGTTGTCATTGATGGCCTCGTTGGAGATTTTGCTAATCAGCGTCAGATCTGATACGCCCACCTCCTTCTTCTTGCCCGTTTCGTAGGCTGCTTTGCGGATTTGAGGAGCCCCGCCTGAGCCTGAAGCTGAACCACCTGCTGCTGGCGCTACGGCGGGCGCATCCTTTTTGCGTCCGGCGCGTTTCGTGACACCCTGTCGCCATGATCGTCAGTGTGCCCGAGCAGGCCCGTTTCCCTCTTGTACTGGCGTCTGCGTACCATGATCGCGGTGTATGCTGCTGTTTCCGCCCTCTAGTGGGCTTGCTGGGTCTGCTCCGCCAGTTCTGCGCTCTCGCTACTCGATTACTCAATTGCTCGGCTGCCGCTCTTCCAGTCTCACCCGCAGACCGAATCGTCTAGGACAAATCAATGGGTGGCAGTTGAAAAAGGCAATGGTGATATTGAGACGGCGTGTGTGGGTGTGTGGGTGTGTGAGTGTGGGTGTGTCTATCTCTCCGGAGTCAGACGGACTGCGACTTGGGTGAAGGCAGCAGGCGCAGGATGACGAACATTGGGTTCGGCAACAGATTCGCCGGTCTTTTGCCGCACTGCCACACTGCCACACTGGCACCACGACGACCATGACAACACTTGGCTTGGTCTTCGACAACGACGCGCAAGCTGCTTTCAGGCAGTCACTTTTGTTTGCTTTTTCCTCGCCGCCGTCACCGAGACATGTATCCGTGCCCGTGCCCCGTGCCCGTGCCAGGAAGTACTCTATAATAATCACTGCTGCCTCATATACAACAGGCGCCAAGACTCATGTTGAGCTCAGGATAGTCTTACAAAAGAAGTCAGTAGCATCGAGCAATTCAGAGGCGACGATGATAACAATTCGGTACACACGTTTGGGTCGGTGATATCTGGGTTCAGTGACAGGGCGGAACACCAGCTGCGCACCAAACCAGGGAACATGTTTTCGAGTTCACCTTCTCCTACTTGGTGTCGCATTCGGTCGATAATCATCACTCCTTTCCATTTCTTCCTCACTATCAGTAAAACAAATTCTTGGGCAACATATCAGTATTCTCATCTCATCTCATTTCATGCGCGTGGGGTATTTCGTCTTCCTTGTTTCTCCATCTCACAGCCTCCAAGTATCAGCGCCCGGTCAGCGGACTAGACATAGCAATATCGTCATCTGCAGAGCCAACATGATTCAGCCCTTCACTTTCAACGCTGCCGTGCCCACTATCCGGAAAAGGTGACAGCTTCGGACTCCTAGCCAACTTCGGTCTAGCCTTGAATACAGAAGAGTACTCGACATCTTCTTCGAATAGCTTCTCTCGTGGAGTGATGTCTCGATTCTCACGTAGCGCTCCGGCAGGGGCGACAGCACCGACACCCAGTTGGGTAATCGTTGATCTTCGAGGTTGCTGCTTTTCGGGCGTCTCAAACTGGTTCACAGGGAAGATCTGTGATGTGCGTGAGCGGCTGTGAGAGGCTTTCTTAGGCTGTGCAGAACACTGCGGTGCAAGCGAGATAGATTGGCGTGTACGTTCCTGCAGATTGAGCGTAGGTTTTGCCTCTAGAGTGGAGAGTGTGGTGACAGTCTCATCAGAGGCTATATGGGAATCGATTCGTAAGGCATTGTTGTCGTTCTTTTCATCATTATCGTTCATGATTTCGTTTCCTGTCGTACACATAGCAGTGTTGAGCTCGTTAGACTCTAAGCTCTTGAATGCCATCGACATGCGTGTGCGGTCTGTCAAGGAGGGTCGAGCAATCCGACCCATTCCTTCCAGATTTCTACTGGAGAATGTTTGGTGTTGCGTGGGCTCGACCGCTGAACTGTCAGAAGAGCTCTCGCTGATAGACAACCGCGAAGGCACGCGAGGACTGTTCCTGCCAGAGGAAGCTCGACTTGGCGTGGTGGAGGACGCGGGACCATTTCCAGAAGCATCGCTACCCTGTCGATATCGTTGCGGCACACCCACCAAAGCCTGGTCTTCATCGTCTATTGGCGATGCAACGAAAGAGGTTCGAGGACTTGGTGAAGATGAGCCTGCACGATCTGTCTTCAGTGGGGAGAATATCTCAGACTTCAAGGGAATCGGTTCTCTCTGATTGATGACCTTCGGCTGCTGATACGATCGTGACCTAGACGTCATGCGTTTGCCAAACATGGTGCGTATTGGCACAGAAGTCTGAGAATTTGATCGCTGATGATATTCGGACGATGGCCGTACTGAGGTATCCACCGATATGCTCTTTCGCTTGGGACTTGGTCTCCGCACTCGCTGCACTGGCTTCGTGGGCGACGTGGGATCGTTTGCAGACCTCTTGCGCAACTCATCACGCATAGCATTCAGGATTTCGTCGTACTTGGCAGCACTCACATGCTTTTTGTGGCGGATGGGAGCAGGAGTGTGGGTGTTGTCTGCAATATCGCGTAATGTGAGGTTGTGATGTTTGTCGAAGCGTAATTGTGGGCTCTTCGCAGCAGTCTCAGCTTCTCCGTTATTCGTAGGTTGAATCCTGCAGCTGAGCAATTTCTCATGGAAGCTCTGCCATCGCTGAAGCCTTCGCTTCTGCTGTCGTGTGCGATCCTCGAGATCTGACAGAAGGCCGTTCTCTGCGGGGTCGATTCTGTAGAGATTGTTCTGCTTGTTGTCCTCCCAAACGACGTTGAACGTTTTGGTCAAGAGGTTATCGTCGCTCGCTAAAACATGACCGTTCTGCAGAGCATCGCGCACATCATCGGTGCCAGCCCACTTCTTGTCTAATACTTCTTGTGCCACATTGCCGTCAGGTGATCTTCGACGCTTGGACCCCGCCAGCTCGAGCACATCCATCTTCCTCACTCGCAGATCAGCCTCCTTGTCCGCGAGCGCTCCAAATAGCCTGTTATAAGTCTGCCTCTTGCGCTCCTTTTCAGTAAGCACTTTTGCCAGGGCGGCCTTGTGTGCAATGGCAAGTGGCAGCATGCTGTCTCTCTGCCTCGTGTTGAGATTCTTCCTCGTTCCAATTTTCTCAGCGAACGGCTTCTCATATGACAGCCTGTTCTTGTTCTCCACGGTGACCCTGCGCAAAACGAGTCCCGAGAAGGACAAGCATAGCTCCCAGAACTTGTCGCCCTGGCAGTCGTCCAGCATTGACTTCCGCAAGACCGTATCCTTTCCCAGCACCCCGTCTTTCTTCAGCTCGTTCAGACATCGAAACAGCGCTGCTCTCAGGTTAATGCTCTGTAGAGGTTCCAGAGGGGGGAAGAAGGGCTGCAGCTTGTCCTGGGTCGTGGCCGAGTCGTATCTGCGAAAGAGCTGGTATAAGCACCACTCGGCACATCGTATTCTGGAGCGCGCATCTTGAGCAAGAATGGCAGGTGTGACAGCAGGCCAGTCGGAAAGGCGGTCGAGGTTGAGCAGGCGACAGTTCCGTATGAAGAGCGGTATGACAGAAGATGTGTTTGTACCACCTCGAGTAATGCCATTACCGCTTTCGGTAGTGACGGCCGGCTTGGAGAGGGTCCGTTTATGCGTAGTAGAGGCCGTCGAAGCCGCTCGTTCGATCATGGTGTGGCTGTTGAAGTCGCAAGTGCATTTCCGGGGAGGATAAGGTAGTCTAGGGAGTAGGACAGAAGGGGTGGGCGACAGGAGGTTTCTTATGCACTCCTTCGCTTCGCCTGCACTGACACCATCAAGGACAGTGCAGTGAAATGAAGCAAGACGGTATGTTATATTCGAAGGACAGAACTAGAGCAGTCGGACAGGCTCGGCGTTAGTTCTGTTATTTGAACAGACCGTTTCTCCTGGGCAGGGCACTGGGCAGCACCGAGCATCAACAACATAGTTACATAATGCAGCCGGCAGCAGGGATTATGACACTACCGTCGCTCGGCACGTCTGCTGACTGTGCATACGTGTCGAAGTCTACCAGTATCATATATCAGGTACATGTACATGTATTAATGATGTACCTAACCTACTGTACCTACGCTGCTTTGTTTACCATTTTATTGTACGAGGTATTGTACGTATTATTCGAGGAACCTTGCCCTTGCCGTGGATTGGGAGAGAACTACGTTATAAGACTGTTACCTTAGTGGATCTGCCCTGCCTATCTTCTACCTAGGTACCTGCACCTGCCTAGAGATTGTTTGCAGCCTGCAAACACGCTCCCGTCCTTCACATCACTACCCGTGCGTGCCTCCTAGTTACCTTATATTACATCCACATCAACCTGCGGAAGTATACAACTGCTGTACCACATTCCGCATACCGGAGTCATGGCACCAGAAGCCATTGAGACGAATGGCCCGTTGAGTACGGACATCGCTTTCCAATGACGTGCACAACACAAATCGCAGCAGGATTAGGTCTAACAGCACGTCCATCTAGGTCCCGGAGCCGGCGTCCTCAAACGAGCCAACACAAACGAAGACTGGACGCCTAACACAGTCCTCGACACTCTCGCCGAACAACCTCACCAGCACTCAACCTCACCCCTCCCATTTTTCCACCTCCTCGAGCGCCTCAAGACCACCAAACGCGAAGGTTGGCGACGCTTTGCAATCAATCATGGCGAAAGCATTTCCGATCACATGTACCGCATGGCCATCATCACGATGCTCTGTCCCCCGGCTCTCGCGAAACGGATAGACTTGGCCAAATGCACGCGAATGGCGCTGATACATGACATGGCGGAGGCTTTGGTTGGTGATATCACGCCGGTGGATGGAGTGAGCAAGGTGGAGAAAAGTCGACGAGAAGCAGATACCATGGATTACATGACCAAGACACTCCTGGGAAACGTGGACTCCGGTACGGCAGGAGCGAGCATGAGGGACATCTGGCAGGAATACGAGGATAGTGAGACCTTGGAGAGTCATTTCGTGCATGACGTGGATAAGATGGAGTTGTTATTACAGATGATAGAGTACGAGAAGAAGTTGGAGGGACAGGTTGATTTGGGCGAGTTCAGTCGAGTGGCCAAGAGAATCGTATTGCCGGAAGTGCAACAATGGGCGAATGAACTGCTTGTTGAGAGGACAAAATTCTGGCAGAGTAAGGGCAAAGAGCCGACGGGCGTGAAGGATATTTCGGAGGAGATGAAGGGTAAGCAGGATGAGTATTATGGCAATGGGACGTCATGAACAGTACGCAGTGGTGGCGTGCTGGTATGACCAGTGGAATACAGCAGGCGTCAAGCCATTAGGCGGACGGAACTGCATTGTCCCAAGATGCAGGATGATAGACGCCGGATCCATCGGCCGCACCTTCGTCCGGCGGGAAGTGGGCCGATTTTAAGCGATGCATAATAGAAGATACCCTAATGATAGATCTCTGGGCTATTTCTTCGCCCAATGTTCAAAGTCTCAACACCGTGAGAGTAGGATTGCGCACTCTTTCAACGCGAAGACAAAGACTGGAGAAGCAAAATGATCATCTACAGCTCACTGGCGTGCGGGGACATACCAGGTTACCATCGAACCAGCCCAGCTAACATGTTGCACTTTCGACTATCGATCGAACATGCATAGGTATGTATCGATGATTTGGTAGACACAATGACCTTGACTACCTACCTAGGTATGCAAGAAGATCCCGGATACCTTACTGTATCATTGTTGACAACCAATACAGACAGCATCTCAGCAGTCAATCATCCAAGACGACAGCCATGATGAAATGAAGGCATAAGGTGTTTCATCGAAGCGCTAATTTCACTTTTGCGAGTGCTGACTGTGCTCTCTCGCATAAGTTGGTCTAACGCAGTTGAAGATATACCTGGATACCTAGGTAGGTAGCCTTGACTCAGATTCATGTACTACGCAGAACGACAGCGAACGGATATACGGTGATGATCGGTTTTTGACTCTGCGACTCATCCAAGAGTCATCGATACCTTACTGGGCGTTCGTGGGATGCAACAGAACTGTGTCTAATCCCTGCAGCTTCTGAAGACAATGATATTGAATCGTATCTCTTAATATCTTTGTCACGCGAGCACTATGCCTTTTCGAACAGCTTCTCCACCATGCTCTTACAGATGGGGTGATAAAAGTCCTGGTTCTTCGCGAACGTCTTCTTCGCCAATGCCATATCATTCTGAATCAACTGCTTGTACAATGGTCGTACGAATTTCATACGTCCGACTTCACCGAGTAGCTTTGCAGTAGGCTCGAAGACACTCTTCGCATGAGCTTGGAGTCCGACTATCAAGTATCGAGAGACGACTTCAACGTTTTTGCTTGTCTCGAAGCCATAAGTGTTGCCCATCAGCTCGACGAGCTCGGTGGGCAGAGGTTTATCAAAGGTCTGGACTTTCTCCAAAAACACAACGCTTTGCAAAGCGGAGAAGGATGCGATATCGGACTTGCTAGGCTCAAAATCTTTCGAGGAGCCTGTGCTTAATGCCTCCCACTTATTGGCGAGGGCAAGAGCCTGATCAGCAAGAGTAGTGTCGAAGTCGGGCTTTGGTGGGAACCCAGGCTTGTAGAACCAAGTGTTCCAATCGAGGTCATTCAGCTTCTTGGTCACCTCTGCGTCCGAGGCGAAGAATTCGATGAGAGTAGCTTTGAACTCGTAGCTGTCCACTGATCGCTTCTTGAAGGTCGTGAAGTAATGTGGAATGAATTTGTCAAATTTATCCTTGCCGATGAGTTTCTCAAGCGTGTAGAGAAAGGTAAATCCTTTTTCGTAAGGCACGCTGGAGAAAGCATCGTCAGGATCCTTTCCTTTGAGGTCAGGTATCAGCTTCGTGAATTCGTGGTCTTCGCCGAATTGCTCAATGCTGTCACTTAGCGCCTTCCAGCCGATGATAGCCGAGAAGTCTCTGTGTTCGTCTCCACCGTGATAATCAGCTTGAATGCGACGCTCGAGGTACGTGGTCCAGCCTTCGTTAAGCCAAAAGTGCTCCCAGGATGCGTTTGAGACGAGATTGCCGCTCCACGAGTGAGACAATTCGTGAGCGATAACATCGACGTTCTGTCGGTCTCCGGATACCACTGTGGGTGTGGCAAATGTGTACTGTGGGTTTTCCATTCCGCCATAGGGGAAGCTCGGAGGTAGAACGAGAACATTGTAGGTAGTCCACGGGTACTCGTAAACAATCTTCTCGGCGATCTGGATGTACTTCTCGGTATCTGCCTCAAACTCCCATTGCGCCGCGGTCAATTCCTCGGGGCCAGTCCAGACTTGTGATCGAGGGCCAATGGAGGCAGAAGCCAAGTCACCACTCGCCAATGCGAAGAGATATGACGGCATCGGAATCTTCTGATGGAAGGAGTAGAGAAGAGTTCCCGGCTTCCCTTCTTTTCCAGGAACAAAGTCTCTCACACCTGTGGGTAATCCCGAGGCTAGCACGGGCAGAGGGGATCGGATGTTGAAAGTGTATGTGCTCTTTACGTCGGGAGTGTCCTGACATGGTAGAAGCGATCGTGCGTGAATCGCCTGACATTGGCTGAACATGTATGGATGCTTCTTGTTGCTAGTTTGCGCTGGAGTGAGCCACTGGAGAGCTGTGCAGTCCTTTGTGGTGTTGACCCCAATGCGGAGCGTGATCTCAGAGCCGGCTGTCTTGCTATGCTTGTCGTCCAGGTGAATCGTCAGAGGGCTACCATATGGCTCGATACGATTCTGGTTCAGCTTCCACTGCACTTGGTCGCCCTCTATGTCTACCCCTAGGATCTCCAGATGGCTGCTATTGGTCAGCTGTCTTTACCGCCAGCAGAAGCGAGGACTGCTACCTTGTATCAAGGACGATTTGCTTCTCACTCGCCAAGCTCTCCAGCGTCAAGTGAACTATGCCGGTCAATCGTTTGCCCTCGAAATCAACATTGAAGTCCGCCGCCGTGTGTTTCGTTCTCCACGCATTGTAGTTGGAAAGTGTATTGGGGTCTCGCGGCGTATGGATGGTTTTGGCGGCCTCCATGGCTATTCCATCTGACACTGGCTTGATAGCCATGGTTTGTGTTTGGGCGCCCAGGTGAGGCACTGCTCGTACCATTGATGAAGCAAACAGTCTACGAGAGCAGAAGCTCAGAAAGGGTGTTCGGCAGAATCGAGCGCCAACTCCAAACACGTTCATCCAGCAATTGAAGGCTTACAGACCTCCGCAAGTGACAAGTTGCAATATTGCCAGCTGTGGAGTCATCAATCTGGACTTGACCTGAATCTGATGTGCTCAAGAAGGAAGGAGCTACCGCCGGTCAGCTGATCTCGCTTGTTCTTGGCGTAACTTTGTTGACCGGCTCGCTCTGCGCGTCTTGAACTTCATGACGACACCATCGACGCGTAGCGAAAACCTCAATATCGCGAAGACCGGCATATTATTGAAAGCGCCAGGGAAGGCACTGGGATTTCAAGAGTCAGACGTCTTTCAATGGCACGAGTGCGCGCCACGCCTGGCTCTCAGGCGACCACGAAGACGGCCGCCGCTCGCCAGGCACTGAAGGAAACAACCAACACTGCACGCGCACCAGGGCCAATATACGAGGACGATGGTGTGACGGATGACTTGATCAAGGACGCGAAGCCGAAGCGCGGCAGGCCAAAGAAGGTGGTGCGACAGGATTCCGAGGAGTTGGTTATGGCTGGTGGCCTGGGTTTGGCGAGCGAGGATAATGCGCGGCACAACAGCGAAGTGCCTACAACTACGGACGAGCTTGCCAAAAGTGATTCTGTGCCAGGCCCAATCGCGAAGTCGAACCGCCGACCGCCACGAACTGTCCGCAAGATTACAACGAGCGAGGCGCAAAGTAAAGTACTCGATGGGCTGAAAGAGCGTATGAATGCAACAGCGCAAGGCCAGCGTGCGAAGCAGAAAGCGCCCACACCTGCTGTTACGGAATCATGTGATTCACTCCCATTGGAATCTTCTGTTGCAAGCAAGTCGAGATCTGTGGTGGCCGAGAGCCCGGGACCCAGCTTATCGCCATCTCCTTCTCCTGCTAGAAAAGTCCAGTCTGTACAGAACCAGGGCTCCTCAGTGATGCAGCCAGGATCAGTCCTTAGGGCGCAAAGCACACCAGCTGTCGAACACAGCCTTTTGGCGCTCAAGAACTTCAAGCGCAGGCCGCGGCAACCCAGTATGCTGCAAATGGTGAAGCAGAAAATAGGCAGTGCAAGACCGTCTTTGTTGAACACTACGACTGTGACTATGGACGATAACGCCTTAGAGGACGAGGATGTGTTTGATCTGGGCGCGAGCGACGATGACGAAGAGGATTTTGCGCCTGAGGCTGAAGGCACGCCTCTACATGTCAGCAAGATCGCGAGCAATCTGCCGCAGAATGTCAAATTGCAGCCCAGCGACCTGATCAGCTCATCTGGCAATGCGCAAAAGAAACGAAAGTCCGACGCGTTGGATGTGTCATCTGGATCCCTATCCGCTTTGCGCGCCAAACGCCAACGGCATGACCAAGACATATCATCCGGTTCATTAGCAGCCCTTCGTGGCCGACGTCAAAGCCAAGAAAGCCGGACTCTGCAGGTCCAAGACCCGCCAGTGGGTGTTGAAGTCGTGGTCAGCTCGTCCATAGAACGCGCTGAAACTCCTCAACCGCAAATCACGTCAGACGTCCAGGTGATCAATTCGCCTGCGTCATCTACACCGCCGACCGAGCCATCGTCCTCGCAGCATCAGAGCTTCAGTAAGGACAGCGACTACGCCATACCTTCGACAGAGCGTGCGGCCGAGATCGCTGATGCTGAAGCGAGACCCCGAGGTGTCTTTTCGGACGATGACGGCGATGATGGTGGAGTGCCAAATGGGACCATGGCTGATCCCATCAGTAGCCCGCTTCCAATATCTGATGATGTTTTCGCTGATCCTTCTACTCAACGTATCTCGCCATCGCCAGTGAAGAAGGGGACAAATGCCAGGGTGAAGCCATTGAACACCGCGGCCCTGCAGTCTCTGTTGCCGAAAAGACGGAAGCCAGTCAGAACTCGTAATCGGAGGTCCGAGTACGATATCGATTCTACAGATTCTGAGAACGAGCCTCTGGAGACGAGCCATCTAGACGAAGATGAGGACGAGCTTGGTGGCCGAGTCAAGCGGCAGACCAAGACCGCACCAGCCAAGTCGAAGAAGAGCACCACTGCGAAGAGGGGCAGACCAAGAAAAGTTGCCACGAAAAAGACGGTTGTGAAGAAGGTCAACATGACTTATGGTCGTCACACTGCATCTGACAAGGAGAACGACGGCTCTGTATCTTTTGATGAAGCTGATGAGTCCACCCTGCCTGAAATTTCTCGCAGCATGGAAGAGCTTGCAAAGAGTACAGAAATTGAAGCAGCGAAGGCCAAGTTTGCTGACATTGATAAGTGGGACATGGAATTTGAGTCGGTCGACGCGGACGAGCATCGAAGCTCAAGCTTGAATTGGAGGTAGAATGTCCACGTGGTGAGACGTTGAGCGCAGAAGAGAACGAGACGTGGGAGATGAAAAAACAAAGGACACGAAAGATGTGACGGCTGCTGTGTACTTCTTACTTTTATGATTCTACTACCTAGCTATTGCCTCTAACCATTCGTGTTATTCGCCGATACCCGAACGCCATCCGAATTCCTTGGCGTGTTGCGTTACATGCTTGGCGCAACGACGATGAGGTCCTCCATATGACATATCGGTATCAGTGTGTACTCCAATCGATGCAACTGAGCATCTGACAAGTTTGGGGTGTACTCAAAATCTCCACCTCATGTCAAAATTCAGCGATGCAATACAAAGATGGTTGGAGTGGTCTGTTTCAAGGCAGAATCGGACGTGAAACACTCATCGCTCATCATAGCCATGTGTCCTTCTTCTCTCTTCGTGCTTGTGACGCCTTGGTGATGCTCGCTGCACGCTGAGATCTGCCACACTCGGCACGTCGTCATCATCAGAGTCGTAGTCAGCCAGCTGAGTTCTCTTCATCATACCAGTCAGGCTATCTGATGCACCATTGCCACGGACCTGCGTTCGGTTGGTAACTCGCTCGCCTTCCTTGGCGAAAGAGTTTCGGGGCGGATTAGGCTGTGATACGATAGCAGGACCGTAGCGTGGCGTCCTTGCTAATGATGTCGGCGATGACAAATTAGTCATGGTTCGCGCGGAGAGGCGCGAAGAGCCAGCAGGGGTTAATGGTTGATGGCTGGAAGATGAGGAAGTTCGTTGTGTATACGCATGAGCAAAGGTCGTGATTCGCAATGGATCATGTTGCCTACGCTGTTCTGCTGCATACTTTTCGTGCGTTACAAGTTCCATCTCGGTGTTCCATTTGCGATCAAGTTCCTGTTGTCGGCTAGCGAACGTAGGAGCTACAGGGAGTTTCGGCTCAGTAGCACGACCAAAGCTGTCTTTCTGCTCCGGAAATAGCTTGTCTAACGAGTGCCCATAATATGTTCGCGTCGAGTCTTGTGCATCTCGGTATTGCGGAGCACGCTGGCGCTCATTCGTTGCAGCTATGGTATCTCGAATGGGACGAGCTTGTCTTTTATCTTCCTCGTAGCGTGACGGATCGTCTGACTGACGCTTGTCGCCTCGGTGCGGCTGATTATTACCGGAATCGCGTCGATCTCGATAAACTCTTGGTAGGTCGCTGAGGCTGGGGGATGACTCAGAGGTAGCAGTGATGTCTGATGAGTCGCATTCGAGCGTCGAGTCTCTGCGTCGATCATCCTGCTTCGTCGACGACCGTCTCCTGGGCGGGGCTGTATTGTCGACCTCGTTTGTCAACGATGAGATGGATGATTTATGACCAACAGGGCGCCTTTCGTTCACACGAGCCCTTGGCATGTCGAGAGAGGGAGGATCAGGATAGAGAGCTGTGCCCGTCGGTGCGTCCAGTGTCCTTGGCTCGCGGAAAGATACTCGTCGAAATTGACGTGGTGTAGGTGGTGGGGATGGAGCCGCAGGTCTGACAGTCCTGTGTATTGGTGTTCGTGGTGGCGAAGACGAGACGAGGCTGTCGGCGGGCGACTGGTTGCCGTTGTTGCTGCTTGGTCGTTCTCCAGACAAACGCTTGCTAGATGTCCGGCTCAAAGGGAAGTATCGATACTCCCGACCATTGGCCATGACAATGTTCCGTGGGGCCGAGGACGAAGTCTGGTCGGCATTGGGACGCCTCTCGACCACGCGAGTCGCTTCAGTATTCCTCTCCTCAACGTATGCGCACAGACTTCCAGCGGGTGCGTTGTGGCAACGGTATTGTTTGCGTATAATCTCGCGGCGGCGACTGCCCGCGTAGACATATGTTTTGTTCTCCACTACGCACATTGTCGATGTCGTCTTCGTCGATATTCGGAAGAAGTTGTTGTTGTTGTCAGGAGAAGGGTTTGGGAAAAAGACGATCAGAGGTGTGAGGTACTCGATCACAGTCACTCTCGATCACAGTCACTCTTGATCAGAGTCACTGTGGACCAGGTTGGTGCCTAGGTACGCAGTAACGTGACCGGCGCTTAGTCTTGGCGCGTGCCTGATGCTAGGAGGTAGTGGTAGGTATCAAAGTGAAGACGGGAAGGGTCCTGTGACGCAGATCCACCCACTAGCTTATGACTGATCGATCCTGCTCAGCGAGGCACGCGTGTGTTGCTTGGTGGCAACCTGGTAGTGATAGCGAGCGAACAAGACCTTTTATCTGAGAAGACCTCGATCAACCAAGCGGACGTGGTCCGAGTGTGCCACGGTAGAAGGACTGATGTGTGTGTGCGTGTTGCGTAAACACCATAGGAGAGTGAGTGCGCGTCTCATGCAGGTCCGGAGGTGTCGTCGTCTTAAGGCATCCTCCTAACATGCAACAAGCGAAGCGCTCGTAGGATCAGGTCTGTCCCGGGACGCTCGGCAGACACCTAGAGCGGCTACGCAGGAGGCGGGACTAGCATTGCAGTTAGTATGGTAGGATTGTATGAAGGAAGCTCTGCACTGCCTCTTCAAAGCGATAATGTCATTGCCAGCTGCAGAGGCAGAAGAAGAAGCAGTCATGATTAGTACGGAGTGGAAACGCCGGACGCCAGCGTCATGAAATCCTGCCTGCCTGCCTGCCTGCCTGCCTGCCTGCCTGCTACATGACATGACCTTGGCGCATGTACATGTCGGTATGAGGACGCCGCCGTCTATGCTGAGCAGAGCAGCAGCACACCATATCATTACCATCACCGCCGCCGCCTTCGAACATCTCGTCTACGGAGTCCAAATGTGGCCAGCGGCGTCGGCTTGATGCATCAGCGACAGCACGCTCGCCGTCGCGGTGTCAGCTGGACAGCAGGCGAAGTCGCAGCTGTATTCGCGTGAGGTGGGAGTGGGTTGTCTCAAGTTTGTCCGTCAAGAGGGCGAAGTCACGGAGGGCGGTAAATACGAGCTTTGTGGGGTGTGTCGGTGTGTCCTCCGAATAGAAGGAAGGGGCTGGCTGGTTCTAAGCCCCCACCAGTCTTACCCAACCCACACACGCTTGGGACGCGGAAGCATCTGTGCTTGCACACCTGGCGGCTTGAGAGAAACGTCACCTGTGTTCCTCCATGTACCTATGGATATGTACATTTACCTGAGAACGACAGTATAGGTATGATGGATATTCCATCGTGCCTTTATTGTCGGCCACGTAAGTACCTCATCCAGCGTATCCTGACACGCGGGCGGCCTTCCCAACTGGCGGTTCACGAACCTCGCCTAACTGCACAGCACGACGAGGACTTGCTCATTCAGGAAAAACTTCGCTTGTGGTAGGCTGTCCGCCTCAATGTCGGTGGAGGAATTCCCTTCAGGCAGACTCACGATACTCCGTCGAAGCTCGGTCTCCGGAGAGTGTGGCTGATCTACCACCATATCTGTCCCTATGTGGGCGGAGGAACCCTAACCTGGCCCTTCAGCTCTCTAAAATCTGCAGTCGTGATGGCAGATGGTGCTGACATGTGTGCAGATTCTCGTGAGGGGCAGATATACGCCCGGTTCTGATTTCTTGTCACGCCACTGGAGATTGTCAGCTGCTGTACATGTATGCTTTACGCAATAAAGTGGGACTATCACCGGTCGAGGCAGGATAGGAGTAACCTCTTTTCAGAGGTCGACGAACCAACAGTCGCTTCAAGTACTCGTCAAAATTTATCACTGGTCCGAGACTACCTTATGGTATTTGTGGGAGCAAGAATTCCAGATAAAAAGAAATACGAGATAACCCTGCGACCTGCGCAAAGATGGACCAATTGACTCAGACGACTTTCGACTCTCGACTCGCCTCCCTAGGTAGTATTGCTGTCACCCAAAGTTGCAGCGCGCAAACGGTCAACAGAGAAACCCTCAAAACATTTGCTTTGCTATATACCTGACGCTTTCCACACCTTAGAACCATAATGACAGAGCATTCGCTTCAATCCTTGCCCCCCCCCCTCCCTCTCCCTCTCCCTCTCCCCGAGACCGAAGGCGATAGCTTCCGACCACAGGTTATCGAATTTGTTGTAGCCCGAATTCGACGAGTACCAGTAACACAGTTGTACTGGACCAGCTTGGAGGTACATGCAGCTTTGTACCTCAACTATGTGCAGCAAGTCATCTAATAGCAGCATAAGATATTAGACCTCTGTAAACAAAGCCGAGTAAAAGGTATACAGAGAATGCAACATACGTAAACTTTGCATTGTCCATAGTTTTGATAATGAATAGAGCCATATCTGCAACCCTTATTGGTTGAGGAATAGGCTTTCTTCGTTTCACCTCCATTGCATGAGGCCTCTGCTGCAGGGCAGTAGATTTCGCTGTTTTCATCCATCTTGCAGTTGACTGTTGCCTCAACGTTGTATCTGCAGCCGGCGTGGACGGTACTTGCTAGGGCGAGGAGGACGACGGCGATCGAGGATGCGAACATATTGGGCGTCTTGGTGTATGTTGATAGTCAGGCAGGAGAGGCTTGTTCGTTGAAGTGTTGGCGACTTGAAGGCTTCGTCTCTCGAGAGATTCTGCGGTCTCATATATAGGGCATTGCACCCCATCACAAAGAAGTTGCGACTTATGTGATATCTAAGTGTAGCAGCTTGTACCCCGGGCCTCCGGCTTCATGTTGGAACTTTTCACCCTTGCGATGGTGTTGGAAGGTGTAGGAGGTGAGATATCCCCGGCTGGTGGTGTACGGAACCCTACCAGGCTTCAGGCTAATCTCAGAAGACGCTTTCACTTGCACCTACACCTCGTATCTCTCTTGCTACAAGTACCCCAGCGATTTGGCGAATGGTGGGGAACCGGGTACGTATAGCTGGATCGAGGACACTTGAGAGCGGAGCTGCGGAGGAAGTTGCTAGCATGATGCATCCCCACAGGGCCCTTATAGAGAAAGGTATTGGCTACGTTGGAGTAAAAACATGAATCATACGAGATCTCTACAGCTGTTGGAACACAGGAGAGAGTCTGGGAAGTTGCTTGGTACAGGTAGTATAGTGCCTCCTGTAGACGTGGCACCGTATAGAAGCTCCGATCGTGCTCGGAAAGCACCGGCGACATGCACTTGGAGTAGAAAGCGTAGATGTATTATCGGGAGCAGCGGTGGAGGCGATGGCGTATTGAATCTGTGTTGTCGGTATACTTTCGAAAATCCGGCGTATCATGTCTTGGATTGTGCCCAAAGTGTATTAGAAAATTCTCGTATATCAGAATTCCATGTGTATATCGGATTCTGTGTTCGAAAGACCTGCAAAGTACTAGAAAAATGTTTGATCAGAAAATCATGAAGCTCAACTTTGATTGAGTGAACAACTATGATGTCCAGCCGGAACAGGCCCCGATCAGCTTACTTTTAAGGTTTGAGATACCGACACTTCGACAGGCAGTCAAGCACTGGAGGGACTACATAACCCCAGGTTCCAAGGGAAGTGCTTCTGCGGTTCACTACAGATGTTCTGCTTTTTACCAGAGATACTCCGCCTTTAACCAGAGATATTCCGCTTCTTCGTATATACCTAGGAGAGACTCTTCCTTGAACCTCACAAGTTGTCAAACCAACCCAAACCTAGCTGCCAAGACTTTGATTACAGTAAGGCAGAGGCCAGGTAGATCAGGTTAGTTTCCTCAAATCTCAATCAAAGTCTTGCCTCCTAAGAGGTAGTAAACAACTGTGATTGGGGACCACGCTGTACGAGGAAAAGTTGATGCTCGAAACGGCTTGAGTATTCGGCCTAGAGGGACAGGTAGTCTGAGGCTGATCGGCGTAGGACTCCGCGAACGGGAGCAGGCGAGAGAACGGTTCTGCGGTTGCCAAGGCTGACCCAACGCTAGGTATCGCTCACGGCCCGCCGGCCTTGATCTCTTAGCGGGAGCCCCGGGAGAGGGTAAGGGGTAGAGAAAACAGCTGCTGAAGGCAGGGGGGTACAAGTAGAAGCACCTCACTATACAGTTGGGGTTGTTGTCTGTTGTTCCGAAAGCTAGGAGGTACCTGGTATCTGGTACTGTATCTACACATTCTGTTGACCCTAGGTAGTCGGGCCTTCTACACGGTGCCAACTTGTAGGTAAGGCACTCGTCAGCACCTCAGCTTCCTCTGTTCTCTAGGAGGTACTACCTGTAGGAATTCGAGCAGCGGGTCCAAAAACCAGACTTGTCTCTATTGTCTGTACAGAAGTAAAAGGATACGGTATCTACATGCCTACTACCTTCATCTTCTCTGATAAATTTCAAGTAGCTTCGTATTGCCGAATGCATATCTTCCTCCTGCTAAGACATCAATTGGGTTTTTCATAAAAAAATGTATACAGTAAGTAGTACCTGACCAAGAATAACAGCGTCTTGGTATAGTACGTATTTCTATAAATGCAGCAAAAAACGTATCTGAGAAAGGTACAATCCGAAGTCCTCTTCTCGACAATAGGTACATTGGTTTCGACAATACATTCCCAATCGCTATCAACGAGAACCCTTTTGCCAATAAGGTATTCTGAACCTTTTTCCCCAAATGCCGTCTTTGTTCCGAAGCTCCTCCGGTCTCCTGATTCCACACGACATAAACAAACAGAAAATTCGCCTCTCATCCAATTATATGACGGGGATGTGGTTTAGTGTAAGCAGCTTCACAAGTAAACATCCGGTCAATACGCCATGTACTAACGATTCTTCAAAGGGTATAATACCTCTTTAGCATGCTATTATAGCGACTTGCCTAGAGGTGGTCCAGGGTTCGATTCCCTGCATCTCCAGTTCTTTTGCATTTTGATGGCCGGCCCTGAACGTGGTTTTCGCAGTAGAAACAATATTGGAATGTTTTTTTTTTTCTTTTTTCGGTAGTGTCAAGTTGTGCGGAATGGGGGAGAGATCTTGGCAACGAAACTGAGCCAGGGGGTTTTTTTCTTCCGTGGGGCTAGATTTGTATCCAACATTGACTACCTCTTACCTTTTGTCAGGTTGTATCGAATGATGTTTCTCGCATTTGGATATCAGGCTACAGCACGCACATATACAAGGTAAGAATATGGCCTCATGTGAACGAGCTGCCTCCTACGTACGTCAAAAAGGGTGTTGCGACGTCCATGGGCTGTCTTCCCTTCCCAAAAAGCACGAATTTGGTTTGGCGTGTTCTTGCGCCAACGGTGGCATGTCATGATCAAAAAGGAATGTCTCGAAGTTTTCGAAGAAGAAAAAAATCATTGCAATGGTCATCGGCGACATTGAGACTGCTCAGTGAAGCCAGAAGTCCAAAGAGACGGAGCTTCATTGGTTGCAATTTGACCTCCAAGCGGTCTATCATAAAGACACGATCTGAGGCAGCATGTACCGTCTCTGCCAGAAGCAGCAGCGAGAAGAGCGATTCCTCTTGGTGGTGGACGTGTACAACGGGTGGACGTCTCTATCTCGTTGCTGCCTGGAAAGACTATATCGCCCTATGTCTGTCCATTCTGGCAATCTGGTACATCACCGTGGTCTGAAGAACCTCCGATAATGGCTTGTTTTTTCAGCGAACAAAAAAGGGGTGCCTGGTTGCCTCAACCGCCACTTCGCCAACTCTCTCAGACCAGTTCTGATCGATAGTCACGAGCCTTGTGAATCCGTATGAAAATTTGCAAGTGTCTTCGTGTCTAGGGTAGAAAGAAGTGTGTAGCGCTCCCAGTGCCGCTATTCATCGCCAAGCAAGACCTATTTGGTTTTATCCTTGCCCGCTTTCCATCTTCAACCACAGTGTTGCCGAGCTCTCTCCCGACGTGAAAAGGAAAACAAGGCCATTGATTTCCAGCAAAAAAAATCCGTGGACCTCTCTTGATTGATGTATCTCGGCAAAAGGGAATTCCCCCGGACAGGCTTGAACTGTCAACCTCTCGATTGCTTCTCTGGGTTGACCCAGATGATAACAGTCGAACGCGCTAGCCAATTGCGCCACGGAGGATAAACGTCTGGGACGCTTGTGGTACAGCTGGATGTGGGAGACGAGGCCGCGATGGTAAAATATAATGGCTGGTACAACGCGCTATGCAGAGCGTGAGATGGAGCATTGACTGCCAGAAACATTACCATTTCGGCAGAGAGAGACATAGTCAAGTTTCGGTTCTGGATTCATGATAATTAGATGCTACTATCAGAAGTTGGCTATAGAGAGTTCAACCCAGACGCATCGGCGGTACAGCAAAACACGATTTGATAGCAGGTTCAGTACCTACAATAGGTAGGTCAGGTATTGAACGAGACCTAACAGAGAAGTTCCACCCAATTACTCCATACACCACTGCTTTCACAGAAAGAAAAAAAAACATCCCGACACAAAGCAATCCCCGTTCTCATCAGGTCGATAACAGTCTCCTGAATTTCACACCACCCGCAACTTCAATTGACTCGTCAACACATCAAAGAAACACGCAGAATCCTTCTTCAACAACCAGATCCGCATCGCATCGCGCAGAGCACTTCCCAACGCCTTTGGGTCCTGAATACCTTGGGGTGAGATTGGCACAGCCGGCGCCATTCGCCAATCCGAAATACCTTCCAGAAATCGATCCGCAGCAACCCTTTCCTCTCCCCGAGTGAAAGCAGAACCGATTTGTGCCAAATCCACGTTGCTGAGTGCAGCGTCGTCGTCGTTGTGCATGATGTGAATCAAGAGAATTCCGTAAATGACATCGTAAAATGTATCATCTTTGGTCTCGTCGTACGGAAGAGGAGGAAGGTTGCTGACGGCGGGAGAGGAGGCAGAGGCAGAGGAGGCAGAAGAGGCTTTCAAGGTATTATATCGCTCTGTTGTAGACTCGAGGAAGCGGTCGAGTTCTCCTGGAGCTCGGCCTTGTTGGTACCAGAGCAGACGGCTAGCGAAGATGTAGCAGAGATATGGCAATTGGGTGGTTTCGAAGAAATCTGCGTTCTTGGGGAGTGCTTGCGTGAATTTTACGGTTCGGAGGATGGATTTCATGGATGCGGATTGGAGATGCTTGATTCCTTTTTGCTTTTCCTCGTTTGTGATGCGGGACTGCTGGAAGTTCGTATCTGCTGCGGTGGCCACGGGAGAATCTTCCTGGTTTGCTTCTTTCGGAGTCTGGAACCGCTGAGAGCCCGTCTCTGCAGCCGTGTGAGAGTCCTTCTGCTTTGCTTCAAGCATGTTTCTGAACTGCTGCGAGAGCGTTCCTGCGGCCACACGAGAGCTTCTTCGCGTAGTAACCCTCGGCCGCTGAGAGTCCGGACCATCTCCAGCGGCCGAGGGAAACCATTTCGCATCACGTCGTGCGGCAGAGCCTTCTTCGTCGTCGTCATCATCATCATCCGGCGTGTTGAGGTACACGTCGAGGAGTATCTGTGCCCTCTTCTCAATGTCCATCCCTTCTTCCTCTGATCTCTGCATGGTTTCGCTCTTGAAAGATTTTGCGTTTTGGGTGTGCGACGTGGTAAATGCTGTACTGTGGTGAGTCGGAGTGTGTCTTACTGATTTTCACTTGGTGGGCGTGCGAGAATTGGCGCTAAGGCAGTCGCGTGCACGAGTCAGCAAACAATATGTGTCCAGGCTTCAGGCAACGTCACGTTGCCCACAGGTGGTTCTGTGGACTTCTGGAATCCGCGCAGAAGCTATGATACTAGCAATCGAGGTCGTTTGAGGTAGTAGAATAGTATAGTACTTTCTAATACTCGTAACCGGCACGTTGAATTAGCTTTATAAAGGCGAATAGCTTATTCACTCACTCACAGGTAGCAGCCTATTCGTTTACTCACAGCTGGTCCTCTCGAATTAACACCTTCCGATTTAAGTGTTCTGGACTGGAACTTTCGATGCCAGCCAAGTGAAGAGTGAGCTCCAGATCTCCCAATAATGACTTCAGCACATGACTGACGCCCTCTTCGCCCCCAAGAGCCAGGCCATATACAAATGGCCTGCCAATCAGACATGATTTTGCACCCAATGCCAATGCCTTTGCAATATCGGCACCGCATCGGATCCCAGAATCGAAGAATATATCGATCTTATCGCCCGCAGCATCCACAATTCGAGGTAATACCCCGAGAGAAGACACTCCACCGTCAACCTGCCTTCCGCCATGGTTAGACACCACAATACCTTGCACACCCACTTCGACAGCTTTGAGTGCATCTTCCACCGTCTGAATGCCCTTGAGCACAATCGGACCATCCCAGTGCTCTTTGAGAAAAGCGATATCTTCCCATGCATGACTAAAGCCCGGAAAGATGGTCTTGGTCCATTCAGCGGCTGCAGTGTGAAGATCCTCCTCAACCTCAACGCCATGTTGAGACTTGAACTGTGAGCGAAAGACTGGATCTGAGAAGCCAATGGCGACACCGACCGAGTCTGATCGCAAGAATGGGTTGTACCCATTGTCCATATCAGAAGGTCGCCAGCCGAGGATATAAGTATCGAGAGTGACGAATAGTGCAGAGAAGCCCGAGCTCTTGGCTCGGGAGAGCATAGAGATGGTAATGTCTTTCTTATCCTGGCTGGGCCAGTAGAGCTGAAACCATCGGACGCCATCGCCGTTGGCTTTTGCTACATCTTCGATGCTCGTAGAAGATGCTGTTGACATGATATACGGCACACCCTCTTGAGCTGCGGCTCGAGCGGAGGCCACCTCCCCGTCCGGGTTCATAATCTGTGGCTGGTGATCAGAAATGTTCCGGGGTTCGAGCCCACAGACGGTACTCACTTGCTGTACACCGACTGGAGCTACTGCGATAGGAAATGGCTGCTTCGTGCCCAGTACTGTGGTCGACAGATCCGGCAGTTTCGTCGTCTTGACCAGACGCTTAGGCACGATGGACCACTTCGCGAAAGCCTTTTTGTTCTTCTGCTGTGTTTCGCCTTGGCCGGCGTTTCCCATCACATAGCCTGCGTGTGTATCAATGAGTACGTTGATCAATGTTCGGTGTGAGGATGCCTGCCTACCTTTCGTCTCTGCGCTCATACGCTGCGCAGCCTCTTCCTCCCAACGATGCGGTTGGAACGAAAGACTTGGCCGCTCATACTGAAGACCTCGTTGGTAGATCTTCTGTTCGTATTCGACCGGGTCTGTCGGCGCTTTTGGTGGACCTGATGAGCGATATGCTACGCCTCCTGCTACTCTGTGTGCCATACTTGAGAGTCTAGGCTGATTCCTCGACGAGAATTGGTTACAGTGAGGAATCAAATCCAGTGGAGTCCTGATGGCAAATCTATCGTAAGTCGCTCACATATCCACTTTTTTACAATGGAGTGGCTACCTCTTACATGGTAACACGATCGGGCAGTGACGACATTGGCATCCGACAGAGGCCGGTCTACACGTCCCTTTGTACGGATACACGCCTTCTTTAAGCACTTTGTATGTCATCGCGCCTTGTTCCATCTCGTGGGGGAGCCGAGAGGAAGATATATTGTCTCTTTTGCCTGCTGCAGCTCAGCAAGTAGAGAAGCAGAAGCAGCAAAGAGATGGATCGCTTTTACGCACAATGCCAAGGTAGAAAGTCTACCGGGGGGAGGCTTGTGACATTTGGTTGCAGAAGTCTTGGCCCTGCAGCGGTGATTTATTGTAAAAGAAGCCTGCAGAAGTCAAAAACGGTCAGCAAATAATGCCTTGATGAACACCGTTCGCAGATACAGGTGAGATCGAGGCAGAATGATATCCTTTCATATGCTCCGTGCTAACTTATTCCAAATACCAGAGGGTTGGTCTTATCTGTGCAGACTGAGGTGTCAAAATAATGCTTCTTGATCGCTGCGGCGTTTATCTAGAGTACACTAGGAGGTATGAGGTTCATGGTAACGGCCGGCCAATATCACTGCCCCTTGGCTACTCTAGCTTAGAAGTGTGCTGTGGCCAGGTCGAGACATCGTCGAAGGACTTCGAACTTGTCTATGGTGAGAAGCTGAGTGGCAGCCCTTCTGACTAGAGAGCTAACATCGCGAAAGGGGACATGCGAGGCCGTGGAAATGGTCATTATTCCCACAATCCTCCAGCATACCATATCCCGAAGCGCCCAGTTCTGCAAAAGTTAGTCAGATATTACCTAAGATCAGTGGCTAACGAACTGTAGCCATTGTCAGTAGCCTTGGCCTAGGAAGCCATATGTCTTTGATCTACTACCTCATGTATCCTGCTCGAATCACAGCTCTTCTCCATTATTGGTACCGGACTAAGGTTCAAGAGACACTTCGCTCGTGATAAATGGATCAAACATGCTAACGAGACTGCAGCGTGCTGGAGGAAAAGGTCTTCCAGTTCCCTGATTGCAGGCCTCTGAACGAAGTATCGCAATGCTGAGAGCCTTGTTCTGGTGGCTCGTGGTATGCTAGGACACTGATAATCATTGCTCATCGATTCTCTGGTCAATATCAGGATTTTAGTTCTGGCTGTGATCCGAGACTATTATCAGCCGTTTATCGCTATTTCGGGTTATATGGCGAAGAGCACGTCCAGGGAGAAGAAATTGGTTGAACCTCAAGCGGGACATGCTATCGATTTCGACCAGCCTGAGGCCGTCCTTGAAGTCATAGGAGCATTCCTCGTAAGACTTGATTCATCGATGGCATCGTGTATGCGAAGGGGAGACCAGCACTTGCCGATTCGGAGAGATCCAGCATCCGGCTTCATTTTCACTTCTCCAGCGATCCTCATGCGAAGCAACTGATTTTGATTTGCGGCCAGATCATTGACATGGGTTGCACTATGTTGTCTGAGCAGTCTCGTGCGATCTTGGCGTTTCTGGTAGACAGCTTCCGCAGGACATTCAACTTCGTATACGACCTTCATACAAGAAAAGCGCACCGAATGTGTTCACATGTTTTCTCAATCAATGTATGTGCATACTTACCTTACCTTAGGATTGGGTAAACTGGCACTTCGTAAACCCGAATACTGTCTTGTCGAGCCGAATACTGTCTCCTTGTAGGTTGGCCATGCTCGATGCTCGTCTCGGAAGGCATTCATTTCTCGCCAATTATTCAAGACTGTGCCTCGGTTCTCTTCCGCCAGATTCGACGAGGTGCTCAAAATTGGTAGTTCGAGTTTGCGTATCTATATTGTCGACAGGCAGAGGTTGCTACACCAAAGAAACATGTCAGTGTGAGAAGTGGTGAGGCAGGATGGATCGAAGAGACGGAAGTTGTCAATATCGAAAAAAGTCTTGGCGTCATACCAGTGGCATAAGGTAAGGTACAGGTATTGCTCCCGTCATGAAGGCGTCTGGAATTTCGTGCTATTTGGAGCATGAAATGACAGACACGATTACTCAGTCTTATAATGCTCAACTGCTTCCGAGGTACAGAAGGCGAGAGCAACCTAGACTACTGGAGGCACGTTATTGAACACCTTAGTCCCACACACAGTCCACCTCCTGGAAGGCAATCCAATGCAAAAAGAGAAAAAGAACACACAAACCAAAAAGCCCCAAATCAACAAGCAAAAACAAAAGAAGGATTTCATACACCCCCGCACCTTTATCTCACGCTGGGATGTTACCTAGTGGCAACACCGGAAGAGGGTGTTTAATACCTCTACCGCCCTGACCTAGTGGTCATTGGACCCAGAGGTACTCGGCTGCGGCCTCACTGGCTTTATCCAGTGAGCTATGGGTGTATGTGACTAAGCGAGGATGAAAGATGGCTATAAACCCCACAACAGGTTCTTGTGCCTGAGGTTGGGGATGTTAGGTCTTCTTGCACGAGTTGAGTTGTTGGGGATTTGTGCTGCGCTTTGGTTGCATCACAGTTGTTCGCTGATCACATACGTTGGTTAGAGGCTCTTGAAGTGATTTGCGTAGGTACAGTACCTACGTTTGCGATGGCTTGCAAGATCTCTAGGTGACGCCCCTGAAGCTGGCTGCTCCCCGGTATTGCGCTTCGCGATATCTGCGGGACGGCACTGCCATTGTATTGTCTAGGTATGGTCGGAACATGGGTTTCATCGCTACTGGTGGCGGCACAAGAAGACGGAAACGGAGCTGGAGTAGATGATGCGAACACGAATGAAGAGATTTTCGGAAGCAAGTCTTTTTTTTTTCTTTTGATTTACAGAACAAGTCATAACAGAGTGCATGTCACGCGCCTCTAACAGGCTTCAGAGGGCAACAGCAGATACTTCTCATCGCCAGTTCAGTGCCGCGTTGCTCCTCCGATATCTCAGAGCCGCCCCTCCTGATTGCGAGAATGGCAATCCGTATCAACAAGCCATCATTCGTCGCGTCGCGTGCTGGGAGGTTCCCGCTGTCCGCCGCTCTAGAGGAAGATCATCGCGACGGCAATGCCAGCCAGAGCGACAAAAGAGTCCTTGTTGTCGATTCCAGCAGCGCCGGCTGAGAATGGGATGATGCTCACGGTCGGGCCGGCGACGACACTAGTAGGAGCCATAGCACCGGTACCCGTCGCACCGCCGATCGCAGCAGTGGTGGCATTGGTGATGCCAGCTGGGGAGAAAGCGAACGATGAAGAGTGTGTCGCACCAACGGCGTCGGCGGTGGCGTTGCCGCTGGGAGCGATGGTGCTTACGGTCGGGTATGGAGCGGCGCCGGGGCAGACGACGTAGGAGGTGCCATTGAAACCTGGGATGGTGTTGACACCGACGGTCTTGTCCGCAGAGATGCACTGAGACCTATGCAGATGTCAGCTGTCCGCAATCTGGGTGAAGCAGGCTATCCACTTCTCTCTTTCGCGAGGAGGGAACAAAGGATCGGACTAAACTTACTCGGACAGTGCCCAGGCAGTGGTGGATGGCGCGATTTGCTCGGTGGTGGTCCAATTGGCAGTGGTACTGTAGTATGGTCAGCAGGGGCGCAATCACGATTTCCGTTTCTAGACTCACCTCGAGCTGATGGAGAGTTCGGTTGCGCAAGAGGAGGAGGTGGCTGCGGTGGAGCTCATGATGCTGGCACTTGCTGGAGAAGCCTCCGCAGCTGAAGACACAGTGACAGTGACGGTGCTGACAGTGCTGGTGATGGTCGTGCTGAAGGTGTTGCACGCCGACTCTGAAGTGGCCGCAGTAGTGCTCGCGAGGCCGGCGACTAGGGCGGTGTTGTAGATGATCTGCATCGTGCGTGTTGGATCGGGTGGTTGCGTGTTTGCCAAGTGTTATTCTGTGGAAAGAAAGAGTGGTCTTGAATGTTGTTAACGAGAGTGTCGAAGGAGGAGTTGGGGTGGTAACGAGAGTGGCTGTCGCTGTTATTGTTGCTATTGTTTGTAGGGGGGTGAGAAGAACGCGTTGAAAGGTCAATGGCAACAGCTCAGGCAGCTCCACATCCAACGCGGTCACCATGACAAACGGGCACACACTACTCGAACATGCAGGCGTTCACTACGATACGCTGCCTTCACCTACTGAACAAACGAAGGTGTCACTTGCAATCACAATCTGCCGCAGATGGTCTTACAATGTAACATCTTCGAGGCCAAAGCGACTCCTGCACGTTGCGTCTACAGTGCCGGACACGAAAGGCGAACAGCATCAGTCTGGCTGTCGGATGCAATCAATATATTCAACAGAAATATGAAGAACAAAAGCAGTAGATGCATCGCAAAGCGTGTGCAAGACGCGTGTGGGACGTGAAGTTGAGAGATGGGACAGGGTTCGTTTGCCCAATTTAGGATTCACACAGGGACTAGGCTCAAAGCAGACTAGCCGCGCCAAGACCCAAAATCGACTGGCAATTGCGACTGTGCGAACTTCTCGAAGGACTTCTCTTTCCAAGCACGCCGCAATATCGATTCAGTCTCACATCGACAACCACCGCCAACATGGGTCGTCTTCACAGCAACGGAAAGGGTATCTCTGCGAGCGCCATCCCATACTCGCGCGCACCGCCAGCATGGCTCAAGACCACGCCCGACCAGGTCGTTGACCAGATCTGCAAGCTCGCAAAGAAGGGTGCCACTCCTTCGCAGATTGGTGTCGTTCTCCGTGACTCTCACGGTGTTGCTCAGGTCAAGGTTGTCACTGGTATGTCGCAAACTTTGGGGCAGTGTGGTGGAATTGCGATGCAGAAACTAACATGTGACTGCACAGGTAACAAGATCCTTCGTATCCTCAAGGGTAACGGTATGCCAACTCCACTACTTGTCGCACCCGTATGAAAGAGTAGGGGATTTTTGAGGCTGGTTAGAACAATGCCTCGAAAGAGATGGACAACACACATACACCTGCCTCTGCACTGCGCATGCATATATTTTGAGCCTCTGTTTGGTCCCAGACTGACGGAGAGACAATAGGCCTCGCACCAGAGATCCCAGAGGACCTCTACATGTTGATCAAGAAGGTGAGTCATTCTGATCTCTTGCGAAGCGACGAACGCATCTGACATCCCGTATCTAGGCCGTCGCCGTCCGAAAGCACCTCGAGCGCAACCGCAAGGACAAGGACAGCAAGTTCCGCCTCATTCTGATCGAGTCCCGTATCCACCGCCTGTCCCGCTACTACAAGACCGTCGGTGCTCTTCCTCCAACCTGGCGGTACGAGAGCGCAACTGCCAGCACCCTCGTCGCATAAGCTTGTCGCACAGCGGGTCGAGATCTGGTTGTTGTATTGAGGAACGGACAGCATGGCGTCAAGGAGGATATCCCAACAGGCACAATGCCTTGGCAGTATGATCATAGCGGACGAGACCGCCAAAAAGGCACTTCGGTAGCCACGAAATCAAGACAAGACACTTCACGCGCCATGAGCACTGCTTCACTCGCACACTTCACTCGAGAAGAATCTTGAAACCCCGCATAATCATTCACTTGAAGTGAGCGCGTGTATTCTGCTGTGATGACCTTTGTTTGCCTTCTCACTTTCCATTCGCGAATTGACTGACATATTCGCACTGACCCAGGACAGAACGCCGTCAACATATCCGCACTGATCCAGGACAGAACGCCGCCAACATGGCAAGAACGAGAGGAACAGGCAGCAATATCGCAAAGGCTGGTGGCCGTCGCAAGTATTTGGTCAAGCTGCCCATCAGCATCGCTACTACAACTACGAGTCACAGAGCGAATACAGGCGTGTCTAGTGCGAGCGATCCTACGTCCGATGGCACTCCCACACCGGCACCACCATCGTCTCAAACCTCAGAAGCACATTCAAATCCCGAGCTTGCCTCTTCCAACAGCCCTACCTTGCCGAGCGAGGTTGTTTCTAGGTCCTCCTTTTCCAAAGAGAAGTCCAGAATCATCGATAGCATTTCAACAGCTATTTGGGACATCTCCATCAACCTCACCACCTTCTTCTCCGAACTCCACGACGAAAACATCTTCGAAGCGGTCATTTTCATAAACTTCTTGCACGCCCGCGAGCTCGAGAAGCAGACGAATCAGAATTCCAGCCTTCCAAACACTCTCTCCGCGCCGCCTGTCCCTCTTCCTCAGACTCTCATGGAAGCTCGACTCTTCCTCGTGGCCACGGCGAATCGTGTTCGCGCACTGGCGCAGGAGAACGATGTGACTCGGGGCATACATAAGCCCCGAGCAGAGCGGCTTGATGGACAACAACAAATATGGTATTCTTGCGCTGGCTGTGGAAAATACATTTCAAATGTGCGATTCGCGTGCTTTGTTTGTCGTCATCTTCATTCGCCATCATCATCGTTATCATCATCTCCCGCTCTCAATTGGTGCTCGGAAACATGTTTCGAAAACAGACAAGGGCATCAGGGATGCGAGATCCGAGCGATGGAAATTCGACATGTGGCGAGAATGAAGCTTCCGGAATTGGTTGGTGGGGTGTATGTCTGGTATAAATGTGATGAATGTGAGAGGGATATTGAGGGGTGGAGATGGAGTTGTGTGGAGTGTGATGAGGAAGAAGATTATTGTTCTGTTGAGTGCTTGGCGAGGAAGGGGAAGAGGCGATGTGGACATGAGTTTCGGAAGGTGGAGATTGGGCATTCTGTGGGTGGTGGTGCTACTGCTGCTAAATAAGGTGGTGGGTGAGGTGCGGTAGACGGGAGGGAGGATACCTAAGGTAGTCAGTCATGTGAATCTGTATCTCCCAGTCTCATCCGGCAATGTAGACGTGTTACGGTCCAGACAAGCAGGCGGGTAACAATTGTGTGAGAGAGAGAGTTTGTGAAGGACCAGTTTTCTCGCACTGACATTTCTCACTGATGATGATGGTACACTGATTGCTCACTCAAGCTGATGGGCCTCACTGATGATGATGATGATGATGGTCCACCCATCGCTCACTCCAGCTGATGGGCACACTCGCAGCAAAACGGGGAGAAAATAAAAAGAATTTCTCTACGCGGACGATTCCACCCAGCTCCGCTCTTCTACCATGGATCGATCCCTCGAGACTTTCCTAAAGAGTATCCGTTATCCAGTATCCAGAGATACTATCTCTCCGGTCGACCCCAAAAAGCCAATATATCTCGACCAAGTATATACATTACATACATATCCCACGCCCACCCCATCCATCTCTAGGTACGCAAAGAAGAAGACCAAAGAACCATCATCACCAACGATCGATCGATTCACGCCCAAAAGCGTACTTACCATCAACATCTCCATTAAAAATCCATCCCAACCCAAATCCAAATCATGCTCCCCTCCCTCCCCCTCTTCCTCCTCCTCCTCCTCCCCTCCCTCCTCACCACCGCCCAAAAACTCCCCCTAGACTCCACCTCACACAACCACATCCAAATCACCCTTCGACCCTACAAATCCAACTCCTGCACCAACCCCTCCCGGCGAGGCAGCGGAAAAGGCCACAGCATAACGCTCAAAGCCAACCACCGCGCGGACATTTCCTCTTCTTCGGGCATCAAAATTGGCGAAATCACACATAGTAAATGTGTGGGATTTCCGAGAGGAGGGTTTAATAGTTTTGTGTTTGATGGGGAGGGGTTGTATGGGATTGCGGATGGGAATGGTGAGGGGGAGGGGAATGGGGAGGGAGGGGTGGTGAAGGTGAAGGAAAAAATGGGGAGGTGTAGAGTGGATGTTTTTCCGAATAGATTGTGTTTGGGGGATGTTATGGGGGGGTTGGGGGAGGTGGGTTTTCTCTTTTTTTTTTTCTTTTCTTTCCTCTCTCTGTTTGTGGAAATTTCTCTCTTAGTTCCTGTTTTTTTTTGTTCGTTCGTTCGATTGATTGATTGAATGACTGACTGTTTTCTTTCTTTCTTTCTGTTTAAAACAATAGGAAAATTTATCCGAAAATGACCGTCATCCATGCATCAAGGACTTCGTGATGAATCTGAAAACGGGAAAACGGGGTGTGGGAAGAGGGTTGCAATTGGTGTGTGAGGTGAAGAGTTGAGGCAGCAGAAAGAGAAGGGAAGGGGGAGTGTAGACGATGACGATGACGATGATGATGTATCTATGGCGGTGGGAAGGAATGTGCATAATACCTATATTTTGTCAATAGGGGTGAGGGGTTTGACGATGGATGGATGATATTACATTTTTGGAAGAGCGAGGGGACTGGGAGATGAAGGCGGGATCCTATACTTGATTGTTTTGGACAATTTGAGCAATCAGCGACGACAGCGACGAGCAGGAAGAAAATATTTTGCAGTGTCCTCGATTTGGAATAACGTGTAATGTACAATTCAGGTATACAGGATATTTCTTTTTCTTACAGAGGCAGTGGGCTCTATCAAGTCACTCTCAGCGCAACCCCTTGATGCTGATCACAATTTTCGATTAATCAACTTATCTATACATCTATCTCTACAACAGAGCGTAGTAGCCTTTACTTGTACATCTTTTGGTATGCCTATGCGTCTGTGCTTAGGTAGACTTGAGAGCACAGGTTAGCAGTGTTCAATAGGTAGACTGTAGTTTAAGCTTACCTGCAGCTGGTTCACGTCCAGCTCCTGCTGGACTTGCTTCCCCTTCTGTAGCGGAATTTGGGGTAGGTTTGTCGATTTCCAACCCATGGTGCACCTTCTGGGGGCAGGGAGGACTGTGAATACACGAAGCAACGAAGTTGTAAAAGCACAACGCACACCTAAATGGCATTGAATCTGCCAGATGGCTGATCCGCAACACCAGGGTGTAGTTTGACCTCATCTCCATGGCCATAATTCACACATCCGACCACCCAGGCCAAGTCAGTCGCTTCACTCTAGTGGGCCAATCAGCAAGCTGACATACTTTCAAAGAGAGAAAACAAAAGGGGGGGTTTTCGACACGTACAGAAACATTCTCAAGCCACTCTTGTAATCGTGCTTTACTAATCGAAAAGACAGGCCAGGCCTGCCCTCCCATATATATCGTCCCCGAGACCCAGCGGAGATCTAAACAGCGGATCACGGGAGGATCCACGAACTGGTGCGTGAGCGGATGCCAAAAGTCTGCAAAGGCCACCTCAAAGGTTCGAATATTGGGCATTTGGTGGGCCATGAGTGCGGATCCGGTGCTACTGAGGAACTTTTTCAATGGTTGGACAAACTCGCGAAAGCGGGCACTGCTGCTGATGCCGTACGTGTCCCATTTGGTGACGGTGGTGTTGGGTACGCGAAGCCGGATGGTGGTGATACAGCCGGCAAGTCGGGGATCCAGCCTATCAAACGTCCAGACTTTCAGTTTTCGGTGCACAGTGCTTGCGGAGAGGGGCGGTGCTATGGTCGCATCGAAAGAGTATGGCTTGGAGGATCCCGGGTTTCGAGACTGGGCATTGTGACGGAGTTTGCGAGTGGCGGTCTTGAGGAGGAGATCCAGTTCCAGTACGGCACTGTGCTTGGCAGCTCGAATTTCTTCGCATAGTTCCGAGGTGAATTGTGAATTGATTCGGAAGAGTCTTTCGAATGAAGGAGTAGGCAGACGCTGTCTCATGCGCAAGGGAAAGTCGTCTTGCATGGTCCCGCCGAGGGTATCCGGAAGATGCCATATCTTTCCCAGATCCCGATCAGGGTTTTGGAGGTCTTGCGAGGCGAGGATTTCGCGGTATATGAGATTCCGCAGCTCTCGTGGGAAATTGAAAAAGGCCATTGGCGCCAAGGAAGTCATCTCTCACGAGAGCGTCCGGGACGATGATGGGACTGATGATGAGCAGGTGTCCAGCAAGTCAAGCCTGTCTTCCATGTTCGTACAACGGACGCATCGTGGATTCGTGGTTGATGATTTAAATCGATGGGGAAAGCGGTGAGTTGCAGTGATCGGCGATGACTCAGCCTCATCTCAGTGTGACCCTGGCCTTGCGCACTGCCCAGACTTGCATCGAACACTCGAGCTGAGAGAGGTAGTCAGGTACCTGTACCCGCCAGTGAGTGAGTATGTGTAAGCAACAGGCCGAATACAGATAATTCCGGCGAGAAGCTGATGTCAAGGCCGCCACTCTGCAACATGTCTTCGACTGACAGCCTACCGGAAGCAATACCTCCTAGAGAGAGTATGATGAATGAGTAGCTGAGCCCGGTGGAGCAGGTCAATAGAGAGCACCGACAATAATTCCGGCGACAGATTCGCAAACGCAGGCCTGAATTATCGAATCAGCGAGGCCAACGAAGCACAACAGTATTGTATGTAAGGTATATTGACATTGTAGGTGAGAGAAGAAGATTGTATCTCTCCTCAAGACTTGGATCTGGTATGGGCCGAGTTCCCTCTGCTTATGTCAACATCCATCAGTAGGAGGTCTGGTATAGCAGATTCTTTGGTGTTATGGAACAAAGAATGGAGTATTGCGGATCATAGTACGGCCAATGTTGATACTTGCAAACCTTTTTATTAATGCCGCGGAAACCGAAATCATTAATAAACAGTCCCACAGTCCCACAAGAGGTTGTAGGTGAACTTGGCGTGTGGAGTCGTGAACATTCTGTCATTCTCGTATTGCAAGGTGTAAATGACCACCAGAAGTAGTCAGCATCTTCAAGTCTATACCAATGGCTACCTCAAGAAGAACTACATGTACCACCAGTGCTAGGTAAGTGTCTACTTCGGTACCTTAGTGTTTTACTAGGTAATTCTCTACCTCTACCTCTACTCCTCTCTGCGCTGCTTCATTTATTCCGCTTCACGCTCGTTGGCCTATCTCGGTTGCGTGGACATGGACGTCATGCAACACCTGCCGGTCTCTCTACCGTTTATGTAGGTACTTGTACCTGCTAAATGTACATGAGGGATGCACGAGACCACCCTCTCAACTCATCTCACAGGCCGGGACTAACCACCTGTAATCATCCTCATGATGGGCGGCGGAGCAGCAAAGGACACGCTCCTCATAGTCCTGCCTTATCCCGAGCCCACAGCAATCATCGAGCACTTGTCGAACAAGTTCCCTGGCCTGGAAATCAACTACGTAGCGACCAACAGCTCTAGAAATGCCCAAGAGTTGCATCAGCAGGTTCCCAAACACCTCTGGGCCTCCGCTACCGTCCTCGTCACTCTGTTCACTGTGCCCCAGCCCGAAGAAGTCCCCAAGCTGCAACTGATCCACCTCGTCTCCGCCGGCAGCAACCAGCTGCAGAGCACGCCAATATACAAGGACACCGATGTCACCATCACCACGAGTAGCGGCATCCACGGTCCCCAGATCGCTGAGTGGGTGATCCTGACCGGCTTGGTGCAAAGCCATGGCTACAACCAGCTCTACGAGCTGCAAAAGAAGCGCCAATGGGGAGACAAACGGGGTGCTGCGAACAGTTTCAACAATGTACGGGACTGGGTGGGGCAACGAATTGGTATCCTCGGATATGGCTCTATCGGCAGACAAGTGGGAAGAGTGGCCAAGGCCATGGGCATGAGTGTCGTAGCTTTCACTGCGACGCCCAAAGATACCCCCGAGAAGAAGAGAGATCACGGCTTCATTGTCCCCAGTACAGGCGACGAGGCGGGGGATATCCCGGTCGAGTGGTACTCGGGTCTGGAGAAAGAGAATCTTCACCACTTTCTCAAGCAGAATCTGGACTGGTTGGTGGTAGCTGTGCCTTTGACTGACCAGACCAGGCACTTTCTGAGTAAGGAAGAGTTCCAGGTGTTGAGTCAGGATGGGAGCAAGCCTGCATACGTGACAAACATTGCGCGGGGCGCCATCATTGATCAGCCGGCACTCATTCAGGCTCTCAAGGACGGTACAGTCTCTGGTGCGGCGCTCGATGTGACTGATCCCGAGCCTTTGCCCGAAGACAGCGAGCTTTGGGGTTTAGAAAATGTCATCATCACACCACATGTGAGTGGGAATGGCGTTGCGTACTTGGAGAGAACGATGAAAGTGCTGGAGCAGAATCTCGAGCACAGAGAACATGGCGAGAAGCTGATCAACGTGGTGAGAAGGAGCCGAGGGTACTAGACACACACACACAATTGTGACTGGTACTACAGCGATTCTCGCCAGTCTCCCAAGAACCATGAGTTAACAAGGTAGAAGACAACATGGCACAGCGACTGAGAAAGACTGTATCAATAGTGCTGTTCACAACTCAGTGACTACCTTGCCTCTTCTGTTCAACCGTGATTTCTTTTCTGCTCCACCCCTCCAAATGAAAATGAAAACATGTTCGTGATGTTCCTGCAATAACCCCCTTCCCCATCCCTCCCAGTGAAAGCTACCGATGGTAATTACTGCGGCTCCTCATCCTTAAACTTCTCCTGCAAAGCAGCAACATCAAACCCACACAATTCCGCCTTTGCCACAATCGCCCTCGCCTTTCCCGAAACCGGCGCATCAATCATCTTCCCATCCAACGTCCACGCCCCTCTCCCCTGTTGATCCGCCTTTTTATCACACACCACCACCCTCACCGCCCACTCCACCTCCTCCCGACTCGGACTATACACCTCCTGCACAACGCCCACCTGATCCGGATGAATACACTGTTTCCCATTAAACCCCAACCTCTTCCCACCCTCACTCTCCTCTCGAATCTGCCTCGTGCCCTCCTCTCCGCGAAAAGTCGTACTCACCAAATCCAACGCACTCGGCAAATTGTACGCGCGCGCCGCAGTGACGATTGCCGAGCGCGCAAAGAGAAATTCTTGCAAAGACGGCGTTCGAGTTAGGGAGAGATCGCGAGCGAAATCTTCGGCGGCGAAGGTTAGACCTGAGAGATAGGGGGAGCCGGCCTCACAGATGGAGGAGAGGGAGATGAGGGATTTGGCACTTTCTACTAGGGCGATGATTTTTATCGGGTTGGTTCCTTCTGTTGTTCCTGCACCTCCTCCAGCAGACTCATCATGATGAGAAGAATGTCTCTCCGGAAGAACATGCCTCAAAACATCCATCACAAAAAGCAAATCCTTGGGCGCATCCACTTTCGGCACAACAATACAATCGAGATGTTTCGCTTGCAAAATTGTCAAGAGATCATCCAATGCATAACCCGAATCTACGGAATTGATTCTCACGGCTTGTTCACGAATCCCTGGGACGCGATCGCGGTTTAAAATGTTGAGAATGTTTTGCCGACTGGAGGCTTTTTTGCTGGGCGTTACGCTGTCTTCGAGATCGTAGGCGATGCTGTCGATGGAGGCGATGGAACGGGATTTTTCGAGGAAGCGCATCGAGGAGCCGGGGACTGTTTGGTGGGAGGGAGATGGGTGATCAGTTCAGTCTTTTTATGTCTACCTATCTATGGGCGGGCACTTTTTTTGGAGGGGGATTTCAAACTTGCTGGTTTTGTGGACATACCGTAAAGCTGTGCTCGTCGAATGACTTGCTTGGCCGTATTAGCTGCGGCCATGGTGTGAGATTATTATGATTGTATCTGCTGGATTTTTGGTGGATGCCGTTCTCTGTTGTGAAGTCAGAACTGCACAGCTGACCCTGTTCATGATGAGTGGACTGCAGACATGCTCAATGGCGCATGGCGTATAGCCGAGGTGAAAGTCTTATTTCCGTCTGTCGTCACAACATATCAAACACGTCGCATTCGCTGCACGTAACGCGCGCCAGAGTGTTTCATGCAATAGCGGGAAACACCCGCTCGACGCGCATGCGATTCGAATGAAATGCAGACGGTAAATGGCATCCATCTTTCACATGGTAGCTTCAAGTGGTTCCGCACAAACTTCACATGCCATGTACATTTCTATCAACGCAAAAGCAACGAGGGCAATGATAGGTGACGATGCCATTATCATACTCAAGTTATCTCGCAATGCCAACCGCTCCGTGCGCCAATGACTCCTAGATAATTCCGCGTCTCTGCTCAAGCAGAATTGTGGCCCACGTTACCCCCAGTCGCATTGATGATGCATCTCCCAGGGGGTGCGTGCCTGCTGCCGTGATACTGACCGTGCTTCCATATTCAGGACCACCACTTAACGAAATCTCGAGCTTCTGCGCTTCTAGCTGCTGGGCGATGGCGCGGCAAGCGTCTCCGGTACCTGGTCGGCCTTCGTGTCTGCTGAGGAACCTGGTTGAGAGACCTCCTCCACTTTCTCTTCAATTGAATCAGCAGCGGTGTCTGCTTCCTTTGCAGTAGCGTTCTCCGCAGGCTTCTCTGAAGCCTCGGCGTCCTGCATCTCGATCTCCTGGCTTTCGATAGGCTTCGCGGCGCCTTCTTCAGCTTCAGCCTTGGATGTGCCAGCTTCGGCCATGTCCTTCTCTGCTTCTTTGCCGGCTTCAGCCTTGGAAGTCTCAGCTTCGGCCATGTCCTTCTCTGCTACTTCTTCCTTGGTGACCAGTGACGCGCCGTTGGCTTGTGGTGCCTCTGACTCTACTACAGTGGTGGTAGCAGCTGATTGATCCTTGTCTCTCGCGCCTGGCTGATCTCCATCATTTTCCAGGCGCTTATTCCACATCTCAAGCATGACAGAGCTACGCTTCTTGAATTGAAATTCGTCGTCCTTGGGCACCGAAGCAAGCTTCACAATCGCCTTGAGTACCTTGTGAATCTTGGTAGTGCGGATGATAGACGGCTCCAGATTGTCATAGGCCTCGAGTTGGCTGAAATGGTCAGCCATGCTGGCCATTTCGTCTTCCTTTGGTGTGCTGTCACGAGCCAGGAATCCTTTTTGGAGCCGGTGACGCAGATATAATACCGCCTTCTCGCGTGTGGCGAGACGCTCCTCGTCTGTCATCTGGGGTTTCTGCTCTTCATCGATCTTGGGGGCGCTGACGACCTTCTTCTTGGACTTGGTCTTCTTCGTGGCTGATGTCTCACCATTAGGCGTCTTGGGCGCGTTAAGCTTGGTGACCTTCGGTGTCTTCTTAGGCTGTGCAGTCGTTAGTCTACTGCATGCTCGGTGGTGAGTGCACAAGGGTCAGTATACTATACCTTTGGAGTGTCAGCTTCGCTATCTTCCGCCTTCTTTCGCTTCTTGGTAGACTTGGGAGCATCGGCGTCGTCCATCTCGACATCCTCGTCGGCTGCTTTGCTCTTGCGTGGCGTCTTCTTCTTCTTCTTGTCCTTGGACGCCAGCTCTCCCTCGGCCTCTGCCGATTCTGCTTTCGCGGCCGCATCGAGCGCAGCTTGTTCCTCGGCTTCGGCTTCGGCCTGAGCATAACTGTCCATTTCTTGCTGGTGTTTCCTGAGTATGTCCTTGTAGTAATCTATTCCGTGGCCCTCGGCGGCGACCTTGTAGGCCTCTTGCAGATTCTTGGCCATCTTGGTCTTGGGCAACTCCAGGCATTCTGCCGGTTCAAGTGGCGTAAGGGAGGTGTTCACCATCCATTGGCTGTAGGATTCACAGTCAGCAGGAAAGTCAGTCAACACGTGCTCGTCGTTGGTCACTCACAATTCGTTGGTATGCAAGAACATGATGGGGAAAGTACGCTCCTTGGCATTCTTCCCGCCTTCTTTGAAGTCGTCGCGCAGAGAGCCGTCTGGTCGCGCTGTGCTGACTGGTCGCGTGGCGAGCAGAGACTCGGGCAGCATCTCCTCGTCACACACGATTGATGGCCATGGCGGATATCCTTTGAGCCGGGCCCAATAGAACTCGCCTGCCTTGCACTCGAGTCGCAGAGTAGGCATCGACTTTTTCTTGTTCAACTTCTTGTTCTTGTGCTCAGGCACTCCCCCAACAGACTTCCGCTTCTTGTCTTTGCTGCCAGATGCCGGCGTAGCATCGCTCGTAGGCTCTGCTGAGGCCGAGTCGGCTTGCTGCGTCTTTTCGTCTGAGGCGCCAGCTTCTTCGACCTGGGTTTGCTCGGCAGGAGTCTGGCTTTCTTCGTTCGTCTTCACGGGCGCTATCGAGTCGCCATTGGTGTGCGCCGTGGTGTCACTCGTCGGCTCTGTCGAGTCGGTGGCAGTCGTCGCAGCCGGCTGGGCAGGCTTCAGCAAAGGCGGCGTGACAGAAGCGGACGCGACAGCACGACTTACTGCTTGCGCGTCGATAGACGCGGTGGCGCTCGCGTCGTCTGCCATATCGTCGATATTGTCGCGCGACTGTGCGTGTGTCTGGCGCTAGCAGGCTTTGCGACGCGAAGGTCGGATTGGCGGCACGCGTATGAAGATGCTACCGCCGTGCAAATGATGAGCGGGGGCTGACGATGGTGGTGGTGGACGCCAGGCAAGGTGCAGGCGATGCAAGATAGACGCGTTGGTGATGTTGTGATGGAAGTCGGTGTTGGTTGTAGGAGGAAGGACGAAATCTCGCGAGGAGCGGGCGTTCTTTCCTGGACCGTGACGTTTAAAAGCACAGACTTTCTGGCGCGGGAATTGTCAGTAGGCCACCACGCACGCCGGTCAAGGGCTGAAAACTGAGCTCGGAGCTTGCAACACCCTCTTCGATATTCGGCGTATGTACTGGAGCGTGACAAGTCAATCTTCGTGTCGTCTTCGTCGCTCCTCAAGGACGAATGCCTCTGGGCTTGGCGTGCTTCCCCAGCTTCGGGCCTATCAGGTGACACCATCTTCGCGGTTGTCCGCCCAGCCGGCTCTGCCGATGCATGCCTTCAGCTTCCTTCTGGTCCTTTCCATCGATCTGGCCGTCGCTCTGCATGCCTGACCTCTCGCGTCGTTCCAGCCAGCAGACCTCGTCCTCGCTGCGTCTTTGCGGGTGAAGCGGTTATCGCTGAACGGAACGCATTCGCGGCATGCATCAGAGTGACCCAAAAGTCGTGGCGTCACCCCATCCAAGGTGTTGCTGACGCAAGCTAAATCTGCTACTGGGCTGTCTGTGCCTCAACGCCCCGCTTGCTGCTCGGAGACCGATGCGTTCGTTTTGGAGGACCAGAATCGCATCTTTGCAAAGCTGCTGCTGCGAGACCCAGCATGTAGCGCATTCGATCTTGTGTATCCGAGAGCGTTCACGAAAATTCATGACACTGGAATGCCTGTGAGCTAGCATGTGTTCCCTGCGTGTCTGTGAGCGTCTGTTTGCTAGCTGAGATGCGCTCTATGCATACTTGAATATCGAGTGCATGCTACGTCGCAGCGCTCGATTAGCGGAATTCAGCTGGCAGCACGAGCAGTTCTTGGAGTGCCTGCCCCATGGCACAAACGATGAGTCCCTGTGAATTGTAAATCACGAAAAGTGCAGTACACCAACAAGATATACGACAGTGGCCTGATGGCCTCCTTTAAATGCAAGTAAGACGGAGAATGGAAATCTGTATTTGAAACCGTTCCGGTGCCTACCAAGTTTGTGCATATCAAGTTTGCGTGAGATACTGCTCAATGTGCACCAGTGGCAGTGTGAAGAAAGCTTTCTCTGAGACGTCCAGACGTTCGCCTACCGTGTGGCCGTACAGTATCGAGCCACGGTGGACATGCATCTTGGGACCTGGTAGCTTCGAGATTCCCGTCAGGTGTGTAGTGCTCCGTGATGCTTATTTCCTGATTTACGTAGACCAGGTTCGCCAGGCTACGCCAGGTAAATGGTATGTCGAAGATGCCGGAGATGCATAGCGGGTCAGGTTGTCGTTTACATTACCGCTCAGACGGACAACATCAACCAGCATAGCACGCCTTCAGTTGTCCCTTCATTATTCACGCATCGTATTCATTTACGCCTCCATATCTTTTCTCTTGTGATACAGTATGCTTCTCGATGCGGTATTTTGCCTGGACGCGTGGTGGTGTCGGTCGCTCGGTTCGAAAGATGCTCGTCGCATGGATGGGAGGGACCGCAGGAATGGTTCATTTGGGTGGGCTGTTAGCACTCGTTGCGCCATCGCCACGAGCCTCAGTGACTTTGCTGCCATCCGTATCGTCGCAGTGCTACGGGCTGAGGCATCGTGCAAGGCAATTCGCTAGTCCGTCTGGGTGTGATACAGCACAAAGGATGATGGACGCAAAGCAGAAGAGGTGCTCCGAAAAGCGCCAAGCGAGAAAGCGACCTCGCTCTCATGACCTACCTCCTACCTCCAGCGGGCATGACTTCAAATTCGTCCTACCATACCAGGTATATTATGTACCTATTCATATCAAATCTCAAACTTTCATAGTCTTACTATTCATACATGTCAAGACTTGGGAAACAGACAGGTCGGCGACAAGACTTGAGAGATCATGCACCCCCCTGCGAATCACGATCACGGCCTCGCGCGGGCTGTTCGGCACTGTTATTTCAGGCCCTGTTGCTGTCAAAATGTGCACGCCATTGGGGAAGATCACGGCTCTAAGCGTGACTCCCACAGAGAAAATCGTTAATGCTACACTACCTAGGGACAGATGTACCGATTAAGAATCTCGCGGATTCTACCTCTCCGTCCGTAGGTATCCTAGGAACATTGGTATGCTCTGGTTCATTGTACAATAGGGACTACGCACACGTGATACCTGTTGACATGGCAGAACTCGAGGTGTTCGACATGGAGATCAACACCACGACCGCTACTCACAGTGGGAGCGCGAATCATCTTCATGGCATGAGCACGATATTCACATGAAAACTCGTGGCATCTGTACTTTCACCGGAACGGCTCTGCGTGGATCTGATGGGATGATTTGGCTTGCACTTTCTGCATTATCCCAAATGGATTGGAAGACTAGTAGATCATATGCATTGGCCCCGCCACTTACACCCACTAAGTGCGAAGTGGCGATCTGCTCGCATACGCCGATGTCCACAATGGGCCATGCATACGTCGAACTCGGTTGGTGGGACGCGGGAGTTCACGACCGTTGGCAACGCTGCGACCCGCTAGGAGATATCTGACTTGCGATTTGGGGATCGACATCTCAGCGGGCATTTCGCGCGTGTTCATCACAGCGCACAACGAGCACAAGGAGCACGCTTCTGCAGGATGACACCTCCTAGCTCCTACTCGTCCTTCCTCATCAGCTATGTATACAATGCCCTGCAACGTGAGCAATCTGCTCGTGATTTCTTTCGACGCTCTGGGTCCAATACTAGATACTTGACAGCCTTCAGCATCCAACGCAGCAAGGTGCTTCAATCATGGGTCTGGAGCAGATGGATGGAGGCAACGCATTCAGCAGTTCCGACTCCACTTACGCAACGCCACTCACGGAACAATGGCCACCACATGAACCTCGCAAGCCCATCCAACATCCAAAACTACCTCGGGAGATTAGAGCCGTGAAAGATGCTGGGAAATACGTCTCGCCTGGCAAAAACATTGTCGTGTGCCTCGATGGCACTGGTGACCAGGTACGCAATATGAAGCATATTTGATCACCACCTGGCACACGCTAATAGTTTGCTCAGTTCGATGCCGACAACAGCAACATTGTTCACTTGGTGAGCTGTCTCAAAAAATCCAGTCCCGATCAAGTCACCTACTATCAATCGGGAATTGGCACCTACGATGGCGGCGGATTGTCGAACGGCATCAACGCTGCCATGGACATGGCTGTCGGGTCTGGGCTGGGAGTGCACATACGAGATGCCTATCGGTTCATCATGGCAAATTACAATGAAGGCGACAAGATCAGTCTGTTTGGGTTCTCGCGAGGTGCATACACCGCTCGATGCTTAGCTGGTATGTTGCACAAGGTGGGATTACTGCCTGCTGGCAACCAATCACAAGTGGTATGTACACGACGTGATGGAGGATCTAGGTGTGCTACTACTACCTTGCTAACAGATCACCAGGAATTCGCGTATAACTACTACAAGGACGATTCTGAAGAGGGCTGGCAAATGAGTAGAGACTTCAAGAAAACTTTTTGCATGAGTGTCACTGTCGACTTCATAGGTGTCTTTGACAGTGTAGCCTCGGTGGGCTTCATACCTCGTAAGCTCCCGCTGAGTAGCACACCAACCCACCGACCTGCTCATTTCCGCCATGCCATGGCCCTCGACGAGCGCAGAGCTAAGTTCAAGACATGTCGATATCAGCAAAAAGACAGCCTGGAGGCAAAATACAAGATCTCAGCCGAAGGTGACATCGTCGACACCGATGTCCTCGAAGTGTGGTTCACAGGTAAGCCCATCGTCATTCAATACCTACCTATGTGTGTGTCATACAAAAGATAAGCTGACAACATTACAGGATGTCACGCTGATGTCGGCGGCGGTGCCGTCAAAAACGTAGAACGCCACAAACTCTCGCAAATCCCCCTCCGATGGATGATCCGACAATGCTTCGAATGCGACACGGGAATCATTTTCAAAGTACACGCGCTCGCCGAAGAAGGCATCGACGTGCACACTCTCTGGCCCATCTACGAAAAACCCACACTTCCTCACGGCGGCCCCCCTCCCGATATGCTGGACAAATACCACCGAGGAGCCCTCGGACCCATCCAGCGGAGATCATCTCTTCTCGAACCCGTCGACAAGAACGACGAACGGGGAATGCACCAGTTGAAAATCTATCGTGACGACCACGAGCACGACGACGACGACAGTTCCGAGAAAGAGGCTGGGACCATCATGCATGAACAATGGACACCGGAGCAAGTCGAAGACTACTTCGATGCCTTGCAAAGAGTCAATGATCAACTTGTGGACGCCAAAGGGTGGTGGATTCTGGAAGTGTGGCCTATCAAGGTCAGGATACAACCCAAGGGGACAGATGAATGGATCAAGAAGCTCAGACTCAATCTTGGAAGAAGGAGATGTATTCAAGAGTGGGCTCCACACTTGCATTGGACGGTGAAGCATAGAACGGAGACGATGGATTACAAGGTGAAGACGAGAATGGATCGGAACTCGGAATGGCGTGTTGTGATTTGAAAGAACCCGAGTATTAGACTCTAGCCTTCATTTTCAGCATTCATCACCAATCGTCATTTGAACAGCGCCCCTTCATCGTGGAGAACTCAGTCTATGGCAGCTTTATATACGTCCGAGAGTTCCCTGATAATACTCTATTGTTTAGAATGTCTACCATATCCCTGCCTGACGATAAATTCCTTGAGTACCCTTTAGTGTGAGCAGATATAGCCACGACAAAACTTTCCCATTTCGTACCACACGTTCGACATCGAACACTTACTCTAGCATTCTTGGTGACCACCATTCACACCTCACATTTCAAAGTCAAGGTCAAACTCAGCATTGACAAGATTGGCTCCGGTCAACCCACTCTTCCGAGCCTTCCCATAGACACGCGATGTATCGTCATTCTGAGGAATTGTCCTTTTCCTGCTTGCCGGCTGCTCTTTGACTGTCGTGACCACAGCGTCTGAATTCTGCGAAGACAGGGCTGCACCCAAGCTCCCTGGTGGAGAAGAAATGGGAGACGAGAACACATTGGTCAAGCCTCTCCGAGCGCTCTTGGAGGCAACCGGCGGGCGTCCTCGAGACTTGGTCTTCGACGATGTGCCGTGCGCCTGCGCTGCTCCGTCTGTAGCTGCAGTCTCTTGCTTCAGCCTCTTAGCTGCTACTGTAGCCGGTGTCTGGTGCTGACTGCGAGATGCCCGGGGCGCAGTCAGGTGTACCGTGTCATCGATAGCGTCTGCATCGACTTTGCGCTTGTTGCCCTTGCCGTTTGTGCAAACGACCACACCCGGCTGAGTGCTGTCATTCTGCTCTATCTTTCGACGCTTCGGGGCTAGAGCGTCTGCTTGCTCGACTGATGGCTGTGCAGAGACATGCTCGGCCAGCTTACGCGGGCGTCCACGGCCACGCTTTGGTGCAGGCGCCGGGACCTGATCTGCAGCTGAAGTGCCTCCGACAGCAGGAGGGACTTTCTTGCGTGGTCGGCCAGGGCCTCGCTTGAGTGGGTTGCCCGCAGAATCAGTGTTAGATTTGCGCACCTGAATCTGCTTCGCATTCGATGGCGGCACAAGCTCCGCCTGCTTAGCATGTTCCTCGTCTTCGTTGTTACTTATAATTTCTACAACTTCGACCCAGCCCTTTCCTTTGCGAACGATATGCTCCTGAATCTTCTCATCTGTGAAGTCTCCGTTCTTTGAGTTTTGGTCAGTTTTATCGATCTTCTCGAGCAGCGCAGATGCAGCGTTGGGAGTCCGCTTGTTGTTGCAGCGAGTCGATCGACGAGGGGCCACATCGCCCATCAGACCCGCGAGCTCTCTCTTCATCGACTTGGTGCCGGTCGGTTTCAAGGCGACTGCGCTTGTCTTGAGTCGAGCGTTCTTTGTGGGCACATTCGAGGACTGCGGCACGTTACCAGCGGTGGCTGCGACGACGTCTTGAGTCCCCTTCTCGATTGGTGCATCAGCGACCACGGCTCTGATTGATGCGGCATCATCAAGACCTCTTTGCGAGGCTTGCACGGCCAACACAGCTTCAGCAGCTTTCGCCGCCACGTCTGCTTTCAGCTCAGTTACTCGTGCCTCCAGGGTTTCGTTTTCCCTCTTGAGCGCCTCGGTAGCATTTTCGAGCATAGCCAGAGTCTCTTTGACTCTTTCGCGATCCTCTCCAGCGTCAGTCGCCTTCCGAATCAGGACTTCTATCTGCCCCTGAACCATCTCCACTTTCCCATCATCTATCCTCTGACCAAGAGTCTTCATGTTGTTGCGGTAAGTCTCGATGTTTTCCTCCAGACCCTTGACTCTCTTCATGAGCTCAACCTCACGATCGAAAGCATCCTTCCTGTTCCGGGCTGCATCTTCACCAGCGCTGTCCACACCGTCAAGCTTGCTGATGATCGCTTCCAAACGAGCCTCCATGTTTGGACAAAAGGACATGGGTGCCCTGGCATCATGCGATATGAGTCATATGGATAACAGGGGCCACTGATTCCTTGGCGTTTGTATGTAGAGTTGGGGATACCCACCCCCCTCCTTTCTTTTCTTGAGAGGTCAGACCTCGGACCTCAATTAATCCACTTATTGATTGGTATTCCATCAATCTTCTCAATTGGGCACTAGTGTAGTGTGTGGTTCCAACAGTTATGAGCCCGGCTAGCTCTGCTTGATCAATCAAAGGAATCAGTTGGTTACTGGATATTCAGAGTCACCTGATATCTCCTAGAATTACCTGAGATTGGTCAAATTCCGCTGTATCAAGACAACAACCAAGGACCGCACACTATCACTTGAATGCCGGCCCAAACCCGTTCATCCAGACAAAGAGAAGAGAGCCCATCAGATCAGCTCACAATCGACCAATCCCCGAGCCCTGAGTTTCAAGAGGTTGAAGAAACACCCAGTGGCTCGTGTCCTGGGCATCAAGAGTGGTTTGACGAATTCAACGAAGACACTATGGCTGATTCCCCTGAACCCTTATCATCAACGACGACGTCGATTGCCAAGCTGCGCACCTGGCAGGACTGGAATGTGTAGATTACTTATATCAAGAGAGAGGCAGTGAAGCTCCAGATATGGGCTGATATCAACCTAGAGACAGCTGAGCCAGATCCAGAAAACCTAATATAGCTCAAAGGACAACCTGTCTTTGACTTTGCGGCTCTACCCACTGATGTTACCCTAACAGCTCTTAGTCTAGCCCAATTCAAGCACAGGTGTAACAAGGATGTATAGGAACTTAAGCAAAGGGGGTACTAGAAGATTGAATCAATTATTAACCAGTCTCTCTCTGCAGACCTTCAATATAGGGTGATCAATTGTGAGACAATTAGGCAGACACTCAAGACTCTCTCAGAATACACCAAACCCAATACCCTGGCTGCTACTCAGTTGTTGAAGAAAGAGTTGGAAACCCTTTCTCACCTACTATATGGAAAGTCCATTTATGACTATATGCACCTTTGGTTCGTTTGGTGTGGAAAGAGAGATGCTGTTGGCCAGTAAGTAGACAATGAATCCACCTAGGCATGGTTGTCTTCTATGGCTCCAATGTATGGAGACTATGTGGCCACAAGGACAGGGAGGCTGCTTGATAAGCAGAATGATGGGGAGGTGACAACTCTCTATTCAGAATTGAGAGCCTGGCAGTCCTACTTTCAGCACAATGGAGACACCAAATTCAAGAGCAAGCACAGAACCACCGTCGCCAGCATCTCAACCGCCGCTGCAACCGAATCATCTTCGTCCTCAAACCGATCCTCATCTTCAAGACCAAGCAAACCATGTCTCTGTGGTAGGAACCATATGTGGAAGGAATGCTACTACCTCAATGCCGAGTACCCGAGGCCTGAGGCATGGAAGCCAAGAGATGATACAAAGAAGAAGATTGAGAAGAGATTCAAGGAGGACAAGAACCTGAAAGAGAGAGTGGACAAAGCAATTCAAGCTTACAACGCTGCTCAAGGTCAAGGGTCGAAGGACAAAGAAGCCAAGAACAAGTCAGGTATGACCGCAGAAAGCGAGGACACTGCTGCCGCTGCCACCCTGGAATCGACCCCTGAAGCATCTGTTGGTTCAATT